ATACAATGCTGGCATCATGAATAAACTTCTTATAAAATTCCCTTGATGTTATACTTTAACAGTTTAACAAGAGATAAATTTTATAGTCCGAGGAATTGTCAATAACTGCTTTTCTTGCTAGTTCCGTAGGAATTTGATCCTGTAAAATGTTGTGTTCTGAACTCTACTAAGCTTTTTATTCTTAGTTTTACCTGTTGGTGGTAGGAACGAGCAGGGATGTAGAGGTTGACGGGCTCTAAAGGCTGCTGTTCTATTTTGAATTTAAGAACAGGAACTTAATGAAGAATTTTTAACGGAATTTTCGGCATTGTGCCATTTTTTCGTGGGTAAAAATAACTTAATAACTGACCTTAGTCACGGTACAACTCCGGTAAACTAACCGCAGCTTAACGAGTCAGTTACGTCACGATTTGTTAAAGAAATTTAAGCTCAATTTTTTGTTTCCTTTGATAAACTCGTTTTTTCCATGTTCCTTTTACCCTACAAAACAATTATCTAAGTTGTCCCTCCAACTGAAGAAATTTTCAATGGACTACAAAGGAACTTTGAAAAATCGTGACCTGGTCACGGTGTTAATTATCCCCTACATTTTATACCGTGGAGCATAAAAACTTTGCTGGTGTAATATTCGGCGGACTGATTGGAGTTTTTTGTGTTTGTCGAGAACGATTATTTTGTAGTTTGGCGCTGAGGACTAAGATCTATTGAGGGAACCTAAGTTTGTGAGGTGTTTTCAGTGTCCAAGCAACAGAACCAAGAACAGGAAGGAAGCTATGTCTACAAATAACACCACTTGTAGAGTTACACAGCGTGAATCGACGCCATAGATGATTTATAGATAGAAATTTCGAGTGAGTTCGAATTCAAACAAGTAAAAAATTGCTCGCATGCAGATTGACTATTATCAACCTATGTAGCATCTCATTTGGGAGGATATTTATTTTTTTATGAGGAAAATTTTTTTGCAGATCGCGGACTATCCAAAACTAAAAATAAAAGCAGTAAAATTCTTATGCGACACGACAATCAGGTTGTCTCAATTTAGGCCTTTGAAGAGGTTCTCAAAGGGGTAAACCGTTAACCGTAAACATGTAAAACGACAAAATAATTTAACCGTCACGTGAAAAAATTAAAAATTTTAACCGTCAATCTTAAAAAATGAGTTAGTACGGAAAGAATTTAGCCGCTATTCGTAAAGTGGCCAAAATTTTAACCGTTGTCGTAACTGAAACCATCAAACCGTTGAGAACTTCAATGAACAAAATTAGAAAGCTCTTTAGAAGTGCAACTTCTATCAGTAATGGTGCATTCCTACAGTTTGACCTTTGCACCTCTCCAGTCAAAGGCACTGACTATATCAGATAGTTGCTTTGTTGACTGTTAACACACCTCTCCATTAACCCAAGTGTTTGCTAAATTAGGCCTCCCCGAACATATAATTATGTGCAATTAAAGGTTAATTAACTTCGCTGTTTGAATACAATATCATTCCACTTAGGCAAGCAAAAGATTTTATTTGAAAACGTTTGGAGGCTGCAGTAACAGTCCTTAGTAAAATACCGAACAGTGAATTTAGTTGACAAAAACACGACAATTTATATGACTGATCATACTAATTTCTTTGGCATCCTTCCTGCACCTAAATGGTCAGTCAATTGGAACACAGCGATTAAATGTCTGCACACATGCGAACTTTGTAAAGGTGGCGTGCTTTCAGGCTTTGAGAACTAATTTTTCTCAAAGGATTTATAAATAAACGTAGAAGTCAGTTGGTCATGGTGTTTTAAAATCGTATAAATTGTTTGATAAGTGTCGGTAATTACAAAATTTCCCCCGTGCAGTTTGGATGAGATAACCACGAGTAATTTTTTTCAAGGAACAACAAAATTGCGTGAGCCCTTGAGGGCTAATTTAATTTCAAGTGTAGTCTATGTAAAAAATTTTGAGTGCTTGCCTCTCTCTTCCAAACTGCACGAGAGAAATCATGTGATTACCTGAACTCAAAAAAAAAAAAAAAACTGTTTGAGATTTTCTTCAGTCATGTAGACCCGAGCAAAGCATGCAAGTCACATGCAAACATGATTCATCAAAACGCTGTAAACATCACTCTACTCTCGGTCGAAAGAACAAGTTTGCAATTGTTTTTCATCATCTCGTTTTAAGTTCATAGGCCACAAAAAAGTTAAAAGCCGGCTTAACAGTCTGTAGCTTTTTTTTTTTAACATAGGCCACAAAAAAGTTCAAAGCCGGCTTAACAGTCTGTAGCCTTTTTTTTTTAATCACCGGTGAACATCTTTCAAGAGATTATAATTATCTCGCATCTTTCCGTTGTTAAAACGAGATGATGAAAAACAATTGGAAACTTGCTCTTCTCTGCACTGTATTACCGTTTGAGGCCTGGGTCTCAATGGAGTTAATCGCTAACAGTAAAACGGCCAAAAAATTAGCTGTTGAGCGTAAAGAAATTAACCACAAAAATTGTTCCGGTGATCACAATGACGGTCCGAAAGATGCAAGATGATATTATCTCTTGAAAGATGTTCATCGCTAACCGTAAATTGGCCAAAATCTTAGCCGTTAGCCGTAAAAGCCATCACCCCAGTGAAGCCCTTGTTCTTCTGATTACCTCTCTTTTGCATAGTAGTACCTGAAAACTACATTCCCTCTAACCAATCAGAGTGAAGAAAAATTTTCAGGAATATCGAACAACAGGTTACCCCTACTTTCATGAACATTTGTCTTTGGAAAGTCTTGAGTTTTCTAATTTTCTAGCGCTTTTTCCGGCTTTCCAGTGCAGGTTTATATTTTTCGTTACGACGGTTGTTTCTTATTTTTTTTCTTTAAAATTTTGCTGAGAAATTAGCCAACCAAATTGATCGCCTTGCACGTGTCCTACGTTTGACCGCTGTATTATCTAATCAGCTAGTGTTTACTGGTAATCGCCATTCCCAGCCGCTGTTCGGTTCACAGATTGTCTCAGGAACGGAATAATGTGTTCAATACATTCCCATATAGGCTTATTTCGATCTGGTGCTCTGAGTGTAAGCACCCTATTGGCGGCACAGACTGTAGAGATTAGTTTTGTCGATGAAAAAAGGCTTTGAAAAAGAAGGGAAATTTTATGAAGACGGCTGGTTTTTTGTCTTAAAACGGGCGTGACACTTTTGCTACAATTTCTTAGGTATCCATGTAAGGCCAAGAGAATACGAGCTGTTGATATTCTCTATTGTACAGCCCTATGTGACTTCTTCGACTTCTAGATCGAGGTTATATAGGGGGTTTTTTTTTAAAGGAACTGTGGGGAAGGGGGTGGGATGGGGTACACAAGATCATTTATGGTGGGCAATTTACATCATCAACTCCTATTTCAGTAGTTCCGCCCTTGTTTAAGAGTTCCTAACAACTATCAATGAGACTACGGGTCGCGAGTCAGGAATAACAGGTAACTTGTCGTGGATAAATCATCACAAGTCTAGGTGATGTCTCACCGCTCTTGTCTCCTCTTGTGTCTGATGCAGTTTAACTGTGTGCAACGCTAGATTTACGGACAATTCATTGTTACATGTCCTTTTTTTTCTCAATCTGAGTTAAGGATCTCCTTTTTTTTAAGCTTCTCTCGCGCCACTTCATTGCTCAATTGTTCTAAACGTTGAAAGAGAGGAGCGCGCAGGAATGTCGCTTGCATTTTCATCAGTGACCCGTGACAATTTACCCGCTGCATACAGTATTTCCTTGAATAAGCGCCCATGTTCGAATAAGCACCCTCCCCCGAATAAGCGCCCAACCCTTACGCCCTAATGTCAAACAAAACCCCTCTTTCGATTTTAGCGCCCCCCTCCCCTATTACTTTCTTACACAGGAGGATGCAACGAAAACCTGTCTCTATAGCTTCTTTATGAGCTTCATTTACAGCGGAATCAGTACGGAAGTATGATAAGCGCCCCACTTGATTAAACACCCCTCACTTAAGCCGAAATTTTAAATAAGCGCCCGAGCACTAATTCGAGGAAATACAGTATACCCTCGACACGCGACGCGATACGTGATTCGCAATTATTTAGATTCTCCCATTTTTGGAGGGAGTGGCCCTGACGAGCCGCACAAATGGCAATCAATTCCTGGGCACATGTTGTATTCGAAATTGTAGTTGATCTGTCTGTCCGGCCATAAGTATTCATATTTAACAAGTGCCACGAGATTAATTTTGCCCACACGACGCTCTCGCTTTTCTTGTTCCTAGCAGTATGCATGACCCGTGTCTCACATTGGCTTAGGAATGGCTTGCTCAACAAAGAGTACGCTGTTTCTCAGAGGTCGAGCATGGAAGTGCTAAATCCGGAGGTCGAGGGTTTAAGCCTCAGTCAGGACAAACGCACCGGGTCTTAAAATAGCTGCGGAGAATGTGCTGTCTTCGCTATGACCTCTGCAAATGGAATTCCTTCTTAGTGTAAAAGACACAGGACACGTCAGAACAGAACACGTACCGCCTCATTAACTTAAAGTTTTTATTTCTTTCCTTGTTCATTTGTCTTTTTGCTCTCTATTGTTTTACATAAAATGTGTCATCCACACTAAGTGAGGGCCGTAAGTGGTTGGGTTTTCTAGTCTTCTCAGATAAATACGATAAGTCGTAGGCCTCATCTCCTACATCTTCTCTTTACTGGTTCGCAGGGGCTGTTAAAGAACTCACGAAACCCATGGAAAGAGTAGGGTTTAGTAGGGGAGCGTAGCCTCCGAAGTTGTGGTCTGGCCCCGTTTCCAAAAATTCCAAAATTAGGGGCACCTGCAAAATTTCCCTTTAAAAATTGTACACTACTCAATGCAGTCTGGCCAAAGTCCTCCGCAAAGTTCCGTAAAGCTCATTCGAGAATATTAATATAAGGAATGCGCGGATAAATGGCATGTAGATCAATCAAAACTCAGGAATTACGGATCGATGTCAGTATCTGGACAGCTGCGCACCTACTCCTCCCCTAACCCGACATTAACCCTAATTTGTCATCAGTTGATTGCTGTTAGATTGGGGGAAGGGGTTGGTGCGCAGCCGCTCAGATACTGACAGTGATCAATAAAATTATATCATGACCATTTTTAAACAAATACTCGTCCCACAAACTTAAATGAAATATTAGGATTTATATTTTTTGAACAATAAGAGTAATTAAGCACTTAATTAAGTTTTCATTTAAAACCGACAACTTGTGTCTCCCGTTAATCACGACTTAATTATGAAACAAGACATCACAAGTTAAAATAAATTCTCTTTAATGAAGCAGAGAATGATATTTGATGATTTTAGTTATGATCTATCAAATATTTTAACTCGCGCGCGACTGGTCTAAACGCATCACTTGACCGAATATCCCCCAGCTAAAACTGGGGATATCCGAGGATATCACCCGAGTGATATTCCCCAATTTTCGAACCGTACGTCCTCTACGATAAGTCATCGTTTCAATTTTAATTCAAGATGAGAGAGCGTTTTGTGGTTGCTACAGAAGGAGGGATATATTTGTTTGTTCATAAACATTTCTTCACGCGCGTTGCAAAATATTTGAAGGATAATTAACACAATAGCCTCTATTTTGCACGAAAACATGCTCGTATACTTGTCCTTAGACATTACCTGTTCCTCGAAGCTCACAGTTTCCCTCGATCTTTGCTCTCAGAAAACTGTTCGCATCTTGGATCAGAAAATGTCCGTACACATTTTCACGCCACATAGAGGCATTGAAACCTGTTGGATATTATAAGTAGACATCAACAAGACTCATACTGGTATCCTTTAACTCCCAAGATCTGATTACTAATTCTCGCCTCTAGCTCCTACACATCTCCTTACAACTTAGTTATGAGAATTTGGTGTGAGATCAAGATCATAACTTTAACCTGATAAGTTTGAGTACTCTCATTACCTGTTTGCTAGATATTATATGGATATTATTGGGAGAAGTTACATGTTAATCACTTTTAGAAGTCAGAGGATTCATACAGGCTCATTCGAGGAATATTTGGAACTTGAGATAGCATCCACTTAATGCAGAGTTTCTGCTTAATACAAGTTTCACTGTTTATTACCAAGAATTTCCTCTGGTAGACGGAATCTTTTAGTTTAAATGTGCTCCTAAAGGCTGTATCCTAGGTGGTCAATTTAATTTCCTTGAAAAAAAAACCCTGTTTAAACCAAAATTTTTTTTTGCTTCAAACAGCCATAAATTTGTTCGTAACTCGGACTTAATGTATGTACATTCTTCCTGAAATTAAATTTGTCTTTTCTCAACAAATTCAGATTAAATTCTATACTTAAAATTTGTGAAATCCTGAATGAAGGTACCTAACTGGCCTAGTGATATCATTTGGTTGCATAATAAATGATCAGTCCAATAACACCCAGTATTGCAAGGCAGATAACAGCCATTATTATTCTGTTCTGTATAATCCTGAAAACAATAAAAAAAAGGATGGATGAGTTACATTCTAGGTTGAATAAACTGGCTTGAATAATCAACACAACTGCTACTTTTATTCCTGTGGCTTGTTTGAAAAAAAGCATAAAGGGCAAGAACTCCAGCCTATTCCCGCAACTGATCAAAGCTTATCCTGGTTACCAAGTAGTACAAAGTGACTAGGAGTATTGCTACTCCCCCCCTGGGTGGAATGCACGTCCATCCCGAGGTTACCTTTCCCGAAAATTCACTGGTACCCATTTATACTCTTGGGTGGAGAGAGGCTTGGAGAGAGGCTTGGAGAGAGGCTTGGAGAGAGGCTTGGAGAGAGGCTTGGAGAGAGGCTTGGAGAGAGGCTTGGAGAGAGGCTTGGAGAGAGGCTTGGAGAGAGGCTTGGAGAGAGGCTTGGAGAGAGGCTTGGAGAGAGGCTTGGAGAGAGGCTTCGAGAGAGGCTTGGAGAGAGGCTTGGAGAGAGGCTTGGAGAGAGCGCAAAGTATTTTGCCCAAGAACACATCTCACAGACCTGCCCATGTCTCAAACCTGCAGCTCTAGAGCCAGAGTCCAGCACACTGACCAATATAGGCTCTGCACCTCTCACATAAAGCATAATCCTAGTTAGAGGTATTCTACATAGATAAAGCTCTTTCCACCTCTCTTTTGCTTCTTTCCCCACCCCTACTCTCCTGGTCAAATTTTGTACCAAACTGTTAACCCTTTAACTCCCAATATCTAATTAACAAATAGATTACAAGTTGTTGTGCATCAAAATGTGGTAAGAACAAAAAAGTGGCACACTAGGTGCAGCCGAGTGTGTCACTGATGTTCTTACCACATTTTGACGTCCTCTGTGATCTATTACTGCACAGATGCACAGCAAATTGGAATCTATTTATTTTATATGATAAAGACTTTAAAAAAGTTTTAATGATGATGTCATCTATACGTCTGTCCTTCAATAGATCATAAGTGAGAACCAATTAGAATGTGTGCATAACTGAGCTTATTATATAATTGTTAATTCTCCCCTCTAGCTGCTACACATTACCTTGTAAACTGGATACAAGAATTTGTTGTAAGATCAGGATAACAACTTCTACCTGATAAGTTTAAGTTTGGAAAAGGGAGAAGAGGGGAATAGGAGCTTATTGGGAGAAGATGCAAACATTTTTGGAAGGTTTCATTGACCCTTTAACTCCCAGAAGTGATTAACATGTCACTTCTCCCTAGAGTATCCATACATTATCTAGCAAACAGCTAGTGAGAATACTCAAACTTATCAGGTACAAGATGTTGTCTTGATCAAACACCAAATTCTCATAACCAATTTACAAAGAAATGAGTAACAGCTAAGGGGGAGAATTAACAATCAGACCTTAGGAGTTTAAGGGTTAACTTTTTCCACAAGCAACTGCTCATGGTGTAATAGATGGCAGTGCCATAAGGCAAAAACCAAACATGAGAGCCCGCTCTCACACTAAACACACGGCAGTGGTCAGAGGTCTTACAGGTGGCTGTGGACAGCAGGTAATTGGCTTTTAATGGAACCCCTGATCTTTATAAACTACAAAGAAATGGGTAACAAGTTTTGACATTCACATTTCCTCCAACAGTACACCTTACAGCTCAAAATATAAAGAGGGGATGGTACCTTCTCATCATTCCTGTTAAAATTCTTGAGCTTTTTGACAGATTCTTATCTGTTGCTCGAGTCTGCAAAGATGAAAAGAGAGAGTCATTATGAACACTTGGGACACTACTGGTATTCAGTGATCTGAAAATGATCACAAGAAGCTGAGAGCCCAACCCTTTCAGTGCTATGACTACAACATTACTTGCATTTAGTGCTGTGGTGCTTCAAGCTCAGACCAATTTGTTGCCATAGTAAGTAGAAAAACAAACACATTACCATCTAAATTTGTTTCACAAGCAAACACTATCAGCAGTATCACTGTAAGGAGAAATTACATGCTGGTCACTCTTAAGATTTTAACCCTTTGATCCCCAAGAGTGACAAGCATCTAATTTATCCATACAATATCACCCCTAAATCAAACATTACAGTCATGAGAATAAAGGAAATGATCACCAATTTAAGAAACTCTTGATCTTTATATAAATTCTCTTTGTCAGCACATTAGGAAATGTGTAGGGAAACAGTAGGGAGAATATGCATACTGATGTTAGGGTGTAAAGGGTTAAAGGATAATCACTTACCCGTTCCCTTGCTCTCTCTATGACTTCTCTGTCTCTATGTAAATTATCCATAATATCAACTCCTATTTGTTCTGAAAGACCAAGCAACAAAATTCATCAAGATGCAAGTGTAAGTTTAATTTCCGAATGGGTAGCGTCATTTGACTGTGCAATCATTACCACACCCATCTATTTCTTGTTCATCAAGTTAAGACAGTTAATCGTAGAATATCTCACACAAGACATATTAATTCTCAATGTTAAAGCTAAAAAAACAAAGATTTTGAAAGTGAAAAACAAAACATAGAAATTTACAAATACAAGCATGGTGGACTCAATGACATCAGGTCGAGTTTTCAGCCTAATTGGGTCAGTGTTGTGTTATTTATTATAATCATTTGTTCATATTGCGCTAGTAAACCTAGGAGACTGATAAGAAGAGTGAAAAGGTGTAAGGTGTAAGATGAAATGGGAAAAGTGAAATGTGAGATGTGACATGGGAAATGCAAGCTAGGAAATGTGATACATGAAATGGGAAATGCAATATGTGAGATGGGAAATGTGAAATTTCAAAGTGAAATGTGAAATTTGAAAAAGGAAGGGCAAATGATAGTATGCCTAGTAATAAACACAAGCAGGGCTTCATGATGGACAAATTTCATGGAAGTTCTGGTCTGTATCAGCATTATAGTAGGATTTCACTCTCACCTGTCTCCACACACATTCTGTAACCTTCATCAAGTTGTCTGCCAGATCGTTCCACTCTTTCAGTGTTGTCCAACAATCGGGCTCTCTAAACAGAAGGAATAATACAATTTAAGACAAGTCAGTTTCTACAAAAATGCCAAAAGTATCCCTTACTCTGGCACTCTGGTTGTAAATATATGCTTTACTTGCCTAGATGAACCCCCAATGCTGTATGTGATATACTAGATGGGAGACGTGACATGTGAAGTGTAATGTGTGAAATTCAAAATGTGAAATGTAAAATGTGAACTGTAACATGTGGAAAACTGTGCCTAATACTGTACCTGATCTTCTGAGTTATGAGAATCCTCACCACTGAGAAGTTCATGTCTACCCTCTTGATCAGAGAATGCTACCTTTGCTTTTTTCTTTAAGAGACAAAAAAGTGTTAGTATACTGGTACAAGCTTTTTATAACTCTTGATGGTTTAAAAAAAAAAAAAAAAAAAAAAAAAAGAACAGCATAGTGAGTTCTCAGAGTATTTGGGGAAGGGTAAAGGAAACCATTTCCAACTTTTAATTCTAGGAGGGGAGGGTGGTGACCTCTGAAAAAATTACAAAGATATGCAAAATTATTAAAGGTACAGTTTAGGCATATGATCTGTTAGCTTTTAGCTACTTTTGGCTGAGTATGGCAAGTGAATACACAAGTTCTTTTTTCTGTTGTGCTCAGCATGTTCACCAGAATGGTAACATTATACTTGGCAGCAGTAAAAGTAAGAAGCAGTACTGCACTCATGCAGTCATTAGCTACAGATTTCCACTTGCACTGTATGTGCTGAAAGTTGCTAAAAATGGACCACAACTCTGGTAACCTTAAGCAAGATTCCATTGAGTTATTGTTATATTCTTCAGACTAGGTTACAATAAATTATTTTTGTTATCACTCCAATTGGTACAATAAAAAAAACTCCACAAAAACTTCCTAATGTATCTATCCCCCCACCCTCAGTCTAATGTAGAACATGATAAACTTCTTTTCTTGTATAAGGCCTATTGTGATCAACATTAGCTAACAGGTAATAGTGTAGTTTGATTGTTCAGGTGAGTGTAGTCCTGAGAAGGACTGTTGTTGGTAATGGTTACTGATGTTTTGACAACCTGAAACCATACCCCGGGTTCAACCGAAAACAGTTTTCCTTCTCAGGTTATAAATCACAGAGAATAGCTCAATAAAGACATTTTTTTCCATACCAAATCCTGATCAAATCTTTTCATTTCATTCGTGTAAGCTTTAAGTCTATTTGTCAGTTTGGTTTTTTCTTCTCCTGGTTCAAACCATTTACTGTATTAGCTAACAGTTTTGAAATATTACAAAATCAGTTATAAATCACAGAGAATAGCTCAATAAAGACATTTTTTTCCATACCAAATCCTGATCAAATCTTTTCATTTCTATCTTTTCACTGGTGTAATAATCCACACTTTAAGTCTATTTTTGTCAGTTCACAAACTTTTTTTCTTCTCCTGTTTAACTTCTCTGACTTGAAGTAAATTCCATTTGTTCAATCTGTTACTGGTGCAATAAATGATAGGTTTTTGACCAATCAGGGTACTCTTAGCACCTCAAAATTTGATAATGTCTCCGAGGGGGGGGGGGGAGAAAGGGGAAAAGAAGGGATCAAGGCTATTTCAGATTGGTTGGGGGGGGGGCTAAACTTTTTATGCCGAAGTTTAGAAGGGGGTCTGCAGTTTGAGGTACATTTTAAGAGTGGTGCATTACCCAAGGTGAGTGTTAAACATAGAGTAATCAACTTATGGTTGTCCATGGCATGAATTTTAATAATTGATAGGAATATACAGGAGATCTGCGGTGACAGTGGGAGGGGGGGCCTGGAAAGGGGGGGGGGACTAATAAAATTTTGATCTTTTCAACATATTTTTCACTCTCCCCCACTCCTCTACATAAATAATGACTGGTGACCAGTCCCTTATATCACAAATTTGTTTTCAACAATCTTTCTGTCATGTGATTTTGTAACAGACAAATTCTTTCAATTAAATACCAGAGTTCATCAAAATAAATTTATCTTCAGATAAGTAGAACATAGCTATACTGATATGACCTACAGTGGAAAAAGTATTCTCAGTCGGTAATATTCGTTTGAGAATGAGAATATTTCCGCTCATGAACAGTGTTCACACACAGTTACAAAAGAAATGTCAAAATTCACTTTCTCTTTAATTGGATAAATACAATCTAAAGCAATTTCGATTACAGTAGAGAAAATAAACCACTCCATCAATTCAACGTGTAATAATTAATCAAGTTGCCATAAATTTGACAACAAAATTTTCAAAATTACTTACCAATTCTCGAGCTTCGTCAAAACATCTTTCCACGTCCGTTACAGCACTCTTTTTAGCGGCTAAAAAGAACCAACGCACAATTGATTTGGGAAAAAATAAACTAAGGTAAACTATTCCATTCGCTGGCAATCTAATCAAGTGACAATGTCAATTTGATCAAATCTGAACACGATCGAAACTTACATCCATGTAAATTCGGAATCTTGCAAATTCGCGCTGTTATTTCGGCGCTGAGGTTCCCGAACTGTTGCTCATGATGATTGAACAAGTCCGTCATAATGATAAAAAATATCCTGTTACTCTAAAACTTCTATTGGTGTAGATCACTGTAAATTATACCGTCGATATTCAAATGAAAGCGAGGAAGCAGCTTCAACATCAACCATTGTATCGATGTTGTGTTCCAGTCTCTCATCACTCGGTTCTTTTTCAACGCTTCGAACTGGACACTAGAAGGTCATAATCATCAAAGTTTGCGGCTAGTAGGTTTATTTTGTTGGCAAGCATGGCTTCGCTTCAACAGATCCTCCATGTTCTTTACCAATGGCAATGGTTACCCCTTTTGACAGTTCTATTCATAACCTACACTATATACTACTTGTTTCATGTCGTTCAGAAACCGCGCTTGATCGGCAAGGAAGGTCGTTTACGGCAGTTCATTCTGCAAAGTTGTCCGATTGTCAGCGAACAATATTGGCCTACTTTCTGGTGCTTCGGTGCAAGAGCTCAAACTGTCATAAGGGCTTTACTCCGATCTAAGCCATCAGTTCCTTATCGAAGGTAAGGTACTTGTCTTTGTGCACATTTGGAGCGATCTTATCATGTAAAGGCTCGAAGATGTTGAAAATTTCGAAGTTTTACGTTGCGTTTTTCCGGCCAATCGAACGCTGTGGCTTCAGCGTTTACCGGCTTTTGCCGATTAAATAATCTGAGTTCGCATTATCTGCAGGATTTTATTCATAAACTTTGAGGCATTTCCTGACAAGATTACAAATAAAATTGAGGTCACTTATGAAAGACGAGACGGCCATCTCATTCCACCTCTTGGTAGTGTTCGTAAAATTGAAAAGGTATCTGAAATTGATGAAAAACGAGCAGAAGAACATTATCATGATTACATAATTTGTTAATTGCACCTGCAAGCAATCGAATAATAAACAGGTTTGAAAATTTATGCTAAAAGTTCATTTTTAATTTGGTAACATAGTATTAGACGACAGAGGTAACACAATTTGTCAATATTTAAGCGCATTCATCAAAAAAATTAACATGAATTTTGTGTGCTCAAAATGAAAATTTGGAGTAATTTCTAAATGCAACTTACGGTGGTCCACAATGCACAAAATAGATTTACATGTAATGTTTTAAAATATTTGCTTTCATATTTTGATTTGGAAGGAAATAGTTTTGTTTTTCGGTTTCATCCCTTTATTTTATATTAGATAATTTTCTTTCATCAGACTAACTTTGTTATTATTCCTGGTAAAAGGTTTTACCAACAATTAAAATATTTAGAGGTGTCATAATTCAAACTGACTTTGTTTCAGTTCAGTTGAGGTCAAAATCAAGTTAAAATATCCTTACTGGTATAAACTGATGAGTTCTATTGCAAATTCTGCAATCTGAAAGGTTACACTTTTTGCCCTCTACCCTTCAAGATCTCACAAGTAATTCTCCTTACTATCTGCTATACAATTCTCATGATGTCAATTTGGAGATTTGGTATTGGATCAACTGATAATCCCCTAAATGATATTTTGCTCTATTCTCATCACTTCTATGCTTGATATTGTATTCATATTGTGAGGAGAAATTCTCTCTTGGTCACTCAAAGTGTTAATCGTTACAATGCTAGTCTCTAGAGCAAGGGAATTCTTTAGTTAAATTCTAATGACCTGCTTTATTTTCTATTCATACCTGGAAAATATTCTTTAAGAGTTTGTCTGAGCAATGAATAAAAAGTACTTTCTCTTTTTTAGGGAGACATTAGAGACCCCAGATGGTGGAATTGTTTGTCTTGATTGGTTTGATAATGACGATAGCACTATTTATAAAGATGCAACATCCAGACCTACTGTCCTAGTATTACCTGGTTTGACTGGTAAGCACTATCAGTAAGAGTTCTCCATGAGGCAGCTAATTTCTGGGTTTGTTAGCAGTTAGCCTCCCTGAGGTGATTAACATGTAACTTCTCCCTAAAATATCTATACATTGTCCAGCAAACAGGTAATGACAATACCCAAAGTTATCAGGTAGAAGTGGTTATCTTGATCTAACACCAAATTCTCACCACTCAATTACAAGGAAATATGTGGCAGCTAGAGGAGAGAATTAACAATTAGATCTTGGGGGTGAAAGGGGTATAAAGGGTTAAGGCTTTAACTCCCAAGATAGAATTGTTAATTCTCCCTTCTAGCTGCTGCACATTTCCTCTGATAATTAGTAACAAGAAGATTGTGTAAGATCAAATAACAACTGACTAATTTAACAACAAATACTTGATAAATTTGAGTATTCTCATCACCTGTTTGCTGTATAATGTATGGATTTTATAGGGAGAAGTTACATGTTCATCACTTCTGGGAGTTAAAAGGTTATGGCTTTTTTATGACAGTGCACAAAAATGGTTTTTCCTTACAATTTCATCGTATTCTCAAGCTGAAAGAACAGCAAAAAGAAATTATCATTCAGGGGAAGGCAGGTGTTTTTATGGCAAGTTCTAAGATTTGCAAATTATGAGAGATGTATGGTAAAAAGTAAGGAGAAAAGTTATTTAGATCTTTGGAATGAATGAGTGATGTGTACCTCCAAACTGGCAGGCTTTGGGCATGACTCTGAACTTCAATCCCTGGCTTGTTAATGTTTGCCGACCAGCCTCAAGGGAAAAAAAAAACTTATGCTCTCGCAGCCTTAACTGACAACAAAAGTGACACTTTTGTCAAAGATGACAGTGGAAGAAAGAGCCACAAAATATTTGTAAGGTTTTTTGCCTTTTTATTATTTTTAGATGGTATATTTCTAAATTGTAAACTCATTTTTCTCAGGTGGGAGTGAAACAAGCTACAGCAGACACTTGGTGCTACTTGGAAAAAAACTTGGAGTTAGGTAAAGTTAGTCTGTCAAAAAGTAGACAAATAGTATACTGGTCAATAAATGTTTTAATATGCAATTGCATAACATTCCTTTTGCTATTTGAACTAGTTGGTCCTCTAAAATAAGTTTCTCTTCCCCTGTAAAATTCTAAGAACTAGAAGTTTATGAAGTGAAATGTGGGTTTTTCATCGCTTGAAATGAAAGGGGACTGGTAAGGGACAGGACAGAGAGTAAAAGAGAAATGAAAAAAATGCGAGAATTTGTTAATCATTAATCTGCTGTGTTTTGTTGTTGTTGTTGTTGTTGAAAAGAGCTCAAACAGGAATCAGTTTTGCAACCCCCCTCCCTTACTAAAATATGAACATCAAACTATTGACAACAAACTTTCATTTTTTCACATTTCACTAAGCTCAAGGTCCTTATTGTAAGTTATGGACCAAGTATCTTCTGTTCAGATGTATATCCCAAGCTGGAGGTTCTGTAACATACAATGTGTACTGAGAAATTAAGGTCGTTGACATTTATTATATATTTCTGGGTTTAAACAGAGAGGGAAGATTTCAATTCAAGTAAACTTTTGAATCACACAGGCAATACAATGAAATACAGCCCGCTAAATTGACCAATCATAGCACATGTACAAACTGAGAGATATAAAAATTAACATTATTCTTTTTGTAGGACTATTGTTGCCAACCACAGAGGATTTGGTGCCTCTCAGTTAAAGGTCAGAGAGTGAATTTTTCTGAATGTCATAACCATGAGTGTTCATCATATGTTAATTGCAGCATTTCAATTGCAAAGGATGTCCTGCAAAGGACATGCCAAGGAAAATTTGAATAACAAAGCTTTTTTTTTTTTTTTCCTAACACAGACACCACGTACCTTCTGTGCTGCTAACACTGAAGACCTGAAGTTTGTTCTGTCGCACATCCATGGAATCTATCCAGAGTCACCAATTTTGGCCATAGGAGTTTCAATGGGCGGGTAAGTTTTCTTAAAATAAAGGGCATTTAATATATTTCAGGGTTTTATGAATCATAATGATTGACCATTTCTGAATTACCTTTGGCCTCTTTGAATATGAGGCCTGGTACTCAATGATTTGTATGAAAATGAGTTTAATTTGCATGTGAATGAAAACTTACAATCATATGAAAGAATGAGCACAAGGGCTCGCTTGAATAAGAGGCCAAGAGTAATTCAGAAATGGCCAATTAAGAGGATACAATTGTAGATCTGCTAAATTGGAATTTTGTCCATTCTTGCAAGCACTTTGAAAGGTCAGAGTTATCAAAAATTTTTTCCATAAAAAGATTCCATGTTACCTAGGGTCTGTGCTGTTATAGATCACAGAAGATGTCAAATTGTGGAAAGAACATATTAATCCTTTAACTCCCAGATCAAATTTGTAATTCTCCTTACTGTCAACCATACAATTCTTACAATGCTAGTTCAGAGAATTTAGTATTGGATCAACTAATTATCCCCAAATTAATATTTTTCTTCATTCTCATCACTTACCTGGTTGATGTTGTATTGATATTGTAAGGAGAAATTCTCTCTTGGTCACTCATGGGAGTTATGGTTGAGGATTAAGTGACACACTTAGTTGCACTTGGTGTACCACTTTTTTTGTTCTTACCACACTTTGATGTCATCTGTGATCTATTACTGAACAGACACATGACAAAATGGAATCTTTAACACAACTAGACTGTGGAATAATATGTGATTTTTTTTTTGCTTACAGAATGATAATGCTTCACTATGTAAATGAAATGAGTGAGGAAGATAGACATGGTCTTGTTGCTGTTATGGCTGTCTCTGTTCCATGGAATTGTATGGAGTCCTGTTATTCTTTGGAAGAACCAATCAACTGTTTCCTCTTCAACAAGCATCTAACAAGAAATCTTGTCAACATGTTGTACAGGTAAATTCCGCTAGCACAGGTCTTAACCTTTTAACTCCCAGGAGTGATCAACATGAAACTTCTCCCTACAATATCCGCACATTATCCAGCAAACAGCTGATGAGAATATTCAAACTTATCAGGTAGAAGTTGTTGTCTTGATCTGGCACCAAATTCTCATGACTAATTTACAAGGATATGTGTAGCAGCTACAGGGGAGAATTATTATTCAGATCTTGGGAGATAAAGGGTTTAAGGGGAATCTTTGCTGCCGTTGTTGTTTTAGGTTTACTTCCGTAGCATATGTGATACTGTCTATGAATCCAATTTGAATTACGGAGCTCGTCAGCTTTATTTGTAGGAATCTTGAAATTTTTGTTTCCTCTTTAACAAGCATCTAATGAAAAGTCTTTTAGACATGATATGCAGGAAAATTCCACTAGAACAGGTCTCGAAGGGGAATCTTTGCTGCCATTGTTGTTTCAGTTTTACTTCATTAGCATATGTGATACCATCTATCAGTCTGATTTGAATCACTGAGCTCATCAGCTTTATTTATAGGAATCTTGAAATGTTTGAAAGGCATGTGGGAAAACTACCATTGGATATTCACCATGCATTGAAGGTAAGTAAAAACTATCTTTATTGATGCCTAGAGATGCTATTAATTAATACAGTTACACCTTGTGCCCCTTTAAGAGTGTTACCCTTAGTCACTCCTAAATTTTCATAAATGTTTGAGCCCAATTAAAATAATTTTTTAGTGTGGTTGCTCAGGTGAATGATTAATTAAAGAGATTCTCGCACTTTGATTGGTCAAAGATTGCATGACATCTTCATGAAATCACCTGGTGCAACATGATTATAGCAGGGAGGGCAAATTTAGAAATGGCAGCTTTATGTTATGAGGTAGCAATAAATGTAATTGCAGAAAATTAAATTATGAAGAACACAAGAAGCACTATTACTGGTAAGTTTGGGGCAACACTTTTCATAAATACTGGTAAGATACATTTATGAAGTTTTTGTTGATTAAATTAATTAAACCTGCTAAGTTTTGGTGGAAAGTGGCTGCTTACCTCAGTACAAGTAATCAAAACAATTGAAACAAAACATGCACAAAACTTCCTTTATTTCCAGAGTGGTTTCAAAAACAAAACAAATTTAAAACAGAATTCGAAAGCACCTGAGCATGCAACTATACACCTCAGGCTCAGTGATCACTGTTGAATAGTCACCTCAACTTTATGTGAATTATTGTTAAATAATATAATAGATGATGTTGTATTTGGAAATAGATTATTTTATTTTATTTTTTTTTTCATAGTCTCGGACAATACGTGAATTTGATGAGAGATTTACAACACCAACATTTGGTTATCGCAACTATGAGGAATACTACAGTGCTGCCTCCCTTCACACCAAACCATTACATACCATTAAAGTACCTGTACTTTGTTTAAATGCTGCTGATGATCCATTTTCCCCTTTACATGGTAAGTGTTTTTTAATGAAATCCAATGATCCTCTCATAAAACATTCATTTTGGTATTTCCTCTCCTCTCCCAAATTTGTTATGCAACATTTGTGGCAAAACGCCAAAAAGGAAACCAGCAAAAAAATTAATTTGTTTTATACCTGCCTTGATGGATCTTTATGGGAAAAATTGTGCACTGGGTCTTTGGTGACACTTTCCATCTATGGCCCTTGCCCATACACAAGACCTCTGGGACACTTTTTACCCATACAGACCTCTGACCTGGTAAATAACATGACGTAACATAATATAATTTATTCTTCTCTCAAAGACTCTTATGATTGTTTTTGTGCTGCTATGTTTTGAAGTTGCAGCTGTCTCCACTGACTTATAATATGTTTGGTACTGTACATCTCACAGGCTTGCATTTTATCTAAGTATGTGGTACCATAAGCACCTATGTTATTTCAATACATCATATGTGTTTCTCTTCTCTTTCAAAATACAGCCATACCACTTGAAGCGCTGGCACAGAATCCTATGGTGTCCATGGTTTTGACATCATATGGTGGACACATCGCCTTTTTGGAAGGCATGACAATTCACAAGTCCAATTTCATGGAAAGATTATTTTTCCAGTTTGCAAAAGGAGTATTTGACCTTGTTGAGAAAGACAAACTAAAGGAAATTGTTAAGGAATGTTGTTCTTGATAATCAATTTTTGTCTTAAAAATTTGTTTTGGATTTTCATTGAAGACAAGTATGTCAATTTTGAGGGCAAATGTATTTATGAAGAATATAATGTCTTGCAACAGCTAGTAGCTTTGCTGTCATACTTCTGTATATTTCATTTTTATGGTCATTAGACCACTTCAAAGGGTCAAATAAGACAACAGTTACCATTGTGCTTAATAGTGTATAGTCTCACTCACTAATGTGCCGCTCAATTTGAAGCTTCAGCATACCCTCTGTGGACAACCCACAAGCATATGACTGTTGTTTGTGCCCTGTGGGTGGGGAATTTGAGACTTGCCTGGCTGGGGTGGAGAATTTTAACCGGAAGTGTCAAGTCTTTCCAGCAGAATACAAATAATATATCTTTAAATACAGAGGTGTTTTAAGGTAAATTGTTTACTTTCACATGCAATTGGCTTTGAAGAAAAGATTTTTAAGGTTTAGGTTTTAAATTTGGTTAATGTGTAGAAAGTCATGGTCACTGATTTTGCCTTCTATAAAAAATTTAGGTGGGACATTTGAACACAATTTTTGCCCCAGGGGATTGAGAATTTGAACAAATCAGTCTTCAAAGAATCAAATGCATGGTGGGTTACCTGTTGTGAGGGGGGGGGGGAAGAGGTTGAGGCTTCGAATTGATTGATGCATAAAAAGTATCTCATTATATCACTTTAACACTTTTATCCTCAAGAGTGACTGGCTTCTAATTTCTCCTTACAGTATCTCTTTTGAATCGAATATAAAGGTAATGAGAATAAAGGAAATGATCATCAATTTTAAGAGCCCCTGATCATCAATCAAATTCTCCTTGTCTGTTCTATAGAATACTTAGAGAGTTGTGTATAGAATGTGAATGCTTATGTTAACCCTTGAACTCCCAAGATTTCATTAGTAATTCTCCTTACTGTCTGTCATACAATTCATGTGATGTTAGTTTGGAGAATTTGGAATTGGATCCACCAATAATCCCCTAATTGATATTTTTCTTTATTCTCATTACTTGTCTGTTTGACATTGTACTGATAGTGTAAGGAGAAATTCTGCCTTGGTCACTAATGGGACTCAAGGGGTTAACTAGGATGTAAAGGGTTAAATTTGGGACCAAAATTTGACATTTTTTTCTTTTGCTTTTCATGGTGTCATGTTTGTCGTGTTCACAAAGAACATTTATTGTAAATTCAATGATGATGATTACAAACAAATAATTTATCCCCAATCAAGGGCCAATGTTATTAACAACAATCAAAGCATTGACACATGTTATGAGGTACAGTAAATAATCATTAGCTTAGATATGTTACATGATTGCCATGTTCTTTATGCTTCTAAGGTACAGTTATTGTAAATTCAATAACATTAAGTACTAACAAAAGTTAATCCTTCCACAAAGGGCCAACAATACTAACGTTACTCAAAGCATTATTAGTATTTCGTGTTAATTGTACAGTGGTTATATCCATAAAAAATGATGATATGCTAAATGATGGCTTTCTTTAACTCATGACTGAAAAAACTTGGAGTAGATTTTGGAATTTAAACAAGTACAAGATTCAATGTCTAATATGTTTACTACTTGATGTGGAAGCAATTTTCAATTAAGAGTTGCAAACAATCCTGAACTGTTTTGTTTTGCTTCAAATTCCTCTCTGATTGGCTTGGAAAACTTGCCCTACTCTTGTAAACAATCTCTACTTGATTTCTCTTTCATTTAGTTAGCCAACCATCACTGGTGGACTGTTGGCTGATTGTCAGCTAGTAGTTGGCCAACAGTTGGGCAGCAGCCACAATTACTCTTGATTGTCAAATAAATTCTCTTAGTCAGCACCTCAGGAATATATGTATATGTATATATATAGTGAGAGAGATCGAGAAAAGTATGGAGAATATGCAAGTGCATGTTAAAGGTTAAGTGAAACTTGCTAGTCTTGTCTTAGCTTAAGGTCCGACAAGATATCATTCTTCATTTGAACTGTATACTATATATTTATTTGTGTTAATTCATTGAAACTTGGAACAGGCTTTTCCAGAAGAGATTGTCTGAGTTTGTTGAATGGTATGAATGAAATTAAAAATTATTTCAATAACTAAAGCATCAAGACTCGTTCATCTTCACTGAAAATCTTTGGAGTGACGGAAGTTTCACGCCGGAAAGCAGATTACTTACCCTCCCCCTGACAAAGCATTTGTCGTTTCCCTTTCTGCAACAAAGGCTTCTGGGATACCGCTTCTTTCGAGTGACGTTAAGGCGAGCAGACCTCATGTTTGGCGTTTTAGTCCACTTTTGAAAGAAAACAAATTTCTTCAAAAGTGTGGGGTCTCCTCACTGATTCTCGTCGACTTCATAACCTTTCCGTTCTTTTCTCCCTTCTTCTGTTATTACCGCCAATTTCCTAGGGGAAGTTAGTGGTAATTTCGAATCAACATATCGTATCCTCTAGCCCGTAACGTGGAAGTCGACGGCCATATATCCAACTTATTTATTATTCGATCGACAACTTTCCACAAAGAATCACTCTTTTCTCTGCGTCTTTTTAATCATTTTCTTTAATATTCCAACTTCACAAGTCCAGCGATTTCATCAATGGCTCAGAAAACGCCTGTGAGCTTGATGAACGAACTTGCCAAAGCCAACAAACTAAACCCCGAATACAAAGTCATCGAGGAAACCGGACCAGCTCACCAACGAACGTTTACTGTACAGCTGACCCTGGGCGACGTGGGAACATGGCAAGGCAAAGCTACAAGTATTCGAAGCGCCAGACATGCAGCAGCCACAGCAGGTTTGGAGAATTGTGGGTTAACAAAGCCAGAGATCGAGAAACCAAACATCCAACAGTTCAACATCACTCCGACAGTGGAACTGAACGTGATGGGGATGAAGCTTGGGAAGCTGATTCAGTACCATGACCTGCAGCCCAAGATACTGTCCTCATATCAACCAATCAGCATGGGCTATCCTAACCTCCAGATGCAACATCATCACACTGGCTTGCATCACTACATGCCTCGACCCCGTCCCTCTTACAGCATTGCACACCCAAGTCAAGGGAATCACTATCGTCCATATGTCCAAAATGGGTTTCATTCCCGGCCTCCACCACCCCGTCTACCCAGAATCTTTTGTGTCCAGCTGATGGTAGGAGACCAGGAATTCTATGGTGAAGGACGTGACAAGCAGAAAGCTCGTCAAAATGCGGCATCTAAAGCAATCAAGATGCTGCGAGATGAGATGGCTTCTGTTATGGATAGGATTACCACCTCTTCCACTCCTGAAGAATCAAAAACAGCTAATCAAAATGGTGAAAGCAAAGTTGACCAATTGGAGAGTTCTCCTAGGCAGAGTATCACTGAAGTGAAATCTGAGATCAGTCAGGTGTATGAGATAGCCTCTAAACGGAAACTGCAAGTAGGATTTGAAGATGTGAAGAGCAGTGGCCCTCCCCACATGAAGCGTTTTGTGGTGAGTGCCACTGTGGGTGACTTCACAACATTGGGAGAGGGATGCAAGAAGAAGGACGCAAAACAAGAGGCTGCTCGGAAAATGCTGGAAGAACTGCAAAAGCTACCTGAACTACCCAAAGATGAAACAAGCTACAAGAAAGCTGGTCGTTTTGCTCGCCGTGGGCCTCGTATCTCCTATCATGAAAAACCAAAAGGTGAGATAGATCCTTCCTTGAACCCAGTCAGTATTCTGGGGCAGATTCTTCAACGAAGACATGATCAGCCACCAGACTATGAACTTCTTTACGAGAAGGCGAAGGGAAATGAAAGGGAATTTAAAATACAGGTGACTGTCAGTCAACACAAGGCTACTGGATGTGGTTCAAACAAGAAGGAAGCTAAGAAAAAGGCTGCTGAAGCCATGTTACAACTGATTGGATTTCGCTCTCCTGAAGGACAATCAACTGCTGCAAGTACTCAGGTATGTAATTGAGACAATCTTTGACCCTTTCACTCCTGTTAGTGACCAAGACAGAATTTCTCCTTACAGTATCAATATAATATCAAGCAGACAAGTTATAGGAATAAAGAAAACATAAATTAGGGGACAATCAGTTCATCCAATACCAAATTCTCCAAACCAACTTGATAAGAATTGTATTGAGGACAGTAAGGAGAATTACTGATGAGATCTTGAGAGTGTGAGGGTTACTTCTAGAAGGGATCAACACGTAACTTCTCCCCATGAAATTTATACATTATCCACTAAATCGTTAATGAGTATACTCAACCTTATCAGGTAGAAATTGTTATCTTGATCTAACACTAAATTCTTGCAACTAATTTACAAGGAAATACCTTGCAGCTAGATGAGAGAATTAGTAATCAGATCTTTGGAGTCAAAGGGTTAATCAGATAAATAATTGCAAGTGTTTGAGCAATAATTGGGAAAAAAACTGAGAAGTTTAGTATCTTATTCTTGAGATCATTAAAGTTCTTAACCCTTTACTTTCTTACATCATTATCTATATTCTCCATACTGTTCTCTTTACATTCCCTATAGTAATGACAAAGAGAATTTGTTTGTCAATCCAGAGCTTCTTAAATTGATGATCATTTCCTTTATTCTCATGACCTCAATATTTGATTTAAGGGATGATCCAGTGAGGAGATATTAGAAAATAGTCACTCTTAAGGGTTAATGGCTTTTTGCATCAGTGCATGTCTGATGTGAGACATAAGACTCCTTGTATCTTTTTTAGGGAGATAAGGCTGTGAAAACAGAAAGGAGTGACACAGACCAGAAGGCTTCTGTAAATTCTAATGGAACAAACACAGAACTACCCACCATACTTGGTCGACAGCTGAAGCCTGGACTACTCCCAATGGTTCCAGAGCTAGCCAAGCAAACTCGATCAGATATGATGAACTCTGTTGTTGCACCCATTGCTCAAGTCAAGCAGGAACCACAGGTATGGACAAGAAATGTTATTTCCTATCTCTCAAATAAATAAATTCTGTATTGCCTGGGATCTATTTAACAAATAGATTCCAAGTTGCTGTGCAGCTGTTCAGTAATAGATCACAGATGATGTCAAAATGTGGTAAGAACAAAAAAGTGGCACACAAGGCGCAGTTGAGTGTGTCACTGATGTTCTATCCACATTTTGACATCCTCTGTGATCTATTACTGAACAGATGCACGGCAACTTGGCAGGGCTCGAAATTAAAGCTCGCAAACTGGCAAAATGCGAGTGATTTTGTTAATCTGCGAGTGAGAAAAATTTCCACTAGCAAACGTTTGTTAGTTAGAATCATCTATGTCTCCCAAACATGCAGTAGAGAGGTGGTGGTTGTCAGGACAACGACAAAGGAGACCAAACATTTACCACCTTTTTTATAAAACTTTTCAGCTCATTAATAGCCTGTGCGAAATATCAATTCTAATCTTTTTATCAGATATGGTCATTGACATTTCAAAAGGAAATAATTTGCTAGTGGTCTCACCAGTTTGCGAGTGGAAAAAAATCTTACCAGCAAAACTTTGCTAGTCAACCAAAAAGTTAACTTCGAGCCCTGCTTGGAATCTATTTGTTGTATGTAATAAAGAATTAAAAAAGGTTTTAATGATGATGTCATCTATACGTCTATCCTCTGATAGATCATAAGTGAGAACCAATCAGAATGCATGTATAACTGAGCTTATTATATAATTAGTAATAGATCATACATAGATTATGTCAAAATGTGATGAGACGAAAAAAGTGACACTTAAAATGCTGTGGAGTGTGTCACTGATGATCTGACACTTTTTGGCATCTTCTGTAATCTATTTCTGTGAAGACTCATGGCAACATTGAACATATTTGTTTTATATGATAAAAAGTGAAATGGTATAATGGTGAGGTCATCTGTGCATCTTTCCTCCAATGCACCATGAGTAAGAACCAGTCAGAAGGGCATATATAATTCAGCTTGCCATATGATATATAATTGATAACAGTTTTACTCGACAATTAGATTGCCCAACCAGCAATTCTTGTCTAACTCTGTGATTCTGATGTTTAGTGCACTATTTTTGCTTATCAGGAGCCTACTGTTCAAGGTGGACTAAATCGGGCTCCTGGAGCACCCGTGGTAAAGACTACACCAGGAAAACCTCCTACACCTGTTCAGAAGCTGTTACATTTGGCTGACGTTGAAGGACTTAGAGTACAATTTACCGATTACCCCAAGGTTAGTACCTTCTTTTTAAACATTAGTGATGACATGTTTCTTCCCTTAATCCTTACATTCTTGGCCATTGCCCTCCCTCCACCCCACTTTGTGTGGAGGAAAGGAGGAATCATGTGCTCAGTTCCTTCTTGCCACTGAAAGTGTTACTAAGCTCTAGCACGACTGAGCCTCTGGCTTTCAAGCTAATGTAATCATTTTTCTCTTTAGGAAAGAGAATTTCTCACTGTTATCACTGTGTCATCTATTCCTCCCCTCACTTGCTATGGATCAGGAAAAACTGTTGAAGTTTCACGGGAAGAAGCTGCGAATAATGCTTTAAAACCACTGCTACAGTTACAAGGTATGGCTTGGGTGCATTTGTTCTACTTTAATTCTTCTGATTTCTTCTGGCTGTGCAAGCTTGTAGCCAGCAAATTAGGCTGTCACCTGAAATTTCAAGTGAGGCAGCTTAAAGGTAGAATTTGATATTGTAAGGATTATGAGTGTGTAACCTCAGAGATGCCTGTGTTGTGCTAAGCAATTGCCAGCCAAAAGATATAGCCGAAGATTGCCTCTTTTTCATCTGGCAAACTTTGCTGGCAGCTGGTGCTCAGCAACAACTGTAACTTTGTAAATTAATATTGTTATGGAGTAATGCAGGGTTTCTTCATCAACTCGCTTTCGTAGGAAGTATCAAAACCCAACCACCAGCCACTAAGGACATCAACACAAGTGATGAACCAAGAGAACACCAAGTAAAGAAAGATTAAACATTTGGCTGAAGTTTCAGGAAAGTTAATGATGGATAGTACAAATGACCCATGACAAAGGATTGTTTGATCCTAGTAAATTATCAAGTAGATTTTAGTGTGCTCACTTAAGATAAAAAATAAGTAAAAATATTTTTTTTAATGTTCATGGATTCACCAAATTTATGCACAACAGAATGAAAGAATTGGTCACCCTTTGGGTTTTACATATGCTTGCAATTGATAGACATGAAGAAGTTGGTAATGTTGTTTCATTTATATATTAAATAATTAATCTTTTCCTTGATTAAGAGGGTTGATACATGATCTTTGGGGTATTCATTGGTTTTGCCTTGCCACATAGTGCTACAGCGTAAGGCACAATGGTAATGGTAATTTTTGCTAGTTAGTTTGATAGACTAACTTTTGCTGTTTTAAGACATATCTTAAAACAATGATTCTTAGGTAAAATGTTCCAAGCTTGCTGATTGCATGGACAAACTGTGCAAGGCATATTTTGCCTTTCTAATTGGCACTAGAGCTAGAGTGGTAAATAACTTGTTTATTTTTTCTGTTAGTTTTCTTTTTCTGCTTTGCCTTAAATGTTATGGAAATAATTACAGATCATGGTCCATATTGTAAAAGGGTGGACCAGTAGCAAGCATGTAATTAGCCAATCAGATTTGAGGATTCAAGATTCCAGGTTAGGGAGATGCTTCTGAAAAAAAAATTAGAGGGTAATCTGAGTCCCTCATGAAAATTCATCATTTTTTTTTTCTGATATTGTAGTCTACATCACGGGCACATGCCCTTGCTTAGGACAAAAGTCAAAAGAGTATTTGTCACACAAATGAAAGACACTCGAGTAATGAAAAAAGAAGACTTTCCAATGGTGATAAGTAGGTCGCTTTCCTGCCTTGAAAGTAACTTTTCTTGCACATATTTTCCATATTGGGCAAAGTCCAAGACAACCTGTGTTTTAGTGTATTTCCAAAGGGGTTGGATTGTAGAATTTTTTCATCACTATGTAAAGCCCTTTATTTAAATGGTGACAACTTTATCTTGAAAACACATTATTGGCGACCAGTTAATTTATTCTGAGAGTATGTGTATTTGGTGTCGTTTTTGTATTTTGGAGATAAAAGAAAAGTTTGAAATGAAGATGAATTGGTGCTAAAGAGACAGAGCTGTATGGACCTCGTGATCAGCACTACATGAATTTTTTATTAGATTAGGTACAATGGAGAGGGTTTTTAAAGGGAAGTATGGTTACAGGAGAGTAGTCTAAAGTAATGGGGGAATATCCCCTAAGTCCGAATATGACGTCAAAATTTTGTTTAAGAGTTATGGACAATAGCTGGAGAATTAGTAGATCTCTGATGCATCCCAACATCAGTATGTAAGTTCTCCTTACTTTTCTCTACACATTTTCCATGGCACTTGAAGGAGAATTTGTCTAACAATCAAGAGCTTCTTGAGTTTGTGATCATTTCCTTTATTCTCCCAACCTTAATTCTGTTTGATCCAGGGGTGATACTATTGGAAGAAATTAGATGCTTATCCCTCTGGGGGGTTTTGAAAGGGTTGACTAATTAATAACTTGAATGGGTTTGTGTATAATCTGAACAAAGAGATAGTGGTTAGGGCCCCCTTATACTCACTATTAAGGAGTTTAAGATATCACAATGGTGATATGTGGTAAAATATTGCCAAAAAAGTCATTTATTTTCCTCTAAGTTTTTTGCCAACAGCTTGATGCATTCAGTGTTTCTGACAGTACGTCAGCTTCCCTTCAGTATAACGTGTGAATGTTGTGTTGAGTTCAAAGTGAAAACATGATGAAATTGCTGTCAAGGTTTCCTTGCCAAGATGGTGTGAAAGTTGGCAATTTCACATTTTAGTTCTGTATGGGAGGGCCAAGAAATGTACAAAGTTTTTGAACACATGTGTTTTGCCATTGGTTTGCTCATTAGATCTTTAGTTTGGCCACAATCTTGTTGCTGTCGCTGTTGTGGTTTTCTTACACTCCCTAATTACTCACTATCTGAGAACTTTGCAGAGTAATCTTACAGAGATCACAAACTCCAGGAATGAAGCAGTGTGTTTTATTGTGTGCAATTTAGATTGTTCAGATATATGGTGAAGCTACATGCATAAGATAAATCGAAGTTTTAAGTCCATAATTTATAAAAAAAAATCAAACCAAAATATTGTTATTTAATGGGATATTGTTTGAAAGGGAGATGTTTGTTAAAGTTTATGTTTTATGGGAAACAAGGGTATTGCGTGATATTTGTGCGCCAGAGTACCACAAATATTACAGTTGTCCTTGTTTTTGCTTCTTGACTGAAGTGAAGTCTAATTGGCAATCCTAGCATTGCTTACCTAGGCTTCAAAGGTGTGTCTAAAAAATTTATTATTTATTACAAGAGTAGCCATTTTTAGTATCAGTTGTTTCACTAACTTCCATTAATGAGCAATCATTCCATAATTGGAGCTAAGATTGCTTTGTACCTTAAATCCTGCCTGGCTTATTGCCAACTGAGAGAAAGCCAACCCATTCACTCTTTTACTCCTTGAAATAATTTGAATAGAATTTCTCTCTACAACTTAAAAGCCCTGTAGATGAAACAGGTAATAAGAAGTAAGAACATTGTTGTGAAAGGATGTACAAGTATTCTTAATAAATAGCTGTAGAAAGAACTGTAGTGTCATTGTGTGGTTGTAATTGTTTCCATATCCTGGGAGTTCAAGGGTTAAAGCTAATTTATTACTGTGTAGAATAGTTCTGGGAAAGTGTGGGTACAGTTTCTTTTATGTAATTGTTATGTAAAGGTTAGTAAACATCATTAAATGTTGAGCTTTGTTTTATTGTTCTTTCTCTTATCTAATTTTGTGAGTGATGCTGGTATCCCTGTGGCACAGTGATTAATCCTTTAAATCCCAAGATCTGGTTGCTAATTCTCCCCTCTAGCTACTACATGTATCATTATAAATTAGGTATGAGAATTTGGTGTTAGATCATGAGGACAACCTTGCCTGACAAGTTTAAGTATTCTCATAACCTGTTTGTGAGATAATGTATGGATATTATGGGGAGAAGTTGTCAAGAGAGACATGTCAATCACTTCTGGGAGTTGGAAGGGTTAATAACAATTTGAAGCTATTTGTGACCTATTTGACAGATAGATTCTATGATGCCATGCATCTGTTTAGTAATATATCACAGATGATGTCAAAATGTGGTGAGAACAAAAAAGTAATGTCCCAGATGCAGCTAAGTGTATCACTAATGTTCTTAGACATCTCCTGCAAGACTCACAACAACGAGGAATCTATTCTATAAATAGTTAAGGAGCAAATTCATTGTTATCAGTAATAGTCACATCATCTAAATGTGTCTATCTTGCCAATCACACAATTGATAGTTCCTTTTTCAATAAGCCAACCTAGGTTAAGTGCTTGATATGTTTGACAAGGATGAAACATTGCAAGTTAGAGAGAGACAGGTTCCTTGCTGTGGAATACCAGCTTGTGTTTGTTGAGTTTGCATCTTGCACAAGTTGCAGCCAATTTTCACTTGCTATTGTGAACACTGATTGTCTTCCTACTTTTGAGAATGAATTTTACATTTAAAACTTATTATCTTCATTAGTCAACATGATTAAACTGGAGTTGAGAAACATATCTTAGTAACTTTTTCACAATTTGACAAATAAGTTAAATTAGGCATGACTTGAAAAATAATTTGGATAAAAGTCAAAAAGTATCAAATAACTATCACACTTAGAATGAAGAAAATGACAGACATTTACTTTGGAAAACGATTGAAAAAACTTGTAATTGAATTCAGAGTGAATAGAGGTGAAGTTAAGTGAATCAATTTTATTAATAAGAGATGATGAGTTCAAACAATGATGATAATATTGATAAAGTTAATACTAACATCATTATTATATTAATATGCGCATATTACATTGGATGAAGAGTCAGGTTAGGTACAATTTTTTTACTGAAGATCAAACTGTACAGTCAAGTAAGTTTTAAAAATTCTCCTCAAAGGTAGGAAAATGTTTCAGTGCCACACCCCACAGGGGTACATGTAGTTTGTTGCCTATAATATATTAGTCAGAGTTCAGATGCCCAGCTGATGTCATACTTTTTGTTCCTTCCATGTCATTTTGATGTCAACTCTAAGCTGTAACTGTACAATTACTCATCATCATCAAAATTATATCTACAGCAGCTGCTAATTAATTGACAATCATTACCGACCCACAATAAATATCCACCATTACTCAGCCCCAAACAGAAACCAAAAAATTAGTTTTAATTACTTCTTTCAATATACCAAAATTATATGGTCAAAACTTAACTCCTGATGCATGATTTTGTCTTATTGACAGCTCAGAAGTAAATAGTGCTTGCTACTCACTTCCAAATTAACCAATCAGCAAATGCAAAAAGCACTATTCAACTGCGTGGTTTATACTGAAATGAAAATGAAGAAATGTAAAATGGTTTCCGTGTTTACATAGCCTGATGTAAACACGCGGGAGGTTGGGAGAACATGAGATAAGCATAAGAAACCATGACACGAAGCAGAGTGGTTTCCAGCTTATCAAGTGTTCTCCCAACTTCCCAAGTGTTTACATCAGGCTAAGTAAACACGGAAACCATTTTACATTTCTTTTATAAAATAACTAATGAAAGAGGAATGAAAACCGTGTTTACATATGCTCATGTAAAATGGTTTTATGGCCAATCAGAGCGCACGTACTATTTGAATTATTTTATAATATAAAATGTTGAATTTTGAGAGCGAAAGATTTTGTGCCCTTCAAGTGATTCAATAACTGTGTATGGAGTATAATACTTTTAGGTGACTCAACAATTGTGTAACCAGGAAGCATATATATTTTTCAATTCTGATTTAAGGGAGTTGCCTGTTTATTGTATCTAAACATTGGTTGTCCTTGCAAAATCTTTGCTAGGAAGTGGTTTTTCTTGCCCAGAATCTGAAACTGTAATAAACTGTGCAACAGGAATCAACTCTGTTTCAGGCATTTTTTTGGTGTGTCCATCAACAATCGTTATTTGTGATGAAGCAGACTCTCGATTCAAACCCTCATTCGACTGACTCTGGGATGGCAGTTTGTAAAATTTCCATGCAAAGTAGAAAGCTACTGCAGATAAAAGCTTGAAACCACCACCAACAGCTAACATCAGATACCTAGCAAGAAATGGAATATTCTTTCAGTTGTGAAATGAGAGGCAATGTGCATTTTCCATCTTGTCAGTTACCTGCACACAATTTAAGAGTGACTTAAGAAAATGATTTTAACCCTTCTGCTTTCAAGATCTCATTAGTAATTCTTCCTGCTGTCTTCCATACAATTCTTATGATGTCAGTTCTGAGAATTTAGTGCTGGATCAAATGATATCCCTCATTGATATTTTCTTTATTCTCATCACTAGTCTGTTTGATGTTGTACTGATATTGTGAGGAGAAATTCTGTGTTGATCACTCATGGAAGTTAAAGGGTTGACTCAATAAAAATCGATACTAAGATGGAGAGAAAAGAGAAGTAGCCCTTTTTTATGTTCTGCCCAGATTCCATACCCCAATCCTCCTATATAAATTTGAACAGAATGGTTTCCCTTTCCATGCATCTTTCATAGGAGACTTTGCTTTCTTCATACTAAATGTTTCATTTTTTAGCAATCCAATTCCCTTCTGGCCCCCTCCGAAAAAAAGATTGCAGGAATCTGAATTCTCCCTTAAAAAAGATTAAATCTGAAGGATTGATCCTTTTTCCAATGACTTTGAGGAAAATGTCTGAAGAATCTAAACTTTGAAGGTTTTATAGAGGAAAAAAAATGGAGCTGTCATTATGAAAACCCATCATTCTGACAAGAAAGGGGGGGGGAAGGGGAGAGCTAGGGTGGGGTAAGTTTGACTGTATTCTGGTGTAAACCAACCTGAACAAATCAGTGTCATATTCCAAACAGTTCCTCTTAGCCCCAGGATCACAAGGGTCCTCTTGATGCAGTTTACATGCAGCATCAATCACATATCCAAACACAATTGGGGCAGGAATAAAGGCCAAAATACGGACAATAAGCTGGTTTATGCCCAGAGCAAATGATCCCTGGCTTTCTGAAACACATCTAAGGGCAAGGAAAATACATCTTAAAATCATAACTCATTTATGACAAACAACATAAAGAGAATGGATCTTTATCAATTTCATAATTTAGTTTCAATAATGCAACAAAATTAAAGTTTACACCTAATCAAAATCATTTTTGAAACTTATGCTAAAGGAAGAAATTTGAAAAATTCTTGCATTCTTCTTATTTTCTGTCTCAGAGAACACAGTGCATTCTGAATGGTCAAATTATTGACTAACTGACTGAGTTGAAACACAAAAATAAATTAGTTAAATGAAAGTGTTTGATGATACTGTGGGATTAAAAGTGGCAATTTGAAAAATAAATTTTTGCTCGAGAGTTTTGTGGCTTTCCAAACTGCCTAGATGTTTGGAAAGGCTGCAAACTGTCAAATATGCTTAAATATAGTAAATGATTGAGCGATTGATTGATTGACTGATCGACTGATTGACTGATTGACTGATTGACTGACTGACTGACTGACTGACTGACTGACTGACTGACTGACTGATTGACTGACTGACTGACTGACTGATTGAATGACTTCTACTGACAGAGCTCAAGAAGTGCATTTGCATTTCCACCATGAGAATCTTAAGAAATTGTTTTACTAGAAATAAACATCTCAGCCTGTACCCCAAGAGGAGACCCCCCCCCCCCTCCCTTCCTCGACTGTCTAACTACAATCTATTTCTTTAAAAATCACAAATTGTACCTGAGAGTTGCTGTAGTTGCTGGGATGTTGTTTGAAAATGTAAAAACCATGAGACCAAAAAGGCAGAAAAGGAAGGGAGCAAGGTTATTGCATTCTGGTTGACATCCACTGCCTTCAATTCCCTCATTTGATTGCGTCACAAAACAGCTACAGTTCTGATAACCCTGCATGTAAAAAAAAAAAAAAATTATTATTCATCAAATTTCATTGCAATTAGTTTTTGTCACTATCTTGTCACAGCTTGTAAAATGGGAGAGTTTCTTAGCAAACTGCAATTGGAAAATTATCCCGTTACTGTGAAGTTTTCACTGGCTGAAATACATTCAGGACATTGCTGTACATTTCTGTAATCTCTCAGTTAGTATGTGCAATATGATTGGTCAATTTAGTGTGCCCTCATTTCATAACACAGTTTGTTTGAACTGAAATCTACCTCCTCTAATTGAACCCAGAGTTAAAACAAATATCTCAATAACCTCGTTTTCGTGGTCTGTACCATAAGTTTCAAAATCTCTTTTAATCCTGCTTGGATAAATGGTCGTCATGAAGTCTGAGCCACAAAAACTATGTTGACTCCATAGCTTACAGCACATCAGAATACATTTTCTTCATACTGTTCTCTATACATTTCCTATAGTACTGACAAGGAGAATTTGTTTAACAATCAAGAGCTTCTTTAGTTGGTGATCATTTCTTCTATTCTCATGACCTCAAGGTTTGTTTTAGGGGTGATTCCAAGAGGAGAAATTAATTGCTAATCACTTGGAGGTTTAAAGGTTAATCAAAGAAATCCCTGTACAACACTTACTTTGTTGCCTAATCTGTCATCTGCCTTACAGCCAGCGTAACAAGGAGAGTAAAATGTTCGCTGATCTTGTTTGGAACAAACAGGTGAAAAGTACTTAACGTCACAGTTACATGCAGCATTACAGGAAGAAGTAATATTGATAAGTGATGACCTAGGACTGATACATAAGGAAATGTTTAAAACACATTTCACGCAAAACCATATACAGTTTAGCCTCGATTATCTGCTCCTATTTGGTAGAGGGAGCTTATTAACTCTTTACACCCTAACATCAATATTCATACTCTCCATACTGTTGTCTGTACATTTACTAAGGTGCTGACAAGGAGAATTTGTCTAACAATCAAGAGTTCCTTCAGTTGGTGATCATTTACTTTATTCTCATGACATTAATGTGTGATTCAGTGGTGATATTGTATGGAGAAATTAGATGCTAGTCACTCTTAGAGGTTAAAGGGTTAAAGCATGGGCATTTATTTGAGAAAATACAATTTTTTCCCAATAGCCTACTAGTGGACAGACCCACACACACTTTCTACAGGGGGAGTTAATCTCAAACCTGCACAGCAATCTCTTAGTGTTTGAAACAAGAGAGTACACCATGATAAGAAGAGAAAGACACTTAAGAGCAGACAAATTCCAGGTTATCAATACCTGTTAATGTATGGATCTGTTACACCCACAAATACTCTGTTGGGACACCCAAAGAACAGTCCTGCTGCCCAGAGTGTTGCTAAGCAGGCAATAACAAAACAAGCTCTAATAGTCTTGTCACAAGTCCATTTCATTCTTTTTACAAGATAACCTCCAAAGAGCATGCCTCCACACCCTCCTGGTACCACCACTAGGCCAGTGTATGTGCTTGCCAGGCCAGCTGAGATACGAAACTGCGCCTCAACAAATTTGGGTAAAAATGTAGAAAAACCGCCCACAGCAAATCCCTCAAATGCTGAGGCAAGAGAAAGAAATACAAAAGGCTTGTTCGTAAGAAGTGACTTAAGTGAGGGAAGTAGCTGCTTCAGCGTATGTGGCATGTTGTCATCCTCCACAGTATCTGAAAATCTCTGTTTTTCAGCCCGGATTTGTGGTGTTCCTGGAAGCTCTCTTGGAAATGCAAGCAAAGGAAGACTGACTATGATGGACAGTGAGCCACCAAGGATGTACCCCATCCACCATGCCCCAATAAAGTTTGAATCCTCAGGTGTAAGACTTACACCCTCTGGCTGAAATTTGAGAAACATGAACAGCATTAACCCTTGACATCCACACATCAGTATATATATTCTCCTCACTGTTCTCTATATATCCCCTAAGGTGAAGAAAAAGAGAATTTGTTTAACAGTCAAGAGCCTCTTTAATAGGTGATCATTTCCTTTATTCTCGTGACCTTATTGTTTGATTCCAGGGTGATATGGTAAGGAGAAATTAGATGCTAGTCACTGTTAGGGATCAAAGTGTTTATTGTAAGTGATACAATATTTTAATTAACAACTTTTTCATAATCCTATGTTCTGATCATAGATATAAACTTGCATGACCATTAACACTCTTTATAGAGAGCTCTATTTTTGTAACAGATTGCCTGTGTTGTTCCAGCCTGAAGCCAGCATACAGCCAGCCTACATTTAAGTTTTACTTGTCTGCAAACAAGACAAAAAAATGTTCTTGGGAGAAGGAGGTGTTTTGCCCACTGACCCACCCTACAACTACTCAGAGCTCACTTAATTTGTAGATCATCCAGATTACTCCATAATCAAATCTGAATTATGTAAGGAAATTTACAGATCTTTTGACAGGAATAAGGTTCAGAATTCATTGAGCATGCTGCACCTGCCTATAAAATTTTGAAGGAGTACTCTATTCGGTTTTCCTGGGTAGCTTCCCATGAGGTAAATGTCACTTATCTACCAGAAATTCTGATCCAAACTCTAAAAGAAGACATCATTACCATAATACCTGCTTGATATCAACATATATCCTGAGAAATTCTCCTCCAAGCAGAAACCCCACAGCAGGACCAAACGTTGCCACAGCGTACATAATTCCAAGAAACAATCCCGACGTGGTGCGGCGGACATTCTCATCGATGAATGCAGTCCCCAAAATATACACGGGGGTAGCTCCGATTCCGATAAAAAACTCCGCGAGCACAAAGACAAATATGTGATACCAGACTGAACTTCTACAGATCAAGTTTGACGGAAGGGAATCCGTAGAACAAAGATTTGTCGCACTAGAACCTGGCTCGTATCGGCCAACGAGAACATGTGGGAGAGCGAATAAGAAGCATCCAATTCCTAAAATGAATGCTCCAATGCCGAGCCACTTCGGTTTATGGTGATGGCCGTAGTAACTCACTAAGATGGCCATGATTGCGGCAGAAATGTCGTAACAACTGACGATAACTCCAATTTCGTTTGTCTTTAACGAGAAACGTCTCTCCAGTGAGGAAATTACAACTCCCTGAAACCCTGAAACGATCATGCCTTGTGCTAGGACGAACCAACATTGGAACAGCAGAAACCATTTCGCCTTGGCAAAACGCTGAAGAAAGCTTGGTCTCCAGGAGACTAATCCGCATGTCGGGCTTTCTATATCGCCTTCGTTTTCGAACCTTTGATGTATCTGTAAGCTTCCATCGGTAGTGGTTTCTTCTCCCATTATTTCAAACACTTACAAGGCACGTTTTCGCGAATCAAGATCCTATTTCACAGAAGTCTTCAACTCTGCTGATTACTCTCTGTGTAAACATGTCAACTGTTTCTAACGAAAAAAACAACAAAGAAAGTATCTGTAACTGACAATCGTAACTGACAATCTTATGCAGATCATCATATGCATGTGCATTTTTACGTTACTTAAATCAGCGATTATACTTCTGAGATATTTGTCAACTCATTTTGAGACAACTGTGTTTTGTTTTCGTAGAATTGCCAGCAGCGATAATTAAGATGACAATTAATGCAAAATGATATTTTTAATTAAGGAAATGGCAGCACAATATATAGAATCTAATTAGTTTTACGACTTTTAGTCATAACTGGTCACAAGAACATTTAAATTAGGTGAAAGAACAGTGTACACGGCAGTGTAATTTACTAGAAATTCGTATGAAAGTTACTCAGAAGCAAGTAGGTTTAGCAGATTATTACAAATCATAAATTAGGTATATGTAAAACAAAAGATACAACCTACACAAAACAAAGTTCGATTAGAGCCTTAAACCTTAGCACAGGCTGTTCTAACCAACGAGTTTAACACGCAAAAACCAGACTGAATTCGCTAAACTAGGTCACCTGGTTTTCAGTTGCAAAATTGTGCGCCCACAGTTTTCGTGCCGGTTTACGTAACCTCCAGTTAAACGATCACGTAACGCTTTCGACAAGATGTTAAAGAAAGGTCTACTTTATCATTTGAAGTGAATCCTGTTTCTTCCAATACAGCATAAGAAGTGACAGTTAACTGTTCACCAAGGAAGATTCAATCAGCGACTTTGAGCACATCTCAGTTGGGGTTGAAATGTGATCATACAAGCGTGACATGACATGACAATTTTTCTTCAAACGTGACAATTCCTTCCTTTGTGATGTTTTGCAATTCACTTCAGTTAGGACGTCATACAAATTTGCTAAAGAACAATTACGCGGATATGAAATCCTTTTTAATAAAGGAGGGATAAATGTTTCCTGAAATAGCGAGAGAGAACAACATATTAAAAGGGGAAAAAAATGGAGGCGGGGCGCGGGCGGAGACTGGGGTAGCGTAAAAAAGTCAAGAAAGTCATGAAAAACTTGTAGAAAATCGCTCGAGACAAAATGAAAGATTTTTGCGTCTAAATCAGAGAAAAAATGTTTAGCTTTTTCAGTTTCGGCACGCTCTGCTTAGCTTGTTTGTTTCTCGTAAGCTAAGAATACTTTCGAATTAATCTTTGGAAAATGAATAAAAATTTTCGTTTTCTTATTGAGAGATGTGACCTAAATTTTAAGTTCAACTGCTATTTTTCGTATTTCATGATCTGTTATCTATAACCAATGCAACACAGAAAAATACATATTCCTATCAGAGATATTCCGAACGACAATTAGTAACGACAATTTGGATTGCTTACTTCATCCGTTATCTGTCACTCTGTGTTATCAGCAAGGTTTCAGGAATAAAATTGATACCTCAATTTATATCTATATTATTTGATTCGTGAGTTTGATTTTTTCCCGACAGCAAATCAATTCAAAATAGGATCAAATAAATCCTACCCATGGATGTAATAATTCTGGAGAACGCAATAAACGAAATACCTCAATTCTGCATTCGTAAACCTTTCATAGAACGCTTCAACAAAATATCTCAATAGTCTCCTGCTCTCACTTTCTTATGTGTTTTCAGAGACCACATCGTCATCGTTTTGACGACTTTGTATCCTCTAGCGATTTCTCTGGCGTAAGCCAATCAGCTCATTAGATTCTCAAAGCTAGAGGTGTACATGTTTCCAAAATTTTGCACATTTTTGCGTTAACAAAGCATCTCATTACATGGAGGTAAGCTTCCAAATAAATTGATAATGTAAATTGGCTATCATAGAGAGTTTAGATGGTGTTAGCTCTCCGCTTCATCAGACAACGTTCTTAGAGAAAAACAATTGCGTTGTCAACAACTCCTTACCCATTTTCCATATTGACTTTTGATGCTCGTAGTCAAGGACAACATTTACAAGACTGGACAGCCGACAAATCAAGCGTAGACTACAGGAAAGGACACCGAAATCAATTCCTAAAATCAAAGCGGAACCGGAAATTCGTTTGAAGGGTGTGGTCCAGTACACTTAAGTATGACTTACATTTCCTTCCCAACATTTTCAAAGCGTTGAAAGAAGCTCCGTCTAATCCTTTTATTTTCTGCGCTTAATGAAGGACAATGGAAAAGAGGACGTTTGATTCGGACGTTTTATCGTTGTTGTCTACAGACAAGCTCATACGTCACGAAACGCACGTACTTCAAGGAGGAAAAGAGTGAATCAGCTTGATCCTTGCTCGCTCTCGCGCGAGCGGAGGCTCGAGATTACGCCCACTTATCAGAGCGCCTGCTCTATTTGGTAACCTGAAGCACGAAAAGAAACCCTTAGGTGCCATCATCTATTTGAAAAGTCGATCCCAGGCTCTAAGCGAAAATAGCTGGCTGAAAGGGCCAGGGCACTAGTGCTTAGTCCTTAATGGATATTTATCTCGTATATGATTTTTACAACGTTTATCCGGATGTGCTATTTCAGTTTGGAAAATAACCCTTTTGATGTACACAGGTAACTGGGTAATGCCAGTTGTCAAACATCGTTCCTTCAGCTGAGCTGTAATGAAGATCAAAGGTCAGCAGAGATGTGTTTTTAGCTGAGAGCCCAAGGCAAGTGTCAGCGAACTTTAAAAAATCCAGAGAACAATTCCAAGAAGACCGGGGCACCGTGTCGATGCGAACCATTTTTTGCTCAAGATTCCCATTGACGCACCATTCGGGTGAGGTGTCCTCTTTGAAAGACAACCGCACTGGTAACGTTGCCATGGCAACGGTTCCTGTTGACAAAAAAAAAAAATAGAAAATTCATGAATTATTTTAAAGGCACTGGATTCTGCCAAGTTATGATGATAGAAACGTAAAATAAGATTGACTGCCAGCGAGGGAAGATCATCAGAATGCTACAGAGCTTAATGAGTTATGAGGGAATCAGCTGAATTTTGTTGTGATACAAACCAAATCCTCTGATCCCCAAATGACCGGTCCGTAAATGTGAGGGGAACTTACAATATACTGGGAAGTAAATCAAATTTTGTTGGGTAGGTGCCGTTGGTCTTTTAGAACCCCCTACTATGAAAAATCCAGTCGTGAAAATGCGACCCTATCCAGTGGTACATTCAAGTTAACTTATGAAAAGTAAGTATCCCCCCCCCCTCTGGAGATTAGCTCCGGAAGATACGCGAGTCAGTACTTGGGATGCAGACCTTGTAATGACGGATGTATCATACTACGTATCTCGTGAAATACATCTCAAACCTCGTCAAAATAATTCTCTGTTACCCCTGGGATCACCATGGAGGGAGGAGTAAAGTGGGTACTCTCAGAAATAAGCTAAACTTTGAAGCAAGCGTGGAGGAAAATACGTGGTCGCGCCGTATTACAAAGCCCAAAATGAATTTTACCTTTGGTGTAAAATCCGCTCTTGTGAAACCACGTGGAGGCGTGTCCAGACAAAGTAGCGTTGGTGGTGACTGTCTGTCCAATGTGGACACTCAGTTCAACTGGATATGACAAGGACAGTCGAGGTAGGCTGTAAATAACTGTTATATCAAAGGTGAGTCGAATGGCTCCACACAGACGTTGAAGGTAAAACAGAGGAATGCACATCACCTGGTAAAGTAAATGGGCATAACATTAAAGAAACCTTTGTTAGCAAATCTTTGTCGTAAAACCTAAAACAGAATATAGCCCCGGAAGCTAATCAGAGAAATTAAGAGAAAATATCACAAAAGCTTATTAAAACTTGGAGTAAAAACAAGCAAGTCTGAATGGTTTAGAGCAAGTTTCAATTGAGTGTCGAAAAACTTAAACCAAAGCAATAACAACGACTAATCAGAGTGAAGATTTGAATTATCATTAGCCAATCAGAGATCAAAGCGAAAACAACCAAACCGCTTGGCGCGTTGTAAAGCATCTGAATCTAATTGAAAGGATGGCGTGACTTTCCTAGAGCGCTATCACAGCGTGCAGTGAAAGCAAAATCAGTGACTTTTCTGGGCCAATCACTGAGCAAAGTTAAGTAAAACTAACGCAATACCGGATTACTTTCAACGCTCAATTGAAAATTTCTTTATAGGCAAGCGCGGGTGACCGAGTCTCATTTTGTTTGAGAGGATGGCGTGACTTCTCTGGATCAATCACAGCGTGCGTTGAGAACAAAATCACGCAATCCCGAATAACTTTCAAAAGTCAATTGAAATTGCTCTTAGTTTTTTTGACTTACGAAGTCACCGGCATCAACTGTCCATCGACTAGTCTTCTGTTGCCCTTCTCGTGGCAGTTTGCTTCTTAGCGCGCTCAATGTGTGAACTTTACTGAAGGCTGATATACGGTACTGTTTCAATGCGATCTGGTAACTAGTGGTTACAGACCAATCCTCGTCGTTGTCATTATCACTGTCATCATCGTTATCACTGTCATTTTCGTCATTGGCTTTAACGCTGTAATCAATCTCTGCAAGGAAATCGAACCCAAAGATTGATGAGTGAATGACACGTGGAGGTTCTCGGATAGGAGCTGGGGCAGAGGAAGTGATTTCGTCCCAGATCTCATCTAATTCGGGTGTCTTCCGTTCTGTTCGTGATTTCCTGGCAGCTTTTTTGATGATCTGCGATCTTCTTGCTGTGACAGACCTCTTTCGTTTGACTTCGTAACCGATTCCATATGGTGCGTAATTCGGCTGAGGCCAGTATGGCACATTTTCATCGTCATCGTTATCATTTTCGCTATCATCATCATCATCAGTTTCAACACTGTTATCACTAAACTCTTCATCATCGTCATCGTTTTGGTAATCGTTTTCAGCTCCGTCTGATTCATCAGCATTTACAGTACTATACTGTTCAATCTTAATCATTGGAGGAAGTTTTGTTGATCTTCCGTGAGAGTTTCTGCTTAATTTTATCAGCTCTTTTATAACCTCTGAGGGCTTTTTCCGGGGGTTACCCTTCGGCGGTGCAAAATACAATAACACCGATTCCTTAACAGAGGGAAGAGTTAGAAGCTGGTTGAAATCTTTCTCGTTCTCTAAAATTTCCCTCCAATTTTTCCTTTCCGCTTCAGATTCGTCAACCGATTCCACAGTGCTTCGAAAAGACACCTCTAATCCGTGGATGGGTTTACGCGTGTGCCCCGATGTGAAATCAGAGCTTATTGGGAGATAAGCAGAGACAGACACATCACCTCTGTCAACCATCCCAGTTCTCTTGTCAACAACAGTAGTTTCGTCGTATGAAAGCCTCCATGAAGTCGATCTTCCTTTCTCATCAGCTGAAAAGCTTTCAAAGTCGTCTGGTCCAGCCCGGGTCGTTACAATGACTGTATCACGTTTTGTCATGATGGTGCGTTTAAGATGGACAAGCCCGGGTAAAAATACGTTTTTTGTCACTGCAAAATTCGAGGAAGAGCTCGACAGTCTGCTGAGCACAAATTCGTAAAGCTTCACTTTGATTATTGGAAGAAGTTGGTTTAAGACATTATAAACATAAAACGAAAGCTCCTGGTTGGTGTCAAGGTGATTTCCGAACACTTTAAAATGGTTTTCTGGGCCATCCTGAAAATCGACAAGTTCTGCGTTTGAAACGTGGGTAAGAAATGTAAAGTCTTTGGAGCGAGAGTAAGTTTTTGATTCCTTCGGTAAATTAAGAACTACTCCAAACCAACAATCGTCTTCAGTTCTGTTAATGACGTGCATCGAAACAACAATAGACATGTTTGTCGTGGTAGCTTCGTTGCCATTGATCTTGACTTGCTGGTCGAATTTATAAACTCGTACATTGCCTTCTTCCAAGCGAAGATCGACCGTAAAATGTTTCCAGTTCATTAGAAAAACCGTCGTTGCCACAGTTGCAAATAAAAGCATCAAGGCCAGGAGACTAAAGAAGAGCTTGGTACAGAGAGGAGTGTGATCTTTCTGAAAATGGACGTTCGAGAATTCCACTGAATCATTGTCTGTTTGATCAAGCCGACTGTAGGCAAAATCCTTGCGTTTTTTTGAAGATATGAAACCGGAAATTCCGGAACTGAATACTTTTGCTTCGGAAGGATTCATTTTGTGATCGACAAAATATTGGAAGAGCGTCGATCAGATAACAATTATCTTGCTGTTGAATTAATTATTCATGCAGAGAAACTGGTGGTCTCAAAAAGTTTTCTTGGCTGTGTAAACTGACAATATTCTCGTTTCGAAGTATGAAAATAAAAAAGGATCTGAATTAAGTGAAACCAAATAAAATAATTTCACAGAGATAGATATTGACAGACAATGATTGTAAGTGAGTTTGAATTCGTAATTTAGAATTGATCAATGCAATCACCCTCTGACACTGAAGAGTGATTAGGATCAAATTTCTCCTTACAATATATCTCCTGAACCACTCAATGAAGTCACGAGAATAGAGAAAATGATCACCAACTAAAGAAGTTCTAGATTATGAAATAAATTCTCCTTGTAATCGCAAATGTACAGAGAACAGTGTAGAGAAAAGGCATACTGATGTTTTGGTTCAAACGTAACGCAATGACCGTGACGGTAGTGGTGATATTCAGATTTCGAAACGTAAATTCACCATACTATATCCACGAATTTTTGTTCACGTTAGTCATCACTTTTTCTGGGAAGCCTCTCTTTGCCACTCTCAAAGATGCTAAAAATACGTATAAATTTAAGCTCTGAAGCCTCTTGTTGGACTTGTTGAATTAGGAACTACCGGCAAATGATCAATGCAACGTGGATGTTATGACGCAAATCAAAGCCGGGAATTCCCAAATTCGCATCCAAGGCGGTCAAAATCTCAATGAGTAACGGCAAAGAGAAAGTTATTCCCATCTGTTAATCTAAGAAATCTGCGACAAAGTTGTCGAAAATCAGGGATAATATCCTTTCCTCTGGAGCTGTCTTGCGTTGTTTCAGTGGGTCTGTAAGTTACTTACTTTAGAGCAAAGTCCGCCGTATTTTTTGGGGTACCCGGGCTACATCACGTTTTATTTCATTTCTTTATTTTTTTTAAGAGTTACTGAAAATGAAGGGGGTAGTTTCTGAGGTTACAGTACTGACGAGAATTGAAAATGTAGAAACTGTGTCATGTTCACTTACAATGTCAGACAAGAGTAGGTGAGTATTTCAGTTTAACATGCAACAGTACAGCTGCATTCGTTATTTCTCAATAGGTATCCGAGTACGACCGACCTACGACTCCAGATAGCGAGAATTAGTTCACGATTTTTTCTGTTTCCACAGATGTTCTTCTAGAAAGTTACACTTTCTTTAATGGAAAATAACATTCTAGTTTATGTTATCTCTTAGTTCATACTAGGGCTATGACTGGTCAATTTAGTGGGCAGTACTTCACAGTATTCCAAAGGGAGCTTGCATAGTTCGTGTTGTTTAGCAGGCTGGTGTAGAGGAAATGTATCACGAACATAGCTCGAAGAAAGATCCTTCAGAACCAAACGAGTTTCTATCCTCACTGGAGTTCATATATCAAATTTCAAAGCATTAATCATTTCAGTTGCCCACTCAGCTCAGATGAAGTTCAATGACGACCCTGAGCTTCCATAATGGATGTAAAAGACTGGTGAGAGCGAAAGTGAAGGTGAAAAAGCAGACTAATGAATTATAAGGGGAAAAAAAAAATTGTCCTTCCCCTCACCACATTAAAAATTGCTTGCTAAATAGCAGGCATAAAGCAAACACAGACAGTGTATGTACAACAAAACATTTATTTTTCAGCTTTAATCCGAGGATGTTTTTTTCCCTTGCTGTGCTTTAAGGACACGGACAACAATCTTCTGTTCCTCGATAAGGAAAGCCCTGACTATCCTATAAAAAATAAAGGTAAAATCTGATGAGTCAAAAAAATAAAAAAAAAATCCTTCTAAAAACCTTTAACCCCTTAGAGAGTCTAGCATCTAATATCACCCCTGAATCAGACATTAAAGTTGTACAAGAATAAAGAAAATAATCAGCAACTAAAGAACCTTTTGATTGTTAGACAAATTCTCCTTGTCAGCACCTTAGAAAATATATGGAGAACAGTATGAAGAAAATGCATACTGATATTAAAGTGTAAAGGGTTAAAGGATTATTTTCAGGACCTTCCTGAAGTTCCAGATGTGGATATTACTGTTGATGAAAATGTTCAACTTGTAGAACTTGGAGTGGTGTTCAGTGTGGTTGAGTCATTAGGTAAGCTTTTTTTTTTTTTTTTTACTCAAACTTTGACCCTTTAGAGTGTTTAGTATTTAATTTCTCCTTACACTGTCTTTCTTGAATCACCCATTAACATCACAAGATTAAAGTCAATGATCACCAACTGAAATTGCTCTTAATAACGAAACAAATTCCTCTTCTCAGCACAGTAGGAAATGTATAGAGAACAGTATGGAGAATATGCATACTGATATTAAAGTGCAAAGGGTTAAACTGGCAGCAATTGCTAAGTGGTCATGAAAAAGTTCATCATTGGTGTTTAAGATTTTCTGCATATAAAGGTATTTTTTCAAGAGTAATATTTACTCAAAAGTAACCAATTTTTAGGATGTAGCTCTTTCCTTTCATGGAGAAATATATTCTTCTGAGGTGTGGATAACCCTTACCTTTCTCTCACACAACGGGCGCATCGTGAGCCACCATATGCTCTGCTTACAGTTTTTCGGGGCTTAGAGATGTGCATCAGCTTCTTTGGACGGAGAGCTGGCAACTGCATAACAGTTTTGTAAAAATCAATGGAAATTGATGGATGGTTCAATTAAGGTGAGTGCATAGTAGACATTTGCCAGTCACTACAAATACAGGCTTAACATAAAAGCTCTTTTTTAAATTTGAATTTGTTTGATCTGACTCTTAGAAAAAATAAAAAAGGAATTTTTTTATCTACTTGTCAATGTTCATAAAAAGAAATGCTGGCATTGAAAACTAGGTATACCAGTAATCTGTGGTTGTTAATTGCCAAACTCCTGATGTAAAAATGAAGCAACAAGAACTACACACTTCTGTTGGTAAAGCAGTTATCATTTCTTTCTTTTTGTCTAAGATATTACTCCAAGTTGTAGTTTTTCTAAATGATTTCAGGTTGAGGTGATTTTAAAATTTTTTGATTTGTCTTTTTCTTTGTGCAAGGATAGTGGTACCAATTGCAAAGAGGAAAACTAATCAATACAGTATGAAATTGCCTTGACCTGAAACTTAATGTAAACTACAACATCTGCACTCCTCTTTTCTCCAGTTGAAAACATTGTCAAACCAATTCATCAAGTTTGTTTGTCAGGGGTCAATACCAGCATCTGGGGAAACTGCACACCTACCCCTCCCTTAACCATTAACCCACACTTGTTGTCAGTTGATGGTTGTTGGGTTAGGGGAGGGGTGGGTGCACAGTTGATCAGATACTGACATTGATCCTTTGTAAGATATTATTCTCTTAAACCCTTTAACTCCCATTAGTGACCAAGACAGAATTTCTCCTTACAATAAATACAAACAGACCAAATTGATCCAATACCAAATTCTCCAAACTAATATCACAAGAACTGTATGGCAGACAGTAAAGAGAATTACCAAAGAGATCTTGGGAATCAAAGGGTTAACTGGAAATAAAACCCATGTTCATGCTTCTGAGTAACACCCTCTAAATATCTACTCACTCCTTGGAGTTTCTTTGGGCAGCCTCCACATCTTGGAACCTTGCCTGGCTTCTTTGTGTACAAGTAAACCAACTTTCCTCCTAAAAAATAAAATTAATTGAGCATAAATTGGCAAGGATGTGGAGAAACAACAGAACAAAAAATAGTTTGAGAAAAAAAAGAAACAGATGATTGTGTTGTCTGATTGATATCGCCTTGAAAAGGAACGACGGTGGTGTTACAGACGTTTTCAGAACCAAGTGAAATTGATGGGGCATTCTCACCCGGACAATCAGACAACACGATCAAGATGGAACCAAGTATTCTAAAAGCTCTGCAAAATATATAGAGAGCTGTCAGAGAAACAACTCCCCAAACGGATTGACAATGCAGAGAAACGTCAAGAAAACAATACTTTAAAAAACTCTTCAAAATACAGACTTCTCACTTCAGTAGAAAAAATACGACGATCTTTTCGTAATCATCTGAAGACTATGCCACAATTTGCACGAGTTACAAAAGATATAAAGATTCAAAACAAACTTACCAGGAGTCTTGGAGCTGCAGATAGCGAAAAGAGAGAACAAAAAGATAAATTAGAATTATGTTCACTGTTCACTTGAGTTTTAACGGAAGGACAAAATGATCGTAATAAAAGGTAACATTCACTCTTCGCGCAACTCACATCCTTTTCCTGTTGGATTTGGTATTGTAGGAAAGACGACGTCTATAAGTCAGTCGCTGCACCATCTGGAGCGAAAATAACACAAATGGACACACCAAACGTTAATCATTTCAGATCACTTCAAATCAACAACAACGGTGTAAGGATTTTTGAGGATTCAAACGGATTTTGTAAGGTAGACAAATTGTTTTCTACCTTCACTTTGTTGGTGGAGCCGAAGAGAGCGATGTGGAGGTGCGCGATGCATTTTGGGCAAATGGCAATGTGAACATGCGATCATGATGTACATTCGAAGCACGTGTGTGTGTAAACATGTCGAGTGAAGTCTCTATTTTGCCAATTCTCGACGTGGTTTTCTTGCCGCCTTTCCACGCGATCAGTGAAAATTTTACAGATCTTTTGTAGCTAAACGTGTCATTTGTTTTTCAGTTACACCAGCAAAGTATCTTCTCTCGCCTATGCCTCAAAAGTAAGGAACAAGGTATACTACTTCTAAGAGTTAAATTCAGAGGTTTAGAGGAAATTTTATAATTACAAAACGTGTCACCTACCTGTAATTAAAACAGAAAAGGCCTAAGCATTCAAACTACAATGCAGCATGAAACCGAGAAAATGTGTGAGTTCGAAGGCGACAAAGTCTCTAACGAGGAAGAAACGAGAACAGTCAGCATTGATGGAAAGAACTGTCTCGCAGTAATTGCAGAAGCGTATTCTAGCTCAGAGGACGAGACTTATGCAGACACTCGCTTCATTGCAGAAAGCAGTATGGTTGAAGATAGCATTTGCAACAAAATGGACACGAATGACTTCGTGAATGTTGGTGTTAATCTAGGTTCTGTTAGAGAGGAGAGTACAGCTTTGGAAGAACAAAACAACAGCTTAAATAGGGTTAGCTCGCCTGGGACTGCGCCTCAAAGTAAACTTACCGTAGGGCCTAAAAGTGATGCTTTTATGCTCTCAGAACCTGGGAGTGATGGATGCGCTCTTGGTTTAAAGGAAAGTGATAGTCAGTTAGTTTTGAAGGTTCTGTCTAACAAGGACTACGTCATTGCACCAAGTGGTGATGATAGTATTCCCTTATATCCTAAAAAAGACGACCATGCATTACCACAACCTAAAAGGTGTGAACACATCCTTAAAATAAAACCTAAGGATAATGAATGCACAGTAGATGAGTCTATTGACAGGAGACACACATCTGTTGAGGAACAGGATGGTGGACAGAGCTTTTTAATGAGTAATGATGTTCCATCTGTAGTAACAGAGAGTGGTGAGCAAACAGTTGCAGAGCCAGATGACATGAGAGACGTAGATACTCCTGAAGAGTCCCAAAGAGATCAATACAGAATTGTAGAGTTAGAGCAACATGGTCATTTTGCAACAAACCATGATGGAAATACTTGTCATCAGGTTTACACTATGAGTAGTATTGACAAAGAACTTGAGATTATCTGTGAGGCTGGGAGTAATGTGCAGACAAAAGAACATGCACAGGATCCAACTGCAGTTCACTCTTCGTCTAGTGATAGTTCCTCAGATGAAGAAAGCTCATCAAGTGAAAGCTCTGAATCCAGCTCTGAGTAAGTGATTGAAATAGTTTCTTTTTTGAGGTGTTACAACCACATGCATTCACTAAATTGTTTTGATGATGTCTTGTATTGAATAGTTATCTTTTTAGATTTAGGTATATACCAACCTTAATTAGAAAAGCATTTTGATTGGTTCTTCCCTATGATCTATTAGGCGGCAGATGCCTACATGATGTTGTCATCAAAAGCATTTTACTTTTTTATCATTTAAAACATTGGACAAATTGTAACAAATTGATTCAATGTTGCTGTGGGTCTGTGCTGTAACAGATCACAGGAGATGTAAAAATGTGGAAAGAACATTAATTACCCACTCAACTGTGCCTTGTGTGCAATGTTTTTGTTCTTACCACATATTTGCTACATCTGTGATTTATCACTGAACAGACACAATTGGCAACATGGGATCTATGCATTAATTAGTTGATAATGGTTTTTCTAAATAAATTTCAAGTGATGATCTGGAAGACATCAGAAAAGAGATTGAAAAAGAGGAGGATCGTACCTATGTAGGGCCACTGAAAACAAGAAGTGAACTGTCAGTGAAGGTACCTGTGCTTAATTTTTTTTTTGTTGAGGACTGGGCTCCTGGCTCAACTCTTTTAATGTCAGAAATTAAGTTTTTTCTGCCAGGAAAAAAGAAAATTAAAAAGACGGGGAGAAAATAAATTCAGAGAGATTTCTTATACAATATTACATGTTTTATGCAAATGCCATTCTTTATCAACATGAAATTTCTTCTCATAATATCAAAACATCATCCAGTAAAACAGTGATAAGAATAGATGAGCTTATCAGCTGGAGAGTATAACATTGATCTCAGACCCTATTCTCCAAACTAAGTCAAAGGAAGTTTGTAACAGCTAAAAAGGAGAATTGCTATCCTGGTCATAGATGTTAACAGTAATGTGATCATTAAATTGAGTACAGTTAAAAACAAATATATTTTCAGGACCTTCCTGAAGTTGCAGATGTGGATATTACTGTTGATGAAAATGTTCAGCTTGTAGAACTTGGAGTGGTGTTCAGTGTGGTTGAGTCATTAGGTAAGCTTTTTTCTTCTTATTATTTTTTTTTCTCAAACCTTTTGACCCTTTAGAATGTTTAGCATTTAATTTCCCCTTACCCTGTCTTTCCTGAATCACACATTAACGTCACAAGATTAAAGTCAATGATCACCAACTAAAACTGTTCTTGATCATGAAACAATTTCCTCTTTTCAGCACAGTAGGAAATGTTTAGAGAACAGAATGGAGAATATACATACTGATCTTTGGATGTAAAGGGTTAACTAGAAACATTCTGTAATGACTGACTTGAGAAATCTGGTATAATATTGCTTTTTTTTTTACTTCATACTGTGAGGGGCTCAGAAACTCATGACATCCTCTCTACCAATCTATCAAACAAAATAGAGAAGCAATGTACATTACCAGCAACCTAAGGCCTGTTCCTAGAAAGTCTTAGTAACTTAACCCTTTAATTCCCATGAGTGATCAAGAGTGAATTTCTCCTTACAATAATAATACAATGTCAAGCAGGTAAATGATGAGAATAAAGAAAAATATAAATTAGGGGATCACAAGTAGATGCATTACCAAATTCTTCAAACCAACATCACAACAATTGTATTGTAGACATTATAGGCAAAGAGACTGATGATGTTTAATTCTCTACAAGGCATTCCAGTTCTTCTTCATAATTTTTGACCTTCACTGCAGCTCTTTTATTCTTTTAGTGGTAGTAAAAGCCTTACCACAAACTCCAGCATTGGATTCGGAGAGTGCTCTTTTCTTGGAGAACAGATCCTGTCTTGGTGTGGTATGTATAGTGAAGATGAAGTCTTGTTGGAAGTGTATCCTTATAAGTGATTGTTTCAAAATGGTAGTTACTGTAAAAGAGTTGTAACCAGTATTGGAAAAGTTAAAATGGTTACATAACCTGAACTACCCTAATACCTGCAGCATCAATTGCAATTAACAGATTACATGCTGGAAATCAGCCCAGAAATTATGGTATCCCACTCTTAATTACCACAATTGGCAAAAAAATTGTTGACACATTGACCTTTTTAACCCCTAGTAATTCAATGTTATCTGTTTTCCCCTTGTTAAGTTCACCTATTTGCCCCCCTTTCCCCCCTCCCCCCCCCCCAAAAAAAAAAAATTTTGTTTGATTCCATGAACCTTTAGCTATGTACAGGCCACATTTAATTGGGGAGGGGGGGAGGGGTCATGTCAATGATTTAGATTTAGAGTGTGGTAGAAAAAGGAGTGTTATTCTACACATCAATAGAACTCTTCAAGCATGATGTGTCAACTAATTTTGATGCTGATTGTAGTTTTGGTTTTTAGTTACACCTAGTTTCTAATTGGCATCATTGAATTCAATTGGAATCATTGTTTGAGTGCTTTAATGTGATCAATCAATTAATTAATGGCACTGTGAAATTTCTTTCTTCACCAAGTTGTTAGTGACATTACTTCTGTGAATCATCTGAAGTGAAACTGTATTCTGACTTATTCATAAAAAAGTGATTGAATATTTCACAAAGTCGTGACATTGATCAAGAATATATCAATGAATAAGCATTTTTCTCTGCAGGTTTTTGAGACCTTTGGACCAGTGCAGACTCCATTTTATTCAGTCAGATTTAACAATGAGGCAGACATTGACAAAAGAAATATTCATGTAGGAGACAAAGTGTTCTATGCTCCTGACATGATGGAGTATTCCAACTTTGTCTTTGTGGCACAGCTTAAAAAGTAAGAGTTGCCTCTGCACAAGCAGAGTTAGATCTGATTTTTAATTCTCCTCTAGCAGCACATTTCCTTGTAAATTACTCACAAGAATTTGGTGTTAGATCAAGGGAACAACTTCTACCTGATGAGTTTGAATATTCTCAATACCTGTTTTCTGGATAATGTATGATTATTATAGGGAGAAGTTATACTTCAATCACTTCTGGGAGTTAAGGGGTTAAGTTTTGAAGTTGGCAGAGTTTGCTGAAAAGAAGACTTTGTGGGGAATGAGGTTCATGGTGGAATGATATTTCCCAAGGAATTATATGGAAGTCAGTAAAGAGAATTACAAATTGTATCTTGGTAGTGAAAATATTAAATTTCAGCTTAAATGTATAGAGTTCTTATTTTGTATTTTTTTGTAAAATCAGTAAGCCTCAAAGATGTAGCTTACTCAACACTCAATAAATTTAGTTGTACATTTTTCTCCCAATTTACTTTTAGGCTGAAGGGATCTGATGCCTCATGGGAACATGATGAAGAACCCCCAGTAGAGGTGATTTAGCGATGACAACAAAACTTACGATCTTTCTTATTCTATTTACAAAACATGATGCTATTGACATTACTGATCCTAACAGTGTGCAGGATGCATGTCATAAACGAACTTTGTAATGAGCCTTGCACTCTATAGAGTCTCTGTGGTTCAGAGGTAAAGCATCAAAGTGCGGAATCTAAAGGTGTGAGGTTACAATTCCTCATGGAGACTCAGAATTTTTTCTTTGTCCCACAACAAGATGAAAAACATCTTTCACTATTTTTTACCAAGCTCAAAACTTACAAAACTTACAATCTTTCTTATTCTATTTACAAAACAAAAGGATTGTTACAAGGATGACAGCACCAGCAGTTTGAAAGGATTGCTATTTTGCCCAAACAAAGAAAACTTGAGTCGTCATAAGTTTGATGAATTGAAAGGTTTCAATAAAAGTAGGTTACCAGCAGTCTACTGTTGCCTGTAAGACATCTTACCGCTGCTGTCTGTTTAGCCTGTGGGCTGGCTTCCATGTTTGGGTTTTGCCTGATGGCACAGCTACTTATTACACTAACCGCTGCCATTTATGGACAAATTTATTGAAACTCTTGTAAATTACTGACCAAATTTACTGCTTAAATAAAAAAAGTTATTTAATTTATTGACTTGTTTCACAGGCTGAGGAATTTTCTGATGATGAGGAAGAAGCTAAGGCTAAGGCCAGCAAAAAGAAGGAAAGGTAAAACTTGAAAGGAGTTTTGTGTACCTGAGGAAAATACAGTGAATAGATTTCTTCACAAAATGCATTAAATACATTAATTTATAAATAAAGAATTAGTCCATTTTTTCTTTAACTTACAGAATGGCTAAGAAAGGCCCACCTGCAGATGTTGATAAAGCAAGTAACACAGAGAGTGAAAGAAATATTCACCAGGGATCCAATCGAGGTAGACTTTGAGAATTTTTTATAATTATTTTTAATTATGGTATTTTATTTATTCACTAACTAGAGAATGAAATGATAGAGCTGCCAGGTTGTATATTGGCCTTCTTTTATTGGTAAAACAGTTTTTAGTCAATTTGTATCTCTTTTTTATCATCAAGTAGATAATGCTCAATATGATTAGAAGTATAAATGAGTTTACCAAGCCAGTACGTTTTTAGGAAAATGGATCAGGTTAGAGAGAAGCACTGAAGGAGTGAATGTATAATGAGGGCATTGGTAACATGAAATACCCTTCTATGTAAGTTCATGTTATGGCCTTTTAACTTGCAGGTGGCAGGAAAAGAACTTGGCAGAACCGTGGAAGAGGAAAACCTGCCAACCAGAGCCAAGATGGAGGGAATTTTGCTACTAGCCCAAGGAGACCCTTTCCCCCTGCAAGAGGCACATTACCACTCAGGGCACCTCCTCATGTGGGGCTAAGACCTTCCCTTTTCGCAGGGAATCCCTACATGCACCACCCACCTCAAGGTCCTCAACAATTGATAATGGGACATACAGGACTCTATGCAGGGCTACCTCCAAGAGGTCCATCTCAAAGAGGCCCATTAATGCCACAGCCCATGGGACCTTCTCCTGATACATATCCTGGCCTTATGGGAAACGTGCCCCTTCCTCAATTTGGTACACAGAGGTTGTCTACTTCTCAACATATCCCAGCAGGGTTACCACCAGGCTTTGCACCCAGACATGTTATTCCTGGACCTGCAGACCCTTATGACTATAGAGCAAATGTTGGACTTCAAGCAAGAAATGCAGGCTTTCCTATCTCCTCACCCTCTCCTCCCACATTTCCACCTAACCTTTAAGCCTCCACTATAAAGGTTATACATCACAGTGACAAGTACTCATTTTTATTCCATGTAACAATAGAAATGCCAATTGTTTGCCATAATGCAAATCTCTTGCACAGAGAAACGTTTTAAAATGTGTTTGTTATTGATCAGTTATACTGGGTTAATTTTCCTGTTGTGAATTTGTGATTGACTTTCCAGGCATAACAATATCACACATCATGTAAAATAATAACCTCAAAGTCACTTGTAGTTATTCCAGAATGGAATGAATAATCAATGTATTAACTACTTGCAGTTTGGTAAAATATGAATATTGCATCTGCTGTTTAACCCTTTCTTCCCCAAGATCTCATTAGTGATTCTCCATACTGTTTGCCATGCAGTTCTTATGATTTTAGTTCTGAGAATTTTGTGTTGGATCAACTAATAATCACCTACTTGTTTTTTTTTTATTAAGCTCTTCAATAGTCTGATTGATAATGTACTGATATTGTGAGGGAAAATTCTGTCTTGGTCACTTGTGGGATTTGAAGGGTCAAGGTGTTTCTCAATAATTTTGAAATAGATAAACCTAGCTTTATGAAATACAGTAGTGGGAGATACAGTGTCTCAATGGTTTGTGCCCTGGTATTTAGGTCAAGAGGTCTGGTTTCAAAACCTAGCCAGGTCATTGTTGGTTATTTTGTACTGTAATAAAACCTATTTAACCAGTTTTCTGTGTATGCTGTGCTTTTCTACCCAATTTACTTTTCCTACCTACCTAAGTTTTGGTGTATAGTATTGCGAAGTATTTTTAATGGTTGTTGGTATTTTCAAACTGGTGGGGCAATCCTTTTACCTGCTGCATTTTCAAGAATTCAAAGCAATTTTACACAGTAATAGGAGGTACTACATAGGCTAAAAATTTTACTGGTTACCACCTCAAAAAAGAAACACTGCAATATGGAAAACAGATTGAACACACTAATGACCGGCAAGTCAACTTTTTTTCTTTTAACTGGAAAGATATTTATTTGTTACACTATTTATTTCTGCTATGTGGCAATTAAAACCCAGTGTAGTCCTCCCTCTGTACAACGTTCTTGTCGTCATCTCGGTCATATATATGTTGCATAACTGCACATTCAGTTCATAAGCAACATCCATGGTATTGTATGTCTCCACAAGTTTCCAGGATAAATTCTGGCTTGTTAATGTTCTGGTTGTAATGTTTTTGTTTTTGAATGCTGACCTTAATGTCTTTGGAACAGATGCCCTCAAAATTGCATAGCACGCAAAATTATTATAAATAATAATAATAACAAAGTCCTCTCTCCTTGGTATTTCCTTGGTGCAACAATTAAATGCCACTTTCAGCTCACTTCCTGATATTTGCACAAGGTTCAAAGCACAGCAACAGAGAAGAAAAACATAGATCGACAAGAGGGCTATGCCCAGTTAGGTGTCGAGATTGTGTGTCCTCTGCTAGTCAGTAGCTTTTGTCCAAAATGATAACCTGCTGCCAGGCTTCCTCCCACAGCACCTGCAATGGCAATGGGCCTTAAACCAGCCGTTGATTTAAAAATCATTCCCGCAAGAGTAGCAGCACCAATGGAATTGAACTCATCTTCCTCTCCTCCTCGCACCTTGCTAATTAATGCCTCTAAACTGCAGTACATGACAGCTGTGAACAAGAAAAACAAAAGGTTATCAATGGAACTTGATAGGTTAACCCTTCACACTCAAACATCAGTATACATATTCTCCATACTGTTCTCTGTACATTTTCCTAAGGTGCTGACATGGAGAATTTGTTTAACAATCAAGAGCCTCTTTGGTTGGTGATCATTTTCATTATTCTCATTAACTTATTGAGTGATTTAGGGTGACACTGTAAGGAGAAATTAGATGCTTGTCACTCTTACGGGTCTAAGGGTTGAGTCTTGATCCTTGAAATGTTTATGTCTAATTGTTATTTTATGACCATTAAGTCACCAAATGGCTTAGTTGATAAGAAATGAGCTTAGAGCCCTGGGGATGGATTTATTTTACAATTACAATTACTCTTAGTAGTTACATGTGTATTTGCCTTACCTATAACTCCTAAACTGTTTCCAAATGATGGACCTCTCCTTGTGCAACCATTTAACACACTAAACAATATAATTCATAAGTTAAAGATGAGAGTTAGAAACAAATTTAATGGAACAAACAAATTGGCCAATCCAAGTGACTGAAAATGAGAGGCTGAGTTAAACAGAGCAAACTGTCTGTAGCAGTTTGCTTTTGAAAAAAGTGACCAAGTCTGACCAAGGGCCAACACTCAAAACATCAGCTTTAGAAATTCTTTACAGTGGCTCATTTATGTCACCAACTCAGTTGATAACTTATCTTGTAATACCCCTCCACTGACACAGCACCACAGTTTCTTATGAAACTCACCACCTTTATTCAAGTTAAGATTGGGTTTTAGTTTTGCATATCTTTGGTTGAGAAAGTGGAAGTTTTCACGACCAATAAGAGAGTGAAGTACAGTTAAACAAGTACAATTGTAGGTTACTTTCCACTCAGGTGAAAATTTACTGATGACAAATAAATTGTTACTTTTTTTTTTTGAGACTCTAAACAATAAGTGTAAAGGTTTGTCACTTGGGAAGGAAGAAAACTAAATTCAAACTTATTTGAAGCCAGACCTGTTTATTCTAAGCTTCATAGTTTTTCCATCTGGATTCCGCAGACCTTCATACAGACCCCATGTTCCACCAACAGCCAACCCTAACAAGAGAGAGAAAAAACAAAATAACCTTTTTTCCTACTACACTACAAAAAGTAACTGGGTGCTGTGACTGTTTACCTTAAAAACCAGGAGTGCCAAGCTCTTACTATCAGTCACAACAACACAGATATTTAAGCTGCCCAAAGACCAAAACAAAGTAACCTGTAGCAACAGTGTTGTATTGGAGCATGACCCTAACATCAGTATGCATATTCTTCACACTGGTCTCTAATACATTTCCTGACAAAGATAATTTGTTTAACAATCAAAAGCTTCTTTAGTTGGTGATCATTTCCTTTCTTCTCATGACCTCCATGTGTGATTCAGGGGAGATATTGTAAGGAGAAATTAGATACTAGTCACTCTTGAGGTTTACAGAGTTTAAGGGTTAACTGCATGCAGCTCCAGTTGTTAACTTGTTACACTTACTGTGTTAAACCAAAATCAAAGTGAAAAACTGTTGTTTTTTGTAAAAAATGAAAGTTGACAATAAAATTGAATGAAAGAAAAAAACTATGAAGTAGAATTTGGTACGTGTATGTATCGTCTAAGTTTGCTCTGAGGGTACTGGTAATACTCAAAAGTGTTCAACCCAACTTCTCCTGCTGCTTATTGCAAGCATCTGTGGGAAATGTAGTGTGAAAGTCTTAACAAACATACCACACATGTATGATGTTCCAACCCCAGTAAACATTTGTTCGCCCAAACTTCTCTTCTTTTTACTGTCTGAAGGAAAGACAAACTCTGCACCCCCCTGAAAATAAATTGACATTAAAAGCTTCAGTATAAGAGTTACACCACTGTAGAGTATTTTAGCTCATTAAGGGTTTACAATGTGTTTGAAAGTGGGTGGCAATCAGGAAATACAATATTGTTGATGCCATGCTGGTGTCTCAACTCAGATGTGTTGATGCATGTCTGTTCAGTAAAAGATCACAGATGATGTCAAAATGCAGTAAGAACAAAAAAGTGATGCACAAGGTGCAGCCAAGGGTGTCACTGATGTTTTTACAATATTTTGATGGCTTCTGTACAAACCCATGACAACATGGAATCTATTTGTTTTATATGATAAAAAAAGCAAAATTTTATTACTGATAATGGCGAAGTCATCTATGTGTTCATCCTCCAATAGATCTCAGGTAAGAACAAATAAAAAAGATTTAACTTATCATGAAAGAACACCCTTTACCTGATTTAGATATGTTGGATCAATATTCAAATATGGTGACAATCCTGCTCCCCTGTTCACTAAAAAAAAAAAGTAACAAGAAAAGCATTCATGTATTGAAAACAAAAATCTGGAAATATATGTGAGGGGAAATTCTAAACAGAAACCAAGACACGAGGAGTGGTAAATAGTAAAATCTGAGACTACTGAGAGGCAGAGAGCCTTGTCTGAAAGTTTGAGACCAAAACTTAATAACCAGTATTATTGTATGGAACTATTTATTACAGAAAATGTTGTATGAGAGCTGTAATTCTCTTCTTTGTAGCTCTTTTACTATATTTCAGCATCTAAATTGTAATATTTTCAAATGACAGCTTTCATACCAGGGCTGTACAAACAGTTCCCACAAGGTAGAAAGCTGTGAAAGAAATGCCAGACCAAAATAAAATGCACACAAAACTCCACTTTCATGCTCACTGCCAAGGCTGACAAGTTCATGAGATTGAATAAAAAGATCACCAAATCCAGAATTCTTCAAGATACCGTTTGCCATCCAAAGGATGGACAGAGGCAAAAAAAATCAACACTTGTCCTCTGTGACCCATCACATGCATGTCACATGATAAAAATATTATATCTCCTATAATACTGTCTGAAAGGTATCATTTATCAACCAGCCAAGCAATTTAACCAAAATCACGACAGCTTTTCCAGATATTTCATGTCTGATGCACCACTTTTTGAAGTCATTTCACCGACAGTTTACGAGTTCTGCTCAGATACTACTCAGATGTACAGTGTATGATCCCGTAGAGGTTCCAGTAAGACCCGAAATAAATATTTCCTATAGAATACTACGGTAAGCTGAAGATATTTATCGTCGATCGGGGAAACTATTTGCTCGTGCTTGCCGATATTTTTCGTCTCTGTGACGTAACACACTACCTGTTTGAATTTTAGAAAGGAAATTGCTAACCTGATGATTTTATCTGGCATAGAGGACATTTTACAGTCATGCCAATTTATGATAACCAAATTTAACTCAACTCGCTCGGTTAAAATGCAGAAAGTAAGAAAGTAATCAGAGCTATTTTCAACCCATATCGTTCGCCGGTTAATAAATATTACTGCAGAAATACACCCGGTAAAAGGTAACCAACCCCACATTGCCACACTCGAAAACGACTACAGGTTGAAGGAAACAAACATCCACATTCTAGATCGCCTAGTTTCGGAAAATCCACATCAACGTATAAACAACATCAAATTTACAACAGAAAGTTAAAAGGGAAATTTGGATTTGACAAGCGTGCCTAAAGGCGCATCCTAGCTTGGTCGATTGTCCTGGATTCAGTTAAATCATGGAAAAAACTGACTCATTTTCTTACCAGAATATCCTGTGCTCGGATCATACCCAGAAGGGCCACCTCCTTTGTCTCCGTAGTTCATACTTAAAATGAAAATCTACAGAAGGAAACGCAAGGGTAGAGACCATGCGAAAATAACTACGCAACCTCGTACGAACTCTCTCACGCATGCGTCAATTGTATTACGCAATAGAACGTAGGGTCTGGAAACTACATAACTGTTCACTTTGATTTTACGAGAATTTCTGAGGAAATAGTTGAGAAAGTCTGCAAACACGTGGGCACTCAAATTTGTATTTGTTTGAGCAGTTCATTACATTTTGTGACTGAAAAAATACCTTGGATCACAAATTGAATTTTAATAACTGCAATGTACTTTGTGTGAAATACATTATGAGAGAATTTTCACAGTCACATTCAACCTAACAGAAAGGGTTAAATGACCTTTTACACGCGAACATCAGTATGCACATTCTCCATACTGTTTACTATCCATTTCCTTAAGTGCTGACAAGGAGAATTTATTTACGGACACTTGTCCGCCTACATTATTGGTTCCAAGATGCTAACAGTTTTCCATGAGTGAAGCTTAATAAAAACTGTGAGCTTCAAGAGACAGATAATGTCCAAGGACGAATTATTCATACATGTTTCTGGGCAAAATAGAGGCTTTTGTGTTTATTATCCTTCAACTAGTTTGCAACACATGTGGAAAATGTTTATGAACAGCTTACTGTATGCAGTGTGGGGTGTTTTCTTTGGAGGGTTCTCTGGTATAACTCAATGAACAAAAACTGATTTCCCTTCTTCTGTGATAACCGCAAAACCCTCTCTAATCTTGAATTAAATTGGAAAGGAAGACTTATCAGAGTGATCATGAGGTTTAAAAATTGGGGAATATTGCTTGGGTGATATTCTTGTATATCCCCCAGTTTTTGCTGGGGGATATTTGGTCACATACTATGTTTAAACTGATTGCACAGGAGCAAAAATATTTGATGGATCATATGTGGCTATAAATGCCAAATAATTCTAGATAAGTGCTTGAATTTTTTATGGACAGCTAACCAGTTAAGGGACTTCTCAATGAACCAAGTGTTTACACCACAGATGAGTAAATTTGTTGAGTGAAGATGCCCTCCATCTATTTTCACTGTGTTATGAGCTAGGAGAGGAATTTTTATAACAATGAGTTTTTCCATCCAAAGAAAATTTTCGATTAAAATTGTTGAAATAAGTTCAATAAATAAGGAACTTATTGTCTAGCAAACTATATAATTGCAAAACAATCAATTCAGCTCTTCATCTGTTTTACTATTTGTCTATAGGTCTCTGCCTTCTTTCTACTTTATCGATCTGTCCATTGTCCATTGATGTTGTACTGAAAGACACACTGGAGATGGGGAAGATCCAGGAAATTGTCAAGGAGAACTGTAGAGAAGGAGAGAGAAAACCTAAATGGAGCTTTTGGTGCTAGAGGTGCAGCACAGTACGTGACAGAGCTGGTTGGCAGCAGATGCACCAACTGGCATAAGGAAGATAGGTGAAGGAGATAGTGGACAGAGATTGACCAATGACCAGAAATGCTACGACAGCGCTGCTGTTTTCCATGATATTATTTAAAGTCCGAGTGTCACGCACAGTAAATAACCACACGTAATTTCCTAATATTTATCTGTTCGTCAATTAGCAGAGATTAACCATCACTGTCCGACATGCACCCCCAACATCTTCGTAATTTCCTCAGTAACATGTGGTTCGTGCTTGGCACAGATCAACTCAGTGATGTTAACATTGAAACAAACAAATCTCATACTGTACTCTTGGATCCATCTTTTTGTTTTTAACTGCTTTGTGAAATATTGAAGGAGTTGTTATCCATTATTTCCCACACTTTTTCTTGGAGAACAGGAACAATTTCCGCAGAGACGAATATGTGTGTCTCATCGAGATCCTCGATCACAAACTTCTTTCCCAGAGCTACTTTCTCATCGAGGTGAAGTAGAAACTGCTTCACTGCAGGATCGCTATGAATATGAAAGAAAAGTAAGATTTGACAAGAACTTCAAATGTTCCAATCTCTTCAATGAATCGGCTTACATGCATCCGTACGGACCAGAGGTGTGATCTTTAGATCTTTCTATTTCTGTCGCGGGAAAAATTAATTAAAAAGAAGAAACAACCTTTCTTTTGTTTCTTTGTACCCAATAACCGGGAAGAAAACTTACCATTCGACTAGGACGCCTTTAGTGACATTTACCATTCTTCAGAGTTTAGTTATGTCTTCTACCCCAAGCCTTAAAATGAGGCTTGGTAACCGCTACAGGAGTCTTTAGAGTGAATACGGGCATGGAAGGGGTGGGTGCTGAGGGGCAGAAAGTCACATTCTTGAGATGTAATATTTCCTTATCCTTCAATAGCTTTTACATTTCTTAACACGAAAACTTGAAAGTCAGCTCACAAAGTGAGCCATTCTGTAAATGCGAGGAACAGATTAAGAAAGATATGATAAGAAAAGAGACTGCCAAAGCAGTCTAAATTATCAATTTAGCTTTAAACCTTAACTCCCAAGATCTGATTGCTAATTCTCCCCTCTAGCTGCTACACATTTCCTTGTAAATTAGTTACGAGAACTTGGTGCTCGATCAAGATGGCAACTTCTACATGATAACTTTGAACATTCTCATTACCTGTTTGCTGAAGGATGTATAGATATTATAGGGAGAGATTTCATGTTTTTCACTTCTGGGAGTTAAAGGGTTGACAAAAATAATGTGTCATAAAATGTACAATTTTTCCATTTAGACTGAAAATTATTGTCTGTCCTTTCAACTCATAAATAGTAGTCTTCTTTCAATTACCTGATTCTTTTGAACTAAAATTATTTAATTTGTTTCTATCTACAAATGAAAAAAAAAGATTGTGTTTGTCAAGGAGACTTTGAATTATCACTTAAATTACATTTTTTTATGTATGACAGTGAACAACACATCTATCTATAATGTCTCCATAGATTGTACGAATAAAGGGGGTAAGTTTCTAAAGAAACTGTGGTGCTATGTTGGTTGGAGAGAATAACAGGGTATTTAAGTATTATCAACTGAGTTGATGATGTGAATTGGCTACCATAACGAATTTTAAAGCTGACGCTTAAGCCCTTCATTAGAGCAAATCTATGCACAGATAGTAGTTTATTTTGGATTAAGATTCCAATCTTGAATGGCTTGTTCTAGGTTTTGCCTTGCATCTTCAAAATTTGGGTCAATTCTCAAGGCTTGTCTGAGGTCTTTCACTGCCTCCTCATAACGTCCTGTTATTTCAAAGAAATGAGAACAAAGAATAACCAAGTCAAACATATTAAAGGATTGGAAAGGAAATACTTGGAAAGTAACTTGGAAATAAAGTTTTTTTCTTTTTTATGTGTTCATTTTTTTAGTGGATTTAAAAATACATAGAAAACAAAATAATTCAAAGCATTCTGTGATTTCAGAGTGGTGTGAAATGACTTGTACGTACCCATTCTGTAATGAATCTGCCCTCTGTTGTAGTAAGGTACTGCAAAGTTTTTATCGAGTTCTATAGCTTGAGTGTAATCATAAATTGCAGCATCGAAGTCAACTTTCAAATACTTTAAATGTCCTCTATCGTTCCATGCACGAGATAACAATTGATTTAGGGATTCGGATTGTTCCTTACATTTCTTGGAAAGGTCAATTAGCTTATTCAATTCTTTCAATGCATCGCTGTAGTATCCACTATTTCGTAAAAGTTTTGCACTGTCATAAACAGCAGCGAGAACGTCTGCCATATTGAATAATGAAAGAGGTCTGAGTACTACTTAGGCACGGTAAGGATTGGAAACCAATTTGAACTCAGGCGCCATTTTTCAAAATTGCAGTTTTGTTTACAGTTTGGGAAACGAATTCTTGATCTCGTCCTTTGAGGTTTTAACTACGATGTCCTTCAAAGAAGCTGTGGATACTCCCAATGAAGTAATTACAGTTCTTGCTAGCGCAGAAGACGAAGAAGCTCTGGTAAAAGTTGCGAAGATCTATAACGACATTGTTGAAGAGCGATCGCTACAGCAGGAAAGTGTCAAGACGACCTTGCGGGCCCTAAGTAAAATATTAGCGAAGAACGAGGAGGAGGAAAAAGCTTTGAGAGTCGATGAAAAACTGCCGGCAATAGAGAAGCTGCAAGTTGAAAAAGATACCACTGTAAAGCACATCGAAAAACTGGAGGCCGATGTCAAAGTCTTCGAGAAGAATATTACTGAAAAAGAGGCAGAAATGAAGGAATGGACAGAGAAGGCCGCAGAAGTGAAAACCGATCGAGTGGAAGTTCTTCCGCAAACGAAGTACAATTTCAGCCTGTATACAAACGTGAGCCATATAAGATGGGATTATGAATGCGACGATGACCAAGTTAAAGGATTTATTGCGAACTTAAACGATGTCAAACCATTCTGTTTCAGTAAAAGTGAAAAAACCAAATACGATATTGTTAACGCCTTGTGGGAACTTTTGGATGGCTGACTCTATGTTGACGGGGAATGAAAGAAAACTCATCCTTGGAATATATATATGTTATAAGCGTATGATGTTTTTAGACAATTTTAGAGAATGTTTTTAGCGTGTTTGTTGTGAAATATTAACAATATTTTATTTCACTGTTAATTTTTCAGCAAGGAATTATTTACATGCATTGACTATGCAGGCTTCCCGGTTGTGTCCTCGTGTACCGGTACACAAAGGAAGGAAACATTAACGAACTGCGTCATAACTCCATGTATGGTTATGAAAACAAAAGGAATCTCGTGTACCGGTACACCAGGACAGCCCCGGCTTCCCTATTGTTGTAGACATTACTTTTCCTAATAGCATATATACGTATATAAAAGCAATGTCTCCGAACATAAGTTTGAAAGTAAAAGCAATTGTCATTATTTACCAAGCCTGAGGCCTTGTTCAAGCGATTGTCAGAAAAAAACGTAACTTTTATTTATTTCTTTGCTTCCAACTTGTCACAAAGCTTATAACAAAGACACAAACTGGTACAAAGAATGATTAAGGTTATCATGTAAACTGCCTATGAAAGAAGAAATGCTTTTTGTTAATGTATGTTACCAAGGTGTTAAATAGGCTTAAAGTGTTTGACCAGAAATTATTTGCAGGACTGCTGCTACAATCACCTTTCACATGGTGATTATGTAGAGATATGCAGCTGTAATGAACCAATCAGATCTGGAGAATCTTGGTAATCACCTGACCAACTATACCAAGTGCTTATGGCTACAAAAAAAGCCTTTTAAACTTAATATGATTTTTATGTTTTGTATAAACACAAAAAGAAATAAATCAGACCCTCCTACGATAGCAAGGCGTCAAATGTGCTCCTCAGTTGTGAGATTCCAAGCAGAACTTCACAGGGACTAGGCAGAGGGAGGGGCTGGGGGGGGGGGCCTTTAGTCCCCCCACTTTTTTGAAAAAATAAAAATAAATTGAACAAAAAGTAATTTTAAATAATTTTATGTAATTTTACAACCTGGAATTCTCTTGGATTCAGCTGAGTTTTGTGTGCGGGCTCCCTCAGTCTGTGACAGGATTTTGGTGTAGAGACAAGGTAAAGAGCATGCTAAAAAAATGCTCTCCTTATCATGCCCTTTATCCCTAGGGAATTCACCTTTTCGAAGGGCAAATCCCCAGTGATGAGGTGGCATTCCTTTCCCTCTTTACTCTTACCCAAATTTTGTTGGTCTCCAGCCTGTGCTGTGCCCTTAGTAAATAGGAGCAAGCGGTGCATGAAAATTGGCAGGATTTATTATGATGGTCAATTTAAATTATCACCTGAGTTGACAATGATCGATTATCTTGTTATACTCTCCCACTGACACAGTGCCACAGTTTCTAGAAACTTCTCCCTATATTTAATTACAACCACAATTTGTTGTCTGCCAGCTTTTTCACCCACCCGCAAAGAAGAAACACTTGAACAGGCTAGCTTGCCCTCACAGACCGAGCACTTGTAACAAGCTTATATTTTATTAGACCACTTCACCTTATGTAAACTCTTCATAAATCACTGTAAATCATACCTTCGCCAAGTGTCAAAATAATGACATTAACCATGATTGAAATAACACTCTCAAGGATTGAGGATTGCATCAGAGCCTAAAACAATCAATCTGGGATAAAACCAATTTTCCATGATATATGCAAATGAAACGCAAATAGACTTATGGGAAATCCGGAAATCTCATTGGTTAAGCTTCAAAGTCAATAATCTGAGAACTTGGATTTTTTTTCTCTTTCACTTTTTTAATCACTCATCTAGGTCCTACTCTGGGAGCTAGTTACAGTATCAACTTAATCGACTTAGACTCTACTAATTAAAGCCTCTAGAGGTATTCTTCATAGAACAGAATGGTAGAAGAGAAACAATAAGATTTTTTGGAATCAGACTTTAGAACATAAGCTTCTTAAAGAGTTGAGAACGCAGATTAGGTAATTAAAAAACAACACTGATTTTCAATACATGTCTTATCTCTCGTTCGTGGTCAAAAAACAGCAGAAAAAAATCAACAACTTCTGCTCTCAGTGATATTAGGTAATGAGAAAAACATTCATTTGATGTGGCGCCAATCCCTGGAACAGGTATCGAGTGCGGAACGTGATAACGCGCGAATTTTCAGTAACTCAAGGGAAAATGAGTCCAAACCAGAAAGTCAAACAACAACAAGAGTTTGTGGCACGCAAACGCCTGATCTCTCGACTGAAGCTGAAAGATAAAACAAATGCCGTCTGTTCAGAGCAATTAAATTGACGAGAGCAACAGCCCGTTCGTGTAATTGACGCACACCTTTAAAAAGTCTCGCACGCAAAAGGCGATAATCACGCACGCAATTTCAATTGAATTGAATTGACTAGGGAAGAAACTCCTCTTAAAATCTTTGCATGTTTGGCTTTATCTGAAGTGAAACGAGAATTTTTTTTGCATCAGAACATGCTGAGACATTTATTTCTGAAACGGTAGTGAACGAGGCGGCAGACAGAAATAGCGGGAAGATCAAACGGCGGTGTCGAGCTGAGTTGAAGAAGCGCGGATACCCGTACCCTACCTTCAGAGGTTTCACGTAAGTGGCTGCCGATGGTGTAAAAGCGGCTGTCTCCGGAAAAGGGGCAATAAGGAGAACCCTAATAGCTTTCTTTTAGGCTAAATTAACAGATGGCGATAAGAGGTCTTACAGGCGGTGGGAGAAGACCGGTAACCGGCTTAAGTCTAACATTGTCAGAGAATCACAGCCCGGCCAGGGATGAAAAGAGGTCGATCGACATTGCAGCTTCTTAGTCGCGACCCCACAGACAGTCAGTCAGTCTGCGAAAACAAGAGGCTAATTCTAATTTGGGGTGTCTTTTTTGTCTGTTTTCTCCTGTTTGTTTGCTCTCGGTAATAATAGTAGCTGAGACATAACATTTCCACGAAGTGGAGGAACTGTCGATTCCACCAGACAGAACCTGGCATGTCTTCCTTTCCTTACCTCCAGTTCTGAACTATTTTGAAAAGAAAAAGACAAAACAATACACAGTTAATAAAAAATTCAAGTGTCATTTTGACACCTGAAGTATACATAATTAGAAAAAAGAGGTTTGTGCAATATAAATTCCACCCACGTTCGGGTTATGAAACGAAATTTGCAGGCAAGCATTGGTGCCTTGATCTGTATTTATTACACGCTGAGACATTCTTCTTTGATCTTCTAGTTCTAATCTAGAGATTGAATGTTTCAGTTCCGTCTAAAATTGATTTTAACGCTGTAAAAATCCGTGACTGAGCCAACATCTGTGATTAATATTTAAAAAAAATTGTTAGAGAGGAAGAAAACAGTATCAGGAAATTAAAATAAAACAGTATTTTTCTGAAGTTCATGAACGAAAATAAAACTAATTGGTTGTCTGTAGAGTAGTGCCCGACTTGGATTTTTGTACAGAAATTGTTTGTACGCACAATCAGACTGATTTGATGTCATCAGAAAGAAGAATAAAACAAAAACAAAACCAAAAATTGAACAAAAAACAGTAACAAAAAAAAAACACTAATAGGCTTATGTTATCTATACATGCGTTCAAATGCAAAACACGTTATTGATATACTTGAATCTCACGTCGCTGTCGATGAATGGTATGTAAACACTATATTTATCTTCTAACATTTGACCTTCTAATACCGTTATAATCATATGCTGATCTTCCGCAAATAATAGAATTTAGAATCTGGGCCGTTTTATGAAACCTACTCGGCGACATTTTGTGTCTAAAATTATTGGTCATTTAGCTCACTGACAAAATACCAACCCTACAGACGATGGAAAACGCTTCTACCTGTTCTACGCTCTTGAATTTTCAACCAGCTCTTGAGTGTGTACATACATTTTCAATTTTCTCAAGCCAAATATAAACTCAGGCGGCGAACGGGCGTAAGAATGTCGTATCCATTTCGGTTTTAGTTACGTCATTGGAACAATGATACTGCTATAAAATGTTTTTGATGACAGCTATTTGCATAATCTATGCCCAAGAGATGTTAGTCTGGAACCGTTCGTTTTGAGAGTTGAACAATTTTATTGAAATTGTTATTAAGAGCCTCTCGTAATCTGCTAATCGAATTTGGATGGAATATCTGACATCTTCAGAGCAACCAGTCTTTCTAGGAGCTATTTTGCAGTGGTCGAAGGAAATACATTCGGTCAGGTAAATCGCGAGTAAACAACAAACTTGCGAACAAAAGTGCGAGGTTTACAAAGGCTCTATTAATCAACAATTGTATCTTATGGTAATAGCTTCAAAGAACTGTTTAAACACTTCAATGCGATTGGTCAACATTAGAATCCATTAGAACCCACGGGATACTGGCCGGAACGTTCGATCTAATTTCCATGACTTGAGGTTTCCGTGCGTTAAATGAAGTGAAAAGATTGAGTCATAAATGTCTTAACTACGTGGAAATTGACTTTCTGGAGAGGTGACCTAAATGAGGACGTATCAAGGTAGTTTTACGACGAAGGAACCAACAATTCGCCGGCAAACACAATATGAGCTCTAGTAATAAGGAATTGTTTGTCAACGGTTCTTCGTTCGAGGACGAGTATGAGACTGCGAGACTCGCATCCGTTATTTATCTGTGTGCCGTAGGAGTTTGTGGGATTATTGCAAACTGTCTGGTGATTTTTGTATTTTGGAAATACCCAAAGCTCAGAACAGCCGCTAATTTGTTTATTCTGAACCTGGCATTCTGCGATGTGATGCTTTCCATCTTAGACAATACTTTTTCAATCGCGTCCACGTTGTATGGAAGATGGTTGTTTGGTCGCGCCGGTTGTGTTGTGTACGGGTTTTTCCACTACTTCTTCATCTGCTGTACCGTTTCAACGCTAGCGGCGATTTCTGTGGATCGATTCTTTTTTATCACCCGGCCGAGCCAGACCCGGGCTGTTCAAGTAATTACGAGACGAAAAGCGATTGCAATAGTACTCATAATCTACCTTTATACCTTTTTGTTTACATTTCCTCCATGTGTTGGATGGAATTCGTTTGTGGAGGAAAAAGTTTTTTTCAGTGGCTGTTACATTAACTTTGGCGATCAAAGAACCTCATCTATTGTTTATTCAGTTATTGCACCTTTTTTTCTTTTTCTCGTGCCTCTTTCAGTCATGATCTATTGCTACGCGCGCATTTTTGTCGCTGTACGCCGAAGTACGCAGCGTACAATAGGAAGATCACTTGGAACGCCGAATTCTGTCAAGAAGCGGTATCCCGTCTTAAAGAGAACACACATACAGACTGCGAAAATGATCATAGTTGTTATATTTTTCTCCATGATCGTGTGGGTACCTTATGTTGTCGTCTCGTTGATCAAAGCTTCTGATAGCTACATTGACCCTCTCCTGTCACACATTACAGTTGTGGTTGCTAAGTCGTGCGTGATTTACAATGTGCTTATCTACGTGATGTTAAACCGCAAGCTTAAAGCTGCGATTTTGGATGCAGTTTGTTGTGGGAGGCAAAGCTTTTTCCTAATCGGATCACCAAGTTCCGCCAACAACGTGAACAGAAATAGAATCAGTCGTATTTTGAGCGAAACGGAGGTTCCTTCCCAAGTCGTTGAGGCCCAGAAGAATAGATTGAGTGCTTTGACACTGCAGCGATCAAACGAGAATATGCTCGAAGAATTTTCTGATCATCTTTCTCCGCCTTTTATCCCGAAGGTAAAGAATGGTGTTGTGAAAAGCGTAGAGTTTAAAGATGGCCAAAGAAGAGACACAGTCTTTGGTACTAGCAAAGAGGAGTTGGAAGAAGTTCTTAATGGAAGAGATCCCATACCGGCATCAGAGTCCAATGGTGATACTTTTCACCATGGAGAAGATTTTTATTCAAGACGAAAAAAAGTCTCAAAAATACAGCGATCTTTGAATGGAAATCATATGGGTAATGGATCATTAATTACCTTGCATGATGGAACATCTGATCAGAATCATTCGCGACAGGGTGCTAGTGAAAAGAGTACACCTTTGAACGCGACAGATGTAACGTCGCCACGCAATGGTACACTACCAATTGAAAGAACACAACATTTTACGCACGCAACAAATGAAACGCCTCTGTGTACTTTACCACGAGAAACAGCTGGACAGAATCTTCAACGCGTCCATCACCTTTATTCTTCGGCTACGAATCCGCGATCGCAAAATCTTTCTTCACCATCACAGATGTACAAGAAAGGTACAAGACCTGCGAGCGCGCAACGAGTAAAGAAGAGAGAGTCACCCGATTCGAGTATTCCGCGCGCGAGTACGAGCACTGATCAAGAAAGCGATCTCTCGAGGACTTCTCGCGAGGGATCTTTCGTTCAACGATCGGTAAGTAATTCACATAAAACTAAGAAACTACGATCTGGAAATCGTAGAACGAACGGGAAAAATACGATGCCATCGCGAACGAAAAGTCACGCAAGTTATGCGAGAAGGGACCACATATCAAACAGGGATCCACTCCACACTTCCGCCCATGAATTGCTGGAAATACAGAATTTTTGGAAGCGCATGAGTCTGTGTCTAGACGATATTGATTTGGATGAAGTGACGAGAGAGATGGAAATGGTTTGATTCGTGGTTTTGGATCGACTTAGTATCACGTTTCACGAAAGAGCGCGATATGTCTTAGCGCAGAACGCGCGCGATGTAGTACGTGAAATGGCACTCAATTTCGACGGATTGTGGAAAACGGGCGATATGATCAAATAAAATATTTTTAGGCTGAGACATTTATAGAGTAAATTAATTCAAATGTTGAGACGTGAAAGGGTTATTTTGATTTTAACGTGGCGCCTTTTATTTAGTGTCAATTGCGAGGCATTTACAAAGAAAAGTATTTCCAATGTTGAGGCGCGTTAAAAGATTACTTAAATTCTATCTCAGCGCCGCATCATGGCCTCAGTGCTTTTTTATTGTATTTTCATAAATTTGTTTATAAACCGTCAACACCGCCCGGTTTTTTTTATTTTTTTTTCCCTCTCTCTCTTGAAGCAGCTTAAGTGTGTTTTGACTTTTTCACCTGAATCTTTAGAGGATTTTAAATTAATCATTCAACAATTTTTGGTTCTAATTTAGACATCAGAATTATTTTCTGGTCGTGTACTTCAGCAAATCATGGCGATGAACATTTTAAAAGAAATTTAGATCTTTAAGGCAGCGCGTTAAGCAAATGCAAATCTCCACAAATCATCTTGAATTCATGAGTTTTTTCAAAGTGAATGCTGTAAAAAATTATTGGGGCCAAGATGGTAAGAGGGTTTGTAAGTAGAACAGTATTTCTTGAGTTTTTCCCTACAGGAGATAAAGAGTGACTGCTTGGGAGTTAAATTTGACGGAAGTTGAAGCGTGTTTTTACGAAAATGGCAAAACTGAAATCTGATCAGTTTACTCATCGTTTCAATATTCTTAATTAACACCGCAAAAATATAATCTTAAGCTGAACAAAATGCAACTGTTTTCGTCTTAGCCCACAAACGCAAAAGCGGGCGTAAACTGAGTTTAATTTTTGCCGTTTGCCGTAAACAGCCCTTAACTTTTCTGAACGCGTTTTTTCTTGATAGAATGTGAAAATGTTGTCATTTATTTATTGCAAGTGACTAAGAGACCATCTTATTTAAATTGTAACTGTGCTCTCTTGTTGTATCTCGGAGGAGAGATGTTTATTTGATTGATTTTTAAGGTTTAATACGCGCTATACCTATATCAAAAAGAACAGAAGCGTTTCTATTATGGGAAATAATTCATTTCCTCAAGTTAAAATGTTTTGTTGAGTTTTCCAAAGTTCATAATAATTTTTTTACCAATATTTTTTTGTTGGGTTTCTATTCCCTTCAAATTTTTATTGTTTAAACTGCAGAGAGCAATATGTATTGAATGAAATTCTGAGTAGAACGGAATCTTTGTATGTATGGCGCCGAGAACGTAAGGCGCACATTTCATGTTGCTCGCGCAATTTAAACACAATACTCGCTCTTCGGGTGAGTATGAGGAAATGTACGCTGAAATCTAATTACGTTAATTTTATCACACCCGTTTATTGTTGCATCACGGAATTCATACACACGTTGATATAATATAGTTAGAGTTTCAGATTTTATAGGGCGAACACAAAAATTTTGATGACAATTTCAATTAAAAATTTCACAATTGATTACTTCTATGTGTTGTTCAGTTTTACATAATTAGTGAAAGTTTGGTTATTGTGAGGGTTTTGTACTGGTGCCAATAAGCAACTCCTCGTATTTTGAAGAGCTTTTTTCCTCTTTAAGACACAATGGCGTTATGTTAGGAAGCTTGACATGGCATAGTCAAGGTAGTTACACTTCAGCTCTCAACTCTCTTTGACCCTGCCAGAAGTGTCACTCTAGTAAGTGTTTGATCGATGTAACATTGATCAGGTGTTCCTTGTGTTTTTCACGGCACGCGAAGATTGGGATTCCAAAGACATCCTCAAATTCCAAACGCAAGTGCGTTGTTATGCTTTACTGCGTGCAACCCACGAGAAGCCTTACTTCGGCATTCCCATTAGCTAAGAGGACATCAAGTAACCTCAGACGTTACAGTCAGCTAAAATTCGGGAAAAAGGGTAAAATTGAGGGCAGAAAGTTGAAATTAGAAGTAGGTACGTTTTTTACAGAATACTCAACTGGTTTCTCGAGCAATTTGGAAGAACAAAGCACCCGTAAATTTTTCAAAGAGTTAGTCAAAGAACAAATATATCAGACACGTATTGCAAAGTAAGAGAGGTGTTTTACTAAAAGCCGCTTATCGGCAGTATTCTACCGCTTATGTAAAGTACAGAACATAACATGTATTGGGGACATAATAATTGCCTGTATATGATATATATACCCTCCTGCGACCTCTTACCGCTGCCTGTTTAGCCCGCTCGCAGGCTCTTGTCTTTGGGTTTCGTCTTTCGGCCACATTTCCTTGCTCTATTTTTACTTTCTCGAGCAGCATCTGATGTCGTTGATATCAACCAATAGAAAAATGGCGAGGTTGTTCAGTATTTTAAATATACTTTAATATTTCTGGTTCAAAATGTTGTGTTTGCAATGCATTTAAAAATATTTAAAAAAAATTAAAAAATTGAAAGCGATCGATACCACGGCAAAATATGAGAAAATGTCTCTGAGTTAGCAAATAATCTAATTATTGCAGGCCAAACGGGATTTGTCTTAAAAAAGAAAAGAAGAAGAGGAAGAAAATAAACACCTGGTAGAGGTACAATCTTGGGAACTTAGTGGCAGTTGGTAGCCGTGTAGCACCGACGCCTGTACTATCAATTATATGTAGTGCATCATCCGCCGTAATATTGAAAGTAACCGACTCGGCGTGCCAATTGCCGTGTCAATGTCCGTTTGAGCATGAGGATGTGATTAAACCTCGTTCGCCAGCTGTTCTGTTTTCTCGTTGCAGATCAGAAGATGATGCACCAATGGCTTTTATTCTTTTGGAATTACAAACATTTTCGCTTGTGGGCACCTTAAATTTTCATAGAAAGAATGTATTCAAAACCTCCCCACGATTTCTTGTGATTCGTAACACAGGATAAAACTAAACCAAACATGACACTTTCCAATCGATTTTTAAATCGTAGGAAGTAGAAAAAAAGGGAGATATATAAAAAAAAAAGGAATGGGAACGCAATTACCAGGAGTGGGGTTCGAACCCACGCGGACAATACGTCCATTGGATCTTAAGTCCAACGCCTTAACCACTCGGCCATCCTGGTGACATGCGTGGAGAGGGGCAAATAGTCTTAAATGTACTATAATGACATAATATTTGATCACCAGGTTTTCTCGTCCATGCCATTAACTTCCTCCTCACAGTTTTCTAGACGTTTTCCCAAGGCGAAATGCAGGTGCTAAAACTTTGATAATAACTTTAATCCCAATCAAAAATTAACGAAGTAGTAAATTATTTTTTTGTTTGCCATCATGCAGAGACAACCGCAAAGACAAAATAAATTAGCAGGAGGCAGACATGCCTCTAAGCGCTTTCATCTGCTGTAGTATCGATGATAGCTTTGCCGAAAAAAATTAAAAAGATATCAGTTTATGCCGTAATCAATAAAGTCTAAGGATGGCATCTGCCAGGAGTGACGCAAGCTTTTCTACGTAGCACAATAAGAGATAAGTGGTAAAACTGATTTACTGACAAAGAGAAAATTTGAAATGATTTAACCAGTTCGACACACAACTGCCGACGAGCCTCACAATAAGATGCTCTCGCTCGACTTTGGTGTGGTTTGAGGGCCAAATCAACTTCTTCAGAGTCACTGAAATTCATAGGTAGGTCTGTTCATAATCTGTTCTCGTTAATCGCTTTTAAATTCAAGGTGGTCTTGCTTTGCCACCCGAATAACTTCATCCAAATCATCATGAAAATATTCAAATTTGTCGATCGAATTACATTGTAGATTCAGTTCCTTTGAGATTCTCCAATGGGTGCAATGTTTTTGAAATCTTTTCATTTAATTTTTTCCTTCGCGCGAGCTGTTATGTTTACAATTTGGAACACTACTTCAGGCAATTCATCTGCAAGTCACATTTTAATTCAGTGCTTTTTGCGTCTTAACTTTAAGAAAATCTTTGGTTTTCGATTTCACCAAGGAAGACTGTATAATTATCTATTCATTCATGTGTTCTGAAGCACATTTTATCAGTCGAACACATCCTCTGTCGACAGCGAGGCGAATAATGGTTACAGTATACATTAAAGGCATCAACTAGGTAGGCCAAAAGGAGGTTATATCTCCCGATTTCCGCCGATAAACACAGCGTTGAAAATATGACAATTCACGAGAATTTAATTATCTTTTAGACGTTAATAGGCGACTGAATATTCTAATGTTTGAACTGGCCAATCAGGACCAGATCGTACAAAGAGCACTCATATCGCTTTACCTCGGAAAATTCTAATGGATTTTCTTTGAAATCATTCTTGGTTCATTTACGTTTACCTTTGTTGGTGTTTCTTCATGTCTTCTTTTTTCCCCGTAAAGCACCGGACAAGGAGCATGCACTGTACGTCAATCAAATTAACCGCTTCATAGGAATACGTCAGGTAAATGAGATAGACTAAATTTGATGGTTTCCCAAAGAAAACTCCAGAAGAGCTCGATTTCTTGAATACTGTAAACCATTTTAGATCATGCCGTGAAAAGCAAATTCAGGATGACACGTTCTGACCTTGAGGTCTTTGAAAACACATTTGTAAATTGACTTTTGAGTACGAAACTTTGGAACATTATCCATCATCATACAGACGTAACCATTAATGTTCGTCAGAACACGGAACTTTTTCTTACGAATTCACACAATTTTTGATAAAAAGAGAAAAACCAAATCAAACAGAATATGCCTTGAAGTTTGTCTTTTTAAAAGTGCTACACGTGTGAAATTCGTTAGGACGGTAAATGTAACCAAAACAAGCCGATCTATACGAACAAAATTTACATTAAAATTACTATCCCTGGTGATCTGTTGAAAATGTAAATGAGAGCATCTTCCCTGACGAGTTAATGGCGGATTTTCGCTCACCAAATGCTATTTAGACCACGCATTACCAACTCAAAGAGTCCGTCTAGGCGCTGTTATCTGATTCAAAATATCGAAGACACGTTTTTGATACAAAGTTCTTGCAGGTGTTAGTGAAAATTAACTGAACTCACTCTAAATCATTCTCACCATCTGTTCTCTGTGCTTGTGAAATTTTTTTTGATATCATTTCTACATAAGAATAACATTTACCCAACTAAGAATTCATGAGTAGGGAAGAGATTATTTTAAATCTGCTCGACAAACGAAGGCTGAGTTTGCGGTTAACGACATTTTTAGTGTGTGTGTGTGTGTTTTTTTAAATGCATTTTTAAAAGTCCAACGCAATTTTTCTGGAGAACGAGTTCTTTGTCCCCTTAGGTAAATACGGTCGGTAATCTGCCTGTGTTTGTATTTTTCACGAGTCATAATTATAACATTATTGTTCTCCGTAAATAAACAGCTAGATGTTCTCAGCTTATACACTTAATGATATACTATGATTTTGGCCGACCCAACGCACGAAACTCGATGATAGTCAAATGCATGGCGATCTGATGGAAAGAGAGCCAGACTTAGCGGGAAAAGAAAAAACATCTAGTAAACTTGAGAGACTTTCGTTCATCGAAGAAGGGTGATGTAAATCATGACTGATTTTCAGTTGAGTGTACTTTCAATTTCAAGATCGATCTGGAATCAAAAATAGGTCTATCATCTTGTGCTGGATTTTATTTTTAATCAGCAGATATTTCAGCAAAATGGCGTTAGCTAGTGCTTGTCCGCCCGTTTGCAATAAACCGGTGCACTTTCCGGCTAGAACCAACTGATTTTTAGACAGTTTACTTATTAGTCAATTACGGACATTTTTAATTTTCTGTTATCATGAAAAACGCAGACGCCGCGACTAGAGACCGATCATGACCCTTTGACCCCTAAGAGGGACCAGGGTCTAATTTCTCCTCACAATATCACCCCTGAATGACAGATCTAGGTCACAAGAATAAAGAAAACGGATCATCAACTAAAGAAGTTCTTGATTTTGAACAAATTTTCCTTGTCAGTTGCATAGGAAACGTTATGTTTCTCCACTGAGAACTGAGGTCAAAAGCCGACATGCAGAAAGGAAAAAGATAAACTTTTGTTTTGTTTAATTGGATGCAGTTCACGTATTAAATGTAAAGTTGGAACTGAATATCTTTTGAGACCAAAAAATTACTCATCGATCTCCGTCAGGCAATTTTGGTTTTCCCTACGGAAAATGTGAAAAATGCTGCCATCGATGTTTCATTTGCCGCTAATTGTTTGCCTCTTTGTCTTCTGTCCGGAACTGGGGCAATCAACATAGAATTTAAGTTGTTGCTTTTGTGATAAACTGAAAAAGGTAAAATAATAATAACAATAACAAAATTGGTAGTTAACTGATTTGATTTGATAGGTGTCATACTAAATAAAAATGTATAAACAAATTTACCAGCAGTTTGTCGTACTCTATCTAAGTAATAAATATTTAAGACACTTTCGACAAATTATTGGCAAGACTTTTGAAATATATTTCAATTTGTTAACTGACCCAAAGTTTTTAATATACCTTTACGAACAATGGATGAATCATGATAATTGATATTCGACCTGGAAATGATAAGTGACGAATTGATCTCCACAAGTCAACTGCAATTGATATAAACTAATTGCAAATAATAAGTCCCGAAGAATAAGACTAAGAACTTGTCGGGTTTCGACGCCATGCCTCACCAGTGCTAGACCACAAAGACACGTGTTGAGAGCGACGCAAATTCTACAGTTAGGTCTTTGTTTGTTGATAAGGAATCTGATCGCTAATCGTATATGTGAACTGAAAAAAATTTCAATTTACCCGTGGATAAGATCAGGAGTGAGAAAAAAAAAATGTGTTTACAGGTTAACCATTATGAAATACGTAACAGAAAGGAAAGGCATAGGGTAGCAGAATTTAGGCTTGGACGGTAATAAAAATTTGCACCTCTCGGATCTCCAAAAGCATCACTAACAACGGAGTTGCGAAGCCACGTGTCGACACATGTTAGAAGCGAAGCAGTTTTTGGTTATTGGACTTTGGTTCTTTATTCCCCATTAAGTTTGTCGCCATGCTCAGGGAAAGATAGCAATATCGACTTTTTCAATAGTTTTACTATAGTTACAGCATTCTAGCACAAGAAATAAAAAAATGTATTTATATTTATAAGCGAAATATGACTTCTTTTATTTCCGGAAAACCGCTTATGAATTCTCTAAGCTAAGCATCCTTGGCGCATTTCGAAGAATGACTATTTTCTATACAGGAAAGAAAGGGAATCTGACACATGCTCCTGTGAGTCTCTTAAGTACTTTTGTTGACTGTGCTTCACGCCCGAGCGCAGCAAAACGACTTTAATTGCGAGAAATTTTAAAATGCGCTTTTAAAAGGACTTCAATTGAAATTTGTCTTGGATTTACGTTGGGAAGAAAAATTTAATAACATTGTTGCAAACAATAGCCGGGCGGATAAGAAAAAATTTGCATTTCGGCAAGTTCAAAATCCTTTCGGATAGAATCTACTGACACAATGGGCCTCATTTTTCAAACAGATCGACTCCTACGCCAGCAGGAGTGAAATTTTGAAAAGCGGAAATTTAGAGAGAAAAAAAAAGCAAAAATCATTGCCAAATACACCAGCAATTGAAAACAAGCCGCCAATCAGTTGAAAGGCTCAAGTGACTAACTATCTGTCAGCTTTCTTCACGACCTGTGATATTTCTTTTCGAGAACATCAATCAAGGGATCGGGTTTTCGGCTGAGGTGAGAATTTCCAACATTTTAAAAGTAACTGTGAAATTTATATTTTTATCTTTTCTTCAATGTCCATAGAGTAAAAACTTTATCGTGTGCGCTTGAAAATTTTCATTTCCCTTAAATCCAAAGTCATTTAAATTTTGAGAGACTGCGAAAAAAAAGACGTATTTGACTTAAAAATATATATATTTTTTTAACAGAGCCTGTTAATGCCATCAGTATCAAAAATATTTTGGAAGGATTTCGATATCTTTTTGTGGAAATCTGAAGGACATTTGTTTTGATATTTGTAGCATTTCATATTCTTTGATGTATTATTTTATGTTCTCCGCAGTACGAAGTTCGATTGATTTCAAACATTCATTGCTCTGAATTGAAGTCACCAGAATCTTTAACATGAGGAACTACTTGAGGCCATAACGGCTTTATATTTCGTCTTTTTCTGGGGCCTTTTTTATTTACATCGCCAAAGCTTTATAACTTTTGTGTTTCATATAATATGCAATCTTCAGCTTTTTTTTACAATGTTTGCCTTAATATCTTGCTGTTTTACAATTTGTCCTCGAGAGAGGAAAAAGCTTGTAATTTAACAATGTAATATAACTTTGAAAAAAAACATAAGCCATTTCTTTTTTTCATTTCATCCTCGAAGCGTAAACATTCATCATATTGCAACGCTTTCATTTATTGTTGTTTCTGTTAAATTTTTTAATGACGTTTCCCTTTTTGTTTCTACGCTAGGAGTATAATTCCTGATGTGAGCATCAAACACTTGAACCGCGGACTGCGACTTTCACCGCTTTGAACGCGAGGATTGGCCATGGGAGAGTCTTTAAACTTTACCGGAAACAATTCACAAGGAACAGATAAACTGGGAGAGCATGATCTTGCTGTTATAAGCGCCTACGTTTTTATTGTGGGAGTCCTTGGTTTTATCGGAAACTTGTGGGTGTTAATCGCTTTTTGTTGCTACAAAACTCTGCGAACGACAACAAATTTATTTATAGTTCATCTTGCTGGCTGTGACTTGATGTTGGCGGTGATGGATGTGGCTTTTTCTTTTCCTTCCACTGTAAAGCATCGCTGGCTATTTGGAGCTGTTGGGTGTGAAGCGTTTGGTTTTGTTTACCACTTTTTAAACGCAATGTCTTTCAACACCCTGGCTATAATCTCGCTCGACCGCTTCTGGGTAATCACGAAACCGTCTTTTGGCGCGAAAATTACCGTGAAACGCGCGTTATTTTGCGTGGGGTTAACGCACGTGTACACACTGTTTTTCACGCTGCCAATCATTTTCGACTGGATTGGTTTCCAAGAGGAGATTTACTTCACTGGCTGTTATCTAAATTTTGAGAATAGAGACGAACGGACGGTGATATACTCCATAGCTGTGGCGATATTTTCATTTCTGGTGCCATTTGCAATCATGATCTATTGTTACTTTTCGATTTTTGTGTCGGTTCGCAAACGTGGAAAGGAAAACAATTACCTGAAAAAAAGGCGCAGGAAAAATTGCAAATTTACCCTCCCACATTGGAGGACTGCGCGAATGATCTTTGTTGTAATTTTCGTGTTTTTATTGTGTTGGTCTCCTCATGTCATTGTATCTTTGTGTGTATCGCTCGGAATCAAAGTTTCGATTTTAGTCCAAGAAGTTACATTGCTTCTTGCAAAGTCAGCCATTATTTACAATCCTTTCATATACGCTGTGCTGAATCATCGCTTCAGACACGCCTTTATTGGAATGTTTTGTCAGAACCGGAGTCTGGAAAGTAATGGCGCCGATTGCAGCCGGACGCCAGTCGCCAGTGGTGGACCTGGGTCGAGTTTTAGGATTCCTCGAACAAGCGCATCCGCCAGAACATTGTCGGAACGGTTATCCGAGAGAGAATTGGGTCGAGAGTCTGCGGATCAGTGTAGGCTAAAAAGTATCAGCTATTGCAAGAAAAGGTTGACGATTTGTAGCTCGGGAGAGCTACCTTGCGCTCATAATGTAGCACTGGAACAAAACGATCCAGAGGAAACTATGGGTAAGGCAGTAGCACTCGAAGAAATAGGAATGGACAACGACGAAGAGAAGGGAATTAGAAAGAACGATTTGATCACCATCGAACAAAATTAATATATTTAAATGTTTGATGAATTGGACTCATTCACATGGTGTTTTAATGGGGAGAGTAATGAAAAAGACGAGACAGAAATACGATATTAGTCGGTAACTCATTTGATGTGTGATGTGCGGTGGGTCATGTGTAATGTGTTATGTGTGATGTGGGATGTGAATGAGATCACATTTTACCATTAATGACAATAGAATTGTACTTCGTACCTTTTAATCTTTATCATCTCGTTTCATTTAATGTATAAACTTACTCAGTGAAAGTCACCTTTGTCGATCGATATTTATGACAAAAATAAATTACTTTCCAACTGCATCAGCGTCTGTCAATGTAGAGTCTCGAGGTCTTGATGCAATGGAAACGACTATCAAGCCACCAAAGGTGATCTTGTTAAAAATTCTTCTCTGGAACAAGCAGCCCGACCACTTTCCGAGTCTTATTTGTTTTGTAATGTTTCTCGAGCGATTTTAGTCAGTTTCGTGTTTTCTGATCTAGCTAGGTACATCACCAAAACTGCAGGCAAGCAAATAACAAAAAAAAAACCGCTAAAATGCAGAAAAAAAATTAACGCCTGAAATCATTACACTTTGAACAGTGAGTAAAAATCTGCCTTAAACTGAAACAAATTGATGTCATCAAAGTGCATTACTATATCAATTTTTCAACTGTTAAAAGGGATTTTATCTTTGAATCCTTCCCTTAAGTGTTTCACTGAAAGCTTTTTTAAACGGCTTTCACTTTTCATCGGCGGTGCACATTGATAGAAACCAACACGTTTTTACTCGGGTGAAGGGGGAAGCGGGGCAGTGAGAGGAGAGGGGGATTCACAAATCAGGGACCTGAGAATAGATTATTTAACATTCCAGCGATAATCAAAAATTTTATCTTCCTTAGCTTCGTGTTATCATTACATGGTTATGTGTTAATAACAGACATTGATAAAAAGGAAGGTAGACACCAAGTATGATAAATATGCTGATGTTATGGGCAATTCTCTCAAGTAGCATACAAAAATACGTATGAAGTCAGTATGGAGAATTTATATGTAGACTTAAATATTACTCTTAACTACAGCCGGAGAATAATCGTTCGATAGCTCCCCCCCGCCTCCACCCGATAAATCTGCACTATTAAAAAGCCTTATCGCATTTATCTTTACGCTAATGGCTTCGGGAAGATTAAAGATTGCAGGGTTAAATTTCTGTCTACCTCGTGCTTTTTGCACGCGAACTTTGGTACTCAGCTGATTGTATAAGAGAGAAACATCTTTGTTAAGAAAGCGGAGCTTTTTTACCACTGTTTATTTCCGCGTTTTGGAAGAGGTATAATTTCCAATGCGCCAAATTTTCATCAACATAGGAAGGCGCTTAGTACTCTGTTTACCTCGGCATTTTGGCTGATAAATTGAATTTTAGCACATTATTATGGTCCGCCGTATTTTTTTCCCTAGACTTCGGTCATTTTGTTTACCTTGGCTCGCTACTGAAGCTCTTTTAGGCAAACTGTCTTTTTATTTTCCTCTTCGCGGTCTCTGATTTACATTATCAACCAAGTTGATAAATCCAAATCATCTCATAATACCCCCCACTGGTGTAGCACCTCAGTTTGTTTAGAAACTAACCTCCATTATTTATGAATATAAAAACTGTTCAGATATTGAGAGCCGCTTTATCACTTTTTGATCCCTCTGATTAAAGTCTGCATTTAATCTCGAGTACTTCCGTTACTTCGCTGCAAAGTATTCCGTGTAGCAGCCAGTTTCCGGATTAAAATAAGTATGCTGATTTTGCTGATGACGATTCCGCGAAAAAAATAACACAGTGATATCAAACATCCCAAACCTTTATTGCTTATCGTCCGAAAAAAAGCAAAAACTCCGCAGTGAATCCTTCCGGTGTCAATTCGTTTTCCTCGCGTTCAGATCATCCCTGCGTTTCACGCTAACCTGCCTAACAAAAAGATTCGCCAGTCCGCAGAATAAAATTCTCCGCAAAATTTTCAATCCAAAGCGGAGTTAGTTTCAGACAAAACAAATATCTGACGAGCAGCTTTGGTTCCCATTGTAACTGATAGAATTGCATCGGCTAACACGCGCTTCGTTCACGACGCGCGCGTCAAACGTGTTCACGAAACTCGAGAGACGCGAAAGCACTCTTCATTCCAGCAAATCAATGAAGTTGAAAACATTGAATTTTAACAGTTGATGAAGAAAACACTTTTGTTTTTATGAGACGTATTATTGTGCTAACAGACCACTCATCGATTTGTTTAAAGCAGAACTAATTTAGCGGTTTAATGAGGTCTTGTTCAAAACACAAGCACGCCAATAATATACTTTTATTCAAAGAAATTAAAATTCCAAATGTAAAGGGACCCCACATCTCAGTACAAAGTTTCCCTTCCCTAAATATTACCTGTAGCTATCTAAAACTAATATAAAATGATCAAAATGGTAAAAAAGCCATATTGTAATAAAGGGAGAAGTGTCCTTTCTTTGACAAAGTAATAACACACAGCCGGTTTAGACAATAAATGGTTTGTATACATAACGGAACTCTAATAGAAATCAACAAACCGCCGACAACATCAAAGCAATATAAATTCGGAAAAAGACTTTTCTGACGCATCTTAGAGGTCGATCTTCGGTACTTGATTAGAGATAAGATAAAAGAATTTATTTTGCACAATTTTCCAGTGATAACCGCTAACATTCCACTCCTTTGACCCATAAAAATTACAAACGTCAAGTTTTGAGGGTTAGCGCATTGAACCCTGATTAAGTCACGTTTTCGAACGGTTGATCGGCGGCGAAGAAATCATTTTCAGTTCGCTCAAAGGTAATTAAATCTCGAAAACCTCCAGCTCTGTTCTACTGTTCCACAAAGTCACTAAATCAGAGACGTTTTCTCTTTTCTCCTTTTCCTCTTTATCGAATTCTGTTTCGCCATTATGCTTCACGACTTCTGATCCATTTCCATGACCGCTCGGTGCCAAATCCATCGAGGAATCTCGAATATTTTCAGCGTATTGTGGCGGTTGTGCGTCAAAGTCGATAGAACGACCAAACTCATTCGCGTTGTCGCTTCCATTTACTCCATCGATCTCTACTAGCGCAGAGTTCAATGTGTTAGCGACTTGTTCTCGTTCCACCCATTCGCACGGACTCTCAGTTACTACCCCGCTACTTTCGCTATCAGATGAATATTCGTGAGCTGTAGGCAGGCTATCACTGCGGGCTCTCGTTTCTTCCAACCAGCTTCCGCGCTTGTTCGATATACTCACAGGGAGAGGTTGGTAATTAAACTGCACAGAGCTAAGTCCAGCTGATTTCACGAATGGTTTTTCCACTCTCCTTCTCATAAAGCTCGGTATACTTAGAGGCGCCTGGACGTCCGATTCGCTCTCGCCGCTTGTGTCGGAATGAACCGACTCCGATCGCTCGTGCTTTGAGGAATGATCAAGCGAATGTTGTGAATGCAGTTCTACGGAGTGAAATGGCCTTGGAAGACTACCGGCGAACGAGTGACGATAATAATTTGGAGTGGTGCGCCAAGTTTCTCTTCTCTTGACAACCACTTCGCTTTCAGTCGCTATGGGCGTTTCTTTTGATGGTACGAATGCACTTACTTCTTCATCAGTTTGCTGAGCTTCGGGTCCAGTTGTTGCTTTAGTTGCGATGACAGGGTGTTCAACTTCTTGCTGTTTCTTGACCTCTTCTTCTTCTTCGCTTTCAACACAAACCGATTCGTCGCGCGCAATTTCGCTTTTAGTCACAGCTGACGTTTCTTCTGGTTCAGCAAACGAACTTGCTTCTTTAACGGTTGTTTCAACTTTGGCCCCAATTGTTCCTTCACTTGCGTTAACAGGGTGTTCAAGTTCTTGCTGTTTCTTGACCTCTTCTTCTTCGCTTGCAACACAAGCTGTCTCGTCGCGCGCAATTTCGCTTTCAGTCGCCGGTGGCGTTTCTTCCGATGCAGCGAATGAACTTACTTCTTCCTCAATTTGTTGAACTTCGAGTCCAGTTGTTCCTTTATTTGCAATAACAGAGTTATCAAGTTCTTGTTGTTTCTCGTCCTTTTCTTCTTCGCTTGCAACACAAACTGATTCGTCCAGCGCCTGAAGCGCCAGATCTGCGCTTACCGAATCGATCGTCGTGATCTTTCCATCAGCAACATCACCGTGATCTTCGCGCGCTTTAAATTTATCTTTAAGGTTAGCACTCTCCACTTCTAGTTCGTCAATCCTATTTCTCAACCTATCTATCTCTGCTTTCAATATTTCATTCTCTTCTTTAACGGATGTTAGATCTTCCTCGAGTTGTTCTGCGTGGCTTTGGACTTCGGCTAATCGGATTTTTAAATCCGATTTCTCGTGTCCACTTTCAACTGCGCGTTTTCGTAAGCGCAACACCTCATCACTTCGCTCTCTGAGCGAAGCTGTCGCCTTATCTCGTTCCTCCATCAATACATCGCATAACTGTCGCAATTCTTCGGGTTGCGTCTTCGATGAAGCAAAATCACTTTCTTCCTGATCCAGACTGGTTGCAGATCCATTTTCAATCTTTTCTGATGTACGACTTACGTGGCCATTCGTAAACTCCCTCGAGGACCCTTCCATTGTATCGCCGTTAGAAACGCTTACAGTAGCAGACTGAACCTGTTCGCGGCCGTGATATTCACTCGATGCCGAAAAATCTTTCTTCCCTCTCACTTCTTTGTTCCATTGATCTCCTTTAACATCGAATTGATATTTTTCAAATTTATCGCTAAATTCTGCAGATCTCTCATCCAGATCGTCCTCCATTTTCAGAACTCTGCCGCTGTCAAATATGTACTAGCTCGCGTGGTATCTCTCTTATAATCAGTGCAACATTTCACGTTCCAACCCTCTGTCGCGATCTTATTGGCGCTATTTACGCCTGCGTGAAATTACAGCCGAATGCTCTCTCGATCAATGCCTCCTGTCTTTTCTCTGGTAAATAATTGAAAAAAATTTTTTTCTCGTTGAGTCGATACTGCTCGCTGTGTCTCAAACCGCGAAGGGTTGTGTTTTGCATATCCTATGTCAGCAGAATTGTTTCTGTTATACAGCTGAGTGATCACCTTTTGTTCCCGTGAGCTCAGCCATGATAATATAGTTCGTCCCTGTTGGGTTCTGAAGCATAAATCGTATCCGACTGTTGATATTTTATGCGAATTCCTGCAGCTCGGTATTGAAAACACGCGTCCCTGATATTTTTCTCTCAAACAAAAGCTCTTTTTTTCGTCAACTTAAACGCATTCTTGTTGATGGTTACGGTTAAGATCAGAAATATTTTGCTCGAGTCTTCTATTGTCCTTCACGAATGCTCCACAACAACGCTTTTCATTAACCATGCGTTTTCTATGTGGCGCACGCGCGAATTCTCGTGCAGCACGCGAAGCAGCTTGGCTCGCGCGCGATGTTTGTTATGATTGGAACTCTTTGAGTCACCAGTGCTGTCTTGCAGGTGTTACATTATTTACAGAGCTGCAATGGACTGCCTCTGCAGAATCTTTTGGAATCGTAAGATAAACGATTTTTCGAAGTGGTTTATTTACGGTTTATATCGTCCTTCTAATTATTTGTGATAGCTTTGATTTAACACCTGTGGAAAATCTCCGCGCCTTTTTCGTCGTTCCCGACTCATTTTAAAAGACAAAAACATTCCCACCTTGTTAGCACTAAATTAACGTAATGGTCTTACTTTCAGGTGCAATAACGATTTCCCAGTGTCTCAACAGTTCTCGAGATAAATCATACCCGAGTTCAACTTTTTCCAACGCGCTCATCACCATTTGTCAATTCAATATCTCCCCTCACCGGTACCGTAGCACTGAATGCTCTTGCGTGTAGTTCCCAAATCAATATGTTTGTGGTGCATTTTAACGACTCCCGATGCAAAATCTCCTTTTAATTTCCTGAACCCTGACGTTCGGTTTCCAAATTTCAGACTTTGTTACCATTCAATTGAAGTTGCGTCTCTAATTGATGAGCCCGATCTTGACAAAAATAAATTTCATGTTCTAACCGGTTTCCTCTTTCCAAAGAGCTAGAACACAAAGTATCCAACTGGGCAATCCTCCTCCACGTTTCAAAAGACTCTTTTGAAGGATCGATCTTTCTCTTTTCCGGCTCTTGCACTGCAGCCCCAAAATTTCCTGTTTCTTTCCTCGATGTGTCGCGCTCCTTACAAAACCGAAATGACTTCCTGTAATATGCCATGAGCTCCGCGATAAAACTTTTTATCTCTATTTGTTTTGAGAGCGATTCCAGAGAACGAGACTATCTTGTCAGCTAGAATTTAAATTCTTGAACCTATATTGCACTGGACAATTTCCGTTGCGTGTGACAATTTTACGAGAGCGTATTAAAGAGTTTTGTTCCTGTTTATTTGGACAAGAGTGGTTTCAATCCTGCTGTTTTGTGGTCATCTCATCTGAAATTCTACCCACAAAGTGCAACCACGAAAATACGTGAATTGGGCAGTTTTCCTCTTTATATCCTTTCGCTAATCCCTTAATTCCTAAAATCTTCTTAGTGGTTATCCTTTCTTACTGCCATACAATTCTTACGATGTAAGTTCAAAGAAATTATCATTGAATCAACTAATAATCCCCTAAGTTATTTCTTTCCATTCTCATCACCTGTCTGCTTGATATTGTATTGATATTGTAAGGAGAAATTCTGTCTTGGTCATTCATAAAAGTGAGAGGGTTGAATATAACAGGAAATCCTCAATGATGCTAAAATATCCCAGTTCCGCTGTCCTTCTTTTGCTGATTACTTGGAGGAGAAAAAAATACCTTAGAGGATAAGTCGATGACAAACAATGACAAAGCCGCCTGAGCTAAGAGGAAGTGCATCGACTCAAATGATGTTTACAAATGACTGAGCTTATCAACAATCGGTAAAGGGATCTAATGAATAAAACCAAGATCAAGCAATAGTATTTCCCAGTTCTACATTTCCGATTTGATAATCACTTGGAGGAAAAAATTACAACATGGAAGAGAAAGTGATTTCAACGATGACACAGCAGCCGACAAGCGGAACTAAGGACAACGCATTTTAACCTTTTAGATATGTGTATACCGGTGAGCTGACAGATATAATTCAGATACAAGTACAATAAAGAAACCAAAACTAAAACTATTTAAGACGTTAAAAATTGGTTTTATGAACTGAGTTTATTACGAAAATCGGCCATCGTAAAGAGTTGTGGTCTAAAGTTGACCTTTCCAGCGTTAGCCCTTCGCCAGCTATATAAACCCAAATTTTCTAAGCTAGTATGTCCCCGCTTACGCGACACCAAAGTTTGCTTAGAAACTTTCCTCGTTTCAGTTACATGAGTTTATAGTCCGAAATAAATAAATATTTATATCTGAAATGAACTGGAAGAAAATGAAATTTTTCTGGACTGATAACTTCAGGAGGGTCCTTCTAATTTAATACAACTGTTTCCTGGCAAGCTTAAGCAAAAACCGGATTCTCATAGGAAGGGAAGGGAAGAGGAGGAGGGGGGTGGGGAGAGGAGTTGTGTCATAATCGAAATAGTCAAGTGTACTCCAGAACAATGTATAATTTATTTACCAAGTACGAAATCATTTACCACCAATGACAAATACAACAGCAGTGAAGCTGAGATTGACCAAATATCGCCTCCCTGCCCGTAATTCGCATGCTCCAACATTCCGCTATCTGATTACAGGTCTTTCCTGCCTTATACAGACGAGCGGGGATTAAGGACCAGAAAGACCAGAGAGATAGTCAAGCGATGATTGGCCAAGACGGTAAACATGGCTATTACATCTAATGGGCCAATCAGATGTTTCAAATGACACCTGATAAAATTTTTAAAGTTCTACAAGATGTAACGTTTCATGTAAGGACCTGCGTTATCATGAAGACCGCTGGAGCATGGGATCTATTCGTACTTGTAAAACCCTTCCCCAGACTTTCTCCCAAGCTTGTTGCGCGCGACCAGGTCATTTAAGATCTCGCTAGGACTGAAAAGAGGTTCAGTCGGATACTTCTCGTGCCAACCTGAACAGAAAAATAACAATAATAATCAACAAATTAATAACACATTTTGCACGTCACCTTTTTTTTTTCTTTTAAGCTTGCAAGTAACCCTTCATTGTTATCGCTGCAAGACGCGCGTTTCTCCGCCCGCGGAAAGATTTGGGACAAGTCAGGGAGGGGTTTGCTGAGGATCTGGCACTAATAATGCTAGACCCCTTGCAGACTTCTTGCTGGCTCGCGTTGCTCATACTTTCCCGCGCGCGAAGAAATGCTGACTGGAGCGCTGATAATGAGAGCGTGCTCGCACGCTAGGTATTTTTTTACGATTGCAAAGCCTTCAATTTGAGGGCATTTACTTGGTCATAGAAGAATTTATCCACTAATTTCAAGAAGAACTCGTTATTTGAATTCTAATTTCAAGCGGTACCTACCGTCAATAATAAACTTAGTTGTATCAAGTCCAACATAGTCTGCCAACTCCAGCGGGCCCATTGGGTAACCTAACACCAAACAGATAATAATTTAGAATGAAATTAAGACAAGCATAAATTACTGCTACACTCTTCAGCGCGCGAGGGGCGAATTTGGCTCCACAGTGTTCCCCTCCAATTGGTTTTGAATAGAAATCGCAATTCTTTACACTGTTTTAGGACACGCAAAGTCTTTCTCTTTCTTTTCAAAGCCCGCAGGTGCATTCATTTGTCGTCAAATCCCGCGCATCATTTTCTACCCTTTCTTTGCACTGGCTAACTCCTCCTCCATTCAGTCCACCGCATTTTAGCTAAGGGGCTCACGGGGAGATATTTTGGAAACAGAGGACGTATCCAGAAGTGCATAATTTTGAGTTCACATTTTCCCCTTTCAATCGGAAAAATTCATCGAAGGAAAAAAAAGTAAAGCTAAAAGCGTTCACGAAGCCCGTTACTCGATGATGCAAATCATGACCTTGAAAGCAACGACTTGAGGAACATTTTGAGTCGATGTCATTTGAAATTTCGTGATTTTTCCATAATTTAAATATCAAATTGTTTCATACGCTCGAGACTTTCCACCTGTTTTTTTTTTTTTTTTAAATTGTGACTTTAAAAACTCTTACTTCCAGCTACCGCAAAATGTACCGTGAACCGATGAAATAACGCGCGTGATTACTGCCAATACAGGCGTAAATGGGTTAAGTTTAGCCCGTCATATCTCTTAAACAAGCACGGTGACCTATCTTTTTTATTTTTCCAAACAGACATTGGCAGGGAACATTTAAGAAAAGTTTAAAAAACATTGTTCGATAACTTTTTTTCTTACATCTGCTAAAATAAGCAAGAGTTTCCAGTAACTATACTTATTGATGTTTATCTGTGTCCAAGAAATCTGCACTTTTCTCTTAGACCGAAAATCTTTGCTTAGTTTCCCTTCTGGATTAGAGGTCTGTGGGATTGAAATTGAAGTTTGTAATGTAAAATACAATTTCCTACCTGCTCCAAGCTTCATGGCTGTATCGATGTCTTTTGCGGAGGCATCGCCTGAAAAGAAAGAAGTCTGTAGTTCGTATGATGCACTGACTAATTTTTTTTTTCGGTGGGGGGGGGGGGGGGGGGTGAGGGAAAAGGAGGCGGCAAGGGAATGGGGGGTTTAATAATTTCCCGTTTTCATCTCTTATATTTCTCCCCTTCTTCCTCATCTACACAGAAAACCGAAAATGTCTACAATTTCAAAGTCTTCAAGTCTGATTTTGAAACACTACCAAACCAATCTTGATCTCTACTTCACAAGATCTCTGCGCATTAACCGCCTTGCTTTGACTCCCATAATTGACCAAGACAAATTTTCCAATATCAAACAATGTGAGGAAGACATGTTATGCAAATAAGAAAACCACTAATTGGGAGATTATTAGTTGACCCAACACCAAATTCTCCACACTCTCATTAAAAGAATTGGATGGCAACCAGTAAGGAGAATTACTGGTGAGATCTTGCGAGTGAAAGGGTTAAGCAGGTGTACATTGGAGTGGATTGGTGTACGACTCTTGTATAGAAATGCATTTTTAATCCTCTAAACCCAACATCAGAATGCATATTCTCCAAAGCTGTTCTCCAAACATTTGCTAAAGTGTTGAAAAGGAGAATTTGTTTAACAATCAGAAGCTTCTTTAGTTAGTGATAATTTCCTTTTCTCTTGGGACCTTAATGTGCCAATCCTCCGTTAGGGATTAAATACAAATGTAATTCTAATCATGAATCTAGTAGTTTACAACTCGTAAGAATATCTCTTTTTTTTTTTAAACTTGCAACAAATTAAGTCTTGTTATCATTTACTGAAGGGGAAGAAAATTGTTATCCTTTTTCCCCTTTTAAAAAAAAAATTTTTAACCCTTTAACTCCCAAGATCTGATTACAAATTCTCCCCTTCAACTCATTCCCTTGTAAATTGGTTAAGAGAATTTGGTGATAGATCAAGATAACAACTTTTACCTGCCTAAGTTTGAGTATTCTCATGACCTGTTTGCTCAATAATGTATGGAAATTACAGGGAGAAGTTAAATTTTAATCACTTCTGGGAGTTAAAGGGTTGATGTAAAGCGCCGTGGACAATTAGTGGATTTGGCAATATATAAATATTTTTATTTAATTACTATTTTTTTTACTAATCATTCTCCACTTCTTACCTCTTTCCAGCATTCTAATGGACTCCATTATGTATGGAACAAGTAAACGGTTGACAATAAAACCAGGTGTGTCCTGCGAAACAAAATTTATATCATTTAGCCTGTACATTTTACACCACACTAGAATAGTATGGCTAATTTTTGGAAGACTGCCTTTCACAGCAGATAACTGTGAAGTCAAAAACTTTTCTCAGTTAGAACAATTTCTTGCTTACCTTACAAGACACAGGCACCTTTCCAAGTTCTTTGCTAAACTGATATAAAGCATCAAATGTTTCCTCTGATGTTTCTGGAATACGGATAACCTAAAAGAATCCAGTTTAACATTTGACAACATTCTGGATCAAATGAAATGCATGCATATTTTAAAATATGACCTAAAAGGGTTAAAACCCTTTACACCCAAACATCAATAGACATATTCTCCATACTGTTTACTGTACATTTCCTTAGGTGATGACAATGAGAATTTGTTTAACAATCAATAGCTTCTTTAGTCAAGGTGATCATTTTCTTTATTCTCATGACCTTTATGCTTGATTCAGGGGTTGATATTGTAAGGAGAAATTAGATGCTAGTCACTCTTAGGGATTAAAGGATTACATCATCACCCAAAACTATTCTGAAGAATTTCAGGGTCCAAAAAAAATTTCTTTACTTGATCATAGCAAACACATCAGAGCTCCGGTATTAAAATAACTTTTCGCTACGTTGGACAGTTTTGCAATGAAAAACTCCATAAATGAAATTTGAATGTTTCAATTACTTCTTATCATCAGTTAAGGAAGATGCAGTCACCATTAACATGTTAATCAAAAGCAGTGATACAGAAAGCTAAAAGCTCACCTCAACCAGCTTCATCAAAGGAACAGGGTTAAAAAAATGAAGTCCACCAAATCTGTCCTGTCTCTTGGTAATGCTGGCTATTTCTGCTATTGGTAGGGAAGACGTATTGGAAGCAAAAATGGTGTGACTGAAATGAAAAGGAAGAGGACACTTAGAAAACATGAAATCTAGTTTAATGACAATTTGGCCAAGTTAACAGCATCAAGCTTTGTGAACCCATCAAGGAAGCTTTTCTATTTCCCACCCCACACCCCCCAACCCCCAAAGATTTGAGACTAATTGATAAGAGGTCTGCAAGGTCTACAAGGGGTCTAACACTGATAATGAGATAGTGTCAGACCCCCCTGCAAACTTCTCCTCAGCTAGTCCCAAATCTTTCCAAATCTTTCTGGAGGTGGGGGGCAATAAATGCATCTCTTTCAGCGCTTAAATGATTAGGCCCTGCATGCAAACTACCATCCATTTAGCAGAATCATAATTCTGGAGCACTGTTGTGGCAGTTGCTCCTTAACAGTCCCCAGCACTTTTGTGGTGATTGTTTTCAAGTGTTTCTCTTTCCCATTCCTCCCCTCTTTATTTCCTTCCACAAATCCATAAGTAAGGACAGGTTCTTAGATTAAAAGCTCATCACTGGATTTTTGAGATTTTGAGTTAAATTAGTTAAATCAAATCACACTTAGTTTGTTTGACAATTATTTTAATTTAGTCAAAGTACCAATCCTTTGTGAGTTAGCATGGTCTGTACTCTTATTGACAACAATATTTGTCATCCCTGCAGTAAAACTGTTGTGGACTCACCAGGCACAGACACAATATCAGTGTTAAAAAAAGATTCTTTCAATGCATGACTATTGCGTGACACATTGATGCAAGCAGCATTGTTTGTACTCTTATCCACAACAGCAAATTGGCCAATCAGATTGCAACATTACTGCCAATTGTGGTAAAAAAATTAATTACTCCTGACATTATTTTGACAGCCACATAATTCACCATAATACTTTGAGCCCACAGTTTCATGAGGGATATGTTTTGCCCTTTACGCCTTTTTATTAGTATGCATAATCTCCATACTTCTCTCTACATGTAATCATTTCCTTTACTTGATCATGACCTTCACATATGATTTAGAGGTGATAATATGGGAAGAAACTAGATGCTAGTCATTCTTTGGGTTCAAAGGGCGAAAAAGTCTTGGTAATCACTATCAGAACTCCTAAGGCTATTTGCAGCTCAATATTTAATATAGAAAGTAATAAAAATTAAGTTCATGTAGCTACAATGTTAGTATACCTGGGTGCAGCTTTATCAAGTTCTGCAAAGAGATTGTGCTTTACACGCATATTCTCAACAATGGCTTCTATCAAGAGATCTGTTTCAGCAATGTTAGCTGCAGGATCTGTGCTTATCGTGATCCTTGAGAGAGTATCAGTCACAAATTGTTTTCCAGCCTGCAAGCAAATTCAACTCAATTACTAAGTGGATGTTATGAGATCTTCACAACAAAACAAAATTTAGTAATTGATGTCTTTCTCTCATGCCCACTTTGAAAACCATTAACCTTTTAACTCCCAGCAGTGATCAAAATGCAACTTCTCCCAATAATATCCATACACTATCCAGCAAACAGGTAATGAGAATACTTAAACTTCCTAGGTAGAAGTTGTCATCTTGATCTAAAATTAAATTCTCTTAACTAAGTTATGAGGAAATGTGGAGCAGCCAGTGGGGAGAATTAACGATCAGATCTTACAAGTTAAAAGATTAAGCAAGGAGCTTTGGCTCCAAAAAAAATTGCAGCATGCATTCTATGGAGGCACTATATTTCTGTCATCAGTGTTGAGAATTACATCAACATTTGCGGTCGGTAGGTGTCTATGCAGTTACTTAAACCTGTTGATTATAAGTTTAAGGTTCACCTTAGGGTTATTTTTAATCTCTCCAATATCCTCCTGAGTAGTGTATACCTGAGGGTCATTTTTAATCTCTTCTATACTCTCTTGGTTAATATATACCTGAGGGTTTTTTAAAACTCTTGCATACCCTCCTGGGTGGTGTATACCTGAGGGTTATTTTTAATCTCTTCTTTACCCTCTTGGGTAGTGTATACCTGAGGGTTATTTTTAGTTTCTTGCATACCCTCCTGGGTAGTGTATGTCTTAGGGTTATTTTTAATTTCTTCTATGCCCTCTTGGGTAGTGTATACCTGAGGGTTATTTTTAGTTTCTTACATACCCTCCTGGGTAGTATATTTCTTAGGGTTATTTTTAATTTCTTCTATACCCTCTTGGGTAGTGTATACCTGAGGGTTATTTTTAATCTCTCCTATACCCTCTTGAGTAATGTATACCCGAGGGTTATTTTTAATCTCTTCTACACTCTCTTGGGTAGTGTATACCTGAGGGTTATTCTTAATCTTTTCTATACTCTCTTGGGTAGTGTATACCTGAGGGTTATATTTAATCTCTCCTATACCCTCTTGGGTAGTGTATACCTAAGGGTTATTTTTAATCTCTTGCATACCCTCTTGGGTAGTGTATACCTGAGGGTTCTTTTTAATCTCTTCTACACCCTCTTGAGTAGTGCATACTTGAGGGTTTTTTTAATCTCTTGCATACCCTCTTGGGTAGTGTATACCTGAGGATTAATTTTTAATCTCTTCTATACCTTCTTGGGTAGTGTATACCTGAGGGTTATTTTTAATCTCCTGCATACCCTCCTGGGTAGTGTATACCTGAGGGTTATTTTTAATCTCTTGCATACCCTCCTGGGTAGTGTATACCTGAGGGTTATTTTTAAGCTCTTCTTCACCCTACTAACACAGCAGTCATGTTAAATGATATTCATATGAGTGAATTTACTCAAAATTACCTAAAATGCAATAACGGTGTTTAAGGAAAATGCAAAGATCAGCTTCTACCCTGTTATAGTCAATTTTGGCTTGAGTGATGTCTTCAGAAAAGCTAAAAATGCCATTCCAAAACTTTTCCACATAAAAGGTCATAATATGAATAATTGCATTGCGCCAAAGCTTGTAGACTGAACAGGGAGACCATCAGTTGAAAGCAATGTGTATTCTCTGGATTATCTAATCAACACAGTTTCTGGACTTTAAAAGTTCAAGTTCCATGACCTGTATAAAGAAGGGTTTGTTGGTGCTAGCCTTGTACAGGTCTGGGTCTTCGATCATAGAGGTGAAATCAGCTTAACTGATACTGCTTTTTAGGCCATTTTTGAGTTTCTTCTTTTTACCTGTTTTAAATTGTTCCACCTATGTTTATTTGGTCAGAACTAGTTGTGGACCTTGTGTTAACAATTTACTGTTGTCTTCTTTAAGACAAGCATTGTTTCTACTAAGAAAATAAGCTTAGTGTACTGCCCTTGGGTTTTTTCGAATTAGACCCGTTAAGTTTGTACGAGGCATTTCTCTGGACTCTTGTTTCTGGAAAATGAAGGAACAAAGTAGAGTTGTATCTGGAAAATGATTAGAAATGTAATTATTGGAAGTTGCAGTTTTTTCCATTTCATTCAAGGGAAGCTTTATTAACTTTTTTGTAGCGATTATCAGATGTCCTGGAATGTTCAGCAAACACCTCATGCCACCAAGGTGTCAAACCTTGGCTTGAATTAATTGTGCAAATTAGCTGGCTGCACATTGAATGTGCAGCCAATTAACTTGCATAAATTTTTTTCCCAATGCAAAGCTTGTCATGACCTGTCTGCTTACACAAAATCAAAAGGCAAAACTTACCAACAGTTTGAACTGTTGTTATTGGCAAAACTAATAATTTTGAATCAAGCATACCCTTTCTCGTATTTCCTAAAAATTTTAACAGGTCACCAGGAAAAGAAAAAAAGGATCGAGTCTTTGTTAAATCTGGTAAATAATATCCTGGTTGTTACGCAAATTTCAAACAAGGGCAGCGGTACTTAAATTTCAAACACATTTCCAGACAAGCCTTAAGAGGTTAAGAGGTTATTGCCTGGGATCTCAAAATATTGCTAAAAAATATTAGATAATTTTAAAACACTACCTCAGGATCATCCTTAAATTTCTTCTTTGAAACTTTCTCTAAGCTTTTCTCGATGGCATTCAAAGATTTTGTCAAAATTGCGTCTGTTTGATCCACCATTGTCACCTTGTGATTTGTGGCTGCTGCTACCTAAAAATTAATCCAAGATTCAAAAGTTTCAAATTGACCTATAAACAAAAAACTCTTCTACTACTCCTATTACACCCAAACATCAGCATAAAAATTCTCCATACTGTTCTCTATACATTTGCTATGGTGCCAACAAGGATAATAATATTTGTGTAATGATCATGAGCTCTTCAGATGGTAATCATTTCCTCTATCCTTGTGACCTTAATGCAGTGTTCTGAGTGATATTTTTTGGAGAAATTTAGATGCTAGTAACTCTTACAGGTCGAAGGGTAAAATCTCTCATCGCCTGTCTTTCTGATAATGTGCTGATATGGCAGAGTAAAACTTGTGTCTATAAGCTGCACAAAAGAAAACTAAAAAATCTCCCACAGGGTTAACCTCCCTCTTCTGCTAAGCATATTCCAATATCACTTTAAGAAATGAGGGTCGCACTTTTTTAAAGTCAAAGAAGTATTTTAAAAAACTACGTGCATTATAACAATAGGAAATCAGGACTTCAAGATATATTGATCATGTTCATGTTCAATTCAACAATTTCAAAATTGTTGAAAATCGAATCGGCGAGAACGGAACACCAATCACAGCTTGCAATGAGAAAAGGTGTAAAATTTGACAATCTTTCGGTGATGAATGAGTTAAGAATAGGTTCATTCATAACCTAGAGGTTGTTCAAGGTCATCACATGTCCATTCATAATTGCCAACTCACGCAAACCTTAAAAGGCTCATTGATTCAATGGAGCACGATGTGACACAAAAAAACCCTGAAAATTGATTCATAGATTTCCACAAAAAAAATGCATCAATTTATTTGATGATGTATGAATTTCTTCTGTTCATTTACGAATGTACCTGAGCAATTCCAGAACCCATAAGTCCACTACCAATGACTGTTACAGTTTTTATCGCGTTCTGACTAGATGTTGTACTGAAAAAAGTCGAAATCACTGGTAAGTTCTTCCTAAGTGAAGGATGTCTCAGAATCTGAGCACATGGCAGCTTTGAAGCGGTACATTGAAAGAGGGAAGCCATAACTTGGGAAGGTATGCAACTAGTCGAGGTTTACTTGCACGATCATGGATCAAAGACGGATTACTCGACGAGAGACTGGGACTAAGAAAGGGCAACGTTCAATTCTCCACTTGGCCATAGGTGACCTTCCCACTAATTTAAATTCTTTCATTTTTTTATACACGAATAATCCTGTTCAAACTCCGATCTCCTTATCAATCAAAGCTTAAATAACTTATGTGAGGATTTCTGCTTGAACTTAGTAATTCAAGAACCACTGTTTTTCGGAATGAAGGATCTGCGCGCAAAAAAATACCAAAATGCGCCGGTGGATTTGTCGGAAAAGCGTGGTCGAAGGGTAATTGATGGGTCTTTTTCCATTTCGTCCATTTATCTTTGAACTGGCAAAGGTCATAGCTAGATATCTTGCTAGCTATCTATTGAAAACTGTTTGAAAATTTTTTTAACCTTGGTGTTCAGCGGTCGACATTCTATTGGATAGTCTGTCATGTCTAGAATCATATCATATCCTAAGCTCCGGATCATTGACCAAAGGTCGAAGAGCGTGACAGTTACGTTTACTGGCAAAAACTCGTGATTAATCAAGTGTGTTCCGCTACTATATAAGCTTCTTCGCTGAAATTATCGGTTAGACAGAATCTACACTACATTAGCGTAAGTATCTTTCTTTGGTTTCAGCAGACCACATCCTTTCAGAAAGTGAAAATTTTTCCTCAATCTATTGTAAGGTACCATAATTTATTCACAAACCTATACTACTGAGGTACGTTCGTAACCTTATATATACTCCGTCATGCATATTTACGTTCACTTTTTGACGTTATTTTCAGACAATCAGAGAAATATTCGAGAAAAAGATGGCAGATAACGCAGCCGAAGCAGCTCTGAAGTATCTTAGAGACCCTGCAATTGCTGCAGGACTTGGAGCTATGGCAGTCGCATCGATGTATTATTTAACTTCTCGTCCAACCCCTCAGCCTTGTCCTGTGGATCCCATGAAACAATCTTACGAGTTACCGGTAAGCTAATGGCCTCAATGAAACGATCAGCTATTCTCATTGTTGGTTTGATCGTCTCGCATAATGCATGGAATTTGGCGTGATTCTTAATGGTGACAAGGTACCAGCGCCACCTCCCCTAATTTCACCGCAAAAAGTGCTTGAACTATGATCGTCCGATGTTTTTTTTCAGAGATCTGTTTGTATAAATTTACTTTCTTATGTTGAACAAAATTGCGATTTTGATTTGACATACTTCATCCACTTTCCAAAATCCCTCATTTCGTGGAATTCAACCGGAACATCCTTTCACGTTGGTTCGATCGATCAGATCACTTTACGTTTGTATCCCGAAAAAGGATTTCAGGCATTCTGTAGCAACTCATCATTTATAAGAGGTGTTAAGTTTCAATAGATACTGTGATATGCACAGAAGCCAAATCATACTCTTGCCAAAACACGATTTCTCCCATTAATGGAAATTAACCAAAACTTTGAAATGTTGCCAACCGCAGGCATCACGTGACCTCCTGTGACCGCTTTTTCTTCTTTTTGGAAAGTTTAAACCTTTCCTAACACCCAGAAAGAAAAATTATCCACATTCTTCTCTGCAATTTTCTTCTAGTACTGACAAGGTGAATTTGTTAAACAATCAAAGTTTCTTAGATTGACAATCATTTCTACTACTCTCACGATCCTAATGCATGATTCCAGCAGTATCACTGTAAGAGGAAATAAGATGCTGGTCAGTCTTAGGGTTTAAATGGTAAAGGAAAGCTTAAACTAGGTAATATGACCACAGTTTTTTAATTAAAGTTTGTTCTGATGCATAAACACAGTCAAAATTTGTATGACAGTTTTGTGGATTATCTTATTTGACAGATGAGTCCTATCCTATTACTCAACCCTTTAATCCCTAAGAATGACTAGCATCTAATTTCTCCTCCTCTGTGAGAATCAAAGAAATGGATATCCAACTAAAGAAACTCTTGAATGTTCAACAAATTCTCCTTGTCAGCACTCTGGGAAATGTATGTAGAACAGTACAGAGAATATGCACATGATTGTTGTAGTGTCAACAGTTTATTTCCATTGATGGACAGAGGATGTTTGTAATAAATTTATGTCAAACCTACATTGGGCATTGGGTGTTTGTAATGGCAAAAATCTGTTGTGAAGGGAACCTTTCAAGTTTTTCCAATTTCAAAAATTTTATTTCCAAATACAAAAAACAATCTTGTGAAGCAGTAAAACATTTTCTTTCTCTTTCTCCTTTTTCCCTCTATTGAGAAAAGTGGCTTTGACCCTTTAACCTACATGATCAGATTGTTAATTCTCTCTTCTAGCTGCTTCACATTTCTTTGTAAATTTGATACAAGAATTTGGTTTTTTATCAAGATAAAAACTTCTACTTGATAAGTTTGAGTATTCTTATCACCTGTGTGCTGTATAATGTAAAACAAAAAAATTGAAGGGAGAAATTGTATGTTAATCACTTCTGGGAGTTAAAGGGTCAACATACAGTGAATACATCATGCTTGTAATTAGACAGTGTAATAGGATAGTTGACATGTCATGCCTGTGTAAGTGGACAGTATGCGTCATGAGCATGTACTGTTGTTGTGCATTTTGCTGACATTATTGTTGTTTGTTTTATGAAAACTTACAATGGATGTTTAGTTTCTCTCCCAAATTTTGACATGGTTTTGATTAATCAGTGAAAGGACTTTGTGTTCTCTAATTCTGTCTGTAATCATAGTTATGATTAACAAATTGCACTCCTGCCTTGCAGTCTTCCAATTTTGTTGATCACTCATATGATTAAGGACCAAATTGGACTCCACTCAGTCCTATTACCATTATTTATAATGGCAAATCATTGCTAGTAGTAATGATAATTATAACAATACTTATTTTTATTAGGATCACCAAATGTAATGATTTAAATTTTATTATTTGCCCATGCAGGATGGAGATTATGCCAGAATGAATTCACTTACAACTGAACTTGTGGAGAAATTATTTGAAGATGTGAGCACAAGCCATGAAGCTTTCCTTCGTGGAAAGAGATTATCTGGTCAGTTATTTTATTTTTAAGTCTGCCTTCCAAGCTTTCTCTGTGTAGGAGGTTATTAACCAGTTTTTTTATGTTGTATTTAGGTGACAAGCCATGCCTGGGCTACCGCAGCAGTCCTGGAGGACCCTATGCTTGGCTCACCTATAATGAGGTTAGAAACTCCCAGGATCTGATTGTTAATTCTCCCCTCTACCTCCTACGCATTTCCTTGTAAATAAGTTACAAGAATTTGGTGTTAGATCAATATAACAACTTCCACCCGATACATTTGAATATTCTCATTACCTCTTTGTTAGACAGTGCATGGATATTGTAAGGAGAAGTTACTTGTTAATCACTTGTGGGAGTTAAAGGGTTAATTGTCATGAAGATTAGGAAGGCAAACATTTTCTTCAAAAAATTAAAACCAGGGCCCAGTTGTTCAAAGGGTGATTAGCACAGACCCAGGGTTAAATTTAAATTTAAATCCAGGTTTCTTTATTTCTTTGTTCAAAAACCTTTTAGGCAAAATTTTCCCTATTCTTTTTAGAACATCCAATGATCAAATTGCAAGCAAAAAGATTTGATCTAAACTTCCTTTTAAAGCTTTCAGATCTGAAATCAAATTCCACACTCACCCTGGGTTATCTCAACCTAGCTTTGGACAACCCAGGCCAGGTCGTAATAATGCTACAACTTGCTACATAATTTCTGTACATGTGCCACTGATTCTTTTTTAGTTTGCCATGGCAACCAAAATAGTTGTGGGATAGAGCACTGGGGTGATAATGCTATCTACTAGATAAATCTCTATTCATAATTGGGCATTACATTTGAGAAACAATTATCCTATTGATAAGAATATATCTGTTGGAAAGCCTTATCTGCCCTTTGGACAACTGGGTCCTGGTATTTAGGTGGACTTGGAAATGATGTTGGGGTGTTTACATGTATCATAGTAAGATAAGGAAAAAAAAACTTGGAGTAATTACCAAAACTTGTAGAAGTTTTTACACAATGGAGCTGTGTGTCAGAGGGGTAGGTTTGTGTAAACATTCTTTTTGAGAGCCAAAAAAGGAGAGAGGAGTAGGAATGTAGATATATATGCACGCTCACTAGTTTTTCTAGTTTGAGCACTCTGGCATGGCTTAGATGATCCCACATGTGTGAGATGTTCAGTAATAGATCACCTCCAGATGATCAGGACAAACTGATGGAGGCCCAAAAGGCCAAAACAGTACTGTCTGCAGTTTATTCCTGTTTTTCTCACCATTCCCGCAATTTTTGCTCCTTCCTGATCTATAAATCCACACACAACCCACAATTCCTCTAATCGCTCTGACGAAGGGCTAACGCTCGAAACATCAGCTTTTTTACCCTTTACGGTGGCTAATTTACGTTTTCAACCCAGTTGTTTAACACTCAATTACCTGCTATACTCTCCCACCGACGCAGCACCACAGTTTCTTTAGAAACTTACCCCTTTATTCATCTGTCTGCAGTTAGTTATATATATATATATGTATATATATATGCTTTATACCCTAACATCAGTATGCATATTCCTCATATTGTTCTTTATACATTTTCTAAGGTGCTGATTTTGAGACTTTTTTTATTAATCAAGTGGTTCTTTTATATTTGGTGATCATTTGCTTTATTCTCATGATCCTAATGTGTGATTCAAGGGTGATGTTGTGAGGAGAGATTAGATGCTGGTCACTGTTAGGGGTTTAAGGGTTAAATATTACTTTTCATGATTTCCTTTGCAACTAGACCAACTCTTCCAAGTCGATGCAGCTGTATTACTTTTTTGTAATAGTTTCTTTGTAAATCTTTCCTTAGGTCTATGAGAGATCTGCAGACACTGGTTCAGGGTTGATAGAGATTGGCTCAGAACCAGTGGATGAGGAACATGTTTTTATTGGTGTTTATGCTCCAAATAAAATTGAGGTAAACAGCCATGTTCAATTTTTTTCTTTTTCGGTGGATGCGTTGATTGGCAAGTTTTTTTTTCTGTTAGTGCATCTATACATGTATGCTGCTGTTCAATATTTTTTTCTAATGCCCTTTTGTTTCAGATTACGAAACAAGGGAATGTAAAGGTTACATATAATGAACTGTTTCTAGACAGTTCAAAGCAAGATGAAAATTGAACCACAGCATATATGTGTATTTTAGAAACTTAATTGCATCTTCTTTTCAATCTTGCATCTGCCCATGCTTTACAGTCACAGTGTTTCTTCATCACTAAAGTAAAAAAAAAAGAGAAAAAATAGGAAGGCAAAGTTCAAATAAATGTGACTTAATTGCTCAACAAAATCAACCCATCAGTCTTTCTTTGACTTTTGCTTCATCTCAGTCATTTCCACAAATCCAGAAAAGTTATTGAAAACTTCTCAATGTTTCTACTGTTTTTCCCTAGTGGGTGCTTGTTGAACAAGCTTGTAACATGTACTCAATGACCATCGTTCCACTGTATGACACACTCGGTCCAGAGTCATGTGTCTACATCATTAATCAAGGTAAGTCAATCAATCCCAAAGTTGCTCCCTCCATGCTAACATCAAGTCTTCATCCCGGGTTTGTTTTTTGATTTGTGTGACAGGCTTTGCCAAAAAGGGAGGACTGCTTGTAGTCTGATTTTACCTTAGTTTCTCCTTGTCTCAGACAGCCCTTGAGCAGTCCTGTAAAATCAAGAAGGAAGGAGGGGGTGGTAATAGCGGAGTTCGCAGAGCGTAGCCCCATAATTATACAAAGTAGTAGTAACCCATCAAGCCGAAAAAATTTGGATGTACGACCGTACGACCGTGCGACCGCACGACCGTACAAGGTGCTACTTTTAACATGCGTGGTCAACTGTACCGCGGGCACGCCAACGCCACGGCTTTGTTCAGTAGTCCAGTGGTCAGTGCACTGGGCTCCGAGTCGGACGACCCGGGTTCTAGTCCTGGCCAGGGCAAGGCGTTGTGCCCTTGAGACGTGCGGGAAAAAAATGCGAGCTCCGCTTTTAGGCTTGGCTAAATCTATATATTATTCCTAGTTGGGTCATGTTAGGAAAACTTGGATAGCCTCCAGCTGTGTGAGCCATTTGGCTTGAGTACAGACTAAGACAGAAACTTTAAGAGTGAGGGCTGAAACCTGAAAAATTTATGACGTGACAGGTATAAGTTTGTTAGCCTGAACTTTTCATGTTTAAGATTATGACAGCCAAAACAAGAGAGTGGAAGGATGTTTAGGAACATATCAATTAAGTTTGGGTTATTATAATTTTCTTTTATTTGCAGCCAAAATGGTAACTGTTGTCTGCGATGAAAGCAAGATAAAAGTGTTGCTGGAACAGTCCGACAAATGTCCCAAGTTGAAGAACATTGTAAAGATTGGATCTTCTGTCACAGATGAGGAAAAGGAAGCTGGAGAGAAAGTTGGAATCAAAATCACTTGTTTTAGAGAATTAGAAGTAAGTACAGTAAAGGAGGAATTCGGATAAAGTTTTTGCCCGACAATTTTTATTTTCTAATTGATGTTTGCGTGACAAACGCAAAATTTTTCTCCGTTTTTCGCTCTGCTTTTACTGTAATGCTATATCTGCATGTTTCTATTTGAACATCTGGTGCTGGCCACCATAAATTGTCAACGGCAAAATATAGGCAAGATTTTTTTAAAGGTACACAGACTGTTACTATGCTCCCTCTAGGGTAAACATGTGCAAGACATACTGGAGAAGCCATGTTGTTAGTTTTGTCCAAGAATCACCGATTAATATTTTTATGTTGATATTTATTCACTTGTGTTTATATTTATGTTTGTTTGTTGTTTTTTTTAACAGGAAATAGGAAAAAATCACAGACACCAGGAAAAGGTAGCTTGAATTTCAGAGTTCAATTCGTTAGTTTTATTTTGCTGTGATACGAATTTAACGTGGCGTAGGACTAATTTCGAAACAATTCGGAAGGGTGAGTTGTCTCGCCTCGGTGATAACTGTTTTAGGCGGGACAACTTTTTCTTCTGTAAACACTTCGGCTCGCCGACCGAGTATAGCTTCCGTTAGCTGCTTTAATTTCAAAGATTCCAATTCGTCGCCAACGCACAACAAAGACACGTAATCGGACTGTTTTTCACGAATGACTTCAAACTGCAAGTGCAAAACGAAACCTTCAATGCGTGCGATTCCTAGGGAATCACACTTTGGATCGGAAACGAAACGGCCACACAAGTGAACCGGAAACGAAACGGTGGCCAGAACCGAGAGACTGGTGAGTGGACAGCCGTTACACCTCACAACTGGAGAATCCTACGCCACGAGTAGAAACATTCAACTGGTTTGCCCCCTCCCCCCCAAACAGTTAGGTATTTTTTACCTTGTTGTGTCTTTGTCGAATCGTTTATTTCTTTTATTTGGTTTATTATCACTTTAGGACGCGCGTTTTTCCGCCCGCGGGAAGATTTGAGACGAGTCGTCGTCAAGTTTGCTGGGGGTCAGGAACTAATAATTCTTCGTTATCAGTGCCAGACCCCTTGCAGATCTCCCGCCGGTTCGCGTTGTCCAGGTCGAATACTTTCCAGTGGGAAAAAAATGCTCGTGCCGATCCGCAATGATGAGTTTTGTTCAGCCCTATAACTTTTCCGCAAGGAACTCTGTGGAGCGTGATGAATTCTCTTTTTTTTTTCCTCCAATAGCCTCCTAAGCCAGAGGATCTTGCCGTTGTCTGCTACACAAGTGGTACAACAGGTCAGTGATTTTTTTTGTTGTGGGAAAGACATTTATTCTTCTTGGATGGTCAACAAAGAACGTTGCACCTATGTTCGATAAAGGTTTTTTTTTCGCTTGTGGTACTTAGAGCTATCATAACTCGTGTGTCTTTTCCGTTACAAGAATAACGTGTGCTTGTAAATATATCTATTTTGATCAGGTAATGCTAAAGGTGCCATGATAACGCATAAAAATGCGATTGCAATGCTGTCTGGACTCGTCCATCTCGTTCAAGAGGTATCTTATAATCTTATATTGCTTGTTAATCTTGTTTGTTAAGCTCTCTCCTTTTACTTTGTGTTCTATGAACTTGGAAAGACTTTGCATATACCTAGCGGTGTATTTTACCGTTCAATGTAACGCAACGCGTTTCTCCACTTGCGTTTTCTCTGGAGGATTGCGTGACGACAGTTATTGTTGTTTCTGAGTTGATAATGTAAATTGGCCACCATAAAAAGTTTCTGACGCTGACATTTCGTTGCGTTAGCCCTTCTTCGAATAGCGTGAGAGCTAACGCCTGAAGTGTCAACTTTCAAAACTCCTTGCGGTGACTAATGTACTTCACCAACTCAGTTTATAAAACCAAATTATCTTGTAATACCTCAGTTTCGTTTGAAACTTCCCCCTTTTTATGATTGTTTTTGCCGAGGATACCTGTGCCTCGGGCTGAAAAACACCGTCCTTCTGTTTAACTTGTTGTGTTTTTCTCTAACTTACTCTATCAATGTTTATTAGTGTGGAATTCCGATATCAAGTGAGGATGTTCACATTTCCTACCTTCCGTTGGCGCACATGTACGAGAGACTTGCTCAGGTGACTCAACTCTGAAACAAATAGTTTAAGTTGGTAATCAGCCAGACGTTTAAACCATCGTAGCCTGTGGTGTGAACAAATGCGATGCAGTCAACATGTCGGTTGACGCGTCGGTTGTAACTTGTTTTTGCACTTCATGGTGACCGTAATTTCGTTTGCGTCGTGGAACGCGTCGGCAACGCGTTGGCAATGCGTCAGTTAACCGTTTGTCTCCACTAACAACGCTGACCGTATTTTTGTTATTTTGTGTTTTTGTTGACGAACGCGTCGTTAACGTCTTAGTCGACTGTTGGCCTACGCGTCAGCCTTCGTCGATCACGTTGATCGTATTTTTTTTAAACTTTGTGTTTGTGTCGGCGAACGCGCCGGCAACGCGTCAGTCGGATGTTGGCCGCTGCGTCCGCATCCGCTTATCACGCTGACCGTATTTCTAGCTTAATTCTTGGGTCGGCCGATGGTTTATTGAATATTCGGCCGACGCGTTGTTCGTTTATCGGCTGACGCGTTGATCGTATGTCGGACAACTCATTGGGGATTTGTACTTGCAAGTTTTATTATTATTATTATTATTATTATTTTTGTTATTACTTTTTTCCTCGAAACCTTGTAACTTGATTTTCTGTTTTCATTCCTCTAGCTGATGTTATTCACATATGGCGGAAAAGTCGGTTTCTATGGTGGCAATGCAAGAAACATTCTGGAAGATCTGCAAGTTCTCAAGTAAGTTAATGCATAGCGCTGTGACTTCCAGAACTGTAACTTCTCCTAACAATATCAGTACGAAATACAGCAATTAGGTTTTGAGAATAGATTAGCGTATCTTGGTATAAATCCATATTCTCTAAATCCTTTTACATCCTAACATTAGTATGCGTATTTTCTATACTGGTCTCCTTAAATTTCCTAAGGCGCTGATAAGAAGACGGAGAAAATGCATACTGATGTTAGGGTACGAAGGTTTATTACTCGGTGTTCGTCATTGTGGAAAGGAAAAGGAAAATAACCTCAACTTGGGTTTTAACCAATGCAATCTCGAAAGGCGTACGCATTGTGCAACCGTTTCAGGCTACCATGGATGGTTTGGATAAAATTGTTGTTAATAGTCAGTTTATTTAATTTTATTCGCTTCCAGGCCGACAATTTTCGTCTCTGTACCTCGTGTGCTTAACAGAGTGTATGATAAGGTATGTACGGCTGTGTGATTGTAGTTGAAGCCTCTTGTAGTTTTATACTGCTTTGTGACGAGGGATAATCTCAGCTGAGATTAATTCATGTGATGGACACGTTGTGCAGTTGCAAATTCTCTGTTCGTGCATTTAAAAATGCACTGACTGAAAACCTGCCATTGCATAACGCAATTGAAAAATAAAATTTTTCTTTCCGTTCTTTTCCTAACGCTCTAAAGAACAGTATGGAGAATGTGCATTCTGATGTTACAGTCGAAAGGGTTAATAATATTTTCGCTTCCTCAATCTCTCAGGTAATAAAACAGGCGTCGTCCAGCGCCGTGAAGAGTTTCCTCTTTAACTTGGCCATGCGTTTCAAGAAGGCAGAGCTAGAGAGGTAATCGCTTTCTTCTTCTATCCATTTATCGATACCCTGGTTCCTGAAGTACATTTAAAGTTAAAAGTTTGGATTCTCCTCTTGGGTTTCATGCCAATTATTCTATCCTTGTGTGCTCAAATTTCCAAGCAGAGGTCGTATCTAGGAACACAGAACATCAAGCCAAGCCCTCACCATTCGGTTAACTTGTCAATCAACATGTGCGGAAATGCGAAGAACGGTGTTTTGTATTTTGTGCCTGTAGGACTGTTCCAAATTGTTGACTCTACTTTCCTCTCTCTCCTCTAGGAATATAGTCCGTAACGATAGTATATGGGACTACCTTGTGTTCAAGAAGATCCAGGTGCGTTTATCGTATTGTTTTCTATTGATTTTCCTGGCTTGTAGTCCAGGTGATGACAGTTTCTAGGACTACCCTGATCTTCTAAGAGTCATTTTCTTGAAATCTCATAACCCTCTTCCTTTCTTACTACGTCGTCCTTCCTTCACTACTTCGTCGATAGTAAAATTGATTTGTGGGCAAACTGCGGAACAGTTACTTGAAGATTGTGTGATTGTGCTTATGAAGAATTGTATAGAGAGCGCTCTGTGGAGGCGCGGTGGCCTCATGGTTAGTGCGCTCGACTCCGGATCGAGTGGTCCGGGTTCGAGCCCTGGCCGGGGTCATTGTGTTGTATTCTGAGGCAAGACACTTTACTCTCACAGTGCTTCTCTTCACCCAGGTGTACAAATGGGTACCAGCAAATTTCGGTGGTATCAGATATGATTGCTTACTCTGATGTGTCTTCACCGTTTAACCCTTATGAGTGACTAGCACCTAATATCACCCCTAAATCACACACTAAGGTCACGAGAATTATTGAAATGATCGTATGATGTACAAATGGGTACCAGCAAATATGCTGGGGGTAACCCAGCTAAGGAAACCGGAGTCTAGCGCCGGCCCCATGGGCCACTTGACACGTTCGTTTGGGAGGAAGCGGTGTATCAGATATGATTGCTTACTCTGATGTGTCTTCACCGTTTAACCCTTATGAGTGACTAGCACCTAATATCACCCCTAAATCACACACTAAGGTCACGAGAATTATTGAAATGATCGTATGCATACTGATATTAGTGTGTAAAGGGTTAACGCTGCCCTGTGATTGGTTTAGAAAGCCCCTGAACCTTTAAGATGGAATACTACCACACAACTTCGACCTAGTCACGTATTATGGAGTTTCAATGGGCCGTTTTTCTTTTCACATGATTACCAGCACTGGCTTTGGTTGTGTAACTATGTTCATATCCATTCGACAATCACTCCAAATTTTCGAAAAAACCGGGGAATTTTTTTTTTATTTTACATTTCACAGAACTCGCTCGGTGGAAGGGTACGGTTCGTTATCTCTGGATCAGCTCCTCTTCGAGATGATGTCATGATCTTCCTAAGATGCGCCCTTGGATGTCAGGTAGATACAAAAAATTGCAGAGTTAAAGGAAAAAATTACCTTGCAACCACTTGGCGAAGAACTTCCTGTATCATTGTGGATGGATCGCAAATTAGCCTTCAGCGACATTTTACAAGAAGTTTATAAAATGTCACTTGCATTTAAGATGGAATTCGGGTTTATGCGTGTTATCCTTCGGAATTTTGTGAGATCGGGGCGAAAGGAGGAGGGGAGACCTACAGATACAGGTATCAATAGTGCTGATTTTGTGTTTTTGGTTCGTACCCGCCATAGGTTTTCGAAGGATATGGTCAAACAGAGACCACTGCTGCTGCTACATTGCAGATGATAGGAGATCAAACTTATGGTGAGAGCAAAATATGAACTGTAAACGCAAAAGTTAACTCCCGAACCCAACTGGGCTTTCCAGGGCTATCGTGGGACAAGTAAACTCGCATTTCAGTGAGACATGAATAAAGGGGGTAAGTTTGCAAAGAAACTGTGGTGTTGCGTCAGTGGGAGAGTATAGCAGGTAATTTAGTATTATCAACTGAGTTGATAATTTAAACTGGCTACCGTAAAGAGTTTAAGAGATGACGTTTCGATCGTTAGCCCTTCGTCATAGCGATTGGAGGAATTGTGGGTTGTGTGTGGCTTATATACAGAAAATGGGGCTACGCTATTGGTGGGAATATTGTGACGAGAAAGCGCTCGTTGATACCGTGGGGTATCATAAATCGGTTAAAAATCCCAAATGGTCACAGGCACACCAATTTCATGATTACTACAAAGCGTGAGAGGTGCAAACAGCGGAGCCTCCACCTTCGGGATAGTGTTATCCACCCTTGGAAAAACCGAGCCTTGGCCATTCATTGAATGTCCTCTCTACGGTTGCCATCATAGCTCGGTAAGTTTCCCTAACTTCAGACCCTGGAACCCTGGAACCCTGGAATAATACCATTGATGTGGTGTATTTCTTTTTGTCAGGCCATGTTGGTCCGCCACTGCCTTGTAACAAAATTAAACTTGTCGATGTCCCTGAAATGGAGTATTACGCCAAAGAAGGAAAAGGCGAGGTTTGTATCTCCTTGTTTTTTTGTTGTTGTCTGTTTGTTGTTGTCTTTTTTCATGTACTAATATGAAAATTAGCATATGATCCAATTTCAAAGCAAGATCATTGAAACCAGCAAGATGATCTTTCTGCTTTGGCTACAAATTAGCATTTTTGATTCCCTTTCTTCCTCGTGAGAATCTTTTCACTGACCCCAACGTTTGATTCAAATTTTGTCTCACATTTTGGTTGGCTCCTTTCTGATGTCACGTGGCAGGTTTGCTTTTATGGGCCGAATGTGTTCAAGGGATACTTGTACGACGAGGAAAAGACAAAAGAAGCCATTGACGAAGACGGTTGGCTTCACTCGGGTGACGTGGGAGAATGGCAGCCGGTGAGTGTAATATGTACTCATGAGAAACAGTATACCCGCTGTAGAATGATCTGGAGGTTTCGTCCCGTTGCAAACTCGCCCCCCTACCAGTTAGTCCCCATCTTGACGAGTTCGCCCCATCAGTTGTAACAAGCTCGCCCTCAAATGGAAAATGAGTGAAGATCAGAGGATAAACTGATAATGGTGGTGGCGAACTTGTCATTTTTAAGAGAGGAAACTCGTTTTCAAGTTAAGACAGTATATTCTGCCATACCGCTACACTTGCGTAATGACCTCCAATGAGTAGTGATTTGTATTTTGTGTTTGTTGTTGCAGAATGGTACATTGAAGGTGATCGATCGGAAAAAACATATTTTCAAGTTATCGCAGGTAAATTTATATGTGTTACGAAAATAAATCTTTTTTGTACATTTCAGATTGTTTCACTTTTAACGCAAAGAAACAGAGTGGATGTTGTTGAGTAAAATCTGGAATTAATACGCACGAGTAAAGTTAAAAAAAAATGCAGTAAAATGAACGGGCACGGAGAATCTTTTGACTTGCAGGAACGTTACGAGTGCTTATTCCTTCTGAATTGTAAAAGACATCATCGTATTTCTTTCAGTTATTATCTATTTCATTTCAACTTTCTGCGCGCGGTGTGAGACCATTTGAGGTGCTCTCGGTCATTAGACGAGCTAAAATTTTTGCATGTAAACCATTACGGGAGAGAACTTGCTTAGGAGTTTAAATTTGTTGTTCCTCCAGGGAGAATACATCGCACCAGAGAAGGTGGAGAAAGTTTACACACAGTGTTCCATGGTTCATCAAGTCTATGTACATGGCGACAGCAAAAAGGTAACTGGCGAACTCTTTTCTTAATATCAGTTTGCGTATTCTCCATACTGTTCTCTATAAATTTCTTAACGTGCTGACAAGGAGAATGTGTTTCGTAATCAAGAGCTTCTTTAGTTGGTGATCATTTCATTTATTCTCATGGAATTAATGTGTGATTCAGGGGTGATATTGTAAGGAGAAATTAGATGCTAGTCACTGTTCGGTTCAAAGGGTTAACATTGTCGTGTTTATTTAATGCTCTTTGCCTCCTGATTTGCTTATTTTCGTGTCTTTTTGTTGTCATTCAGTCTTGTCTGGTAGCTGTCGTTGTGCCTGAGAAAGATCCAGTTGAAAAGTGGGCCGAGAAGAATGGTGTTGATGGTGACATGGATTCGTTCTGTGCCAACGAGGTAATCTGCGCCTTTTGTTTGCTTATTGCTTCCAAACGAGCCTCGTCCCTTTGGCGGGAAATAAGTTTGGTTATTTTATATCAGCTAGAAACGTTTGGTAACATGTACTTCCCAGCAGGAATTATTCTGAATTTTTTTTGCAATCCTTACCTTGCGATGACCACAACGAGGCGAGTGGTCAGTCACTGTTTGGAGGGGACGGGGATGAGAGATTTAGGTTAGAGAAAGTTGCGCCTCGCCCACCCCACCCACCGTCTCACAGAAGACTCCCCCGCTCCGATCGACCTGGTTCGAATTAAGCGACCACTCCCTCCAAAGGAATCCATTTTTTTGCCTTCTGTGTTCATAGATGGGGCGTGCAAAATCGTCGGCCAGAATGGAACAATGGCTTCTCTGTTTATTCTCTTCTCTACACTCACTGCACGCTATTACTTGTGAAATATTTCACTTAGACGACCCATATTAAAGCCGACTCTATCTGTAATTCATGTCCCTACGCCCCTAACTTTTTGTCAACATCGGGTATTATTTGTCTGACATATGCCTTTCAGGCGGGAGCATGCGTAGCTAGAGTTAGTTTTAAGAGGGAAATGACCATTGTTGACTCCTGTTGATGTCTTTCAAAGTCTGGTCAGCGGCCTCATCATAATCAGGGAAAATGTGGCCCGCAAAGTTTGTCGCCAATTCTCATCTAATAGCTGTATTTTACTAAATTTCTAGAAAGTAAATAAAGCCATTTTAGATCAGATGATTGCAGAAGGCAAGAAGGAACAGCTCAAGTCTTTTGAGCAGGTAAATAATGACTAGTTACGTTGACTTTATCAGTTGTGAGTGCTTATTCTCGTATTCATAAAGGAGGTGCAAGCACAGACGTTTTTGAGACTTAGACGGTAGCCAAAAATTTGGAGCTCTATACCTTGGCGTTTGCTTAAGATCTTTTGTCCTTAGTGACGGTTCAAATCGTTTAAATTAAGGGGAGTGTAACCTGAGATGGACTAGCATTTATCCGTAGGGAGTAGCATCACTCCTAGTCGTTTCATGCTGAAGAAACCGGGATGAGCTCCGTCCAGCGGTCCGTTTCTCGAAAGTCGCGGTGACTAACATGCCCAAAGCCTTATTTCAAAACCCAAATTTTGAAGAATAGAGAAGCTGGTTCTTTCACCCTAACCAGTCCGTCTTGTTTCTCAAGGTGATAGTTTTATTGCGTAATTTTCAAACCTTTTTTAAACCCCCATCTAGAGTGAAAACAGAATAGCTGTACGGGCCCGTTGAGCTACCGGGACCGTCCAGAAACGGGCCCCAGACGAGCCACTGGGCTCAATTGCCATATAAACTCTTAACCCTTAAACCCTAAGAGTCTAGGGTCATGGGAATAAAGGAAATGATCCCCAACTAGAGAAGCTCTCGATTGTTTAATAAATTCTTCTTGTCAGCACCTTAAGAAACGTATAGAGAACAGTATGGAGAATATGCAATGTTAATCACTAGTACCTCTAAGGTTCGAGCAGCCCTTCAATAATGTTTATTTGTTTCAGGTCAAAGCAATTTTCCTCACACCGGAGATTTTCACGACCGAAAATGGTCTTCTGACGCCAACACTGAAATTCAAGCGGCCAGCCCTGAAAAAGCATTTTCTACAAACATTCGAAGACCTCTACGCTACAGTACCGGAGTAAATACAATGTAATGTTAAAAGATAACTTTCATTTTATCCAATTCCATATTATCTTGTACGAACGATTCCCTTTACACACTTTTTTAAATACAAAATAAACATTGTTGAATTTGATTTATTCAAAAAAACAATTACACAGAAAGGTATTTGCTTAGGTAGAAAACAAAGTTACAGTTAATGTTTCTAACTCCGTTGTTCAAGTCAGTCGTGTAGGATGATCGTCCGTGCGAGAGTTGCCCTGAAGAGGACTGGTGACTAATGTTTCGACAACCTGAGCGGAGGTCCTCATCAGCCTGTTGATGACTTCTCAAACGTTTTTCATAACGTGGGAATCAGCCCATTTCAGGCAAAACTCGCACACACATGGTCGCACTGCGTCTGTAAGATAGAACAGGAGTTGGAAAAATATTTATATTTTAAAATCTTTTTGTGCCGTTTACTTACTGTTTTCTGAGTTACACCAAGTAATAGCTAGCCAATTAGCGAAGCGCACGTTTCAGAATTCTCGAATAAGACGTCATGGACCAATCAAAATTTACGTGTAAACTTGGCAGCTTGTGCTTAGCGCGGGAAGATGATAGGAAACCAATCAACGATCGAGTTTCTTTTTCCATCCAATCGAGGAGCAAACAACAGCGTGCTTTTTCTGATTGGTTATGTCAGTGTCACCTTGTCGACAAAATATTTCGTTTTGTTTTTATCTGTTTTTTGTTTGTTATCCTCTTTCTCGAATCGCGAAATTTAAACCAGTAGAGTGTGGAATATTGGACAGTCTTTGAATGAAACTATGCAAAAAGGGAAGTTGTTCATGGGATTTCTTAAAATTGACTGTTGGCGAAAGACCTCGTTTTGTACTTGTGGATGTTCTTGAACCTAGGGTGAACATCGGGAAATAACGCGATATTTTGGTGTGATTTTCAGCATAAATGAGTTTAGTAATAACGAAACACTTCTTTGTTAATTTATAATGGTGGTCAAGATTTTATGTCTCCGTAAATTTGAAGTATTATAGCTAAAAAAGGGGAATTTTTTTATATATAAGGCAAGTCATCATCTTTTATACACTATGGTCACTAACTGTAAAGTAATTAGAGTTGTGATCGATTGAGAACTCGATCGCAAGAGCAATTTTCAAACGAGTGTCGCATGTTTTCCTAAATATTTACGTTCTTCCTTCACCTCGCTCAGTGACTGGCCTAGAAAATATTCCCAACACCTTGGCAACCAATCAAACAATGCAGAATTAAAATCGTTCGTATTTTGGTCGCTCACGTTTTCCTGCGCTTAATTCTATTCGCGTGTATTTTGACGCGAAGCTCTGTTTGATTGGCTGCTTTGATTACTTACGTCACTCAATCGAAAGGTGCTACGATAGATATTTTTAAAAGTAGGCATTCTTTAACCCTTTAACTCTCATGAGTGACCAAGACAGAATTTCTCCTAACCATATCAATACAATATCAACCAAATAAGTAATGAGAATAAAGAAAACTATCAATTAGGGTTACTTAGTTGATCCAATACTAAATTCTCTGCCTAACATCATAAGAATTGTATGGTTGACAGTAAGGAGAATTACAAATTTGATCTGGTAGTTAAAGGGTTAAGTATTCTATTTAGGTTGATCAGTGATTTTGTTTCACTGATTGTTGTTGCGTTTTCAGTATGTAAAATTATAAATGACGTAATATAATGAAAAAAAATGATATGATTTAGTTGTTTCTTTTTGCATTCTGTTTGCGTCTCTTTTCTCTTTTGATTTTGTTTTTAACTGTTTTGCCTTAATTAGTTTCCGATTTGCCTTCCATTTTGTCTCCCTGTTTTCGTGCCATGTTAGTTCCCTTTCGTCCTACTCCTGGTGCGCCAATGTAGAGAATGCGTTGTCATGTCGAGGAGAGGTTTGTCAAGGATCTGGCACTAATTACAAGTACCAGACCCCGGACAAACCTTTCGCTGGCTCGTGTTCCTAAAGGCCTCGTATGTTCGCGCGGGCGAAGAAAACGCTGATAATGAGGGCCTGATCGCAGGCTAGAAAAATCTTCGCAAACTTTTTTCGCTCTCTTCATCCAATGGAGGAAAGGAGCGCGTTGCGTGACGAGCCCAAACACGGCTGCATGTGTGGCAACGATCCAGGTTATTTTTGCTTATAATTATTCAGAAACTTGTGACAATAGACCACAAAACATCTGTGCCTGAGTTTATTTCATGTGAGTTGGAAGGGTTTTTTCTCTCCCCATTTAACGATATATTCGTTGGAATCTTTGGAAACTTAATGCTATTAAGCACAGCTTAACTAAAGGTAACTTTTTCTTTAACTTTCCCTTTACGTGATAATCACCGGGTCACAAGGAGTCTCCATGGCAACCAACAAACTTCTTTGTACCAAATGAGAAATCTCTAAATTTCCTGAGCATGGAAGAAAAAAAATTCATATTTGTTAAAAATAAAAACGGAAGACATCCTTATATATCACAATAATATCCTTTGTTTGAAAGGTCAAGAAAATCCATCTTCATCCTGAGATGTTTAGCATTGAAAACCGGCGGACTTCTCACGCCAACCTTCAAGGCCAAGCGTTCAGCGATACTCATGACTTTCAAAAACCAAATCGAGCGGCTTTACGAAGAGGTGGAGACTGGGAATTAACGCAGACACAGGCATGACAAAGCCATCATGAGCGCCCCCACATTCTCTTCTTGAAAGCAACGGAAAACGTTGGGAACTGAGCCAAAGGCCAAGCAATAGTTGATTTGGACATTATACAGGGACTTTCTATCACTATAAATATGAACTTAAAAATGGTGACAATTATGTTGGTCTAATAAAGTTAGTCTATATGATAACGCTGAAAAAGTGGTGAAGGAAATATTCATAATTGATAAAAGTAATTTTGCATTAATTTTAATGAATGATGATAACACGTTACACTCCCTCCCCCCCTTGCTCTTTCTGAATATCTCAGGTTAGAAGAGCCCGCCTATTTATTCGTATTTTAATTTCGTACTTCGTCCTAAGTAGCTTAAGGTTTTTTAGTGTTGGTGGTAACGCAGAGTATATTCAAATCGCACAATTTTGCTATATTTCAAATTAATTTAAGGCGAGCAAATCTATTTTTATTTGATGAGTTTAATTTGTGCACTTAATTTATGGGGAAGATGGAGAGCAATTGATTTTGAGGTTCCTAAACTTGCTTTTTACAAATCGAACTTAAACTTTGCTTTTGGTGTCCGTTGTTCCCTCTTTGGTTTATCATTCTTTTTTTCACCTATCAAGTGTTTATGTCTCTCTTACTATAGCTATTTGCCTTCATCTTTGTTTTTCAGAGAAAGCCGAGTTCTATTTCAGTTTCTTACTGTTGGTTTTATTAGTCATACGACTGGAATATTAAACAAGGTTAAGACCGGCTTCTTTTTTCAGAGGTTAGTTTTAAAAAAATAAATTTAGAAACAATCGTTTGAATATACTCTATGTTGCCACCGACATTGACTGAAAAACCTTACGTTACTTAGGACGGCCAAGGAAACATCATGGCTACAAAGATTTGCCTTGACCTTATCATAGTCTTCAAACTAAAATGATCCACTCATCTCGTGGCCCTTAACTTCCATAATCTCATTTCAATTCAAGTCTCCTTTCTAAATGTTACAAATGTCGCTGTAAGTATTTTTAGAGAATGAAGTGTTGCGTCAGTTTAACACCGTCCAGCTGACAATTTTGTTTATTCTCCAAAACTGTTGGCTGAATAATATATTGATTCTGTAGGGAGAAATTGCACATTAAACAACTATGAAGTGTCCAGGTCGGGACTGAAAGAGTAAAAGCAGCCACACGATGCATGAATGGGAAATTTTTTCTGTAAAAAAAACAAAGATGCAATGTTTTTAATGCAATTACGGGAAAGTTGGAAAGCGACGTAGTGGTGTTTTAGGTTTTCCGAACTATTTGGTTTTTGTTCGACCGATTACGCTGTTACTTTTTTTGCAAAAAGTCATCGTCATTCATTTCTGTTTTGCAGGGAAAGTGTCATTTTAGTTTATTACTCTCGGCTTCCTCTGTCATTCGATCAAAGTACTGAACAAGACACACTTCCTTTAATTTAAAAGAAACAAGGGGTTCAAAGAGTCGTGGTGAGTACGATATTTCATTTTTAACTCGCTGGTGTGCTAATGCGACATCTCATAGATTTTACGATACGTATTTTAGGCTGCTCTTACATGGACCATTACTGTGTCGATTCATGTACTGACTCATCATGAATTGCTTTAGAAGGACATCGGTCTGAATAAATTCCATTTATGTTTAAAGTTTTTTCATATCACAAGAAGAAAAAGTCTATTACTTCTGACCTGCTGAGTTAGATTCGTATCATTCAGAACTATCCAGCGCTTGGAGAACAATAAAAACGCCAGTGTTAATCTAATCCACTAAGCATGCCTAATCTGTGCACAAGAAAACGTCTTGAAAAGTTTACAAATGTTAAATGTTGGTATTGCGTCAAGCGCGGGGTCAATTATTTCGGCAAAACAAATGTTCGGATTAAGAAAGACGGAAACCATTGTTGGTGTTTGCAATGTAAAAAATTGGGAAGAAAGAGCCATCCGAAATTGAAATTTTTGTGGTGAAAATGTTCATCACATGGGCAGAGATTCTTCTTATCACAAAATCTCCGTTTGTAGCCATGATGTTTCCTTGGCCGTCCTAAGTAACGTAAGGTTTTTCAGTCAATGTCGGTGGCAACATAGAGTATATTCAAATTGCACAGTATTGCTACATTTCAAATTAATTCAAGGCAGGCAATTCTATTTTTTTTTTTGATAATTTGTTTTGTGCGCATAATTTATGTGAAAGATGGAGAGCGATTGATTTTCAGGTTTCTAAACTTGCGTTTTACAAATCGAACTTAATCTTTACTTTTGGTGTCCGTTGTTCCCTCTTTGATTTATCAGTTTTTTCCACCTATCAAGTGTTTACGTCTTTCTTACAATAGGTTTTTGCATTTATCTTTGTTTTTCAGAGAAAGTTCTTTTTCAGTTTCTTACTGTTGGTTTTATTAGTCATACTACTGGAATATTAAACCAGCCAGGCTTATTTTTCAAAGGTTAGTTTTAAAAAAATAATTTAGACACAATATTTTCCCGCTTTGTCGCTATAAATTTGCCTTGACCTCATCATAGTCTTTAAAAAAAATGATTCACTCATCTTAAGGCCCTTAACTTCCATGATCTAATAGCTAATTATCAAGTCCCCTTTCTAAATGAAACAAATGTCACTGTAAATATTTTTAGAGAATGAAGTGTTGCGTTAATTTAACACTGTTCAGCTGATAAGTTTCTTTATTCTCCAAAACTGTGGCTGAAGAATATATCGATACTGTAGGGAGAAACTACGTGTTCAACAATTCTTAAATGTACGAGTCTGGGACTGAAAGAGAAAAAGCAGCCACACGATGAATGAGTGGGAAATTCTTACGTAGAAAGAACAAAGATGCAATGTTTTTAATGCAATTACGGGGAGGTTGGAAAGCGACGTAGTTGTGTTTTAGGTTTTCCGAACGATTTTGTTTTTGTTCTACCGATTATGCTGTTAATTTTTTCACAAAAAGTCATTGTCATTCATTTCTGTTTTGCAGGGAACGGCTCATTTTAGTTTCTTACTTTGGGCTTCCTTTGTCATACAATCAAAATACTGAACAAGACACACTTCCTTGTTCAAAGGTAAGCAGCAAAAATAAACAAAAAATTAGCTTCCATTCCTTTCCCCCTTTTTTTTTCGTCGCCACCTCAAATCAGGCGCAACAGATATCAAATTAAAGAAGAGCAAACCTTGATACTAAAAGAAGGAGCCACAGTGTTTTTCATTGAGCATTGTGAGCGAAACGGAAAGTCGTGTTGACACATCTCAGACCAAGATACTATCAACTACAGTTTAAAATCTTGTCGCACACAACTGAAGTGATTTTTTTCAACCTATCAAACTCAGCACTTTGTTCTTACACGAGCTGTTTGCAGCTATCTTTGTTTCTTGCGGCTTTCGGTGTCATCTCTCAAACAATACAACCCGTGTTTACTTTTAAAACGGTAAGCACCTGAAAATTAAATTAGCTTATAGGGATTCTTTCAGTCGCGTTTTTAGGAGAAATATATATTTGGGATATAAATTAAATTTGAGAAATTACAGTGATAAAAGAGTTCTAATTCCAAACAATCTGATAATAATTGTGAAGACCTTTTAAATTCAAATCAATTTTTGACTTGATTAAAAAATATTTGAGGTCTGCGTCACCTTAACCCTTTGAATTTATGATCGTATCAGCAATATAGCATATATTTTATATATATAAATATATATATATATATATATATATATATATTACATATAGCACCTTCACTTTACCTTGTTCGTCAGTAGGAAGAATTTAGTGTTGTTTTACGAAAACACTCTCAGCTGATAAGTGTTCTCACCGCTTGTTCACTGAACAATATGTTGATTTTGGAAAGAGAAGCAAAATGTTCCTTACTCCTGTAACTTGAAAGTTTTTTGCAACCGGTTAAAGGGAATTTTAAACCACCAAACTCTTATCAATGATATGCAGGCTCCGATATTTTTTTTAGATATCTTATAGGCAAGCTGTAATGAAAGTTCCATCCTCCTTAGGTTTTTACAATGATTACTTTTTACCGATAATTTTCATATTCGAACTTTTACTAGCTCTTGCATTCTTCGTTACTTTGCAGAGAAATTTTAAAATCAGTTCCATGATTTTGATCTCTTACCTATCAAGAGATCGTTTCTTTTTCAAAGGTGAGCGGCTATTGATTTATTTCAGAAATATAGTGCACTAAAATGCGTAGGAATGTATAATAATGATAGAGGTAACACCCTCTGAATGATGAGTCTGTTTACTCTCATCTCTTGATTTCTGTATGGTATATTGATATTGTAAGGAGAAGGTATATGTTCATCACTCCTGTGTTGATGAAAAATAAGAAGATGCCATATGTTGTTTAATGAATCTTATGAGCAACCTAAAAACAATTTTTCTCCCATCTGAGGTTTTCTTTATTTCATTTTGGTGATTTCTTATATTATTTCTAACCGTGTGAGTAACATGGCGTTACACCAGCTATTTGTATTTACGTTTGTTTGTGCAGAAAAAAATCTCATTTCAATATTTGTTACTTTTGTTTTCATTAGTCACAGCATCAGGATCTAACGGCAGGGTCTGTGTTCAAAGGTGAGCTGTTGGTTCTTTTAGTGAGCATTTGAACATTTTGATTGCCTCTTAGTTTCATTTTCTATGAATAAAATTAATCAAAATTAACATTTTACCGGACAAAAAAAATTGGAGAACTTGGTATATAAGTTATTGAAGTAAAGCGAATGGTTTACTTCAATAACTTTACTTAAAGAATTTTAGAAAATGCTTCAAGAATGCTTCAAGAATGCTTTACTTCAAGAATTTTAGAAAAATTCACGCGTCACGGACAGAAAAGCAAAACTTCAAATCTCTCGCCTTGTGTAGAAGGTTTCTGGTAAATCTTGAGGATTTCATGTGGTGAAAGAAGAAATTCATGCGTCGCCTATATATTTTAGGAGGTCGCAGTTTTGAATTTCCCTTTTGTTTTTCAGTACACGCATATGCTTGTATTTTTTTACACGGATGCGATAGAAATTAATTGGAAAAGCATTCCTTGAAATAGGAAGTCGTGGTGGGTTTTGAGAGAGAAAGATCGTCAAGTGATCAAAACAACACCGGCCAGATTATGGTCACTTACTCGGCAACGACTTGTAGAAATCGGTTATATTTCATTCTTACCATCAAAACAGTCACGTCTGCACAGAAAACAACGAAACGAAACGACCATAACGAAAAGGTCGAAATTGGCGTTGAATTCAACCCAACTGATTCACATGGATTGGTTTGAATAAAAGAGTGAAAAAGAAATGTTACCCTCAGACATTCGTAAAAAGGAAGAAAACAACCAATTCCCAAAGATAGCTCAAGGACTCCACAATAATCAGTTTTTATTTTAACTTTTTTTAAGTTTTGTTTTCGTTAATTTTTTGTCACGTCAACAAATAGGAAAGACTCGAAATGAGTGACGCTGCAGAAATCCTACAATCAGTCCAGATAGGTTTAAATGTCGTCATATTTCTTCTCAACACTGATCGTGGCCCACAAGCGACTGAGTTATGTAATGAATGTTCAATTCTACTTCAAAACCTTGACTGTGGTAGGCACCTGGTGACTACCGCCATCTCTGGTAACACAAATGCAGAAAGATATGCCAAGAAACTTCTTTACACGTTGCACCACGCTGGAAGACTAACCATTCAACTGGGAGACAAATATAAAGCACAACGCCGGTTTGTAGAGGCAAAGCAACTTTTCCATAGCGCACTCATCATCATACAAACGATTGGTCTCGAAAAAGAAGAAGCAATGGCTCATGAAAGACTTGGAACTGTATGTATGAGCCTCTGTGAAATGCAGAAGGCAAAAGAACACCTCGAGAAAGCAGTCGCCATCGCCAAAAAAATTGGCGACACAAAATTAGAAAAATTGGCGAATATCAGGCTAAAGAACATTACGAAGGCTATCGCTATAGAAATTAGCGACCGAGAACGGGAACCTGGGAAATGTTTTTGTTAACCTTGTTTTATAGAATATTACGAGAAAGCACTTGCCATCGCGATAGAAATTGGCGACAAAAACTAGAAGGATTGAACGCGAACCTCGGAGATGTGTTTTATTCCCTAGGCGAATATCAGAAGGCTAAAGAACATTACGACAAAGCACTTGCTATCGCTATAGAAATTAGCGACCGACAAAAAGAAGGAACAATTAACGGGAACCTGGGAAATGTTTTTGTTAACCTTGGCGAACATCAGAGGGCTATAGAATATTACGAGAAAGCACTTGCCATCGCGATAGAAATTGGCGACAAAAAACTAGAAGGATTGAACGCGAACCTCGGAGATGTGTTTTATTCCCTAGGCGAATATCAGAAGGCTAAAGAACATTACCAAAAAGCACTTGCTATCGCTAAAGAAATTTGCGACAGACACCGAGAAGGAAGAATTAACGGGAACCTTGGAAATGTTTTTGTATACCTAGGCGAATATCAGAAGGCTAAAGAGTGTTACGAGAAAGCACTTGCCATGGCGAAAGAAATTGGCGACAGACAAGGAGAAGGAACGAGTAACAGGAACCTTGGAAATGTTTTTGATAACCATGGCGAATATCAGAAGGCTAAAGAATATTACGAGAAAGCACTTGCCATCGCGATAGAAATTGGCGACAAAGAAGGGGAAGTATCAAATAACGGGAGCCTCGGAAATGTGTTTCGTTCCCTTAGTAAATATCAGAGGGCTAAAGAATATTACGAGAAAGCACTTGCCATCGCGATAGAGATTGGCTACAGACAAGAAGAAGGAACAGAATACATGAACCTTGGAACAGTGTTTGAGTACCTCGGCGAATATACGAAGGCTAAAGAATATTACGAGAAAGCACTTGCCATCGCAAAAGAAATTGACGACAAAGAAACAGAAGGAACAATTAACGGAAACCTTGGAAATGTGTTTTATTTCTTTGGAGAATATCAGAAGGCTGAAGAATATTACAAGAAAGTACTTGCCATCGTCGGCGAGAGAAAAGGAGAAGCATACCTGAATCTTGGAAGTGTTTATTTTCGGCTTCGAAAAAATCGGGAAGCTAAAAAATATTTGGACAAGGCAGTCGGTATCAGTATAGCAAGTAGAGACAGAAGAATAGAAGCCAAGGCTACAGCACGTTTGGCAGGTGTTTTTGCTTCTGTGAATGACAATCAGGAAGCAGAGGAATATTGGGAGAAGGCGCTTACCATCAGCAGAGAATGTGGCCATAGAGATGTTGAAGCAAGCATCTACATAAACCGTAGCAATTTTTACCAATCGCTTGGTGAATATGGCAAAGCAGAAGATTGTTTAGAGAAAGCTTATTCCATAAGCAGCCAAATTGGATACAAGATGCTTGAGTTTGAAAGCCTTCTCAGAATTGCGCAGTTAAAGATGTGGCAGTCAGAGATTGTGGAAGTAAAGGAATATCTTCTTCGATGTATTGCAAAATACGAGCAAATCAGAAATTTTCTGAAAGGAAACTGTGGATTTAAAATGGCTCTGTTAGAGAAACACGGTACTTCTCCCTACCGTTTACTCACTGACTTGCTTTGTAATATCCAAAAATTTGGAGATGCTCTCTATGTTGAGGAACTGGGACGAGCAAGAGTCCTCGCAGAAGTAATGGCAGACAAGTACTCCGTGGAAAGCCAGATCTCAGCTGATCCACAATCATGGTTCGCGATTGAAAACATCGTCAGGAGAGAAGGTAACTGTGTTTTCTTGTACATCTCGTATAGAGAGCGACAAGTTCTTCTCTGGGTATTAAAAGCAAATGGAGACATTTGCTTTCGAGTAACAGACGAAGTGGAAGTAGACACTCTTATTGAAGAGAAAGTTTGCGATGTGGAAGGAATTTTCAAAAAGAGCGCCGCTGGCTTTGGCGTTTTACCCACGGCGAACTGCGAAGATCGATCTTTGGATGACCACGTGACGATATCTCTTCATAAGGAGAGCCGAACACATTTGCGAGGTGAACAAACCAAAGATACCGAAAGAATTCATAATTTGTGCTACAAATGGATTATCGCACCTGTGGCAGACTTACTTACAGAGCCCGAAATCGTCATTGTACCGGATCGTTTTTCGTACCGAGTCCCAATTGCTGCCTTGCGAGATGAATCTGCCGAAGAGTATTTATCGGAGAAGTACAGAATCCGTATCGTCCCTTCTCTGACGACTCTCCGAATCATTCAAGAATGTCCAGCGGACTATCACAGTCTAACTGATGCACTGGTTGTTGGTGATCCTACGGTTGGCGAGGTGCATTACAATGGATGTCTCACTGACATTACACCATTGTTCTGTGCAAGAAAGGAAGCAGAGATGGTGGGTCGACTGCTGGGCGTTCAGCCTTTGTTAGGAAGTGGCGCAACAAAGCAGGCAGTACTTCAAGCGATACCTTCGGTAAGTCTGATACATCTTGCCGCACATGGACATCCCGAAAGAGGAGAGATTGCCCTCTCTCCTCAACGTACTACTGACAATATTCCTCAAGAAAAAGACTACCTCCTGACTATGTCCGAAATTCAAGGAGTTCAAGTGCGAGCTAAACTGGTAGTACTCAGCTGTTGCCACAGTGGGCGTGGATTGGTTAAAAAGGAAGGAGTCCTTGGAATCGCTCGTGCATTTTTAGCATCCGGTGCACGTTCGGTGTTGGTAGCATCGTGGGCTATAGAAGACGAAGCAACGGAACAGCTCATGAATCATTTCTACAAACACCTTGTGCGTGGAGAAAGTGCTAGTGAATCTCTTCACCAGGCCGTTCAATGGTTGAGAAGCAATGGTTTCCCTAAACCTTCCCAATGGGCTCCGTTTGTGCTGATGGGGGATAACGTGACATTTGATTTTACGAAAAAAGGGTAAGCCTGATTTGTAATGAGCAATTTTCTATAAAAACCGATTAGCACACTTAACTTTTTCAGTTCATCTTATTACAGTCAGTTTCTGTTTGTTTGTTCGTTTTCGTCTTTGTCTTTCATCTGTGAAATGTCAAGAAAAAGAAGACGATTTTATCTAGCGCTCGAAGCCAGAAGATTTTGATGAATCGCTTCCTAAATTGGCCTTAAAAAAGAGTTCCTTGAAGGTATGGAAGATATTCAGGAATAAGTGCTCAAGGTTAAAACGATGCTAGAAGCTATGACGATGAGAGCAATCTGAGAAATTTCATAGTCCATGACATTGAAGAAGAAAGTAATTTCTTTCAAAGGAACTCGACCCGTTTGCTTTTCAGTTAAAATAGTGACAAATGTAGAATGTTTGTTCTTAGGAAAGAAGAACTCAAGGAGGACAAAAATGAAGCAAAGAAAGAAACCGAGTGACGGCTGATCCTACACAAAGATTCTTCTTCCTTTTATCTGACATTTATCGTCTTTAAATGGACACCGGTATTACTTTGTATAGACATTTTTAATTTGTTTAAAAGTCAAGGAGTTGTTTTGGCATGCTTTTTTAAACAAGGCTGAATCGCCGAAAGCGTGTGTTAATGAAACCTGCAATTCAGCCGTTAGATTTATTAAGTATACCGTAAGGGAATTACATTTAACACTGGGTTGGACGCAGGAAATAAGCTAAATGTTAAAAAATGAGAAAATGTTGGTAAAGTTGCGTCAAAACTCAAAATTGATCCTCGGTTTACATCACTATGATCTGGTTTTCAATTCTCTTGTAGCTTGCAAACGTGATCATCAAAGAGGGATAAAAACTGTTTACAGGTACAGGGGATGATAACATGACAAACAAACGGAACAAAGAGAACGCGAGATACTATATAATAATCTAAAAGGTAACCGGAGAGGGAACAAACAGAGTGAAATTTACATGAAATCAATAACAAATAGATAAGAAAAGAGAAACGACATACAAGTTGTTAAGGTAAAATAAGCCTGAAACATTGCGTGAGAACGCAACAGTTAAACAGAAGAGTGCAAACAATTCGGAGGAAATTAACGTGACAATCAGCCAGTCCAGGGGCTAAATTCTAACGTAAGATACAAATATAAATCGAAAAAAAAAGACAGCGGGGTAGATATTAACTTCGAAATCAAAATAGAAGAGAAAAAGATTTGTAGAAGATTCTAACGCAAAATTCAATCCGGGAAGAGAACGAGCTATGTACAAGATACAAACAAACAACCAAAAAGAGAAAACACAAAACAGTGCGCAATATGTTTGCGACAAACAAAAGTAAAGAGAGGAAGCAGTAGACTAGACATTGATGGAAACTTCAGATTGGAAGGAAAAAGAACATTTATTGCGTGAATCATTGAAGTTAAAGTCAATCAGAAGAAGAGAAGAAATACTGTGCAAGATGTACCTATTAAAAAAAAACCAAACAAACAAACAGTAAACATAAGCATGTTACGCATGCAAGAGTCATTTTTTTGGATGCGTAGGTTGAGATGCGACACTTTGAGTGAATGACTTTTTAATTTTGTAAAATAAAACGACAACGAAAAAACATCGTTTGATAGAAAGCAATTATATGAAATAAATTCAGGCACAGCTGTTTTGGGGTCTGTTGTCAATGTTGCTTGAACAATTTTAACTGAAATAAATAAACCAATGTCACCAGTATGGAGTCAGTCATCCTCGTCAATAGTTTCAGCAGTTTTCTTGGGTCGTGAACGTAGCCTTTTAGAAAAATCTGGATGAATAAAATCCAAATGATAATATTTTAGTTTAGTTGAGGTTGATACAAATGGATTTTTAATCATTATTGAGAGGCTAGTCATTGGATAAATCAAACAAAGGGGTATTACGCGAGTGGCTCCTTCGAACCAGTACAGTCAGTGACTCACTAAAGTCAGTCAAGCCGCCTGCTAGTTAGTCATTCCGTAAGTCCATTCAGTCAGTCAGTCATTGAGTCAGTCAATCAGTCAGTCAGTCAGTCTGCCAATCAGTCAGTCAGTCGGTCAGTCAATCAGTCAGTCGGTCAGTCAATCAGTCAGTCGGTCAGTCAGTAAGCCTATCAGTCATTCAGTCAGTCATCAGTCATTAAGTCAGTCATCAGTCAGTCAGTCACTTGTTCAATCAGTCCGCCTTTTAGCCTGGCAGACAAGCAGCCCGCGTGTCATTTGTTTGCCAAGAAACACTCAAAGAGCTTGACATATATACCTATTGTGACGTCATTGAACAGCTTGAAGGTGGCAGCAGCTGTACATTCGGTTTGACAGTAATCATCGGTCAGCCGAGGAAACAAACGGCAAATATTGTACGATAAATTATCAGTATCAAGTGGTAAAGGTGATAGATTTCTAAATAAACTGTTAAAGGGTAAAAAGCTGACGTTTCGAGCGTTAGCCCTTCGTCAGAGGAATTGGTATATCAATTAGTAGTTCTGTTTTGCTGCCAGAACGGACAAGGCTTATCTTGCTTGCCTGCGATGACCCGCTTTGTCCTTCCCCTCCTGCAGGAAAGGGAAAATAAGAACAGCTTATATAGAAAAGTGACTGCAAATAAGACGGGATCTTTAGAATAGTACAAAGCTTTAGGAAAGGATGAAGTAAATTTTTGTTGCGACACAACTAAAATTCTCCGCCCCCTTTCTTAACCCATCCCGAGGAGACCGCTTTTTTATAATGGTCGGTCCCTCACACTCCAGTGTCGTCATCAGTAGAAGTTCCGCCTCGTCGTCACTCTCCACACAGTTGTTACTCTTTGTGCTTTTCCTTCTGGGTCTCGGGCAACATATTATTTGTTGAAATGTAGAAAACGTAAAATATAAACTACAACTAAAGGAGAAAAACATTGGGAATCTTTAAAGTGGCGCAACTGAAGTATCACAAGCTCGACAAAGTATGCATGCTCAGTCAAGATTTTATGGGGATTTTGGCTCTCAAGTGGCCTCATTTCATTTTTCAGTTATGTATTTGCGAGTTTCGTATCGTTTACGAGTAGATAGGTGTGAAAGATACGTTGAGGGATCATCGTAAAAAAAAAACAGAAAATATAGAGAACATGTTTATTTTCGTTCAAATCTCGTCGTTGTTGAGCAAATAGCAATCATTTAACTGCTTAAACCTTTGATAAATACTGCAGAGTTCTTTTTTGAGAAGTATACATTGATTGTTTTTTACTCCTACGAGTCATAAACTAAAATTAAATATGTGAGTCTGAATAATTCCGCGAGTTCGAGTTCGAGTGAAATGTGGAACACAAAGGCTCAAGGAAAAATTTTGGCAAGCTAATTAAATTGGGAAAGATTTCCGTATCACCACATACTATTTGAATACAAAGCAATATTCCCAAGGGTATTTTCTGTTGTTTCGCCATTGTTTTCTTTTGTCAAGAACTGTATGCATAATAGTAAAGTATGTGGTAATCTTGCCCAAAGTTGAAGGGAGAGCGCAATGTGGGATGTTCTCATTCAGATATGCTGAACATGCAAGGCGTAAAGGCCTATTTACACGGTACGACTTTGTCGCATGCGACAAGCTTACGACAGGCCTACGACATGACTTAGGACATACACGCGCACGACATTTTCACCTACGACATGCCAAAATCGCGTGCAATTCCACTCGTTTCGGCCGCGGTCATTGTTTCAATAATTTGCAAGAGAAGGAAAAGAACCTCTTCCTCGCTCCACAGTGATATCATATTCTCTGTTTCCTCATCTGAGAATGTATTTTTCGCTTTGGAAGCAGTCTTCGACTTTCCGGAGGCGACTTCCTCCGCCATTTTGACGCAAGAAAATTTCACCTTCCTCCCCTACTCAGTAGAAATTTGTCACAAAATACGTCATTTTCTATCAATTTCGGCTACGATTGTCGCAGCGTTTTAAAACATGTTTTAAAATCCTACGACATTTTTCGTGACGTGCACGACAGTCGTAAGCGAGTGGTAGGTTTGATTTACACGATATAATTCGTGTCGTAGGCCTGTCGTAAGCTTGTCGCATGCGACAAAGTCGTACCGTGTAAATAGGCCTTAAGGAGTAACCAGGCGCGTTTAAAACGTGCGAGCGAAAAATCACGGATGCGCGAGCCTAATGGAGCTTTCTCCTTGTATGTCTGCTCTCATGCACGCGTATTACTCGCATTTTTGCGGACACTTATAACGCGGGCTGGTAAACCTAAAATATTTAAAAAAGAGCGAAGCGGAGCGGTGCGGGGGGGAGTGCTACGCGAAATTACTTTTAACAATTATAAATATTTCTTTCACCGCTTTTTCAGGCGTCACTACACAGACTCATGTTTTTTTAGTGGATATAAAGTCCTTGTATCTTGTCTTAATAGACTATTACTTTGGCTTTGCCTCAGTTCCTAACGTTTTCCTATTGCTTTCAAGAAGCGAAGGGTGGGGTCGCCTAAGTTAAGGAAAAAGTTCCTTAAGTTAAACTGTCTCGTGTAGGAAAACAATTCAAACTGGACTCTTCTCATTGCAATTAACATTTTCCATATCTATCCGATATTGTCACCTGTGAGGAAAACAATTCAAACTTTATTGATGAGTGGGCTTTTCAGCTCAATATATAAATTCTTCAATAATATTATAATTACAAAATATCAATAATATAATATATCAACTTAATAAAACGTTTGCAAGATGACGTCTAAAATTCCTGGGGCATTTTAAAGACTTAATGTTTTTCCATATCTATCCGATATTATCAAAGCACCAGATGATATGGACTTGAGAACGTAATTTAAACATATCAGCAAGATAGTCTGGAACAAGCTTGTTAATACATTTGTGCATCATAGTAGCGTCATTTAAATCTAATAGGAAGCCATTTGATCGCAACCCATCCGAAATATGGTCATATGACGGCAAAGTTTTGGACTTTTTGTAACTTGTCAATATTGCTGTATGTAAATAGCTGTATGACGTACCCTTAACCTCTTCCAATGAATTAAGATCTCCTTCTCTTCCCTTGGCCAAGATGTCTTCGAATATAACTTTATTGATAATCTGAGAAGGAAAGTCAAAATTATGTGCTCAGTTAAATCTATTTCCGAAAAAAAAAGGTTTCCAGCTTTTTATGATTTGATTGCCTTTGAACATTAATGGGGGAAGTTCTAAAAAAGTGAAAAATTAAATCATCCTTCAGCCAAACAAACAAAAAAGAAAAGCAGAAATCCATAAATAAATAAATAAGCAATAAATCAAAGATATCTAGACAAAATCAACGACGAAGAAAATTGTTGGCGTTTGACCCCATTCGACTTGGCTACAACCATCTCAACCTGTGGTTAGTTCAACTTCAGCTTGCACGGGAGGCCTGGGGATAATATTACGGGCCTCTCTCATTTACACCTTAGATCACAGCCCCCGACCCTCGGGACCCCTCACCTCATGTTGACAAAGCTGTCTCACGGGTCCCTCGACTCCATGTTTTTTGGCCCAGGCTTCTATCACTTCCGCATCTGGTACAATAATGGCAACTAAAAAGGACTGGAAACGAAGAATGTGTTTATTCAAGCTGCTATTTAGCTTCAATGCTTTAAAATATTATCAACAAACGTTAAAAGCTGTTTCCAATGAAAAAGGCCTGCGCAACAAACGGACTGCGTAAATATACATTCTGGATCTTCTCTAGAGCAATATACTCTCCCTGTTTTAGGAAAAAAAACTAATCACCATTTAAAGTGAAATAAAAAAAGGAATAAAAAATAAAAAGAAATGATACATGAGGTTGAGACAGAAAAAATATCTTAGTTCTCTGAGAGGCTTTGAATCCAAACCTTCGAGTTCGGATTTCATGCTTCACTTCTAAGCTACAATGTATCCAACAGCGACTTTAAGAAGTCAATTTTGTTTAACTTAACCTATTTCCTCGTTGGACAGCCGAGCTAACAATTTCATTCTTTCTTAACTTGTTCAGTTAAACTTCAGAAGATTTAGAAGGAAATCCATACAAGGTAACAACACAAGAGATAATAACCTTCGAAAATTCTAAATTTTATAACCGCTTCCAAGAGATTTAGCAAAATGTAACGGAATATTGATATATAACATTTGTAAAACAATGATATTCAGAGACGAAAATATAGTATTCTTACCTAGGAAAGCTTACAAATGTTTTTCTTTCTATCAATGATTTTCAAAGTTCCATTCTGCAAAAGAGGGCAGTGCGCTTTTAGCTTTGATAATAACATGGGCATGCCACGCATGCAAGAGGTATCTTCTTCGGATGGGTGGGTAACGAGCTAACTGGTACCTTACATTTTTATAGAGAAAAATAGAATTAAGTTTCAAAAGATTCCAACGAATATATCGTTAAATGGGGAGAGAAAAAAACCTTTCCAACTTATATGAAATAAACTCAGGCACAGATGTTCTGTGGTCTATTGTCACAAGTTTCTGAATAATTGTAAGCAAAAATAACGTGCATCGTTGCCACACATGCAGCCGTGTTTGGGCTCCTCACGCAACGCGCTCCTTCTCTCCATTGGATGAAGAGAGTGAAAAAAGTTTGCGAAGATTTTTCTAGCCTGCGATCAGGCCCCCATTATCAGCGTTTGGTCACGAGCGTTTTCTTCGCCCGCGCGAACATACGAGGCCTTCAGGAACACGAGCCAGCGAAAGGTTTGTCCGGGGTCTGGTACTGATAATTAGTGCTAGATCCTAAACAAACCTCCCCTCGACATGACAACGCATTCTCTACATTGGCGCACCAAGGGTGAGATGAGATTTGCCACGCACTTTTTACCTTCAAATAGACATATGCCACTGATCCTTCACTTTACAAAGCAACAAAGAGTTCAAAGAGTCGTGGTAAACACGATATTTAATTGTTAACGTGCTAGTGTGCTAATGCGACATCTCATTAATTTGCTCTCACATAGACCATTATTGTTTTGATTCATATACTGACACATCATGAACTGCTATAGAAGGACATCGGTCTCAATGAATTCCATCCATGTTTTAAAGTTTTTTCATATCTCAAGGAGAACAAATGCCTTGCGAATTAAAATCAGTACTTCTGCCGTGTTGCCAAATTTTGCCGTGAGTCAAACTCGAACCATTCATACCTATCCAATGCTTGGATAACTATCAAAACGCCAGTGTAAATCTATTCCAATAGGCATGCTTAATTGGTGCACAAGAAAAAACGTCCTGAGAAGTTTACAAATGTTAAATGTTCGTGTTGCGTCAAGCGCGCAATCAATTATTTCGGTAAAACAAATGTTCAGATCAAGAGAGAATGTAAAAAATTGGTAAGATAGAACCATTCAAAATTGAAATTTTTTGGAGAAAATTTTCATCACACGAGCAGATATTCTCCTCAAAAAATCTCTGTTTGGCTCGGCATGTTTAATGTTGTTTCCTTGGTCGTCCTAAGTAGCTTAAGATTTTTCAATGTTGGTGGTAATGCAGAGTATATTCAAATCGCACAGTTTTACTATATTTCAAATTAATTTATGGCGGGCAAATATATTTTATTTGATGAGTTTAATTTGTGCACTTAATTCATGGGGAAGATGGAGAGCAATTGATGTTGAGGTTCCTAAACTTGCTGTTTACCAATCGAACTTAAACTTTGCTTTTGGTGTCCGTTGTTCCCTATTTGGTTTATTATTCTTTTTTTCACCTATCAAATGTTTACGTCTTTCTTTCCATAGCTGTTTGCCTTCATCGTTGTTTTTCAGAGAAAGCCGAGATCTATTTCAGTTTCTTACTGTTGGTTTTATTAGTCATACTATTGGAATATTAAACAAGACAGGCTTCTTTTTTAAAAGGTTAGTTTTAAGAAAAATAAATTTGAGGTTCCTAAACTTGCTGTTTACCAATCGAACTTAAACTTTGCTTTTGGTGTCCGTTGTTCCCTATTTGGTTTATCATTCTTTTTTTCACCTATCAAGTGTTTACGTCTTTCTTTCCATAGCTGTTTGCCTTCATCGTTGTTTTTCAGAGAAAGCCGAGTTCTATTTCAGTTTCTTACTGTTGGTTTTATTAGTCATACTATTGGAATATTAAACAAGACAGGCTTCTTTTTTAAAAGGTTAGTTTTAAGAAAAATAAATTTAGAAACAATCTTTTCTCGCCTTACAATACTACAAAACTCGAAATAGATTTTTGGCACAGACTTGTTGCTAAAAACTTGCCTTCACTTGATCATAATCTTCAAAATATAATGATCAACTCATCACAAGGCCTTTAACCTCCATGATCAAATTATCAAGTCTCCTTTCTAAATGTAACTAATGTCACTGTAAATATTTTTAGAGAATGAAGTGTTGCGTCAATTTAACACCGTCTAGCTGATAAGTTTCTTTATTCTCCAAAACTGTTGGCTAAAGAATATATTGATACTGTAGGGAGAAATTGCATCTTCAAACTAAAATGATTCACTCATCTCGAGGCCTTTAACATCCATAATCTCATTTTCAAGTCTCCTTTCTAAATGTAACAAATATCACTGTAAATATTTTTAGAGAATGAAGTGTTACGTCAGCCTAACACCGTCAAGCTGACAACTTTCTTTATTCTTTAAAACTGTTGGCTGAAGAATATATTGATTCTGTAGGGAAAAATTGTACATTTAACAATTATCAAGTGTCCGAGTCTGGGACTGAAAGAGTAAAAGCAGCCACACGATGTATGATTGGGAAGTTTATGTAAAAAGAACGAAGATGCAATGTTTTTAATGCAATTACGGGAAAGTTGGAAAGCGACGTATTAGTGTTTTAGGTTTTGTTCTACCGGTTATGCGGTTACTTTTTTCACAAAAAGTCATTGTCATTCATTTCTGTTTTGCAGGGAAAGTGTCATTTCAGTTTCTTACTCTCGGCTTCCTCAGTCATTCAATCAAAATACTGAACAAGACACACTTCCTTTACTTTAAAAAGCAATAAAGGGTTCAAAGAGTCGTGGTAAGTACGATTTTTAATTTTTTACACATCATGAATTGCTTGAGAAGGATATCGGTCTGAATAAATTCCATCTATATTTAAAGTTTTTTCATATCCTAAGAAGAACAAGTCTCTTGCGCGTTAAAATCGGTACTTCTACCGTGTTGAGTTAGATTCGTATCATTCACAACTATCCAACTTTTGGATAACTATCAAAACGGCAGTGTAAATCTAATCCAATAGGCATGCCTAATCTTTGCACAAAAAAAAAAACGTCGTAAGAAGTTTACAAATGTAAAATGTTCGTATTGCGTCAAGCGCGGGGTCAGTTATTTCGGCAAAATGAATGTTAAGATTAAGAAAGATGGAAACCGTTGTTGGTGTTCGCAATAGAAAAATCGGCAAGATAGAGCCATTCGAAATTGAAATTTATTTTTGTGAAAATGTTCATCACATGAGCAGATATTCTTCTTATCATAAAATCTCCGTTTGGTCCGAGAGAGCTTTACTTTAATAATTTTACTTTAAAAATATTAGAAAGTGCTTTAAGAATGATTTACTTCAAGAATTTTAGAAAAATTCACGCGTCACGTATATTTCAGGAGGCCAATCACGCCCCACTCACGAATCACACTCGCCTTTCTGTAAAATTCGCGCGTCACACACTAATTTTGGCCTTAATCACGCGTCACGTGTAAACCCTCTGGCACCCTTTGGCACCCTTAAAAGACAGTTTGACAGCTTTCATAGGACACTTCAATGAAGTACAGAAATATAAAATGCAATTAAAGGTTACGTTCGACTGTAATAGTCTTTAAAATTAATTACCAAAACGATTCAAATAAGAGAAACCCAAGGACAAGAGCGTGCATGTTGGTGAAAAAGCGCTTGTTTAAGATGAGTAGGAAATAAGAGCCTCCTTTTATTAACCGAATAAATTTGTACCGCCACTTTCCGTTCCCAACAAAATAAGTAACAGCTTGCGTTCTCAATCGTCTCTCCTGATTGAAATGACAGAAATGATTTTCTTCGAAAAAAATTAGAATATTTCTTTAAAACTGAAACGTACGAAAATCATAAATGCCATTATTTCAATTACAAAGTCAAAGAAAACCTACTCTCTTAGCTACAAGCGTTATTCAAAGTTCTGTCCTTTTTCAGATGCAAGGCAGCTGGGCGATCTGTCCAAAAAACGCGCGAGACGCTCGCGACGTGTGGAAGGCGCCCATTTAAATCGTCCCATGCTATCTCGTCCTATCATCGTATGATCAATAGAAGTTCCAGAGGATATCATGTTGATGTATATTCGTTGAGTTGAATTCAAACGTTTGCCGACTTTTCCTGCTAATTTTAACAATCTCGGTGGAAGTTGTTTTCTAGCAGTGAATTGCGATCAGTGTGGCATGAAATTAGTTAAAAAAGAACGTTTCATGCAAACATAACACGATTTGTAAATGAACTGTTTTTAATTGGTAGAAACTTTTTAATAGCTATAACCAAATATGCTCCACGATTATTTGAATTCAACCCAACTGATTCACATGGGATTGGTTTGAATTAAAGAGTGCAAAGAAAATGTTGCCCTCAGACATTCGCGGTAAAAAGATAGAAAACCAATTCCCCTAAAAAAGCTCAAGGACTCCACAATAATCAGTTTTTATTTCAACTTTTTTTAAATTTTCTTTTTTGTTAATTCTTTGTCACGACAACAAACAGGAAAGACTCGTGATGAGTGACGCTGCAGAAATCTTAAAATCAGTCCAGATAGGTTTAAATGTCGTCATATTTCTTCTCAACACTGATCGTGGCCCACAAGCGACTGAGTTATGTAATGAATGTGCAAGTCTACTTCAAAACCTTGACTGTGGTAGTCACCTTGATATCTCTGATGTAATATCCAATGCATATTACGCCATCTCTGGTAACACAAATGCGGAAAGATATGCCAAGACACTTCTTTACACGTTGCACCACGCTGGAAGACTAACCATTAAACTGGGAGACAAATATGAAGCACAGCGCCGCTTTGTTGAGGCAAAGCAACTTTTCAATAGCGCACTCATCATCATGCAAACGATTGGTCCCAAAAGAGAAGAAGTAATGGCTCATAGAAGACTTGGAACTGTGTGTATAAGCCTCAGTGAAATGCAGAAGGCAAAAGAATACTTCGAGAAAGCCCTCATCATCGCGATAGAAATTGGTGACAGAAAAGAAGTAGGAGCAATAAACGGGGATATCGGAACTGTGTTCCATTTCCTTGGCAAACATCAGAGGGCTAAAGAATATTACGGGAAAGCACTTGCCATCTTGGTAGAAACTGGCCATAGGAGAGAAGAAGGAATAATTAACAGGAACCTCGGAAATGTGTTTCATTGCCTTGGCAAATATCAGACGGCTAAAGAATGCCACAAGAAAGCACTCACCATCGCAATAGAAATTGGCGACAGACGAGCAGAAGTGACAAGTAACGGAAACCTTGGAAAGGTGTTCTATTCCCTCGGCAAATATCAGAAGGCTAAAGAATATCACGAGAAAGCACTTGCCATCGCGACAGAAATTGGCGACAGACAAGTAGAAGGAACAAGTAACGGGAACCTCGGAACTGCCTTTTATTCTCTTGGCAAATATCAGACGGCTAAAGAGTGTCACGAGAAAGCACTTGCCATTGCGATAGAAATTGGCGACAGACAAGCAGAAGGAGCAACATACGGGAACCTCGGATGTGTGCTTCTTGAACTCGGCGAATATCAGAAGGCTAAAGAATATTTCGAGAAAGCACTTGCCATCAAGATAGAAATTGGCGATAGGAGAGGAGAGGGAACAATTAACGGGAACCTCGGAATTGTGTTTGGTTTCCTTCACAAATATAAGAATGCTAAAGAACACCTAAAGAAAGCACTTGCCGTTGCGATAGAAATTGGCCACAGACAAGAAGAAGGAACAAGATATGGAAGCCTCGGAAGTGTGTTCTCTTCCCTCGGCAAATATCAGAAGGCTAAAGAATATCACGAGAAAGCACTTGACATCGCAATAGAAATTGGCGACAGAAAAGGAGAAGGAACAGCATACGGGAACCTCGGAATTGTGTTCTCTTACCTTGGCAAATATCAGAAGGCTAAAGAATGTCACGAGAAAGCACTTGCCATCTCGATAGAAATTGGCGACAGAAAATCAGAAGGGATAGCATACGGGAACCTCGGGTGTGTGCTTCATAACCTCGGCGAATATCAGAAGGCTAAAGAATACCATACGGAAGCACTTGCCATCGCGATAGAAATTGGCCTCAGAAAAGAAGAAGGAACAGGATATGGGAACCTCGGAAGTGTGTCAAATGCCCTCGGCGAATATCAGAAGGCTAAAGAATATTATGAGAAAGCACTTGCCATTATGATAGAAATTGGTGACCGACAAGGAGAAGGAAAAGTTTACGGGAACCTCGGAAAAGTGTTTAGTATCCTTGGCGAAAATCAGAAGGCTAAAGAATATTACAAGAAAGCACTTGCCATCGCGATAGAAATTGGCAACAGAAGAGGAGAAGGAACAGCATACGGGAACCTCGGAAATGTGTTAGTTGAACTCGGCGAATATCAGAAGGCTAAAGAATACACGGAGAAAGCACTTGCCATCGCGATAGAAATTGGTGACAAAAAAGGAGAAGGATCAAGTTACCTGAACCTCGGAACTTTGTTTCATACCCTTGGCGAATTTCAGAAGGCTAAAGAATATGACGAGAAAGCACTTGCCATCGCAATAGAAATCAGCGACAGAGAAGTGGAAATATCAAGTTACCGGGAACTCGGAAATGTGTTTTGTTCCCTTGGCGAATATCAGAAGGCTAAAGAATATTACGACATAGCACTTGCCATCGCGACAGAAATCGGCGGGAGAAAAGGAAGAGGATACTTGAGTCTTGGAAATGTTCATCTTCAGCTTCGAAAAAATCGGCAAGCTAAAGAATATTTGGACAAGGCAGTCAGCATCAGTATAGCAAGTGGTGACAGAATACTAGAAGCCAACGCTACAGCAGGTTTGGCTGCTGTTTTTGTTTCTGTGAATGATAATCAAAAAGCAATAGAACATTGTGAGAAGGCGCTTACCATCAGCAGAAAATGTGGCCAGAGAGGTGTCGAAGCACAAAGTTACAGGAGACTTGGCGCAATATACCTATCGCTTGGTGAATGTAGCAAGGCAGAAGATTGTTTAGAGAAAGCTTATTCCATAAGCAGCCAAATTGGACACAAGATGCTTGAGCTTGAAAGCCTTCTCTTTATTACAGTGTTTAAGATATCGCAGTCAGAGATCGTGGAGGCGAAGAAATACCTTCTTCGATGTGTTGCAAAATATGAGCAAATCAGAACTTTTCTGAAAGAAAACAGTGAATATCAAATATCTCTGTTGGAGAAACTCGGTACTTTTCCCTACCATTTACTTACTCGCTTGCTTTGCTGTATTGGAAAATTTGAAGATGCTCTCTATATTGAGGAACTGGCACGAGCAAGAGTCCTCGCAGAATTAATGACAGACAAGTACTCCGTGGAAAGCCACATCTCAGCCGATCCACAATCATGGTTCGGGATTGAAAACATCGTGAGGAGAGAAAGAAACTGTGTTTTCTTGTACATTTCGTATAGAGAGCGACAAGTTCTTCTCTGGGCATTGAAAGCAAATGGAGACACTTGCTTTCGAGTAACAGACGAAGTGGAAGTAGACACTCTTATTGAAGAGAAAGTTTGCGATGTGGAAGGAATTTTCAAAAAGAGCGCCGCTGGCTTTGGCGTTTTAGCCACAGCGAACTGCGAAGATCGATCTTTGGATGACAACGTGACGACATCCCTTCATAAAGAGAGCCGAGCAAATTTGCGAGGTGAACAAACCAAAGATACCGAAAGAATTCATAGATTGTGCTACAAATGGATCGTCGCACCTGTGGCAGACTTACTTACAGAGCCCGAAATCATCATTGTGCCAGATCGTTTTTCGTACCGAGTCCCATTTGCTGCCTTATGTGATGAATCTGCCGGAAAGTATTTATCGGAGAAGTACAGAATCCGTATCGTCCCCTCTCTGATGACTCTCCGAATCATTCAAGAATGTCCAGTTGACTATCACAGTCTAACTGGAGCGCTGGTAGTGGGTGATCCTACGGTTGGCAAGGTGCATTACAATGGACGTCTCATTGACATTACACCATTGTTCTGTGCAAGAAAGGAAGCAGAGATGGTTGGTCGACTGCTGGGCGTTCAGCCTTTGTTAGGAAGTCGCGCAACAAAGCTGGCGGTACTCCAAGCGATACCTTCAATGAGTCTCATACATCTTGCCGCACATGGAAATGCCGAAAGAGGAGAGATTGCCCTCTCTCCTCAACGTGCTACTAACGATACTCCTCAAGAGGAAGACTACCTCCTGACTATGTCCGAAATTCAAGGAGTTCAAGTGCGAGCTAAACTGGTAGTACTCAGCTGTTGTCACAGTGGGCGTGGATTGGTTAAAAAAGAAGGAGTCCTTGGAATCGCTCGTGCATTCTTAGCATCCGGTGCACGTTCAGTGTTAGTAGCATCGTGGGCTATAGAAGACGAAGCAACGGAGCAGCTCATGAATCGTTTCTACGAACATCTTGTGCGTGGAGAAAGTGCCAGTGAATCTCTTCACCATGCAGTTCAGTGGTTGAGAAGCAATGGTTTCACCAAACCTTCCCAATGGGCTCCGTTTGTGCTGATGGGGGATAACGTGACATTTGATTTTATGAGAAAAGAGTGAGTCTGATTTTAATGAGCAATTTTCTATAATAAACCGACTAGCACACTTAACTTTTTCAATTCAACTTACTTTAGTGGGTTTTTTTTGTTTGTTTGTTTGATTTTGTATTTGTCTTTCATCCATAAAATGTCAAGAAAAAGAAGACGATTTTATTGAGGCTCGGAACCAGAGGAATTTGATGAATCGCTTCCTCAATTGGCCTTGAAAAAGAGTTTCTTTTTTATGTAAGATATTTTATGTAAGATATTTTATGTAAGATATTTTATGTAAGATATTTTATGTAAGATATTTTATGTAAGATATTTTATGTAAGATATTTTATGTAAGATATTTTATGTAAGATATTTTATGTAAGATATTTTATGTAAGATATTTTATGTAAGATATTTTATGTAAGATATTTTATGTAAGATATTTTATGTAAGATATTTTATGTAAGATATTCAGAAATAACTTCTCAAGGTTGTAACGATGCTAGATACAATGACGATGAAAGTAATCCGAGAAACTCGACCAGACCCCTAACTATTAAATCATAATTTTAAAGTCACTTTCGCACCAGGCATGGTATACTCTGCGATAATTTGGAAAGGTTCGAAAATCATAGTCCATGACATTGAAGAAAAAGGAATTTCTTACAACTGAACTTGATCCGTTTGCTTTTAAGTTAAAATAGCGACAAATGTAGAATGTTTGTTTTTAGGAAAGAAGAACTCAAGGAGGACAAAAATGAAGCAAAGATTGGAGCAGAGTGACGACTGATCCTACACAAAGATTCTTCTTCCTTTTATCTTCCATTCATCGTCTTTAAATGGACACTGGTATTACTCTGCATAGACATTTTTAATTTGTTTAAAAATCAAGAAGTCGTTTTGGCATGCTTTTTAAAACACGGTTGAATCGAAAGTGTGCGACAAAGAAACATGCAATTCAGCCGTTAAGATCTATTAATTATATCATGAGGGAACTAAGATTAACATTTTGATGAAAGAAGAAGATAAGCTAAATGTTAAAAATTGATAGAATGTTGGTAAAGTTGCGTCAAAACTCAAAACTGATCTAGCTTTCAATTCTCCCTTACCATGCAAACGTGATTATTAAAGAGTGATAATCGGAAAAGGGAACAAAAAGTGCGCGAGATTCTATAACAATCTAAGAGAAAAACCAAAGGGGAGCAAACAGAGTGAAATAAACTTAAAAATCAACAACAAACACAGAAGAAAAGAGAAACGATATGAAAATTGTTAAGGTCAAATTAGCCTGAAACATTGCGTGAGATACTAACGCAATAGTCAAACAGAAGAGTGCAAACGGTATCCGGTTAGATCGCTCCATGGTTAGATCGCTCCAAGTCAGATCGCTCCATACCGAAGTCAGATCGCTCCACTCGAAAGTTAGTTCGCTCCATCAAATAAGTTACTTCGCTCCATACATAAGTTACTTCGCTCCATGTAGAAACCTAATACACTAACTTACTTCTGATCTTTATAGTTTATAGTTGATGATGTGTATTGCGTCTTGCGATCGAGTTGCTGATCGACGTATTCGCTAACTTGAGGCCACCAAAGCGAATTACCGATGTTGGAACAAGTGTTTCAGTGTGTAATGAACGTAGAAAACTAATAAACTAACTTACTTCTGATCTTTGTAGTTTATAGTTGATGATGTTGCTTGCGATCAAGTTGCTGAAATATAAAGTGATCGCATCGCCCAGAATGCTATTGTCTTTCGCGACATGTACTTGCAGTGCCTATTTAATCAGCGGGCAGCATAATAATTTGCATATCCTGAACTAGTCGGTTGTGATTGGTCAGCAGGTAAAGCTTTGGGAATACATGAGTCTCTTTGCAGATTTCAGCTGCTGTCAATGAAACGGTTGGATGCGTAAAATAAATCCCAAGTTGCCAACAGTTACGCATCTGAATTCATAACATTTGTCTGTAAATAACACTTTTCGTTAATAAACGGTTATACTGAATTTTGCAAACATTGCTAGACGTATTTAAGTAAGTAAGTAACTTAATTTCTGAGTCAAACATAAAGACCAGCCAAAGGAAAAATCCTAATAGGGGACATGTGAGAGAATAATGGTATCTTTAAAGTTCGATTAGTTCAACAATCGAACTCGCAAAAAAAGTAGGTTCCATGAACCTCCAACCAAGGATTGAGGTCGGTAGCCGGATGTTCTGTTTTATGTTATTGCCTATTTTCTATTTCGTTAAAATCGCTTCAATCGGTAGAGAAAAATATGAGCGATGCTTCCGACAACCGGCTTGTAATTGCGACGATCGTCGAGATAGAACTAAAGTCTATCTTGCGACAATAATAGGAGTGTGGTTTCCGTATGATGGTAACGATTGCTGAATATTTTTGCAGCGAACGCAGCGATCATATCTTAAAAGCTTTTACAGTTTTTTAAGCATTGTCTAGTTACCACCTCAATTTCAATACTAATTAGGCGGCGTGTGCGCGATTGTTTGCGGAGGCGGAGCTTAGCATACCTTGATATTCTCGCGGGAAGTTTAAAATAGGTCACTAGTATTCTCGTGGGGGTCTCCAAAGGAAAAACTTGGATAGAACACTACGATGCTGAGCAAACGTTTTCGAAATTCGCGTTTTGCGACTACTTCCAAAGTTTGGAATCCCTTGAAAATTTCTATGACGCTTTCTAGAATGTCAAATAAAAATAACCGTATGGTAAAAGAGAAATCTAGCAATTGAGTGAAGATAAATTACGCCTGAAAGTGTGCTGAGATCGACTTCTCATACAAGCAGGATGCTAACATAGTCAATTTTCGAGGCAAATTTGCGACCTCTTCTGAAAGCGCAAGAACAAAGTGAGAATGATACACTGATCAATTAACTTTCTTCTTTAAAAGCCATATGGTAAAAGTAGCATTTGAAAAGCAGTTTATCCGTAAACGAAGAGAACGTAAGCCTTCCTCGACATTTTCAGCCCTTTTCCTTTATTGTTTGACAGTCATTTTCTAATTAGCTTTTAAATTTAGCGCCAGCGTCTCAATGAAAGTCCCGGATATGTCGCTGAATTCTGGGCGATGGACGATTCGTTCACTTGAACCCACCAAAGCGAATTACCAATGATGAAATAAGTGTTTCCACAATCATCACAAACAAAAGGCTCCTTTAGGAGCCACCAAAAAAAATAAAAGAAATGACCAACAATGAATATGATTTATAAATATTGCTTTCAAAGAATCGCCATTTTTAAACGTTGTCAAATCCAGCCGTGAGTGAGACTGGGTTCGACTCCGGTTAAAAATGGCGAGTCTTTAGTCGCGTTACAATACTCTTTCTTTTCTTTTCCCTTATCCTTCTGTCTTTCATCAACCTTCCACGTTAGTTTCCTTCATGGAGCGAAGTAACTTATGTATGGAGCGAAGTAACTTGTTTGATGGAGCGAACTAACTTTCGAGTGGAGCGATCTGACTTCGGTATGGAGTGATCTGACTTGGAGCGATCTAACCATGGAGCGATCTAACCGTAATTCGTGCAAACAGTTCGTAGGAAATCAACGTGATAATTAGTCAGAATTCAGAAAAAAAAGTCCCGAAGCTAGATTTTAACATAAGAAACAAATATAAATTGGAAAAAACAGCGAAGTAGCTATTGACTTGGAAATAAAAATAGAAGAGAAAAAGTATTGTGGAAGATTCTAAATCAAAATTCAATCAGAGTAAAGAACGAACAACGTACAAGATACAAACAATCCGCCAATCAGAGAAAAGACATACCAGTGCGCAATATATTTGCAACAAACAAAAGTAAAGAGAGGAAGCAGTAGACAAGATATTGATGGAAACGTCAGATTGGAAAGAAAAGGAACATTTATTGCGTGAATAATTGGAGTTAAAGTCAATCAGAAGAAGAGAAGAAACACTGCGCAGGATGTACTGATGTCCAAAAGAAAAAAAAATAAACACAGGCATGCTATGTATGCAAGAGTTAGTTTTTTTAATGCGTAGGTTGAGATGCGACACTTTGAGTGAATGACTTTTTAATTTTGTAAAATAGAACAACGACGAAAAAACATTGTATGATAGAATGCAAAAAAGGCCCATCTAATTTAGCTGAAATAAACTTAGACACCGCTTTTTTGTGTTCTGTTGTCAATGTTGTTTGAACAATTTTAATAGAAATAAACGGCCAATAAATAAACCAATGTCATCAGTATGGAGCCAGTAATCTTCGTCTATAGCTTCAGCAGTTCTCTTAGGGTCGCAAACGTAACCTTTAAAGACCTTAGGACCTTTTAAACAAATCTGGGAGAGTAAAATCCAAATGATTATTTTTCAGTTTAGTTGAATTTGATAAAGATGTATTTTGTTGCAATAAAATTTTTTTCGTAAATGAGATGATCTTAAAAAAATCAGGTATTGCTATGTCAGTTTATCTTATCTCTCCCTGACCATGCATTTTTGGGGTAGTATTCTTTCTCTTCCACATTGACAAGCTTAATGATGTTGCAAGGAACTGGAGGGCCAACATGTCCGACTGCAGAAAGAAGACAAGTACAGTTAAGTATATAACTACTGATGAGTCAGGTGGTCGTTGGTCAATCCGTTGATTCGCTCGATCATTGTTCGTTAGAGAGTTTTCAGTCAATTCTTCAATAAGTCACTAGAGTCGCCTTCCCCATCAGTCAGGTCAATCAACCAATTAATTAATCATTATTGGGAGGCTAGCCATTGGGTAAATAAAAAAAAAAGGTATTATGCCAGTGGCTCCATCGAACCAGTACAGTCAGTGACTCACTAAAGTCAGTCAAGCCGCCTGCCAGTTAGTCATTCCGTAAGTCCATTCAGTCAGTCAGTCATTGAGTCAGTCAATCAGTCAGTCAGTCAGTCTGCCAATCTGTCAATCAGTTGGTCAGTCAGTCAGTCAGTCAGTCAGTCAGTCGGTCAGTCAGTCGGTCAGTCAGTAAGCCTATAAGTCATTCCGTCAGTCATCAGTCAGTTACTCCCTCGTTCAATCAGCCCGTCTTTCAGCCCGTCAGACAAGTAACCCGTTAGTTGGTGAACCAGTTGGTCAGCCCGCGTGTCATTTGTTTGCCTAGAAACACTCAAAGAGCTTGACATATATACCTGTTGTGACGTCATTGACCAGCTTGAAGGGGACAGCAGCTGTGCATTCGGTTTGACAGTAGTCATCGGTCAGCCGAGGAAACAAACGGCAAATATTGTACGATAAATTAACAAAATCAAGTGGTAAAGGTGGTAGGTTTCTAAAGAAACTGTTAAAGGGTAAAAGACTGACGTTTCGAGCGTTAACCCTTCGTCAGAGGAATTGGTATATCAATTAGTAGTTCTGTTTTGCTACCAGAACGGACAAGGCTTATCTTGCTTGCCTGCGATGACCCGCTTTGTCCTACCCCTCCTGCAGGAAAGGGAAAATAAGAACAGCTTATATAGAAAAGTGACTTCAAATAAGACGGGATCTTTAGAATACTACAAAGCTTTAGGAAGGGATCAAGTAAATTTTTGTTGCGACACGACTAAAATCCTCCGCCTTCCTTCTTACCACATCCCGAGGCGACCGCTTTTTTATAATGGTCGGTTCCTCATATTCCAGTGTCGTCATCAATAGAAGTTCCGCCTCGTCGTCACTCTCCACGCAGTTGTTACTCTTTGTGCTTTTCCTTCTGGGTCTCGGGCAACATATTATTTGTTAAAATGTAGAAAACGTAAAATATAAACTACAACTAAGGGAGGGAAACATTGGGAATCTTTAAAATGGCGCAACTGAAATATCGCAAGCTCGACAAAGTACGCATGCTCAGTCAAGGTTTTATGGGGATTTTGGCTCCCAAGTGGCCTCATTTCATTTTTCAGTTATGTATTCGCGAGTTTCGTATCGTTTACGAGTAGATAGGCGTGAAAGATGCGTTTAGGGATCATCGTAAAAAAAAACAGAAAATATAGAGAACATGTTTATTTTCCTTCAAATCTCGTCATTGTTGATTAAATAGCAGCCATTTAACTGCTTAAACCTTTGATAAATACTGCAGAGTTCTTTTTTGAGAAGTATACAATGATTGTTTTTTATTCCTACGAGTCATAAACTAAAATTAAATATGTGAGTCTGAATAATTCCGCGAGTTCGAGTTCGAGTGAAATGTGGAACACAGAGGCTCAAGAAAATATTTTGGCAAGCTAACTTAATTGGGAAAGATTTCCGTATCACCACATACTATTTGAATACAAACAATATTCCCAAGAGTATTTTCTATTGTTTCGCCATTGTTTTCTTTTGTCAAGAACTGTATGCATAATAATAAAGTATGCGGTAATCTTGCCCAAAGTTGAAGGGAGAGCGCACTGTGGGGTGTTCTCATTCAGTTATGCTGAACATGCAGGGCGTAAGGTGTAATCGGGCGCGTTTAAAACGTGCGAGCGAAATATCACGGATGCACGAGCCTACTGGAGCTTTCTCCTTGTGTGTCTGCTCTCATGCACGCCTATCACTCGCATTTTCGTGGACACTTATAACGCGGGCTGGTAAACCTAAAATATTTAAAAAAAGAGCGAAGCGGAGCGGTGGGAGGGGGGAGAGTGTTATGCGAAATTACTTTTAACAATTATAAATATTTCTTTCACCACTTTTTCAGGCATCATTATACAGACTCATGTTTTTTTAGTGGATATAAAGTCCTTGTATCTTGTCTTAATAGACTATTGCTCTGGCTTTGCCTCAGTTCCTAACGTTTTCCCATTGCTTTCAAGAAGCGAAGGGTGGGGTCACTCATGATGGGTTTGTCATGCCTGTGTCTGCGTTAATTTCCAGCCTCCACCTCCTCGTAAAGCCGCTCGATTTGGTCTTTGAAAGTCTTGAGTATCTCTGAACGCTTGGCCTTGAAGGTTGGCGTGAGAAGTCCGTTTTCAATGCTAAACATCTCAGGATGAAGATAGATTTTCTTGACCTTTGAAACATAGGATATTATTGTGATCTATAAGGATGGCTTTCGTTTTCATCGTTAGCAAATACGAATTTTTTTTTCGTCCATGCTCTCGAAGTAGAGAGACTTCATTTGGTACAATTAAGTTTGTTGGTTGCCGTGGAGACTCCTTCTGATTATCGCGTAAAGGGGAAGTTAAAGAAAAAGTTCCTTAAGTTAAGCTGTCTCGTGTAGGAAAACAATTCAAACCGGACTCTTCTCATCACAATTAGCATTTCCCACATCTATTAGACATTGTCACCTACGAGTGAATAACTGTATGACGTACACCCTAACCTGTTCTAATGAATGAAGATCTCCTTCTCTTCCCTTGGCCAAGATGTCTTCCAATATAACTTTATTTATAATCTGAAAGGAAAGTCACAGTTATGTGCTCAGCTAACTCCGTTTCCATGAAAGAAAAAAGGAACTTTCCAGCTTTTTATGTTAGATTATCATTGAACATTAAGGAGGAGGGAGTTCTGAAAAAGTGAAAAATTAAATCATCTTTCAGCTATGGAAAACTGCAAAAAAAAAACAAACAAACAAACGAAAAAGAAAAGAAGAAATACATAAATAAATAAATAAGCAATGAATTAAAGATATCAGGAGAAAGTCAATGACGAAAAAATTACTGGCGTTTGATCCCATTGACCTGGTTACGACCATGTTAACCTGTGGTTGGTTCAAGCTTGCATGGGAGGCCTGGGGATAATATTACGGGCCTTTCTCATTTACACCTTGCACCACAGCCCCCGACCCTTGGAACCCCTCACCTTTAACCCCTCACCCCTTCTGTAAATTTATTTACCTCATCCTGACAAAGCTGTCTCACTCCACTTCTATCATCTGGTACAATAATGGCAACTAAGGACTGGAAACGAAGAATGTGTTTATTCAAGCTGCTATTTGGCTTCAATGCTTAAAAATATTGTGAACAAACCTTAAAGCTGTTTCCAATGACAAAGGCCTGCGCAACAAAGGGACTGCGTAAATATACATTCTGGATCTTCTCAGGAGCAATATACTCTCCCTGTTTTAGAAAAAAAAATCACCATTTAAAGTGAAATGAAAAAGGAATAAAAAAGAAAAAGAAATGACACATGAGGCTGAGACAGATGAAATATTTGAGTTCTCTGAGAGGCTTCGAATCCAAACCTTCGAATTCGGATTTCGTACTCCGATGCTTCACTTCTAAGCTACAGTGTATCCAACAGTAACTTTACGAAGTCAAATTAAGCTTAACATCACTCATTCATTGGACGAGCTAACAATTTCATTCTTTCTTATCTTGTTAAGCTGCAAAAGATTTAGAAGGAAATCCATACAAGATAACAAAACAGAAATATTAACCTCTTCCAAGAGACTTAGCAAACTGTTACGGAATATAGGTATATAACATTTGCAAAGCAATGATATTCAGAGACGAAAATATAGTATTCTTACCTGGAAAAGCTTAAAAATGTTTTTCTTTCTATCAATGATTTTCAAAGTTCCAGTCTGTAAAAGAAGACAGTGCACTTTTAGCTTTGATAAAAACCATAGGCATACCACGCATGCAAGAGTTATCTTCTTTGGATGGGTGGGTAACTAGCTAATTGGTACCTTCTATTTTTGAAAAGAAAAATAGCACTAACTTTCAAAAGATTCCAACGAAAATATCGTTTCATGGGGAGAGAAAAAAAACTTTTCCAACTTGTATAAATAAACTCAGGCACAGGTGTTTTGTTGTTTATTGTCACAGTTCTGAATTATTTTTAAGCAAAAATAATCTTCATTGTTGCCACACATACTGTAGATAATTGTGTTCTTTGCAGCTATGTTTGGGTCGTCACGCAACGCGCTCCTTCCCTCCATTGTGTGACAAGAGCGAACAAAATTTACGAAGGAAGTTTGTTGGCCTTCCCAACCATTAATGTGTTGATTTATATACTGACACATCATGAATTGCTTTAGAGTGACATCGGTCTGAGTAAATCCCATCTATGTTTTAAAGTTTTTTTTATATATCCCTGAAGAAAAACAAATGTCTTGCGCATTAAAATCAGTACTTCTGTCGTGTTGCCAAATTTTATCGTGAGTCAAATTCGTACCATTCATACCTATCCAATGCTTGGATAACAATTAAAACGCCAGTGTCAATCTATTCCAATAAGCATGCTTAATCTGTGCACAAAAAAAGCGTTCTGAGAAGTTAATTCCCAGCCAGAGGTTTTCAGTGTCGGTGGTAACGCAGAGTGTATTCAAATCGCACAGTTTTGCTATATTTCAAATTAATTTAAGGCGGGCAAATCTATTATTATTTGATGAGTTTGATTTGTGCGCTTGAAGTATGGGGTAGATGGAGAGCGATTGATTTTGAAGTTCCTGAACTTGCTTTTTACAAATCGAACTTAATCTTTACTTTTGGTGTCCGTTGTTATCCCATTGATTTATCACTTTTTTTTCACCTATCAAGTGTTTACGTCTTTCTTACAATAGGTATTTGTATTTATCTTTGTTTTTCAGAGAAAGTTCTATTTCAGTTTCTCACTGTTGGTTTTATTAGTCATAGGACTGGAATATTAAACAAGACAGGCTTCCTTTGTAAAAGGTTAGTTTTAAAAAAATAAATTTAGGAACAATCTTTTCCCGCTTTAAAAAACTACAAAACTTGAAACAGATTTTTGGCAAACATTTACCGCTAAAAAAACTTGCCTTAACCTCATCATAATCTTCAAAATATAATGATCAAGGTCTTTAACTTTCATGATCTAATTATCAAGTCTCCTTTCCAAATGTAACAAATGTCACTTTCAATATTTTTAGAGAATGAAGTATTGCATCAGTGCAATACCATTATGCTGACAAGTTGCTTTATTCTCTAAAACTGTTGACTGAAAAATATATTGATTCTGTAAGGAGAAATTGCACTTTAAACAATTCTTAAGTGTCCGAGTCTGGGACTGAAAGAGTAAAAGCAGCCACACGATGTATGAATGCGAAATTTTTATGTAAAAAGAACGAGGATGCAATGTTTTTAATGCGATTACTGGGAAATTGGAAGGCGACGTAGTGTTGTTTTAGGTTTTCCGAACGATTTTGTTTTTGTTCTACCGATGATGCCGTTACCTTTTTTTCACAAAAAGTCATTGTCATTCATTTCTGTTTTGCGGGGAAAGTGTCATTTCATTTTCTTACTCTCGGCTTCCTCAGTCATTCAATCAAAATACTTAACAAGACACACTTCCTTTACTTTACAAAGCAACAAAGGGTTCAAAGAGTCGTGGTAAGTACGATATTTAATTGTTAACGTGCTGGTGTCTAATGCGACATTTCATCGATTTTACAATACATATTTTAAGCTGCTCTCACACAGACCATTACTGTGTTGATTCATATACTGACACATCATGAATTGCTTTAGAAGGACACCAGTCTGAATAAATTCCATCTATGTCTTAAAGTTTTATCATATCCCAAGAAGAACAAGTCTCTTGCGCATGAAAATCGGTACTTCTGTCGTGTTGAGTTAATTCGTACCATTCATACCTATCCAACGCTTGGATAACAATAAAAACACCAGTGTAAATCTAATCCAATAAGCATGCGTAATCTGTGTACAAAAAAACGTCCTCAAAAGTTCACAAATGTTAAATGTTCGCATTGCGTCAAGCGTGGGGTCAGTTATTTCGGCAAAACAAATGTTCAGATTAAGAAAGACGGAAACCGTTGTTGGTGTTCGCAATGTAACAAAATTGGTAAGAAGGAGCCATCCAAAATTGAAATTTTTTGTGATGAAAATGTTCATAACATGAGCAGAGATTTTTCTTATCATAAAATCACCGTTTGGTCCGCCATGATGTTTCCTTGGCCGTCCTAAGTAACGTAAGGTTTTTCAGTGTCGGTGGTAACACAGAATATATTTAAATCGCACAGTATTGCCAAATTTCAAATTAGTTAAAGGCAGGCAGTTCTATTTTTTATTTGATAAGTTTGTTTTGTGCGCTTAATTTATGGGCAAGATGGAGAGCGATTGATTTTCAGGTTTCTAAACTTGCGTTTTACAAATCAAACTTAATCTTGGTGTCCGGTGTTCACCCTTTGATTTATCATTCTGTTTTTCACCTAACAAGTGTTTACGTCTTTCTTACAATAGGTATTTGCATTTCTCTTTGTTTTTCAGAGAAAGTTCTATTTCAGTTTCTTACTGTTGGTTTTATTAGTCATACGACTGGAATATTAAACAAGACAGGCTTCTTTTTTAAAAGGTTAGTTAAAAATAAATAAATTAAGGAACAATCTTTTCCCGCTTTGTTGCTAAAAATTTGCTTTGACCTTATCATAGTTTTCAAAATAAAATGATCCACTCATCTCCAGGCCTTTAACTTCCATGATCTAATTTTCAAGTCTCTTTTCTTAATGTGAGAAATGTTATTGTAAATATATTTTTTAGATACCTTATAGGCAAGCTGTAATGCAAGTTCTATCCAAAAAGTTTTTACAATAATTAATTTTACCGATAATTTTCAAATTCGATCTTTCACTAGCTCATTACATTCTTCGTTGCTTTGCAGAGAATTGTTACAATCAGTTTCTTGATTTTGGTCTCCTATCTATCAAGAGATCGGTGAGCGGCTAAATATTTATATCAGAAATAAAGTGCGCTGAAATATTTAGGATTGCAACTTAGTAATGATAGAGATAACACGCTTTGAATGATGAGTCTGTTTACTCTCATCACGTGATTGCTATATAATATATTGATTTTGTAAGGAGAAACTACATGTTCATCATTTCTGTGATTATAGAAAGTAAGAAGATGCCAAATGTTATTTAATGAGTCTTATGGGCAACCTGGGAAACGAGTTTTCTTCCATCTCAGATTTTCTTTTTCTCATTTTGGTGATTTCCAAGTACCAACCGTGTGAGTAAAATATTGTTACACCAGCTATTTGTATATACGTTTGTCTTTTGTCTGGGAAAGTCTAATTTGATTCTTTTTACTTTCGTTTTCATAAGGCACACTATCAGAATCTGTCGGCAGGGTCTGTTTTCAAAGGTGAGCTGTTCTTTCTTTCTTTTTTTTTAATTTTGGTTGCTTCTTAGTTTCATTTTGTATGAATAAAATTGATCTTGTTCTTTTACCAAACAAAACATTTCGAGAACGTGGTGGATAAGTTATTGAAGTAACGAGAATGTAATTGAATAGAATGAAAAGATTGCTTGAACGATTTTTATTTACTCGTTGCGATATATCAAAAAACTCAATCGTTCGCTGCGCTCGCTCGTTTGTTTATTTGATGCATGGCTACTCGTGAATAAAACTAGTTCAGTAGTACGCACTTTCCATGGAATAATCTCTATTTCCTTCGTCTCATAACCAGATTAAGACGACGAGTGATCGGTTTAAACGCTTAATAGAATCTTTGCTATTTTCCCAATTTTATGCTGCATTACAATCAAAATATTTTCAGTTTTGAAAATAACCTTTAGGTAATGATTGACAGTTCTATGTTCCAATTTCATAATCTCAAATTCTTAAAAAAAATTTCTAAAAATGACAAACCGTGATCTGCATGGGACACACAGTTAGAAATACCGACACAAATATTTACATCCGGACATGTAGATTGTAATTTTTATTTCGTTGAATTGATGTCCATCAAATTTGTCTTCCACGCAAAGAAACTGATTTACGTCGCGTATATGGACATCTCCGGATTGATTAGAAATTATTGATTTGCCTCGATTCTGAGTAAAACAACAATGGATATCAGAGCAGAGCGCGTCCTTGAGTGAGGAATCAGAGTGAGACTCATGATCCTGACAGGATTTCATGCAAGAATTTTTTAGAAAAATTCACGTGTCATGTATATGAAAGGCAAAACTTCAAATCTCTCGCCTTGTGTAGAACGTTTCTGGAAAATCTTTAGGATTTCACGAGATGAACGAAGAAATTCACGAGTAACTTATATTTCAGTGGGCAAGTGACGCCTCACACTAAATCATAAATTCACGAATCACGATCCTTTTTCAGGCGTCACATGTTAATTTTGGCCTTAAACAAGCGTCACGTGTAAACCCTTTGGCACCCTCCTTTCAAAATTCAGTTGACAGCTCTCGTAGGATACTGCAATGAAGTACAGAAATATAAATTTCAATTGAAAGTTTCGCGCGACGGTGATAGTTTTCAGAATTATTGCCAAAACAATTCAATCAAGAAAAACCCACTTCCTTCAAGTCGACCCTCCTATCTGCCAACCATTATAAAGTGTGAGAAGGACGGTTTTTTCCAAATGTTAATGTAACTTTCAGCAGGACAAAATACGGTGAAAGAATACCAAAAAAAAATGAAACATCTCATCTACTTTAATATTTCAATTGTCAAGGGTCGATATGAATTGTATTCACTAAAAACAAAGTAAAGAACTTTACGACTTCAGCTGAAGCGAGTGACAAGAGCGTTCATGGAGGCGGAAAAGAGCCCGTTCATAACGCTTGCATCAACTCACCTGATTGAAATGACTGAAATGATTTTCTTCTAAAAAAAGTCAAAATATTTCTTTAAAACTGATACGTACGAAAAACATAAATGCTATTACTTCAATTAAAAAGTCCAAGAAAACCTACTTCATTGGCTAAAAGCGTTCTTAAAATTCTATCCGGCAGCCAGGCGATCTGTCCGAAAAACGCGCGAGACGCTCGCGACGCGTGGAAGGTGCCCATTTAAATCGTCCCATTCCATCGCGTCCTATCATCGTATGATCAATAGAAGATCCAGAGAAAATCATGTTGATGTACATTCTTGGAGTTGAATTCAAATGTTTGCCGACTTTTTCTGCTAATTTTAACAATCTCAATGGAAGTAATTTTCTAGCAGTAAATTTCGATCAGATTCAGTAATAACTAATTTTTATGGCATGAAATAGGTGGGAAAAAAAAACGTTTAATGCCAACATAACAAGATTTGTAACTGCTGTTCAACTGGTGAAACTTTTTTTGATAGCTATAATCAAATCTACTACACGATTATTTGAATTCAACCCAACTGATTCACATGGGATTGGTTTGAATAAGAGAGTGAAAAAGAACTGTTACCCTCAGACATTCGTAAAAAGGAAGAAAACAACCAATTCCCTCTAAAAGCTCAGGGACTCCTCAATAATCAGTTTTTATTCTAATTTTTTTAAGTTTTGTTTTTTGTTCACTTTTTGTCACAAAAACAAACAGGAAAGACTCGCTATGAGTGACGCTGCAGAAATCCTACAATCAGTCCAGATAGGTTTAAATGTCGTCATATTTCTTCTGAAAACTGATCGTGGCCCACAAGCGACTGAGTTATGTAATGAATGTGCAATTCTACTTCAAAACCTTGACTGTGGTAGACACCTTGACATCTCTGTTGTAATATCCAATGAATATTACACCATCTCTGGTAACACAAATGTTGAAAGATATGCCAAGACACTTCTTTACACGTTGCACCACGCTGGAAGACTAACCATTAAACTGGGAGACAAATATGAAGCACAGCGCCGGTTTGTAGAGGCAAAGCAACTTTACAATAGCGCAGTCATCATCATGCAAACGATTGGTCACAAAAGAGAAGAAGCTATGGCTCATGAAGGACTTGGAACTGTATGTATAAGCCTCAGTGAAATGCAGAAGGCAAAAAAACACTTCCAGAAAACACTTACCATCGCAATAGAAATTGGCGACCGATTAGCAGAAGGAAGAAGTAACAGGTACCTCGGTGATGTGTTTCATTACCTTTGCAAATATCAGAGGGCTAAAGAATATAACGAGAAAGCACTTGCCATCGCGATAGAAATTGGCGACAGAAAAGGAGAAGGAACAAGTAACGGGAATCTCGGAAATGTGTTTCATTCCCTGTGCCAATATCAGAAGGCTAAAGAATATTACGAGAAAGCACTTGCCATTGACATAGAAATTGGCAACAGACCAGGTGAAGGACCAATTCACGGGAACCTCGGAAAGGTGTTTCATTCCCAAGGCGAATATCAGAAGGCTAAAGAATATTACGAGAGAGCACTTGCCATTTCGATAGAAATTGGCGACAGACATGGAAAAGGAAGATTGAACGGGAACCTTGGAAATGTGTTTCATTCCCTAGGTGAATATCAAAAGGCTAAAGAATATTACGAGAAAGCACTTGCCATCGCGATAGAATTTGGCGACAGAAAAGGAGAAGGAACAATTAACGGGAATCTCGGAACTGTGTTTCATTCCCTGTGCCAATATCAGAAGGCTAAAGAATATTACGAGAAAGGACTTGCCATTGCCATAGAAATAGGCGACAGACAAGGAGAAGGAACAATTAACGGGAACTTCGGAAATGTGTTTTATTCCCTAGGCGAATATCAGAAGGCTAAAGAATATTACGAGAAAGCACTTGCCATCGCGATAGAAATTGGCGGAAGAAGAGGAGAAGGAAGATTTAACGGGAACCTTGGAAATGTGTTTTACTCCCTAGGCGAATATCAGAAAGCTAAAGAATATTACGAGAAAGCACTTGCCATCGCGATAGAAATTGGCGGCAGACAACAAGAAGGAATAGTTAGCGGGAACCTCGGAAATGTGTTTCATTCCCTAGGCGAATATCAGAAGGCTAAAGAATATTACGAGAAAGCACTTGATATTGGGATAGAAATTGGTAACAGACAAGGAGAAGGAACAAGTAACGGGAACCTCGGACATGTGTTTCATTCCCTAGGCGAATATCAGAAGGCTCAAGAATATTACGAGAAAGCACTTGCCATCGGGATAGAAACTGGCGACAGACAAGGAGAAGGAACAAGTAACGGGAACCTCGGAAATGTGTTTCATTCCCTAGGCGAATATCAGAAGGCTCAAGAATATTACGAGAAAGCACTTGCCATTGCGATAGAAATTGGCGACAGACAAGGAGAAGGAACAATTAACGGGAACATCGGGAATGTGTTTCATTTCCTATGCGAATATCAAAAGGCTAAAGAAAGTTACGAGAAAGCACTTGCCATTGCGATAGAAATTGGCGACAGACAAGGAGAAGGAAGAACTAAAGAGTGCCTCGGAAGTGTGTTTCATTCTCTTGGAAAATATCAGCAGGCTAAAGAATATTACGAGGAAGCACTTGCCAATGGGATAGAAATTGGCGACAGGCAAGGAGAAAGAACAATTAACAGGAGGCTTGGAAGGATGTTTGATTCCCTTGGCGAACATCATAAGGCTAAAAAACATTACGAGAAAGCACTTGCCATTATCACAGAAATCGGCGGGAGAAAAGGAGAAGAATACTTGAATCTTGGGAATGTTTATTTTCATCTTCGAAAAAATCGGCAAGCTAAAAAATATTTGGACAAGGCATTCGGTATCAGTATAGCAAGTGGTGACAGAATACTAGAAGCTAAGGCTACAGCAAGTTTGGCAGCGGTTTTTGCTTCTGTGAATGACAATCAGAAAGCAAAAGAACATTGCGTGAAAGCGCTTACCATCAACAGGGAATGTGGCAATAGAAGTGGCGAAGCACAAAATTACTTAAGCCTTGGCAATTTACACCAATCGCTCGGTGAGTGTAGCAAGGCAGAAGATTGTTTAAAGAAAGCTTATTCCATGAGCAGCCAAATTGGAGACAAGATGCTTAAGTTTAAAAGCCTTCTTAGTATTACACTGGTAAAGATAACGCAGTCAGAGGTTTTGGAAGCAAAGGAATATCTTCTTCGATGTATTGCAAAATACGAGCAAATCAGAACTTTTCTGAAAGGAAACAGTGAATTTAAAATGTCTCTGTTAGAGAAACACGGTACTTTTCCCTACCGTTTACTCACTGACTTGCTTTGCGATATTGCAAAATTTGAAGATGCTCTCTACGTCGAGGAACTGGCACGAGCAAGAGTCCTCGCAGAATTAATGGCAGACAAGTACTCCGTGGAAAGCCACATCTCAGCCGATCCACAATCATGGTTCGGGATTAAAAACATCGTGCGGAGAGAAAGTAACTGTGTTTTCTTGTACATCTCGCATAGAGAGCGGCAAGTTTTTCTCTGGGTACTGAAAGCAAATGGAGGCACTTGCTTTCGCAAAACAGACAAAGTGGAAGTAGACACTCTTATTGACGAGCGAGTTTGCGATGTGGAAGGCATTTTCAAAAAGAGCGCCGCTGGCTTTGGCGTTTTACCCACAGCGAACTGCGAAGATCGATCTTTGGATGACAACGTGACGACATCTCTTCATAAGGAGAGCCGAGCAAATTTGCGAGGTGAACAAACCAAAGATACCGAAAGAATTCATAGATTGTGCTACAAATGGATCGTCGCACCTGTGGAAGACTTACTTACAGAGCCTGAAATCATCATTGTGCCGGATCGTTTTTCGTACCGAGTCCCATTTGCTGCCTTGCGAGATAAATCTGCCGGAAGGTATTTATCGGAGAAGTACAGAATCCGTATCGTCCCTTCTCTGACGACTCTCCGAATCATTCAAGAATGTCCAGCGGACTATCACAGTCTAACTAATGCACTGGTTGTGGGTGATCCTACGGTGGGCAAAGTGCATTACAATGGACGTCTCATTGACATTACACCATTGTTCTGTGCAAGAAAGGAAGCAGAGATGGTTGGTCGACTGCTGGGCGTTCAGCCTTTGTTAGGAAGTCGCGCAACAAAGCAGGCAGTACTTCAAGCTATACCTTCGGTAAGTCTAATACATCTTGCCGCACATGGAAATGCCGAAAGAGGAGAGATCGCTCTCTCTCCTCAACATACTACTGACGATACTCCTCAAGAGGAAGACTACCTCCTGACTATGTCCGAAATTCAAGGAGTTCAAGTGCGAGCTAAACTGGTAGTACTCAGCTGTTGCCACAGTGGGCGTGGATTGGTTAAAAAGGAAGGAGTCCTTGGAATCGCTCGTGCATTCTTAGCATCCGGTGCACGTTCAGTGTTGGTAGCATCGTGGGCTATAGAAGACGAAGCAACGGAGCAGCTCATGAATCATTTCTACGAACACCTTGTGCGTGGAGAAAGTGCCAGTGAGTCTCTTCACCAGGCAGTTCAATGGTTGAGAAGTAATGGTTTCCCTAAACCTTCCCAATGGGCTCCGTTTGTGCTGATGGGGGATAACGTGACATTTGATTTTACGGGTAAGTCTGATTGTAATGAGCAATTTTCTATAATAACCGATTAGCACACTTAATTTTTTTCAGTTCAACACGTAATAGTCGGTTTTTGTTTGTTTGTTTGTTTTTGTCTTTGTCTCTCATTCATAAAATGTAAAGTAAAATAAGACGATTTAATTTCGTGCTCAGAGCCAGAAGATTTCGATGAATCGCTTCCTTAATTGGCCTTGAAAAAGAGTTCCTTTTGCATGGAAGATACTCAGAAATAATTGCTGGAGGTTGATACGATGCTAGACACTATGACGATGAGAGTAATCTGAGAAACTTAAGCTGAGTTTAAAAAAGTTAACTTTATTTTGTAGAAAATCTACAACAGTAACCAATTAAACCATAATTTTGAAGTCACTTTCGCATAAATTATGGCATATGCAACAATAATTTGGAAAAGTTCGAAAATCATAGTCCATGACATTGAAGAAAAAATTGATTTCTCTTAAATGAACTTGATCCGTTTGCCCTTTCAGTTAAAATAGTGACAAATGTAGAATGTTTTTTTTAGGAAAGAAGAACTCAAGGAGGACAAAAATGAAGCAAAGATTGGAGCAGAGTGACGACTGATCCGACATAAAGATTCTTCTTCCTTTTATCTGACATTTATCGTCTTTAAATGGACACTGGTATTACTTTGCATAGACATTTTAATTTGTTTAAAACTCAAGAAGTCGTTTTGGCATGCTTTTTTAAACACGACTGAGTCGAAAGCGTGCAATAAAGAAACCTGCAATTCGGCCGTTAGATCAATTAATTATATCATTAGAGAACTAAAATTAACATTGGGATGAACGCAGGAAAAAACCTTATCTTAAAAAATGATAGAATGTTGGCAGAGTTGTGTCAAAACTCAAAATTGATCCTTGGTTTACATCACCATGATCTGGTTTTCAATTCTCTCGTAGCATGCAGACGCGATCATCAAAGAGCGATGAAAATCGGTTGTAGGTATAGGGGATAATTACATAACAAACAAACGGAAGAGAAAAGTAGGCGTTACTATATCATAATCTTAAAGATAAACGGAGAAGGGAACAGACAGAGTGAAATTTATTTAAAAATCAGCAACAAACAGAGGAAAGAAAAGAAAAGAAAAGAAACGATATCCAAATTGTTAAGGTAAAATTAGCCTGAAATATTTCGTAAGATACTAGCGCTATAGTCGAACAGAAAAGTGCAAACAGTTGGTAGGAAATTAATGTGACAATCAGCCATAATTCAGAAAAAAAGTTCATGGATAGATTCTAAAGTAAGAATCAAATACAAATTGAAAAATCAGCGAGATAGATGTTCACTTGGAAATTAAAATAGAGGAGGAAAAGTATTGTAGAAGACGAAGCAACGGAACAGCTCATGAATCATTTCTACGAACACCTTGTGCGTGGAGAAAGTGCCAGTGAGTCTCTTCACCAGGCCGTTCAATGGTTGAATAATTGTAGCGAAAATTGGTTACCGTTAAGGGGTAAATAGCTGCCGTTTCGAGCGTTAGCCCTTCGTCAGAGGGATTGGTATATCAATTAGTAGTTCTGTTTTGCTACCAGAACGGACAAGTTAGGCTTATCTTTCTTGCCTGCGATGACCCCCTCTTGGGCGACATTTCATTTGTTAAAATGTAGAAAACGTAAAATCTAAACTACAACAAAACGAGAAAAACATTGGGAAATTTCAAATGGCTCGACTGAAGCGAAATATCGCAAGCTCGACAAAGTACGCATGCTCAGCCAAGATTTTTTAGGGGTTTTGGTACGCATTCTCAAGTCAAGATTTTGTAGGGGATTTGGTTCCCAGGTGGCCTCATTTTATTTTTCAGTTATTTATTTGCAATTTTCGTATCGTTTACGAGTAGATAGATGTGAAAGATACGTTGAGGGATCATCGTAAAAACACAAAATATAGAGAACATGTTTATTTTCCTTCAAATCTCGTCGTTGTTGGTTAAATAGCAGCCATTTAACTGCTTAAAAGTTTGACTGCAGAGTTCTCTTTTTGAGAAATAGACATTGATCGTTTTTTATTCCTAATAGTGATAAACTGAAATTAAATAAGTGAGTCTGAATAATTCCGCGAGTTCGAGTTCGAGTGCAATGTAGAACACAGAGGCTTAGGGAAATATTTTGGCAAGCTACCCTAATTGGGAAAGATTTTCGTATCACCATATACTATTTGAAAACAAAGCCATATGCTGTAATGCTGTAATCTTGCTTAAAGTTGAAGAGAGAGAGTAATGTGGGATGTTCTCATTTAGTCATGTTGTACATGAAAGTCGTAAGGAGTAATCGGGCGCGACCAGAACGTGCAAACAAAACTTCCCGGATGTGCGAACCTAATGGAGCTTTCTCCTCGTGTGCCTGCTCTCATGCACGCGTGTTAATTACATTTTTGTTGACGCTTGTTACGGGGGCTGATAGAACCTAAAATATTTAGAAAAGAGCGGGACGGAGGGGGGGGGGGGTGTGTGGAAAGGGTAGTGTGAATATTTCATTCACCACTTTTTCAGGCGTTATTATGTAGACTAACTTTTGTAAACCAGCATAATTGTGACTATTTTTAAGGTCATTGATAGTGGATATAAAGTACTTGTGCCGTGTCTTAATATGTCTTAAACAACTATTTCTTGGGCTTTGTCTCATTTCCCGTTCCTTCGCGAGAAGCGAAGGATGGGGTCGCTCATGATGGCTTTATCATGCCTGTGTCTGCGTTAATTCCCAGTCTCCACCTCTTCGTAAAGCCGCTCGACTTGGTCTTTGAAAGTCTTGAGTATCTCTGAACGCTTGGCCTTGAAGGTTGGCGTGAGAAGTCCGTTTTCAATGCTAAACATCTCAGGATGAAGATAGATTTTTTAGACAATTGAAACAAAGGATATTATTGTACTATATAAGGATGGCTTCCGTTTTCATTTTTAGGAAATACGAATTTTTTTTCGTCCATGCTCTCGAAATATAGAGACTTTTTATTCGGTACAATTAAGTTTGTTGGTTGCCGTGGAGACTCCTTCTGTTTATGGCGTAAAGGGAAAGTTAAAGAAAAAGTCCCTTGAGTTAAGCTATCTCGTGTAGAAAACCACTTCAAACCGGACTCTTTTCATTACCAGTAGCATTCCCCACATCTAACAGACATTGTCACCTACGAGTAAATAAATTTATGACGTACACCCTAACCTGTTCTAATGAATTAAGATCTCCTTCTCTTCCCTTGGCCAAGATGTCTTCCAATATAACTTTATTTATAATCTGAAAGGAAAGTCACAGTTATGTGCTCAGCTAACTCCGTTTCCATAAAAGAAAAAAGAAACTTTCCAGCTTTTTATGTTAGATTATCATTGAACATTAATGAGGAGGGAGTTCTGAAAAAGTGAAAAATTAAATCATCTTTCAGTTATGGAAAACTGCAAAAAAAAGCAAACAAATAAACAAACGAAAAAGAAAAGCAGAAATAAATGAAAGAATAAATAAGCAATAAATTAAAGATATCTGGAGAAAATCAAAGACGAAAAAAATTACTGGCGTTTGACCCCATTCAACTGGCTACGACCGTGTTAACCTGTGGTTGATTCAACTTCAGCTTGCATGAGAAAGCCTGGGGATAATATTACGGGCCTTTCTCATTTACATTAATCACTTAAGACTACAACCCCCGACCCTCGGGACCCCTCACCTTTAACCCCTCACCCCCTCTGTAAATTTACTAACCTTATCTTGACAAAGCTGTTTCACGTCTCCCTTCACTTCATTTTTTTTGGCCCAGGCTTCTATCACTTCAGCATCTGGTACAATAATGGCAACTAAGAAGGACTGGAAACGAAGAATGTGTTCATTCAAGCTGCTATTTAGCTTCAATGCTTAAAAATATTGTGAACAAATCTTAAAGCTGTTTCCAGTGACAAAGGCCTGCGCAACAAACGGACTGCGTAAATATACATTCTGGATCTTCTCTGGAGCAATATACTCTCCCTGTTTTAGACAAAAAAAATAATAACCATGTAAAGTGAAATAAAAAAGGAATAAAAAAAAAAAAAAGAAATGATACATGAGGTTGAGACAAAAAAAAATATCTTAGTTCTCTGAGAGGCTTCAAATCCAAATCTTCGAGTTCGGATTTCGTACTCCGATGCTTCAATTTGCAATGCAATCAATTTAAGTTTAACTTAAGATATTTCCTCATTGGGCAGCCGAGCTAACAATTTCATTCTTTCTTATCTTGATAAGCCGCAAAATATTTTGTAAGAAATCTATACAAGACAGCAAAACAGAAATAATAACCTCTTCCGAGAGAATTAGCAAACTGTAACGGAATATAGGTATATAACATTTGTGAAGCAATGATATTCAGAGACGAAAATATAGTATTCTTACCTGGGAAAGCTTAAAAATGTTTTTCTTTCTATCAATGATTTTCAAAGTTCCATTCTGCAAAAGAAGGCAGTGCGCTTTTAGTTTTGATAAAAAACATAGGCATGCCACGCATGCAAGAGTTATCTTCTTTGGATGGGTGGGTAACAAGATTACTGGTACCTTACATTTTTGTTAAGAAAAATAGCATTAACTTTCAAAAGATTCCAACGAAAATATCGTTTCATGGGGAGAAAAAAAAAACCTTTCTAACTTGTATGAAATAAACTCAGGCACAGGTGTTTTGTTGTTTATTGTCGCTAGTTCTGAATAATTGTAAGCAAAAATAATCTTCATTGTTGCCACACGTACCGTAGATAATAGTCTTCTTTGCAGGTGTGTTTAGGCTCATCACGCAACGCGCTCCTTCCCTCCATTGCGTGACGAGAGGGAACAAAAGTTTACGTAGGATATTTTGTTAGCTTGCGATCGGGCCCTTATTACCAGCGTTTGGTCACGAGCGTTTCTTTGCCCGCGCGAACTTACGAGGCCTTCAGGAACTCGAGCCAGCGAAAGGTGTGTCCACGGTCTGGTACTGATAATTAGTGCCAGATCCCTGACAAATCTCTCCTCGACATGACAACGCAATCTCTACATCAGCGCACCAGGGGTAGGCTGAGATTTGCCACGCGCCTTTTTACCTTCAAATAGACATGTGCCGCTGATTCTTCACTTTACAAAGCAACAAAGGGTTCAAAGAGTCGTGGTAAGTACGATATTTAATTGTTAACGTGCTGGTGTGCTAATGCGTCATCTCAATAATTTTACAATACATATTTTAAGCTGCTCTCACATAGACCTACTTATTATTACTGTGTTGATTCATATACTGACACATCATGAATTGTTTTAAAAGGACATCGGTCTGAATAAATTCCATCTATGTTTTAAAGTTTCTTTATATCCCAAGAAGAACAAATCTCTTTCGCATTAAAATCAGTACTTCTGCTGTGTTGCCAAATTTTGCCGTGAGTCAAAATCGTACCATTCATACCTATTCAACGCTCGGATAACAATCAAAATGCCACTGTAAATAAATCTATTCCAATAGGCATGCCTAATCTGTGCACAGAAAAAGCGTCCTGAGAAGTTTACAAATGTTAAATGTTGGTATTGCGTCAAGCGGGGGGTCAATAATTTCGGCAAAACAAATGTTGAAATTAAGAAAGTCGGAAATCGTCGTTAGTGTTCGCAATGTAAAAAATTGGCAAGATAGAGCCATTCGAAATTGAAATTTGTTTTTGTGAAAATGTTCATCACATGAGCGGAGATTCTTCTTCTCATAAAATCTCCGTTTGGCCCGGCATATCTAATGTTGTTTCCTTGGCCGTCCCAAGTAGCTTTTACCCTAAGGCGGGTAAATCTATTTTTATTTGATGAGTTTAATTCGTGCGCTTAATTTTTGGGGAAGATGGAGAGCGACTGAATTTTAGGTTTCTAAACTTGCGTTTTACAAATCCAACTTAATCTTTACTTTTTGTGTCCGTTGTTCCCTCTTTGATTTATTATTTTTGTTTTACCTATGAAGTTTTTACGTCTTTCTTACAGTAGCTATTTGCATTTATTTTTGTTTTTCAGAGAAAGTTATATTTCAGTTTCATACTGTGGGTTTTATTAGTCACACGACTGGAATATTAAACAAGACAGGCTTCTTTTTTAAAAGGTTAGTTTTATTTTTAATTTAGACACAATCTTTTCCCGTTTTGCTGCAAACAATTTGCCTTAACCTTATCATAGTCTTCAAAATAAAATGATTCACTCATCTCGAAACCTTTAACCTCCATGATCTAATTATCAAGTCTCCTTTCTAAATGTAACAAATGTCACTGTAAGTATTTTTAGAGATTGAAGTGTTTCGTCAATTTAACACCATCCAGCTGATAAGTTTGTTTATTCTCCAAAACTGTTGGCTGAAGAATATATTGATACTGTAGAGAGAAATTACGTGTTCAACAATTCTTAATTGTCCGAGTCTGGGACTGAAAGAGTAAAGCAGCCACACGATGTATGAATGGGAATTTATTACGTAAGAAGAACAAAGATGCAATGGTTTGAATGCAATTACGGGGAAGTTGGAAGGCGACGTAGTTGTGTTTAAGGTTTTCCCAACGATTTTTTTTAGTTCGACCGATTATGCTGTTACTTTTTTTCACAAAAAGTCATTGTCATTTATTTCTGTTTTGCAAGGAACGTGTCATTTCAGTTTCTTACTCTCGGCTTCCTCAGTCACACAATAAAAATGCTGAACAAGACACACTTCCTTGTTCAGGGGTAAGCAGTAAAAATTAAAGAAAAAATTAGCTTGCATTCCTTTTCCCTTTTTTTTTCGTCGTCACCTTAAATCAGGCGCAACAGAAATCAAATTCAAGAAGTGCAAATCTTGATTTTAAAAGAAGGAGCCACAATGTTTTTCAATGAGCATTGTGAGCAAAACAGAAAGTAGTGTTGATACATCTCAGACCACGAATTCTATCAAATACAGTTTAAAATCTCGTCGCAGACACTTGAAGTAATTTTTTCAACCTATCAAACTCAACACTTTGTTCTTACACGAGCTGCTTGCATTTATCTTTGTTTCTTGCGGCTTTCGGTCTCATCTCTGAAACAATACAACCCGTGTTTACTTTTAAAACGGTTAGCACCTGAAAAACTAAATTAGCTTATAATGATTCTTTCAGTCGCTTTTTTAAGAGAAATATATATTTCGGATATAAATTAAATTTGAGAAATTACAGTGATAAAAAGGTTCTAATTCCAAACAGTGTGATAATATTTGTGGAAACCTACTAAATTCAAATCAATTTTGACTTGATTAAAAAATATGTAAGGTCCGCGTCACCTTAACCCTTTAAATTTATGATCGTATTAGCAATTCTTCCATATAGCTCCTTCACTTTACCTTGTTCGTCAGTAGGAAGAATTTAGTGTTGTTTTACGAAAACACCCTCAGCTGATAAGTGGTCTCGCCACTAGCTTGTTCACTGAATAACGTGTTGATTTTGGAAAGAGAAGCAAAATGTTCCTTACTCCTGTAACTTAAAAGTTTTTTAGAAATCGGGTAAAGGGAATTTTAAACCACCAAACCCTTATCAATGATATGCAGGCTCCGATTTTTTTTTAAAGATATCTTATAGGCAAGCTGTAATGCAAGCTCCATCCTTCTTAGGTTTTTACAATGATTAATTTTTACCGATAATTTTCATATTCGATCTCTCACTAGCTCTTTGCATTCTTCGTTACTTTGCAGAGAAATTTTAAAATCAGTTCCATGATTTTGGTCTCCTACCTATCGAGAGATCGTTTCTTTTTCAAAAGCGAGCGGCTATTTATTTATTTCAGAAATATAGTGCGCTAAAATGTTTAGGATTGCAACTTAATAATGATAGAGGTAACACCCTCTGAATGATGAGTGTGTTTACTCTCATCTCTTGATTTCTGTATGGTATATTGATATTGTAAGGAGAAGGTATATGTTCATCCCTTCTATGATGATGAAAAATAAGTAGATGCCATATGTTGTTTAATGAATCTTATGAGCAACCTAAAAAACAAGTTTTCTCCCATTTGAGGCTTTCTTTATTTCATTTTGGTGATTTATCATATTAATACTAAGAAAAAAAATCTCATTTCAATATTTGTTACTTTTGTTTCCATTAGTTACAATATCAGGATCTAACGCAGGATTTGTGTTCAAAGGTGAGCTGTTGGTTTCTTTTTTTTTTGATTGCCCTTAGTTTCAATTTCTATGAATAAAGTTAATCAAACTTAGTATTTTACCAGACAAAAAAATTTTGGAGAACTTAGTATATAGGTTATTGAAATAAAGCGAACGCTTTACTTCAAGAACCTATATACTAAAAATTCACGCGTCTCGTAAAGAAGGCAAAAGTTCAAACCTCCCGCCATGAGTAGAAGGTTTCCGGTAAATCTTGAGGATTTCACGAGATGAAAGAAGAAATTCACGCGTCACTTATATGTTAGGAGGCAAATCACGCCCCACTCGCGAATCACGATCGCTTTTCTGCAAAATTCACACGTCACATATTAATTTTGGCCTTTATTACACCCATTTGGAAATCACCGGTGGTCCCTGTAATCTGATTGGTTCTAATTGGTACGATTTATTCACAAATCGCACCATTTCTATTTCGATTTATTCACAAATCGCACCATTTTTTGCTTTAAATTGAATCTTTTTCCCAGCCAATGAGGAGGCTACACTAATCACAAAACAACCAATCAGATTTCAAGGCTTGTTTAAGGTAACCAATCAAATTGCAGGAAAATGAAAGACAAAGAGTATCATGTGGCAAATTTTGCAAATTTTTATTTCCAAAACTCTTAATTTTGAATTGAAGATGAATTGAAGATGAATTTAATTTGAAACCGGCTCAGCACTGCATCAATAAGATATTTGAACTGACCAAGTCCTGTATTTGGGTGATTTCAAAATGGATGTCACGCCCCACTCGCGAATCACGATCGCTTTTCTGCAAAATTCACACGTCACATATTAATTTTGGCCTTTATTACACCCATTTGGAAATCACCGGTGGTCCCTGTAATCTGATTGGTTCTAATTGGTGCGATTTATTCACAAATCGCACCATTTCTATTTCGATTTATTCACAAATCGCACCATTTTTTGCTTTAAATTGAATCTTTTTCCCAGCCAATGAGGAGGCTACACTAATCACAAAACAACCAATCAGATTTCAAGGCTTATAATAATAATAATAAGGACTTTATTTATAGAGGGGGACACGTAACAGCTGAAAAGCTGACAAACCTGTGGCCCTCTAACTAGATTATACAGCATTACAAAATAATACTAATAAATAGATAAATATACAAATAATTACAAAATTCTATGATAGAAATAGCAGGATATATTAAAAATATTCAGAAAGATAAAATTAATTTATAAAAATTAAAATTAGATAATGTGCTATTGCTTAATATTGTTTCAAAGTTGTCCAGGTTTCTATATGAGCTTATAAAATACTTTTTCACAGCTGTTTTGAATAGTTTTATACTAGGCTTATTTTTGATATTATGGGGAAGGCTGTTCCATAACTTAACTGCGTCAACACTGAATGCCTTGCCACCATCGTTATTTCTTAGGTATTTGGGACACACTAAATTTAAATTGCCATGTCTAGTAGACCTATTGTGTACAGAACTGTTCGTCTTGAGCAAGTCTCTGATGTAAATCGGAACATCGCCTTTAAGGCTCTTAAAAATCATTGTACACTTATTTAGTTTGATTTCAAAAAAAAGGCAACCAGCCTAGTTTACTAAAGTTTATAACACTTCTAGAATAAGAGTCAACTCCAAGGATTACTCGGGCAGCCCTTTTCTGTAACCTTAGGAGACAGTGGAGTTCTTTAGCGTCGCAGATATTCCAAACCATGCTCCCATACATAAGGACGGGTTTAATCAAGGCGTTATAGTATAAGAGTCTTTCTTTTATTGGAAGGTACCTCTTTATCTTCTTCAATAAACCAATACGCTGAGAAAGCTTGGCCTTTAGACTAGAAATGTGGTCGCTAAATGTAAGATCTTGATCGAGTGTTACACCAAGCAATTTATAAGAAGTTACTTGTTCTATTTCGGCCCCATCAAGGGTTATTGACAGGTGATTGCCTTCCGCTAATGATGAATGTAGCCTCTTTCCGGTGATAAGTAATGCATTGGTTTTAACGGCGTTTAGGACCATCCCATTTTCGCTAGACCATTTACTTAATTTATCCATGTATTCTTGAAGACGTCGTTCCAATTCCAAAGGTGCATTATCGATATTAGCGCTGGCTTTAAATGTGGTGTCATCCGCGTAAGCATGAATAGTTGAGTCCGATCCAACAGCTTCGGGAAGATCATTGACGAAAATTAAAAACAGTAGAGGTCCTAATATGCTACCTTGAGGAACTCCATTGGTTAGCGTAAGTTGTGACGAAGTCGAGTTATTTACAGTAACACACTGTTTGCGATTGAGTAGATAGCTCTGCAATAGCTTTACAACATTATCTGGAAATCTATATGATCTTAACTTTATCAGGAGAATGTCATGATTGATCAAGTCGAATGCCTTGCTATAGTCCACAAAAACTAAGCCGCTGACGTTGTTCTTATCAAGGTCAAGAAGGACTTGGTCCAGAAGAAACAACAAAGCAGTATCCGTGGAGTGGTTTTACGGAACCCTGATTGGAAGCGGTATAAAAGTGAATTTTCTGTTAAGTAGGTGTTCACAGCATTGAAGATGTGTCTTTCAAAGACTTTAGAAAGAATAGGCAAAATGCTAATAGGACGATAGTTTTGAATATCTTGCTTGTTTCCTTGATTCTTGAAAAGAGGTTTAACCTTTGCTATTTTCCATTGTGAGGGAAATGTACAAGTTTCAATACAGTGATTTATAATTTTAGCTATGGAGCATGATATTTCAGGAGCTGCAATCCTTAGAACTCTGGCACCAAGCCCATCGATTCCCGTGGCTTTGTGTGTAGGTATACTTAGAAGATAATCGTTAACCTCACTAGGAGTTATTTGCGGAATAAGATTTTCAATTTGACTGTTAGATTTGTCTGGTGGACCAGGAAGAGCATCATAATGAAGTACAGGTGTCGACTTTATGAGACGTTTATATACATCAACGAAGAAGCGGTTAAAGCGTTCAGCGATTGAATGGTCATCCTTTATCAAGTTGTTGTTTTCGTCAGCAATAGGGACGGAGTCGTCGTTATTCTTTGTATCTTTAGATAGGTCTTTAATTAAAGACCAAAGTTTCTTTGGACATTTTTGATTTTTACTGAACTGAGTTTTAAAGTACTGTTCCTTCGCATTTCTTAGTTTCCTCGTCACTTTGTTTTTAACCAGTTTAAAAGCAGACCAATCTTGCTTATTTTGTGTTCTCCTGGCCCTCTTTAGAAGATTATCGCGTTTATTTATTTCGTTGTATAGATCATTAGTGAACCATTTTGGCTGATTGATTTTCTTCACACTCTTGGACTTTAAAGGTGCGTGATTATCAAGAATGTCATTAAAGATTTTGTACCAAGATTCAACAATGTCATCGGCATCTCGAAAAACAAAGGAGATATCCCAAGGGGCTTCTCTGAGGTCTCGCAGAAAGCACTCTTTGTTGATTTTGTCGATATTTCTGTATTTGATTTTGGAATGTTGTTTACGTTGTGCATCCATGGTTTTGTAGCACCTCAAGATGGTGACCGGAAGGTGATCGGAAAGTCCAGATTTACCTATGGATACTTCTCTAATTCTAGCAGGATGACTAGAATAAATATGGTCTAAGCACGCATCAGAGGCAGGTCTTGTTACCCTATTTACCATCTGCGTTAGTCCAAGACTGTTCAGTGCCTTTGCGAGACAATGTTTTGAATAACAGTTGAAATCAATATAATCCAAATTAAAGTCTCCCAGAATAATCAATTCATTGTTTTGGAGATGGGCATTTTCAATATTTTTACCCAAGCTCTCATTATAATCTTTGTTGGCTGAAGGTGGACGGTAAACACCAGATATCAAAATCGGTCTCTTTGATTTATGAGGACAAATTTGAAGCCAGAGAGTTTCAAGATCATCCAGTTCCAAATCTCTTCGACGTAAAGCCATAACTTTCTCATTTACATACGCAAATATGCCGCCACCTTTCTTCCCGATTCGATCTTTTCTGTGTAATGTGTAGCCGGGTATCATGTAATAGCTGTTTGGAATTTTACTTGATCCGAACGTCTCAGTGAGAATTAAGACGTCGAGTTTAGCAGCACTGTTGTTATTCGAGGTGAGCATTAGCGATAGTTCTTCCAATTTGGTGTCAGTCAGTCGTTGGATGTTCCAGTGGCAGACTGATAAACCTCTGAAGCCTGCAGGTGGTTGAAGATTATTAGGCCCTGGATTGACGGCAATATCGCCAGATAGAAGAATGCACAGACAAAATTGGCCAAGCTTGATGAGCCGCAACAACGCGTGAAGCTTCAAATTCAATTCGCAAGGTGTGCATTTCGAAGGCTTTGACTTACAGTTGAACGTAGGTGGAGCAGATATTTCCTTCCCAATGAAGAGTGTAACTGTAGAGCGATCGAATTCAGGTGTAATTGAAGTAAATTGGCCAAGTAAAACGCTGAAAATAGTCAATAGAAGCACGACTGCAAAAATATGTCTGCACGCCATGACTAATTTATTCGTAATGGAATCCGTCAGGAATCATTTTCTTTACCTTTTTTCATCATCTACGCTTAGTCTAATGTCTTCTTTAGGCAGATCAGTGTCTAAAACAGAAGTCGTATATTACACGCGACACGCTTGTTTAAGGTAACCAATCAAATTGCAGGAAAATGAAAGACAAAGAGTATCATGTGGCAAATTTTGCAAATTTTTATTTCCAAAACTCTTAATTTTGAATTGAAGATGAATTGAAGATGAATTTAATTTGAAACCGGCTCAGCACTGCATCAATAAGATATTTGAACTGACCAAGTCCTGTATTTGGGTGATTTCAAAATGGATGTCACGCCCCACTCGCGAATCACGATCGCTTTTCTGCAAAATTCACACGTCACATATTAATTTTGGCCTTTATTACACCCATTTGGAAATCACCGGTGGTCCCTGTAATCTGATTGGTTCTAATTGGTGCGATTTATTCACAAATCGCACCATTTCTATTTCGATTTATTCACAAATCGCACCATTTTTTGCTTTAAATTGAATTTTTTTCCCAGCCAATGAGGAGGCTACACTAATCACAAAACAACCAATCAGAATTCAAGGCTTGTTTAAGGTAACCAATCAAATTGCAGGAAAATGAAAGACAAAGAGTATCATGTGGCAAATTTTGCAAATTTTTATTTCCAAAACTCTTAATTTTGAATTGAAGATGAATTGAAGATGAATTTAATTTGAAACCGGCTCAGCACTGCATCAATAAGATATTTGAACTGACCAAGTCCTGTATTTGGGTGATTTCAAAATGGATGTAATAAAGTGGTAATTGAACCTTGTGTTGTGCAATTTTGGTCTGAAATCATACTTGTAATTTCAAATTGAACTCGCGCTGCACGCTCGTTCAATTTTGAAATCATGCATATGATTTCAGCCCAAATTGCAGTCCATTCAGTTCAATTACCATTATTAATCATGCGTCATATGTAAACCCTTTGGCATCCTTAAAAGGCAGTTTGGCAGCTTTTGTAGGACACTTCAGTGAAGTACAGAAATATAAAATGCCATTGAAAGTTACGCTCAACTGTAGTAGTTTTCAGAATTAATTACCAAAAAAAAAGAAATGTTGCTCTCAGACATATGTAAAAAGGAAGAAAACAACCAATTCCCTAAGATAACTCAAGGACTCCACAATAATCAGTTCTTAATTTAACTTTTTAAAACTTTTTTAAAGTTTTGTTTTTCGTTAATTTTTTGTGACGACAGCAAAAAGGAAAGACTCGTGATGAGTGACGCTGCAGAAATCCTACAATCAGTCCAGATAGGTTTAAATGTCGTCATATTTCTTCTTAACACTGATCGTGGCCCACAAGCGACTGAGTTATGTAATGAATGTGCAATTCTACTTCAAAACCTTGACTGTGGTGGTCACCTTGATATCTTCAATGTAATATCCAATGCATACTACGCCATCTCTGGTAACACAAATGCAGAAAGATATGCCAAGAAACTTCTTTACACGTTCCACTACGCTGGAAGACTAACCATTCAACTGGGAGACAAATATGAAGCACAGCGCCGGTTTGTAGAGGCAAAGCAACTCCTCAATAGCGCACTCATAATCATGCAAACGATTGGTCACAAAAGAGAAGAAGTAATGGTTCATAAAAGACTTGGAACTGTATGTATGAGCCTCAGTGAAATGCAGAAGGCAAAAAAACACCACGAAACGGCGCTCACCATGGCGATAGAAATTGGCGACAGACAAGGAGAAGGAGCGATCAACGGTCACCTCGGAAAAGTGTTTTATTCCCTTGGCGACTATCAGAAGGCTAAAGAATATTACGAGAAAGCACTTGCCATCTCGATAGAAATTGGCGATAGACCAGGAGAAGAAACAAGTACCGGGAACCTCGGAATTGTGTTTTATTACCTTGATAAGTATCAGAAGGCTAAAGAATATTACGAGAAAGCACTTGCCATCGCGATAGAAATTGGCGACAGACCAGGAGAAGAAACAATTAACGGGAACCTCGGAAATGTGTTTTATTCCCTTCGCAAGTATCAGAAGGCTGAAGAATATTACGAGAAAACACTTGCCATCGCGATAGAAATTGGTGACAGAGAAAGAGAAGGAATAATTAAAGGGAACCTCGGAAATGTGTTTAATTCCCTTGGCAAATATCAGAAGGCGAAAGAATACTACGTGAAAGCACTTGCCATCGCGATAGAAATTGGCAACAGACAAGGAGAAGGAACAATTAACGGGAACCTCGGAAATGTGTTTTATTCCCTTGGCAAATATCAGAAGGCTAAAGAATATTGTGAGAAAGCACTTGCTATCGAGTTAGAAATTGGCGACAGAAAAGGAGAAGGAGAAAGCAACAGGGTCCTCGGAAATGTATTTATTTTCCTTGGCAAAAATCAGAAGGCTAAAGAATGCCACAAGAAAGCACTTGCCATCGCGATAGAAATTGGCGACAGACAAGGAGAAGGAACAAGTAACGAAAACCTCGGAACTGTGTTTAATTCTCTTGGCAAATATCAGAAGGCTAAAGAATACTTCGAGAACGCACTTGCCATCGCGATAGAAACTGGCGACAGAAGTGGAGAAGGATCAATTAACGGGAACCTCGGAAATGTGTTTTATTCCCTTGACAAATATCAGAAGGCTAAAGAATATTACGAGAAAGCAATTGCCATCGCGATCGAAATTGGCCACAGACAAGCAGAAGGAACAATTAACGGGTACCTCGGAAATGTGTTTCACTCTCTTGGAAAATATCAGAAGACTAAAGAACATTACGAGAAAGCACTTGCCATCGCGATAGAAATTGGCGACAGACGAGGAGAAGGAGCAAGTATCCACAACCTCGGAACTGTGTTTAATTCTCTTGCCGAATATCAGAAGGCTAAAGAATACTTCGAGAACGCACTTGCCATCGCGATAGAAATTGGCGACAGACGAGGAGAAGGAGCAATTAACGAGAACCTCGGAACTGTGTTTAATTCTCTTGCCGAATATCAGAAGGCTAAAGAATACTTCGAGAACGCACTTGCCATCGCGATAGAAACTGGCGACAGAAGTGGAGAAGGAACAAGAAACGGGAAGCTCGGAATTGTGTTTCATTCCCTTGGCAAGTATCAGAAGGCTAAAGAATACCACGAGAACGCACTTGCCATCGCAATAGAAGTTGGCGACAGACGAGAAGAAGGAGAAAGTAACAGGGGCCTCGGAACTGTGTTTTGTTTGCTCAGCGAATATCAGAAGGCTAAAGAATGCTTCGCGAAATCACTTGCCATCGCAATAGAAATTGGCGACAGAAGAGGAGAAGGAAAAAGTAATGGAGGCCTCGGAGCTGTGTTTCATTCCCTCGGCAAATATCTGAAGGCTAAAGAATGTCTCGAGAGAGCACTTGCCATTGCGATTGAAATTGGCGACAGAAAAGGAGAAGGAGAATATACCGGGAACCTCGGAGTTTTGTTTTATTTCCTTGGAAAATATCAGAAGGCTGAAGAATATTGCGAGAGATCACTTGCCATTGAGACAGAAATTGGCGCGGGAAAGAGAGATGGATACTTGGCCCTTGGAAATGTTCATTTTCAGCTTGGAAGAAATCGGCAAGCTAAAGAATATTTGGACAAGGCAGTTGGCATCAGTATAGCAAGTGGTAACAGAATACTAGAAGCTAAAGCAACAGCAAATTTGGCAGATGTTTTTACATCTGTGAATGACAATCAAAAAGCAAAAGAACATTGTGAGAAGGCGCTTGCCATCAGTAGAGAATGTGGCGATAGAGTTGTCGAAGCAAGAACTTACATAACCCTTGGCATTAACTACCAAATTCTTGGTGAATGCAGCAAGGCAGAAGATTGTTTAGAGAAAGCTTATTCCATAAGCAGCCAAATTGGACACAAGATGCTTGAGTTTCAAAGCCTTCTCAGCATTACACAGTTAAAGATATTGCAGTCAGAGTTTGTGGAAGCAAAGGAATATCTTCTTCGATGTATTGCAAAATACGAGCAAATCAGAACTTTTCTGAAAGGAAACAGTGAATTTAAAATGTCTCTGTTGGAGGTACACGGTACTTTTCCCTACCATTTACTCATTGACTTGCTTTGCGATATTGGAAAATTTGGAGATGCTCTCTATGTTGAGGAACTGGGACGAGCAAGAGTCCTCGTAGAATTAATGGCAGACAAATACTCCGTGGAAAGCCACATCTCAGCCGATCCACAATCATGGTTCGGGATTGAAAACATCGTGAGGAGAGAAAGCAACTGCGTTTTCTTGTACATTTCGTATAGAAAGCGGCATCTTCTTCTCTGGGTATTGAAAGCAAATGGAGACACTTGCTTTCGAAAATCAGACGAAGCGGAAGTAGACACTCTTATTGAAGAGAAAGTTTGCGATGTGGAAGGAATTTTCAAAAAGAGCGCCGCTGGCTTTGGCGTTTTACCCACAGCGAACTGCGAAGATCGATCTTTGGATGACAACGTGACGACATCTCTTCATAAGGAGAGCCGAGCAAATTTGCGAGGTGAACAAACCAAAGATACCGAAAGAATTCATAAATTGTGCTACAAATGGATCGTCGCACCCGTGGCAGACTTACTTACAGAGCCTGAAATCATCATTGTGCCGGATCGTTTTTCGTACCGAGTCCCATTTGCTGCCTTGCGTGATGAATCTGCCGGAAGGTATTTATCGGAGAAGTACAGAATCCGTATTGTCCCTTCACTGACGACTCTCCGAATCATTCAAGAATGTCCAGCGGACTATCACAGTCTAATTGATGCACTGGTTGTGGGTGATCCTACGGTCGGCGAAGTGCATTACAATGGACGTCTCAATGACATTACACCATTACTCTGTGCAAGAAAGGAAGCAGAGATGGTTGGTCGACTGCTGGGCGTTCAGCCTTTGTTAGGAAGTCGCGCAACAAAGCAGGCAGTACTTCAAGCGATACCTTCGGTAAGTCTAATACATCTTGCCGCACATGGAAATTCCGAAAGAGGAGAGATTGCCCTCTCTCCTCAACGTACTACTAACCATACTCCTCAAGAGGAAGACTACCTCTTGACTACGTCCGAAATTCAAGAGGTTCAAGTGCGAGCTAAACTGGTAGTACTCAGCTGTTGCCACAGTGGGCGAGGTTTGGTTAAAAAGGAAGGAGTCCTTGGAATCGCTCGTGCATTCTTAGCATCCGGTGCACGTTCAGTGTTGATAGCATCGTGGGCTATAGAAGACGAAGCAACGGAACAGCTCATGAATCATTTCTACGAACACCTTGTGCGTGGAGAAAGTGCCAGTGAGTCTCTTCACCAGGCCGTTCAATGGTTGAGAAGCAATGGTTTCCCTAAACCTTCCCAATGGGCTCCGTTCGTGTTGATGGGGGATAACGTAACATTTGATTTTACGAAAAAAGGGTAAGTCTGATTGTAATGAGCGATTTTCTATAATAACCGATTAGCACACTTGGCTTTTTCAGTTCAACTTATTACTATCAGTTTCTGTTGGTTTGTCTGTTCGTTTTTGTCTTTGTCTTTCATCTTTGAAATGTCAAGAAAAGAAGGACATTTTATTTAGTGCTCGGAGCCAGAAGATTTTGATGAATCGCTTCCTCAATTGGCCTTGAAAAAGAGTTTCTTTTGCATGGAAAATATTCAGAAATAACTGCTCATGGTTGATACGATGCTAGACGCTATAACGATGAGAGTAATCTGAGAAACTTCAGCTGACTTTAAAAAAGTTAACTTTATGTGAAAAATCAACAACAATAACCAATTAAACCATAATTTTGAAGTCACTTTCGCATCAATCATGGTATATTCGACAATAATTTGGAAAAGTTCGGAAATTATAGTCAATGACATTGAAGAAAAAGTAATTTCTTTCAAATGAACTTGATCCGTTTGCTTTTCAGTTAAAATAGTGACAAATGTAGAATGTTTGTTTTCAGGAAAGAAGAACTCAAGGAGGACAAAAATGAAGCAAAGATTGGAGCAAAGTGATGACTGATCCTACACAAAGATTCTTCTTCCTTTTATCTGACATTTATCGTCTTTAAATAGACACCGGTATTACGTTATACAGACGTTTTTAATTTGTTTAAAATTCAAGAAGTCGTTTTGGCATGCTTTTTTAAACAAGGCTGAATCGAAAGTGTGCGACAAAGAAACCTGCAATTTAGCCGTTAGATCAATGAATTATATCATTAGAGAACTAAAATAAACATTGGTATGAACGCAGAAAATAAGCTGAACTTAAAAATGATAGAATTTTGATAAAGTTGCGTCAAACTCAAAATTGATCCTTGGTTTACATCACCGCGATCTGGTTTTTAATTCTCTTGTGGCATGCAAACGTGATCATCAAAGAGTCATGGAAATCGGTCGCAGATATAGGGATAATTACATAACGAACAAACGGAAGAGAAAAGTAGACGTTACTATATCATAATCTAAAAGATAAACGGAGAAGGGAACAGACAGACTGAAATTTACTTAAAAATCAGCAACAAACAGAGAAGAGAAAAGAAACGATATCCAAATTCTTAAGGTAAAATTAGCCTGAAATATTGCGTAAGATACTAACGCTATAGTCGAACAGAAAAGTACAAACAGTTGGTAGGAAATTAACGTAACAATCAGCCAGAATTCAGAAAAAAAAGTTCACAGATAGATTCTAACGTAAGAAACAAATACAAATTGAAAAAAACAGCGAGATAGATATTAACTTGGAAATTAAAATAGAGGAGAAAAAGTATTGTAGAAGATTCTAATGCAAAATTTAATCAGAGAAGAGAACGAACTATGTGCAAGATACAAACAATCAACCAAACGGAGAATGGACAAAACAGTGTGCAATACATTTGCAACAAACAAAAGTGAAGAGAGGAAGCAGTGGACTAGACATTGATGGAAACGTCAGATTGGAAAGAAAAGGAACATTTATTGCGTGAATCATTGAAGTTAAAGTCAATCTAAAGAAGAGAAGAAACACTGCACAAGATGTACTGATGTCAAAAAGAAAAACAATAAACATAGGCATGCTATGCATGCAAGAGTTAGTTTTTTGGATGCATAGGTTGAGATGCGACACTTTGAGTAAACGATTTTCAATTTTGTAAAATAAAACGACGACGAAAAAAACACCGTTTAATAGAAAGCAAAAAAGACCCTTTCAATTTATGTGAATTAGACTCAGACACAGATATTATGTATTCTTTTTGTCAATGTTGTTTGGACAATTTTAACAGAAATAAACCGCTAATAAATAAACCAATGTCACCTATATGGAGCCAGTCATCCTCGTCAATAGTTTCAGCAGTTTTCTTAGGGTCGTGAACTTAGCCTTTAAAGACGTTGGAAGCTTTTAGACAAATCTGGAAAAGTAAAATCCAAATGATAATATTTCAATTTAGTTGAGTCTGATACAAATGGATTTTGTTGCAATAAACAATTATTTTTCTTAAATGAGGTGATCTTAAAAAAATCAGGTATTGCTATGTCAGTTTATCTTACCTCTCCCTGACCAGGCATTTTTAGCGTTGTCTTATTTCTTTTCCATATCGGCAATCTTAATAATGTTGCAAGGAACTTGAGGGCCAACATGTCCGGCTGCAGAAAGAAGACAAGTACAATTACCTAATTAACTATGATGCGTCGGGTGGTCATAAGTCAATCAGTTGATCCGCTCGATCATTGTTCGTTAGAGAGTTTTCAGTCAGGCCGTCAATAAGTCAGTCACCTTGCCCACCAGTCAGGTCAATCAACCAATTAATTAATCATTATTGAGAGGCTAGTCATTGAGTAAATCAAACAAAAAGGTATTACGCCAGTGGCTCTATCTAAACAGTACAGTCAGTGACTCACTAAAGTCAGTCAAGCTGCCTGCCACTTAGTCATTGCGTAAGTCCATTAGTGTGTCAGTCAGTCAGCCTGTCTGTCAGTCAGTCAGTCAGTAAATTAGTCAATCAGTCAGTCAGTCAGTCTGCCAGTCAGTCTGTAAGTCAGTCTGTGAGTCAGTCCGTCAGTCAGTCAATCGATCAGTTAGTCAGTCTGTCAGTCATTGAGTCAGTTATGAGTCGGTCAGTAAGTCAGTTAATCAGGTATTTACTTATTCATCCAGCCAGCCATCAGTCAGTCAGTCGGTCAGTCAGCAAGCCTATCAGTCAATCAGTCATCAGTCAGTCAGTCACTTGTTCAATCAACCCGCCAGTCCGTCAGTCAGTCAGTTAATCAGTCAGTCAATCGATCAGTTAGTCAGTCTGTCAGTCATTGAGTCAGTTATGAGTCGGTCAGTAAGTCAGTTAATCAGGTATTTACTTATTCCTCCAGCCAGCCATCAGTCAGTCAGTCGGTCAGTCAGCAAGCCTATCAGTCAATCAGTCAGTCATCAGTCAGTCAGTCATTTGTTCAATCAGCTGGCCAGTCCGCCTGTCAGACAGTTAGCCCGTCAGTTGGTAAGCCAGTTAGTCAGTCTGCGTGTCATTTGTGTAGCTTATCAGCCACTAAGTCCGTAAATAATGTAAGATGAATTAACAATATCAAGTGTTAAAGGGAGTAACTTTCTAAAGAACCTGTGGCACTACGTCGGTGGTAGAGTATTAGAGGTTAATTTAGTATTATCAACTGAGTTGATAGCGAAAATTGGTTACCGTTTAGGGGTAAAAAGCTGCCGTTTCGAGCGTTAGCCCTTCGTCAGAGGGATTGGTATATCAATAAGTAGTTCTGTTTTGGTACCAGAACGGACAAGTTAGGCTTATCTTTCTCGCCTGCGATAACCCGCTTTGTCCCACCCCTCCCACAGAAAAGGGAAAATAAATACACCTTATATAGAAAAATGACTGCAAAAGAGTCGGGATCTTTAGAATACTGCAAAGCTTTAGGAAGGGATCAAGTAAATTTTTGTTGCGACACAACTTAAATTCTCCACCCCCCTTCTAACCCCATCCCCAGGCGACCGCGATTTAACTTTTTAACTTCCAGATCAAATTTGTAGTTCTCCTTACTGTCAACCATACAATTCTTATCATATTAGTTCAGAAATTTAGCATTGGATCAACTAATTGTCCCCAAATTGATATTTTTCTTTACTCTCATTACATATCTGGTTGATATTGGATCGCCACTGTAAGGAGAAATTTTGTCTTGGTCAATCACGGGAGTTAAAGGGTTTATGATGGTCGGTGCCTCGGTATCGTCATCAGTAGAGGCTCCGCCTCGTCGTCACTCTCTACGCAGTTGTTGCTCTTTGCGCTTTTACTTCTGGGGCTTGGGACTGAGTTGTCTTGGGCGACATTTCATTTGTTAAAATGTAGAAAACGTAAAATCTAAACTACAACAAAACGAGAAAAACATTGGGAAATTTCAAATGGCTCGACTGAAGCGAAATATCGCAAGCTCGACAAAGTACGCATGCTCAGTCAAGATTTTTTAGGGGTTTTGGTACGCATTCTCAAGTCAAGATTTTGTAGGGGTTTTGGTTCCCAGGTGGCCTCATTTTATTTTTCAGTTATGTATTTGCAATTTTCATATCGTTTACGAGTAGATAGATGTGAAAGGTACGTTGAGGGATCATCGTAAAAAAAAAAAACACAAAATATAGAGAACATGTTTATTTTCCTTCAAATCTCGTCGTTGTTGGTTAAATAGCAGCCATTTAACTGCTTAAAAGTTTGATAAATACTGCAGAGTTCTCTTTTTGAGAAATAGACATTGATCGATTCCTAATAGTGATAAACTGAAATTAAATAAGTGAGTCTGAATAATTCCGCGAGTTCGAATTCGAGTTTAATGTAAAACACAGAGGCTCAGGGAAATATTTCGGCAAGCTACCTTAATTAGGAAAGATTTCCATATCACCACATACTATTTGAAAACAAAGCCTTAGTCCCAAGGGCATACTGTATTGTTTTCGGTATTGTTTTATTTTGTCAAGACCTTGAAGCATAATAACATAGTATGCTGTAATCTTGCTTAAAGTTGAAGGGAGAGAGTAATGTGGGATGTTCTCATTCAGTCATGTTGTACATGAAAGTCGTAAGGAGTAATCGGGCGCGACCAGAACGTGCGAGCGAAACTTCCCGGATGTGCGAACCTAATGGAGCTTTCTCCTCGTGTGCCTGCTGTCATGCACGCGTGTTAATTACATTTTTGCTGGCACTTGTTACACGGGCTGATATAACCTAAAACATTTAGAGAAGAGCGGGACGGAGGGGGGGGGGGGTAGTGTAACGTGTTGTCATCATTCACTAAAATTAATGCAAAATTACTTTTTACAATTATGAGTATTTCATTCACTGCTTTTTCAGGCGTTATTATGTAGACTAACTTTTTTAAACCAGCATAATTGTGACTATTTTTAAGGTCATTGATAGTGGATATAAAGTCCTTGTGCCGTGTCTTAATATGTCTCTATTAACTATTGCTTGGGCTTTGTCTCATTTCCCGTTCCTTGGGGTCGCTGATGATGGCTTTGTCATGCCTGTGTCTGCGTTAATTCCCAGTCTCCACCTCTTCGTAAAGCCGCTCGATTTGGTCTTTGAAAGTCTTGAGTATCTCTGAACGCTTGGCCTTGAAGGTTGGCGTGAGGAGCCCGTTTTCAATGCTAAACATCTCTGGATGAAGATAGATTTTCTTGACCTTTGAGACATAGGATATTATAGTGATATATAAGGATGGCTTCCGTTTTCATTTTTAGGAAATACGAATTTTTTTTCGTCCATGCTCTCGAAATATAGAGACTTTTCATTTGGTACAATTAAGTTTGTTGGTTGCCGTGGAGACTCCTTCTGTTTTTTCGCGTAAAGGGAAAGTTAAAGAAAAAGTCCCTTGAGTTAAGCTATCTCGTGTAGAAAACCACTTCAAACCGGACTCTATTCATTCAATTAGCATTCCCCACATCTATCAGACATTGTAACTTATAAGTAAATAACTGTATGACGTACACCCTAACCTGTTCTAATGAATTAAGATCTCCTTCTCTTCCCTTAGCCAAGATGTCTTCGAATATAACTTTATTTATAATCTGAAAAGGAAAGTCACAGTTATGTGCTCAGCTAACTCCGTTTACATAAAAGAAAAAAGAAACTTCCAGCTTTTTATGTTAGATTATCATTGAACATTGAGGAGGGGGGAGTTCTGAAAAAGTGAAAAATTAAATCATCTTTCAGTTATGGAAAACTGCACAAAAAACCAAACAAACGAAAAAGAAAAGCAGAAATACATAAATAAATAAATAAGCAATAAATTAAAGATATCTGGAGAAAATTAAAGACGAAAAAAATTACTGGCGTTTGACCCCATTCAACTGGTTACAACCATGTTGACCTGTGGTTGGTTCAACTTCAGCTTGCATGGGAAAGCCTGGGGATAATATTACAGGCCTTTCTCATTTACACTTTAGACTACAGCCCCCGACCCTCGGGACCCCTAACCCATTCTGTAAATTTACTAACCTCATCTTGACAAAGCTGTTTCACGTCTCCCTCCACTTCATTTTTTTTGGCCCAGGCTTCTATCACTTCAGCATCTGGTACAATAATGGCAACTAAGAAGGACTGGAAACGAAGAATGTGTTAATTCAAGCTGCTATTTAGCTTCAATGCTTAAAAATATTGTGAACAAACCTTAAAGCTGTTTCCAATCACAAAGGCCTGTGCAACAAACGGACTGCGTAAATATACATTCTGGATCTTCTCTGGAGCAATATACTCTCCCTGTTTTAGAAAAAAAAAAATAATCATATAAAGTGAAATAAAAAAAGGAATAAAAAATAAAAAGAAATGATACATGAGGTTGAGACAGAAAAAAATATTTGAGTTCTCTGAGAGGCTTCGAATCCAAACCTTCGAGTTCGGATTTCGTACTCCGATATTTCACTTCTAAGCTACAATGTATCCAACAGTAACTTTACGAAGTCAATTTAAGCTTAACGTCACATATTCATTGGACGGCCGAGCTAACAATTTCATTCTTTCTTATCTTGTTAAGCTGCAAAAGATTTAAAAGGAAATCCATACAAGATAGCAACACAGAAATAATAACCTCTTCCAAGAGAATTAGCAAACTGTAACGGAACATAGGTATATAACATTTGTAAAGCAATGATATTCAGGGACGAAAATATAGTATTCTTACCTGGGAAAGCTTGAAAATGTTTTTCTTCCTATCAATGATTTTCAAAGTTCCATTCTGCAAAAGAAGGCAGTGCGCTTTTAGCTTTGATAAAAAAACATAGGCATGCCACGCATGCAAGAGTTATCTTCTTTGGATGGGTGGGTAACAAGATAACTGGTACCTTGCATTTTTGTTAAGAAAAATAGCATTAACTTTCAAAAGATTCCAACGAAAATATCGTTTCATGGGGAGAAAAAAAAAACCTTTCTAACTTGTATGAAATAAACTCAGGCACAGGTGTTTTGTTGTTTATTGTCGCTAGTTCTGAATAATTGTAAGCAAAAATAATCTTCATTGTTGCCACACATATTGTAGATAATAGTCTTCTTTGCAGGTGTGTTTAGGCTCGTCACGCAACGCGCTCCTTCCCTCCATTGCGTGACGAGAGGGAACAAAAGTTTACGAAGGAGATTTTGTTAGCTTGCGATCAGGCCCTCATTACCAGCGTTTGGTCACGAGCGTTTCTTTTCCCGCGCGAACGTACGAGGCCTTTAGGAACTCGCGCCAGCGAAAGGTGTGTCCGCGGTCTGGTACTGATAATAAGTGCCAGATCCCTGACAAATCTCTCCTCGACATGACAACGCAATCTCTACATCGGCGCAACAGGGGTAGGCTGAGGTTTGCCACGCGCCTTTTTACCTTCAAATAGACATATGCCGCTGATTCTTCACAAAGGGTAACAAAGGGTTCAAAGAGTCGTGGTAAGTACGATATTTAATTGTTAACGTGCCGGTTTGCTAAAGCAACATCTCATCAATTTTACAGTGCATATTTTTAGCTACTCTCACATAGACCATTACTGTGTTGATTCATGTACTGACACATTGTGAATTGGTTTAGAAGGACATCTGTCTGAAGAAATTCCATCTATGTTTTAAAGTTTCTTTATATCCCGAGAAGAACAAATCCCTTGCGCATTAAAATCAGTACTTCTGCCGTGTTGCCAAATTTTGCCGTAAGTCAAATTCGTACCATTCATACCTATCCAACGCTTGGATAACAATCAAAACACCACTGTAAATAAATCTATTCCAATAGTATGCCTAATGTCAAATGTTGGTATTGCGTCAAGTGCGGGGTCAGTTATTTCGGCAAAACAAATGTTCAGATTAAGAAAGTCAGAAATCGTCGATGGTGTTCGTAATGTGAAAAATTGGTAAGATGGAGCCATTCGAAATCTCCGTCTGGCCCGGCATGTGCAATGTTGTTTCCTTGGCTGTCCTAAATAGCTTAAGGTTTTTCAGTGTCCGTGGTAACGCAGAGTTTATTCAAATCGCACAGTTCTGCTATATTTCAAATTTATTTATGGCGGGCAAATCTATTTTTATTTGATGAGTTTAATTCGTGCGCTTAATTTTTGGGGAAGATGGAGAGCGACTGAATTTTAGGTTTCTAAACTTGCGTTTTACAAATCGAACTTAATCTTTACTTTTGGTGTCCGTTGTTCCCTCTTTGATTTATTTTTTTGTTTTACCTATGAAGTTTTTACGTCTTTCTTACAATAGCTATTTGCATTTATTTTTGTTTTTCAGAGAAAGTTCTATTTCAGTTTCTTACTGTGGGTTTTGTTAGTCATACGACTGGAATATTAAACAAGACAGGCTTCTTTTTTGAAAGGTTAGTTTTAAAAAAATAATTTAGACACAATCTTTTCCCGTTTTGTTGCAAACAATTTGCCCTGGCCTTATCATAGTCTTCAAAATAGAATGATCCACTCATCTCGAGGCCTTTAACCTCCATGATCTAATTATCAAGTCTCCTTTCTAAATGTAACAAATGTCACTGTAAATATTTTTTAGAGAATAAGGTGTTTCGTCAATTTAACACCGTCCAGCTGATAAGTTTGTTTATTCTCCAAAACTGTTGGCTGAAGAATATATTGATTCTGTAAGGAGAAATTACGTGTTCAACAATTCTTAATTGTCCGAGACTGGGACTGAAAGAATAAAGCAGCCACACGATGTATGAATGGGAATTTATTACGTAAGAAGAACAAAGATGCAATGTTTTGAATGCAATTACGGGGAAGTTGGAAAGCGACGTAGTTGTGTTTTAGGTTTTCTGAACGATTTTGTTTTTTTCGACTGATTATGCTGTTACTTTTTTTCACAATAAGTCATTGTCATTCATTTCTGTTTTGCAAGGAACGTGTCATTTCAGTTTCTTACTCTCGGCTTCCTCAGTCACACAATAAAGATACTGAACAAGACACACTTCCTTGTTCAGGGGTAAGCAGCAAAAATAAATTAAAAAATTAGCTTACATTCCTTTTCCCTTTTTTTTTTTCCGTCGTCACCTTAAATCAGGCGCAACAGAAATCAAATTTAAGAAGTGCAAATCTTGATTTTAAAAGAAGGAGCCACAATGTTTTTCAATGAGCATTGTGAACAAAAGAAAGTCGTGTTGATACATCTCAGACCAATTCTATCAACTACAGTTTAAAATCTCGTCGCAGACATTCGAAGTAATTTTTTCAACCTATCAAACTCAACACTTTGTTCGTACACGAGCTGCTTGCAGTTATCTTTGTTTCTTGCGGCTTTCGGTCTCATCTCTCAAACAATACAACCCGTGTTTATCTTTGAAAAGGTCGCTTTTTTCAAGAAAAAAATATATTTAATGTTTTAAATAAAGTTAAGGAATTTCAGAGGTAAAAGAACTCTATTTCCAAACAACCTGATAATATTTGTGAAGACCTACCAAATTCAAATCAATTTTTGATTTAATTGTAAAATATTTAAGGTTTGCGTCACGGTAAGCTTTTGAATTTATGATTTTATTAGCAATTCTTCCATTGAGCCCCTTCGCTTTAGCTTGTTCGCCAGTGGGGAGAATTTAGTGTTGCTTTACAAAAACACCCTCAGTTGATAAGTATTCTCGCCGCTTGTTCACTGAATAATATGTTGATTTTGGAAAGAGAAGCAATATGTTCCTCTCTTCTGTAACTTGAAGGTTTTTCAGAAATCATATAAAGGGCAGTTTTAAACCACCAAACTCTTATCAGTGATCTGCAGGCTCCGATGTTTTTTCAGTTAGAGGCAAGTTGTAATGCAAGTTCCATCCGATTAAGTCTTTACAGTGATTACTTTTTACCGATAATTTTCATAATCGATCTTTCACTAGCTCTTTGTATTCTTCGTTACTTTGCAGAAAAATTTTGAAATCAGTTTCTTTATTTTGGTCTCCTACCTATCCAGAGATCGTTTCTTTTTCAGAGGTGAGCGGCTAAATATTTATTTCAGAAATATAGTGCGCTATAATCTTTAGGATTGCAACTTAATAATGATGGAGGTAACGCCCTCTGAATAATTGGTCTGTTTACTCTCATTACTTGATTGCTGTATAATATATGGATATTGTAAGGAGAAGCTATATGTTCATCACTTCTGTGAGAATGGAAAATAAAAAGATGCCATATGTTATTTGATGAATTTCATGGGCAACCTGTGAAAACAATTTTTCTCTAATTTCAGGTTTTCTTTTTTTCATTTCGATGATTTCTTATTACTAACCGTGTGAGCAAAATGTTGTTACACCAGCTATTTGTATTACGTTTGTGTGTCAGGGAAAAAAATCTCATTTCAATATTTGTTACTTTTGTTTTCATTAGTCACACCATCAGAATCTAACGGCAGGGTCTGTGTTCAAAGGTGAGCTGTTGGTTTTTTAAATTATTATTTCTACATTTTGATTGCCTCTTAGTTTCATTTTCTATGAAAGAAATTAATCAAAATGAATATTTACCAAACCAAAAAAAAATTGGAGAACTCACAACAATTCAAGCAAGAAAAACCCAGGGACAAGAGTGTGCATGCTGGCGAAAAAGCGCCTGTGTAAGATGAATAGGAAATAAGAAGGTCCTTTTACAAACCGAATAAAATTGTACCGCCACTTTACGTTCACAACAAAATAAGTAACATATTGCGCTCTCAATCGTCCCTACTGATTGAAATAGCAGAAGTGATTATCTTCGAGAAAACTCAAAATATTTCTTTAAGCAAAAATTTACGAAAGACAAATGCCATTATTTCAATTAAAAAGTCAAAGAAAACCTACTCCCTTAGCTAGAGCCGTAATTTAAAGTTCTTTCCTGTTTTAGCTGCCAGGCAGCTAAGCGATCTGTCCAAAAAACGCGCGAGACGCTCGCGACGCGTGGAAGGTGCACATTTAGATCCTATCTCCCCCTATCATCGTATGATCAGCAGGAGTTCCAGAGAAAACCATGTTAATGTACATTATTTGAGTTGAATTCGATGTTTGCCGACTTTTTCTGCTAATTTTAACAATCTCAGTGGAAGTCATTTTCTAGCAGTAAATTGCGATCAGATTCAGTAATAACTAATTTTTATGGCATGAAATGGGTGGAAAAAAAACGTTTAATGCAAACATAACAGGATTCGTAAACTAACCACTGTTCATCTGGTGAAACATTTTTGATAGCTATGACCAAATCTGCTCCACGACTATTTGAATTCAACCCAACTGATTCACATGGGAATGGTTTGAATAAATGAATGAAAAAGAATTGTTGCCCTCAGACATTCGTAAAAAGGAAGAAACAACCAATTGCCTAAGATAGCTCAAGGACTCCACAATAATCAGTTTTTAAATTTTTTAAACTTTTTTTAAGTTTTATTTTTCATTAATTTTTTTTATCACGACAACAAACTGGAAAGACTCGTGATGAGTGACGCTGCAGAAATCCTACAATCAGTCCAGATAGGTTTAAATGTCGTCATATTTCTTCTCAACACTGATCGTGGCCCACAAGCGACTGAGTTATGTAATGAATGTGCAATTCTACTTCAAAACCTTGACTGTGGTAGTCGCCTTGATATCTCTGGGCCAAGTTGTTCGAAGGCCGTTTAACGCTAATCCAATGTTAAATTTTAACCTGGTTTCTTTATTCCTTTATTCAAAAGCCTTTTTGGGATAATTTCCTTTCTTATTTTTAGAGCATCAAATAATCATATTCCAGACAAAAAGAATTCGACTGAATTTTCTTTTAAAGCTATCAGATCTGAAATCAGATTTCACACTAACCCTGAGTTATCTTAACCCAGCTTTGAACAACCCGACCCTGGTGTAATATTCAATGCATACTACGTCATCTCTGGTAACACAAATGCAGAAAGATATGCCAAGACACTTCTTTACACGTTGCACCACGCTGGAAGACTAACCATTCAACTGGGAGACAATTATGAAGCACAGTGCAAGTTTGTTGAAGCAAAGCAACTCTTCAATAGCGCACTCATCATCATGCAAACACTTGGTAACAAACGCGAAGAAGCAGTGGCTTATGAAAGAATTGGAAGTGTGCGTATGAGCGAATATAAGAAGGCTAAAGAGCGTTACGAGAAAGCACTTCCCATTGCTATAGAAATTGGCGACAGAAAAGAAAAAGAACAACAAACAGGAACCTCGGAACTGTCTATGAATCCCTTGGCGAATATCAGAAGGCTAAAGAATATTGCCAAAAAGCACTCGCCATCGCAAAAGAAATTGGCGATAGAAAATTAGAAGGAGAGATTGACGCGAAACTCGGAGCTGTGTTTCATTCCGCTGCCGAAAATCAGAAGGCTATGGAATATTGCGAGAGAGCACTTGCCATTGCGATAGAAATTGGCGACAGACAAGCCGAAGGAAAAAGAAACGGGGACCTCGGAACTGTGTTTCATTCCCTGGGCGAATATCAGAAGGCTAAAGAATGTTTCGAGAAAACACTTGCCATTGCGATAGAAATTGGCGACAGAAAAAAAGAAGGAACAACAAACGGGAACCTCGGAACTGTCTATGAATCTCTTGGCGAATATCAGAAGGCTAAAGAATATTGCGAAAAGGCGCTCGCCATCGCAAAAAAAATTGGCGACAGAAAATTAGAAGGAGCAATTGACGCGAAACTCGGAGCTGTGTTTCATTCCACTGCCGAAAATCAGAAGGCTGTGGAATACCTCGGAACTGTGTTTCGTTCCCTGGGCGAATATCAGAAGGCTAAAGAATGTTACGAGAAAGCGCTTGTCATTGCGACAGAAATTGGCGACAGAAAAGGAGAAGGTAAATCAAACGGGAACCTCGGAGTGGTCTGGAAATTCTTGGCGAATATCAGAAGGCTAAAGAATATTGCGAAAAAGCACTCGCCATCGCTAAAGAAATTGGCGACAGACGAGACGAAGGCAACATTTTAGGGAATTTCGGAATTGTCTTTGCATCCCTAGGCGAATATCAAATGGCTAAAGAATATTACGAGAAAGCACTTGCCATTAGGACAGAAACCGGCGAGGGAAAAGGAAGAGAATACTCGAGTCTTGAGACTGTTTATTTTCAGCTTCGAAAAAATCGGCAGGCTAAAGACTATTTGGACAAGGCAGTCAGCATCAGTATAGCAAGTGGTAACAGAAGACTAGAAGCCCAAGCTACAGGAAGTTTGGCAGTTGCTTTTGCTGCTGTGAATGACAATCAGAAAGCAGAAGAACATCTTGTGAAAGCCCTCACCATCATCAGAGAATATGGCCCTAGAAGCGCCGAAGGAAACATTTATTTAAGCCTTGGCAATATTTACCATAGCCTTGGTGAATTTAGCAAGGCAGAAGATTGTTTAGAGAAAGCCTATTCCATATGCAGCCAAATCGTTGACAAGATGCTTGAGTTTAAAAGCCTTCTTAATATTTCTTTATTAAAGATATCGCAGTCAGAGGCTGTGAAGGCGATGGAATATCTTCTTCAATGTATTGCAAAATGCGAGCACATCAGATCTATTCTGATGAAGGAAACAGTGAATTTAAAATGTCTTTGTTAGAGGAACACGGTACTTTTCCCTACAATTTACTCACTGACTCGCTTCGCAGTATTGGAAAATTTGGAGATGCTCTCTATGTTGAGGAACTGGGACGAGCAAGAGTCCTCGCAGAATTAATGGCAGAAAAGTACTCCGTGGAAAGCCACATCTCAGCTGATCCACAATCATGATTCGGGATTGAAAACATCGTTAGGAGAGAAAGTAACTGTGTTTTCCTGTATATTGCGGCAGAAAGCGGAAAGTTCTTCTCTGGGTATTGAAAGAAAATGGAGACACTTGCTTTCGAAACACAAACGAAGTGGAAGTAGACACTGTTATTGACGAGCAAGTTTGCGATGTGGAAGGAATTTTCAAAAAGAGCGCCGCTGGCTTTGGTGTTCTACCCAAAGCGAACTGCGAAGATCGATCTTTGGATGACAACGTGACGACATCTCTTCATAAAGAGAGCCGGGCATATTTGCAAGGTAAAAAAACCAAAGATACCGAAAGAATTCATGATTTGTGCTACAAATGGATCGTCGCACCTGTGGAAGACTTACTTACAGAGCCTGAAATCGTCATTGTGCCGTATCGTTTTTCGTACCGAGTCCCATTTGCTGCCTTGCGTGATGAATCTGCCGGAAGATATTTATCGGAGAAGTACAGAGTCCGTATCGTCCCTTCAGTGACGACTCTCCGAATCATTCAAGAATGTCCAGCGGACTATCACAGTCTAACTGATGCACTGGTTGCGGGTGATCCTACGGTTAGCAAAGTGCTTTACAATGGACGTCTCACTGACATTACACCATTGTTCTATGCAAGAAAGGAAGCAGAGATGGTTGGTGAACTGCTGGGCGTTCAGCCTTTGTTAGGAAGTCGCGCAACAAAGCTGGCAGTACTTCAAGCGATACCTTCCGAAAGTCTGATACATCTTGTCGCACATGGAAATGCCGAAAGAGGAGAGATTGCTCTCTCTCCTCAACGTGCTTCTAACGATACTCCTCAAGAGGAAGACTACTTCCTGACCATGTCCGAAATTCTAGGAGTTCAAGTGCGAGCTAAACTGGTAGTACTCAGCTGTTGTCACAGTGGGCGTGGATTGGTTAAAAAGGAAGGAGTCCTTGGAATCGCTCGTGCATTCTTAGCATCCGGTGCACGTTCAGTGTTGGTAGCATCGTGGGCTATAGAAGACGAAGCGACGGCGAAGCTCATGAAGCATTTCTACAAACACCTTGTGGGTGGAGAAAGTGCCAGTGAATCTCTTCACAAGGTCGTTCAATGGTTGAGAAGCAATGGCTATTCTAAACCTTCCCAATGGGCTCCGTTTGTGCTGATGGGGGATAACGTGACATTTGATTTTACGAAAAAAGGGTAAGTAAGATGAGAATGAGCAATTTTTTATAATAAACCGATATCATCAGCACACTTAACTTTTTCATTTGAAGACATCAAAGTCAGTTTTTGTCATTTGTCATTTTGTCACAAAAGAAGACGATTTTATCTGGCGCTCGGAGCCATAAGATTTTGATGAATCGCTTCCCAAATTGGCCTTGAAAAAGAGTTCCTTTTGCATGGAAGATATTCAGGAACAACTGAATATTTTTTCTTTTTCGATTTTGTAAATGATAAAAGAGCATTAACTTTCGTAGTTTCCAACATATACACGGTTTGATAGAAAACAAAAATAACTCTTTAAGTTTATTTTAAATAAAACTCAGACACAGCTATTTGGGGTTTGTTGTCACTGTTGTCTGAACAATTTTAAGCAGAAAAGAACTTCATTGGCGTCACGCGTACAGTAGTCTCCTTCTTAGGAGGCCCTCACAACGGCGCTTCATCACGAGCGTTTTGTACCGCAGGAAGCAAACCAAAATTCTTAAATGACTTAATACTGTCGCATTCAAATGCACATTTAACATCCAACCAAAAAGTCATTTACTGCGCACAACAGGTGCTTAAAACATTCCTCTTGTTTTCCACCCCCCCCCCTCGAACTTTGGACTTGCCCAATGGGATATGGTAGCCACAGGAGGTTTCACGCATGCGAATTTCAAAAACTCCAGTGGGGATCGAACCGAGACCAGAAATTATCACCTACCGGAAGCCATTCACCAATGTCACCAGTATGGAGCCAGTCATCCTCGTCAATAGTTTCGGCAGTTTTCTTAGGGTCGTGAAGGTAGCCTTTGAAGACGTTGGGACCTTTCAGACAAATCTAGAAGAGCAAATATAAATGATGATATTGCAGTTTAGTTGAGGTTAATACAAATTGATTTTGTTGCAACAAACAATTTGTTTCTCTTAAATGAGGTGATCTTAAAAAGCCACGTATTGCTATATGTCAGTCCATCATACCTCTCCCTGACCATTTTTAGCGTAGTATTCTTTCTCTTCCACGTCGACAAGCTTAATAATGTTACAAGGAACTGGAGGGCCAACATGTCCGGCTGCAGAAAGAAGACAAGTACAAATAAGTATATAACTATTGATGAGTCGGGTGGTCATTGGTCAATTAGTTGATCTACTCCACCACCAATCAGTCAAACTTTCAATAAGTCAGTCACCTTGCCTATCAGTCAGTAAGGTAAACGTTCCATCAACCGATTAATTTATCACTATTTAGAGGCTAGTCACTAAGTAAATCAAACAACTTGAAAAAGTATTGCGCCAGCGGCTCAGTCGAACCAGTACATTCAGTGACTCACTAAAAGTTAGTCAAGCCGCTTGTCTGTTAGTTATTCTGTAAGTCAGTCATTGAGTCGGTCAGCCAGTCAGTCAGTCAGTCAGTCCGTCAGTCAGTCTGTTAGTCATTGAGTCAGTCAGTCAGTCATTCAGTCTGTCTGTCAGTCAGTCAGTCTGTCAGTAAGTCATTCGGTCAATCAGTGACTCAGTCAGTCGGTCAGTCAGTCAGTCAGTCAGTCAGTCAACCTATCAGTTGGTCATTCAATCTATTCTTCAGTCAGTCAGTCAGTTGATCAGCTATTTAGTTATTCATCCAGACGGCCAATCAGTCAGTCAGACATTCAGTCAGCAAGTCTCTCAGTCATTCAGTCAGTCATTCAGTCACTCACCCACTAGGTCAATTAGCCGGCCAGCCAGTCAGCCAGTTAGCCCGTCGGTTGGCAAGTCAGTTAGTCAGTCTGCGTGTCACTAGCGCAGCTCATCAGCCTCTGAGTCTGCCAATGACTTCCCTTTTTACCAAGAAACACACAAAGAGCTTGACATACCTGTTGTGACATCATTGAACAGCTGGAAGGTGGCAGCAGCTGTGCATTCGGTCTGACCGTAACCCTCGGTCAGCTGAGGAAACAAACGGCCAACAATGTACGATAAAATTAACAATATCGAGAGGTAGTTCTGTTTTACTACCAGACAGACAAGTTAGGCATATCTTGTTCGCCTACGATGACCATTGTATCCTACCCTTCCCATAAAATAGAGAAAATAAATACAGCATTTGAGTAGCTTTTCGCCCTGAAAGATGTGAGATGTTTGGATACAAATAACCAACTCACGTGACATCCCATGATGCATCTGATGAATGTCGTCACCTTAGCTGACAGAGGTGCGGAACCACAAGGCATGTATCGCACGTGACCACCAAGTAAACTCTGTCACGAAGAAGGAACATATCATGAAAGTTTTTTACTAAAGAATGAATTCGCATAAATACTTTACAATACCACGCAGAATGCCTTAGAAACTAGGCAGGGGATAACGTTTTAAGTGAGAGAAGTGAAAAAAGTGTAAGTGAGAGCGGGGAAAAAATTGAAATGAAAATATTGTCTTCCGATAAAATCTAGGTCGTTTTTGTCAAGACTTGAGACAGAAATATTTCTCTTGATAATATTTAAAGGCTAATTATATGGAAATTTCAAGCGATTATCTTTGCAATAGACTAGGGTATAAATTTTTGGGCTGAAAATGCTTGGTCGCTGCCCTTACCCTTGCTTGAGGCATTCATTCTACTACGTTCTGTGATTGGTTAAAAAAACCGCGTCGCCCGATCAAACAATCAGCATCAGAACTGACGCCAATGCACGCGTAAGTTTTTCTGCATTTCTGATCTTTTGCTTTTTTGTGTTTTCTTTTTTATGTTGAGTCCTTTATAATCACAAAATGTTTGTAGCAATATTCTTCCTTGTTGTGATTAAATCAGCTTCAACTATATGACAACTTCATCGAACCGGGCTCCAAGGAGAATATTTACTGGTTGATATATGTATTAATGTATATTACCTGTATTTTACGCAGAACCAGATGATCCCATATCGTGTTCTTGCTGATGATTTGCCTTTGAAGGAAAATTAAAGTGTCATAAGTTGATGTTTATGGTTTTGCATTCAGCCAAGCAATTCATAAATTTAAGTCATTTAGAGTAACTCCCCTATTTTGCAAATAGGAGAAAAATAGATCGAGTAGAACTTCCGGATGAGAAAACGAGGATTTTTTTCATTTCCAGTGATCGCTTCAAAATAATTTCTCGTTACTACCATGATTAATGGAACCATCAGACTTATGGAAAATTGTTTCACAGCTCTGAAGTTAATCTGTTTTTTCGGCGTTACTCACCTTTTCAGATCATTTTCCTTAGACTTAAGTGCCATCTGAAAAATCCACTTCTTCAGTTTACTCTTGGATACCTCAGACATGATCTATCGATTAAGAGAAAAACTTCTTTTCCCTTATATGCATGACATTCACGACGCAAATGACAGAAATCTGGTTTTGATAGCATTTTTGCCTTTTTTTTTCTTCACTAATGACTATTTAGGCAAAAAGTGAGGCCAATTGAAAGTCAAAATCTCAATATAAGGAATTAGATGCCGACAAAAATCGTTTGGTTGAACATTATCTCAACTCAAAATTCTTAGAGAAAATGTTTGTTTCAGAGTGCAAATAAGAAACATCAACCCTTTTCACCCCGTTAGCATTCAGATTCTCCACACTTTCTTCTTTACAACTCCTGTGGTACTTATATTGAAAATCTGTGTGACAATCAGGAACTTCTAAAATTGGTGATCATTTCCTTTCTTCCGAAAACCCAAACTTTTTATTTAAGGCTGATACTGTAAAGAGAAATTAATACCCCATCGTCTTAAGGATAAAGGTTTAAGTTATGCACCCAGAATATCTCATTGCCTATCTTTCTTGGCCAAGAAAAAAAAAATCTATCTTACTCGATTGTAAATGATCAACTTCACTCAACGCTTTCCTACCTTGTCGTAGATTCTGTTTAGTAAGCGAGGCACGGGTGTGAATATAGTTGGCCTGTGAAGAATTGAGAAATGGGAAGTAAGTGTAGTTTAGGGAGCCGGTATGTCATAATACTACAGTGATGAACGATCTTCAACTCGATTCAGTTAAGAGTAGACTAAAGTAAGTGGAAAGTGGTTTTAAGAAACTGCAAACTATAGTATTCTTATTAATATAATGCAGAATAAAAGCACATTCACACAAAATGATGATAAAATGATTAACTTACTTCAGCTCTTTGCAGTCTTCTAGCAACTGTTTGACGTCACCACTGTAGTACCCAATCCTTCCTCCGCTTACAAACAAGTTCAGCTGAAAACATTGTTTTACATTTAGGCTTTAAAAGTCGGCGAAATGATTTGGTTTCATCAGTTGTAAGAGTACCGTTAAATTACGTGGAAGAAGCAACCAATATTATCTATCCAGCTTTAATTTTGCAAGCTTAGGAAAAAGATAAAAGATAACTGCTTTATTTCAGAAATAAATACAAAATCATATCCTCTAAGTTATATGTTTTGATAAGTTAGAGCTTCCGTTTGGGGCAAACTTATTAATCACGTCTTCGGATTGACAATTAAAATAAAAAAAAACAAGAAAAAAATTGGTAAAATGTAATCGTAAGTTGTATGAGATCCATCTAATGACTGCCGAATTTTCTTTTTCGCGTGAAACTCACGTGATTTATCCGTTCGTACATGTGAGCCAGCGGTAAAAATGACAGATGCACATCCTCCGTTGTCAGCTCAAAACCGGCCTGCAATAATTATCAAACAAGCAAGATGAGCTAATAATTCTTATACCCTTTTTTATAGAGTGATCTACTTTGAAGTACTCTGGTTATCAGTCTTTCGAGTCGTCGCAAGTTACGCGACTTCCTTCGGGAGGTCTGGGTAAAAATAATTATGGGAACAGCTTTGGGGCTAAGTAGGCGGAAAAACACAGTATGTCGAATTGTTACCCATGTTCTAACGAAGCTTTTAAATTGAATATGCAGAGAACATCATTGATGGGGAGTCGAGAGATTACAATAAGTAATTTAAGGAAAGCTTGTAGGACCCAGTGCTCAGATGTAAAAGGACGGCACATAACTAGTTTCATACGTGAAGCATCATACCTATGTACATACCTGAAGCATCATACGTGCGTAATACCTGAAGCATCATACGAGCGTACATACTTGGTACATTATACATACGTACATACCTGAAGCATCATACGTATCTACATACCTGGTGCATCGTCCAACGATATGCTGAGATGTCAGCGACAAGATTGGCATGTGTCAGGATGGCTCCCTTTGGTGGACCTATCACCATGAAATAAGTTAAGCATATAACGGAACACTAATCAAATGTGATGCATTTTTGGTTTGTAACGTGTGCAGCACACTGAAGCCGCTAACAACAAAAGTAAATGTAAGTGGTCCCGAAAAAGTTGGTGCGAAAGTTTTAAAGGATAATATTTGATGGGAAAGGAAAAATATGAGGATTAAAGTATTTCATGACAGATGCATAGTAGGGTTCATTTTTAAAAGAGGAAATTAGTGGGTTGCCATGATCCAACAGATTTTACCTGTTGTTCCACTTGTGTAACATACTGTCAAAATGTCTTCGGGCTTAGCAGGCTGAAGTATTAAAAAAACAGCGGTCGTTTTAGTTTGCAGTGATTTGCGGATCGGCAAGCCTATTTAGAGTTGTAGAGGATTAGTGGAAAGGGACGAAGACCCAATTAATTATCACTTTCACGATTGAAATAGAAGGCACAATATTAAGAAAAATATTTTTGTTTAAGAATCATTCATGAAACGAGATATTCCCTGTTAACAAAGTAAACGACCTCTTACCACTGATCACGAATCAATAACTAGATTCAGAGCTCGAGATTTCTATCTCCCAATAAAATGATGAGTGCATACTCTTGTTATTTTAGTATAGATCTACAAGTCCTTTAAAAATTCCCCTACAAGACAGGCTTATGTGAATATTTTCAGCTTTGTTTAGAAACGCACTGTATCAGTAGACGTTCTCTTCTCACTGTCTATTATGGAATTATAGCGTAGCCAATCAGATAGCAGCATTTGTGATAAGGCACAAGTAGATTTATATTAATTGCTGATAGCATACGAGCTAATTAGGAGTGAAAGTGATTTGTTTTAAATATAGGAAACTGGCTTTACATAAAAAAAGCGGAGTGGGTAGCAGTTTCCGGATCTATTTGTCACAGTCTTTGGCATCCTGATTGCAAAGTTGACCATTGAAATAAGGAATTCATGTCTTCGGAGGAACAATACAAGATCAGCGAATCATTTCATTCCTGTTACCTTTCTTTCCTGATAGCTCTCTTTTCCAATGTCCTACGATTAGGAAACAAAAACGGCAAAATCAGACAAGAACACATTTAGGTACTGGATCCGTGACCACAAAAATGAAGAAATATAAGGCAGGTTTGATGAAAAACGTTGAAGGAATGAGATCGCCACATCAGTCTTTTTCTTCTCGATTTTCTTGTGTTTCATGAGAGGGAAGGAGGGGTGAGGATTAGTCTTTTGCACGCTAACATCAGAATACATATTCTTCATAACGTTCTCTATAAATTTTCTATGGCACTGGCAAGGAGAATTTGTTTAATAATCAAGAAGTTCGATCACTTTCCTCATTCTCAATTCATGAACCTAGTGTTTGTTTCAGCGGTGATCATGAGAAGCGAAATTGGACGCTAGACACTCCTACCATTTTTTACTGACCAGCGTAAAAATTCCTTTCGCGGCCTTAGCTCAGGTTAAACATATATTTCAACTCAGTGTAGCACTAACTGATTTTGAATAAAGCTTTATTCATTCAACAGATAGTACGATACTAGGCAATGAGGTGTCTTTGTAAGGAATATTTAATTTTGTCTTTCCACTTTTCAGAGAGGTTATAACAAAAAATGGAAAAGCAATTTTAAAATGAGCATCGAGATTAATCCTGGATTGCATTGAATTTGCATTACTTTACTCCTTAAATGGCAAAAAAAGTCGCGCCATTCTCTCAATCATAAGAGCTCAAAACTAAAAAGCAACCACTTCTTGGTCGCTCGCGGTTTAACGCGCCTCAAGAAGTTTATTGTTTTAATTTTTGAGCTCTTGGTAGTTCTGTAAGATATTTTCCTTTTTCCTCTTTGGTCATTACGGTTAGTTTGGTTTTAGTTATACGACACTTTACTAAAAACCGTCCTATCATAAACAGATGAGAGTAATAATATCCCTATCTGTTTTTCTGTTATACTCTACGGCTCAGGATAAATACCACCACTTACTTCTAGATTTGTCATGGAGATGAGGTTGAGACCCATATCTTTTGCTTTTTTATCTTCTTCTTGAGTGACAGAGGATCCTATTTTTATCAAATTTTTCAGCTCCTTGCACAACTGGGCCTTTTCAAGAAGCAATGGCACCTTGTCTTCGTTACAAACAATAGTAGAAAGGTTGGCTGAAGAGTAAAATGGAAAAAAAAGCCTCGAGTAACAACACGTAAGTTTAAAGCATAAATAGCAGCTTATTTATGACTTTCTAAATAATCTATTACGTTTTCAGTTCTGTTATTTACTTAATCATTTCTCCTAAAAAGTGTGGCTGCAGAACTTCTGTAAAATTGTATATACGAATCAAAAATGACCCTAAAAGATGGAGTTCCCTCTACAAGATGCCCCAGCTGTGAAGATGCATTACAATCTACTTAGACATTACATGCGGTGTCTAAGTTTATTGTTACTCCTTGGGCGAAATGCCAATCCATCGCGAGGTTACGAGTTTGAATAATTAATCAATCAATTGAATAATGTATTTACAATCACCGTCCCGATACTGCCATCCTATTTATAAGCGCTGCATTAGCCTAGAAATTTCCATAGATCATACTTCTTGCCATAGTTAACATCCTTCACTTCCCTTTCCCATGTGTGTTAGCCACGCCCTGTATTAGAGTGGCTTAAAGATGGAGATTATATTGCATATGATATCAATTTCTCACCATGGTTTATGATGTAGATGCATTCTTCAGCGCCGTGAGTATCGTACACTGGCACGGAAATCATTGAGAACATCTGACATCCCAGATCAGTTAAAGCCCACTACAAGAAAAAGAAAGAAAATTAAAAAATCATCAGCGTCTGTCCCCAGAGGGATACGTGGGATTTTCTACTGCTTTCAGTCTCCCATGATTTCATTTGCTATTCTCCTTACTGTCATCCGTACAACTCTTATGTTGTTAGTTTAGAGAATTTCATATGGGATCAATTAGCTATCCATCAGTGATCTGCTTGATATTGTGCTGCTGTTGTAGGTAGAAATATTCTGTCCTAGTCACTCAAGGCAGTTAAATTGTTAAAACTGTGAAAGACGTTAACAGTTCGCGGCTTCGTTACGTCCGTTTCCTAACCTATCCCTTCCCTCAGTTAATTTCATTATTCAAACTTTGCTAAAAGAAGATGGTTCCCATAGATAACTGCAGTTTCATATTTCACATTTCACACCTCACAAATTTCACAGCTCACCTCCACTCGGTTTGGTCCATAGATCCCAATGAAGGTCTGTTGTGAGGGCTCGCAACCTAAAGCGACCAGGCCCGCGCCAACGAACGTTGCCCTCTCATGAACCTGGGGGAGAAATAATGTTTACAATATCGGGCAAATAAAATGGAACTTTTAGACGAAAAGTTAGTTTGAAGGGTCTTCTTTTTGGCAACCCCGTGCCGTATATAAGAAAAATACCTTGGTACTTTATTACGGCATCACATTTTCAGGTGACGGACTATAACTGAAGATATGAGGGAATGGTGAACTATCAAGCTATCAAATGCCTTTATTTAAGGGGGGCGACATTTTCATTTCGGCATTTATATTCTCCCCACCAATGGCGGCCCTGTCTATTGCAGTGAGGTAGCAATGCTCGAAATTTATTCCCAGTGTTTACTTTATTATTTTGCTGCCGACATTTACCTGGTTATATGTCAGCCACGTGTACTTCTTACTGATTGGATCCCTTGTTCCTAGGCAAGGACTGTCCCCTGTTAGAAAAACGAAAAATAAAATAGATGTGTTGGACTGAACCAAGCTAAGCTTCTGCTGTCAAAAATTATATTTAAACTGATAGTTTAATATGAATGCTGTTAATAGGTCGAAAGTAAGAACGACCAGAAGAACTAACAACTTCTAATTGCCTTTACACTTTGAAAGCCTTAAAAATTGGATCATGGGAGTTCAATATTACAAACCACCGGACAAGTTTAAAACTCCGCAGACGTTTTTTTGAACACAATATCAATAGTGCATCTCTTTTTTTTATCACTCCGCAGCAATAAGTATTTAATTTTTCAGCCCACGAACTGGTCGCTTATCGTCTTCCTCTCTCTTTCACCATGCAGTAGGCCGTTTGAATCCATGGCATCTACATTTTCATTTCCAAGACTGATCATTTGAGTGGACATACATGTATATGGAGCGAGAGGGTTTAAGGGCTAAAATCTGTGAATCTCACTAACCTGACAGTTTTACTCCGCGGAGAAAGCTTTCATACACAGTGGTAACATCCGGATATTGCCTTGCAATTATTTCAGATGACAGCGTGGTCCGCCGAGCTCCGTCAGTACCCTGTGAAAAAGCTCCTTGGTTAGTCTAAAATTTCACTTTCTATAAGTCTTGTCTATCGGACTATACAGTGCATAAAGGCAATCTGAGTGGTGCAACTTGTCAAATAACATCCCCTTTCTCTCCGTGATATACACGAAAAATGTAAAAGTTCTTATAGTTAATGTAAGTAGAGTAGTTCCTTAGACACCCCATCTTGTCTCCATAGCCCTAAAAAAAACTCTTAAACAGCGGGTTTATTTTTTTGTCTTGTTTGGGCCTGGTAACGTTAAACATGCTTGCCTTTCAAAGCCTGCAATAAATTCCGGTTTAAACATCGTAGGTTAGCAGCTGAGGGATGCATGTTGTTTACAACACTAAGAGAAAGTCGACTTTTGCTAATTAATGGTGCGTTTGAGAAAACGCCAGTTTACCTTCTTTTAGATGCAAGAGTTGTTGAAAGTGTTGCAGGATTTAGTTTGTACAAATGAACTAGAATCAAGTTAAGCAATTTAGCTCGGTTGTCGATTAGAGAAATATTTGGCACAAGTGTAGAATACACACAAATAAAAGAAAGATTGTTTTTTACGCGAAGCTTCGGGCCTCAGGCCTTCCGTAGTACAATGCTTTTATCTGAGCTGCAGAGAACTGTTTGGTGACAGCGGGCTATTTCTAGGTTCATGAAAGACAACTTTCTTGCCTGCTGTAAGGATCAGCAGTCCCCAAAATGAATCCGGTAGATAGATTTAGGTAGTGAACGTATTTGGAGCTGTGTAGTTGAGTAAAGAAACATGCTGAACATATTTCTTAACTGGATTCAGCTTACGACCTTTCTTTTTGTGCCAATTACGATAAATTGAAAAGCCCGAATAAATTCCGTTCTTCAGTTTGGAAATGGCTAAATTCATTTTACTTAATTCTACATCAGACTCAGCACATCAAAGGTTCCGCGGGTCTGAATGTTCGTTCAAAGTTTAACTGCACAATGGATATTACCAGGCTCTAGGTAAAACACATTTAGGTGGGAAACATACTCGTTTTACCAATACAATGAATCTTTGTGACACTCCTGACAGGTTTAAAAACAGACTTACAATTTGTGGGATTAAAGCCCTTAACGGTCCATTATCGTCAAATGGAAACTGGAAGAATGGTCAAACCACAATTTTTATTCGTAATCTTTTAAGATTATGTTCTTCTTTTCAGTTTCGCAACGCCTCGCCTGTCCTCGGCATAGCTCTTGGATATCTCACACGGAAACAACCATACAAGTCTTTTTGATAATGTACTTTAAAAAATATCTGAAACTGAAACTATCTTTTTAATAGAGCCGGAAAGTTACGAAAAAATTGGAGACAATCGGAAGAACTATCGATCGCCGTTTGCAGCCATTCACTTTATTTTGAACAGCCTGAAATCTTGCGTTCATCGAGGGCGCGTACTGCTAACTAGGAATTTAATGGTGTCCTATGATTTTGACAGACAGATCTCTTGTAAATTTGTTCAAATAGGAGAGTAAACGAAGTCAAAAAGAAAAATTTACAAGTTACCTCTACTTCAACAGATTGCTGTTCTGGTGGTAGGTCCATTTCGTGTCCACGAGTCTTATTTCTGTACCAGCGTATCAACACAAAAATAGCCACGCCACTGATAGCTGTGAAAACTGCCAAACTCCCGGATGCTGCGTCTGAAAGAACACGAAACCGGTCATTATACATTATCACTTTTTAATTTATTACCATCCCTCTTCCCTGCCAAGAGAAGTGAGGAAAATTCAATTATAGAAGGTTATATTATTGGAAATATTGCCTGAACAATGCTGGGATGTTGTCGAATAAGACTCTTGGCTTATTGAATGACTTCAATACTCAGTGAATGCAGATTCTCAGGTTGCACCAACGTGTTGTGGTTTAGAGTTGGGGAAAGTTGTCTAAAAGAAAAGATTCGATTTCTAAACATAAGCCTCATGTGCTCATGTTACAAGAAGCATCATGGCATAAGAGTAAAGGAAAGCTGGCACCATGATAAAATGTAAACGAGTAGAGAGAAAGTCTGCATTCTGGCGTGATTCCATTAAGTATTTTTAAAAAAGCTTTATAGTGCATTCTCAGGCTTGACTGAATGGCGCTGTAACGAAACAGACAAAATAAAAATAATGATAACGAAAATAACGAAAAAAATTACAAATTAAAGCTTCTGTATCATTGCTGAAATTTCCTTTAATCACCATGCATAAACATTGATTAAGACTCGTCAAAAGGGCGCGATTAGAAAAGGTTATCTTATTGCTTTTGATAAACACAAAATGTTCGAATTTGTCATTTCAGGAGATGCGATGGGAACGAAACCAAAATACATAATACAATTCCTAAATTTCCTTCTATCTTTCTCTTCAGTTAACCGTTTTTAAAACGAAACTCTTTCACGATTATAAACTTTTGGCAGTGAGCGGTAAGATCCAGAAATAAAGAACCAAAATTTGAGACCTGCAGAAACGAGACTCACTCGATTGAGCGTACACATAATCACCATGCATAATACGGACTACAACCCACGTGTGATAAATAAAAATCCTCTTGGCTTATCGGTTGCCATATCGACCACAGCAAGGTGGCTAACATCTGGCTTTTGTAGTGGACCTTTAAAACACCATAAATGAACACTTTTGCGGTTTTGCATTATGAAACCAAATTGAGCGATCAGCAGCCATTGCCCTCAATCGATAATGTAAAATGCAAGATTTGTTTAAGATTTGTGCCAACTAGTGAAAATGATTTTATATAGGAAAAGCGTTAACAGTAACTTTTACCTAGCATAAAGAAACGAAAGTATCCAAAACCCAACAAAACTTACTCGTTTTCAAGATGGCCGTTCAGAAGATTTTGAACCTGGGTGATCAACAAGATATGATTTCGCATGTCGTTGAATACAACATGTTGAGTGTAGCAAAGCAGGTGAATATTTTGAAGCTAAATGGGCGTGAATATTTTGTGTGGCTAATGAGTATTTTAAAAGGAAAATTACCACCTACGAGACAAGGGCTTAATCACCTTTTATTTCTGAGGCGAGTATTGTCTTGATAATTGAAATAATGGTTTAGTCGATGAATGTGACGGGTAAACTATAAATATGAAAGGCCATTTTTCATAAGCATTTACATTTATCCTCTAAGAGAGCAAATGTCGCGAAGTGTCCTCTGAGATTGCGAATGGCCTTGAGTACGGTTGTTGTTATTGTTTTTTTTTTCCGTTTTCTCTCTTTTTCGAAAAACGTTACAGGAAAATCGAAATACAGGTCTGAATTAAGGCGCATGGTCAACTGAAGATTCCTTGCCACCTTGAAAGATGATAGCTTAACCCTTTAACTTTCAGAAGTGTACCTTCTCCCTGTGATAATCATATATTATCCAGCCAACATGTAATGAGGATATTCAAACTTATAAGGTAGAGATTGGTGGTCCTGATGTAATACCAAATTCTTGTGACTTATTTACATGGGAATGTGTGGTAGCTACATGGAAGAATTAATAATCAGATCCTGGGAGTTAGAGGGTTAAGGTGAGTTTTTAGAAATAAAAGTTGTCAAGCGATCTTTTTTAAACTTTTCCCTTCCAAATCTCTGTTTCGACAATCGTAATTAAAAATATAGGTGACCGTGCCCGTTTAAGAGCAAAATACCATCTTAGCTGTTTAACACTGATTGAAACAATTCGTTATGTTCCTAGAATGCGCACGTGCTTATTCACCTAAATACGCGATGTTATGCGCAGTACAAGATGAGTAGTGCAATGTTGAGGAATCACCTTAAGCGAACATCAGAGCTATCTGTCAACTGAATTTACCATTCTGACATATTTCTCGACGTGGGCCAAACTATTCACTGATGACATCATGAATAGGGATAGCGATATTTGGCAAGATGTTTGTACAACCACACACTTCATTATGTATACATGCAGTTCGTTGAACCATATCATTTATCTTATATATCAGTTTACTCCTAGCATTTCGATTTTACACGTTTTAAATTTATTTTTGTATTAAAACCCTACGCGGAACATTTTTCGTATCCCTGATAATGCCGTGGATCGGCAAAGGCTTGGATTTCATAAAGATTTTGAAAGGATTTAAACATCAAATTTTGTCAGTTTTCTACAAACAGTGTTGTACATCAAACAAAACGATGGCGAAAAAAATGGGTTGCCATTGGGACTAAGGTTTTGTTTTAGAGCAGTATGGGATTCTACGGAAATTTACCGTTTATGATACTCGTCTCCTGATTTTAAATACCGAGAGCTTGACACATGTGGACCGTTATACCCAGAACGAAGTTTTATTTCATACTCCACCAATGAAGTCAGTTAACATAAGCAATGCTCAATTCTGCTTATATCTTCTTTGAGAATAATGTCTTCAGTTTTTTTTTTCAACGGTTTAATCCAAAAGCTTCGACAAGAGCGTTTTTCATTTAAGTGTTAGGGAACCAAAACCTTTATTGTAGCCAATTAGAATCAAGGAAAATATCAACTGAAGAGCCAATGAGAATTCAAAGCAAATTAAAGAAAACTGCCTCAAGCGCGGAATTGTGATGGTGGGTGGGTTTTTTAAATCAATCCATAGAGCGAAGTAAAGAAAACCACTTCAATACCGGATTACCCTCGAAGTTCGATTGAAAATCTCTCAAAAGAGGGGACCCAACGGATTATGCTCGACACTCAAAATTCTTTACATAGTAATTGCCCCAAATGTATGACCCAAGTTAACTCGCTAATGAATTCTTCATCCACGACTCAGTTGGCAGAGCGCATAGACGCGAAATCGGATGTGGTTCGACTCCGTACAGGTTTACACGGATTCTATTTGTCTCAAGGAAGTGACGCATAGTGCTTTTTCGACTGGAGGCCACTCCGCCGACTGTGCTGTGCTACGCAGAACGTGGGAGCCTGCAGATGACTACATTTCCCGAATTAAGTTGTATTTGTAAATATTTTCCAGACGTTCCAAAAACATGTCTCTTATAATTTTGATTCATGGTGGCTGGCGTGATCCAGAAAAACTCAGCAGTGTTAATAACAAGCGGAAATCACACCTCCCTTACAAAGCTGGCTGTGCATGTTTTTTCCGGTCCAGAATTTTCTATTTCAGTCACGTTTCTTCGAGTAGAAACATAACAAAGGAAATTCTTGTTATGTAAATTCAAATTTAAGTTTCTGTTTAACTAAAAAGCGTCTTAGGGAAAGAATCATGTTTTGGTTGAACTTAAACTTACTATTATTTTGAAGGAAATGATGAATTCAACTTTGTTTGTGAAACATGATGACAAATGCTCAGTGTGTATTAAATCAACAATTGAAAAGGATTGTTAGCTCTTTGATATTGAGACGGCTGTAATACTAATGAGAGATAAACTTGAAAATATTTTTCCCGCACAAGGTTATTTAGGGTTAGTTCACATGATGCTTTGATAAAAATAAGTTTTGAAACTCTCGCTAAATAAAAAAAAAAAGAAAAAAGAAAAATCGGTAATTCAGTTGTAAAGCCATGTTTTAAAAAGAACTTTTACAAAGTGTAAACAAAGAATAAAATTGGGAAGATTTTATTTGGCGATATGAGGTTAATGAAACGTGCGTGAAAATTAAAGTTGCTGCAAAGCATACCTCGATTTGCTGGATACAGAAACGAATCCCTGCCTGTCCCTTTCAATTCTGTTTATTTGCCGTTTTCTGTCACAGTTGTATTTAGAGTGGTTTCATCTCTCTTTCCTCTCTTCTCTTGGCTTTCTGACTAACTCTCATACTGTAATAACTCTATATAGTCTATATAGTACACGCTTTCATAAGCACCATCGATAGACGTGAGTGGGTATGCGAGCCGATTGACCTTGAAAGTTTTAACATTTTTTATCGGAAATCTAAACCAACACTTTCACAAGATTTTCACAAATGAATAAAAACGTACTTGAACAGCTTTCGAAAACCAGTTCGGTTCTAGGGCAAGGTCAGTGGAAGTTATTGTTAGCTAATCGTTTCATCAACTGTTAACACGAGCTTAAGGGAAACTGCATGCATGACATTGCAGGCCCTCAACCTGATCACAAACCAAAACAATTCTAAACACTCTGAACAAGGTACTCGAAACGACATGCAAGTTCGAAGAATCCGTCAACGAAGCAAGACTGTCAAAATTGGGAAACTTTTTGTGATAGCTAAACCCTGGATAACCGACTTTAAATTCGAAGATGCTCAGTAGAAACAAATTACTATGTCCTTGCTCAAACATAAATGCTTCACAGAAGTGTCAGGAAAATCAGCTTTAAATTTCTAAAACTTAACTCCCTGAATCAGCTAATACTTGTTTGCGAGATCTTGGAAAGGTTCAAATTCTTTTTTGTATTAATAGGGTGTTTTACATAGTAAAGAATATTCTGCCTCACGAAACGCTTTATCGCCCTTGTTTTTTATTGAATGGAAATTTTAAAACACCTTTCATGCGATTTTGCCCTCGTTTACGTACCATAGTCCGTAAGGAAGCGAATATAGCTGTAATTTCGTCAAGAATAGAATTATTTGCGTCACTCAATGAATGTATATAACTTCTCAACTCACCTCAGTCAATCGCCTTAAGAGGTTATACGTATGTTTATCGACAAAGCTTCTTTCACACTTTGGTTTAGTTGATAAAACTACGTAT